CGGGGTGGGAGAGGGGGACCGCCGAAACATGCTCGCGGAAGACAGATGCGAGGCCCGGAAGAGACAGCCGAATTGACCCCCCCTGGAATGATCAAGTTTGGCATAATGCCGGCTACCGTTCCGTTGCAGTTATGACTCTAGCGTACCAAAGTGTGTGTAATTTTTTAAATTTTCCTTTATTTCACCCACAGTTTAGTTTACCTAGTCAGTCCCCAGTACAAAAGTAGAAACCGTGCCCGTAAAAAAAACCACACAAAAATATCCACCCCAGCGTCAGGGCTGCAGGAATTGTGGCTCGTTGCCTGAATTGAGAGTAGCGCCGAGATCGGGCTCTACAGCATGACGGCCTGGATCGTAATGGACCGTCTGGATCTCCCTCACGCGGCGTTTCGCTTCGATGACTGATGGATCACGATGGGGAGGGGCGGGCTTCAAAACGTGCTCCAGCAGTTCTCCAGTCCTGCAACGTTGACATTTGGCATGTGTGGAATCAAGTGGACGGCGATCCCAGGCCAAGGCCAGGCCGGGGGGTGAAAATGGATTAGCAGAGAGGGGCAACAAGAAAAAAACCCACGGGGAAGAGAAGAAAATTTTCAACCGTTGGCCTGCCGCCCCCCCTCTTGGAAAATGGTATTCCCCTTTGGATGAGAGCGGCATGGGATGACTACCCCCGAGATCCACCGAGAAAAGCTTCACGATCAGCCGGGACTACAGCCGCAATGTGTGTGTGTGTGTGTTTGTGTACGAAGTGAGTAGTTAGTGTGTGTGACTGTATAGGCTTTCGAGAGACTGTGTGCTCCGTAAAGGGCAGGCCAAAAGAGTGCTCTGAGAAATTTCCGTCGAAACTGGATGGGCAGGTGATGCCGTTCATACGTAAGAGAAATACTATGACTGGTCCGATGGCCTTGGAAGTGGACCATCCCGCGATCCGTTACCTTGTTTCCCGCTTCCCGTTTTTACATGGTATAATTTTTCTCTCTCGCTTTTTCTGCTTTCTATGCAGGTTGACAGGCAAAGAGAGCAGGTCTTGTAAGTGCCTGAAGGGGGGGCCCATAATCCACTTTCCGCTCTATTTTTTGTACTCTACTCTACCAGGTACGGTGTGGCGTCTGTCCGCCCACCCCCCCTTTTGGGTCCAAAGTGCCCACGTTCCCTGGGTGCTTGGATGGCGTCGAGTCCAGGCCTCTCTGCCTGTGCTTTGTCTCTTGGAGGGGGTGAAGCACGTTTTCGTGATGGAGAATCGCAAAATGAAAATTTTCGTAAAAAGGGCTCCATCGTGAGATGAGGCTATGGCTTGGCGACCAACCTCTCCGGGCTAATGTCCGCTCTCCCGCTGATGCCCACTGATGGACGAACGGCACCGGGATACAATTCCGTTACGAGCTGATCGCTATTTTGGGGATGAGAGTGATAGTAACCATGGGCGAGTATACGGTGCCCTCCGTCAGGACATGCCTGATTAGGGAAGTCTTCTCGATCGTTCTTGGCTGTGAACGAACGACCAAGAGATGCGGTGGCACGATGGGATCTGAGATCAGAAATATCAAAGACACGAGATTGCGCACGGCTGCTGACACGACGTGGTCGTCAATACGGGGTTTCAGTTTGCGAGATGTGATTAGATTAGAGTCGGTAGATGTAGTGAGCCAGGAAGTCAGGCAACTTTGGAAGTCGAAATCAAGTGTTGGAGTCGGACGTACGTCAAAGAGGCACCACCGTGTAAGTCGTCAAATTGTCGAAGCATCACGATTTCGAGCAAGAAGGACTTCACTACCTGGTGCCATTTTTTTAATGCACTGTATAACACGGCCTTGCGAACAGACAAGAGTTTAAACAGGCAACGACAAGGCGAAAGGAGCGGTCAACCACTGGTAGTGTGTGTATTCTGTCATTCTCGTTCGTTGGTCATCGAAAAAAAGTGTCACGATGAATATGTCACCAGCGGGCCATGTGCCCTCCTGACTTTCCCCAGTCTTGCTTTTTGGCTTCCCCCTTCTCCGCTCTCCGGAGCATTCAAGCCTAACCTCCCTTGCACTCTGTCTACCGGCTTCTGACAAGGGGGGGAGGTGCATCGAGATGGCCTCACTTCAAAAGCAACAACTGGGACTTTTGGAGGATCGTGGAGTAATTTGACGAGAGTGAGCGAAGACGAGCCGAACCCCTCCACAAAACATCACTCCGACGGACAGGCAACGGAACGGCAATCGTACCACATGGCATTGTGAGGCGGCAATGTGAGAGAAAGCGATGCCTGTCCGCCAACAAGGTGCCTGACGCCCGTTTGAGAGTTCATGTTTCCCATCTGATCTGAGTAGCATCGCATCGCATCATGTTTCCAAGGGCGATGCCGGCCAAGCTAGCGAAGCTTCTGGGCCATTACGGTGACGGCGTGCTGGCACCAGTATGCACGATACTGACACCATACCTACAGGACGGACGGTCAAACAGGGTACGGCATCACTGAACCGTTTACCGTCCTGGTGCTACCAGACCGCTCTCACTACCCTCTGTAATGCTCTGCTACCCTAAAGCGGGTAGGGATCTTGATGGCATGAGACGGCGATCTCAGGACGACCAAGAAGGGGGGTCCGGAAAGCCAACCTGGATGGGCGGCTCCTTGCTGCGACCGGGAATGTTGCGACGGCAGAACGAACATGATGCCATCCCGGTATGTGTCCGTCTCTTTTTGAAGCTTCCCTCGAGTAACGTGGTCCAGTCGCTTTCGTCGACTCCATTCACGTTTCCCTTACAGGCGCTGTAACTTGTAGCCAAACCAAACCTACGTGGACACACTCTCTTGTTTCCGCCGCCCCTCCCTCCGTTCCCATTGCGACGCAGTGCCCCTGGCGTTGCGCAATTGTGGGCAACCGGGCACTAGTTTTAGGGCCGCAAATCGCCATCGAAGCTAAACGGCCGCAACTGAAGGTTGGTTGTTCCTTGGAGCGGTCAGGTACTCCGTGTCGAACTGTAGTGAAGACGGAGGTACAGTACATTGGCGTATCTGGCCCGTGGGCAGCGGGATACACACCGAAGCTTTGCCTGACCGCCGCTCTTTTGCAAGCCGGCTACCTGAAGGACGCGAACAGGCCCTAACCTCAGCCCCCTTTCATCCCCCTACATTCAGGCATACGGTGGTGATGAATTTGGACGGAGAGCCGCGGTTATGTGTAGGTAGCGGTAGCGGTAGTAGTAGCCGATGACTGTAGCGGACGCCTCCGTTCTCCGGTACGTACTAAGAATATGCGTGGGCCCTATTCATCCCCTCTCCCACTGTCAGTGTGATGGCTCAGGAGAGCCTGGACATCACGGTGAACCAGGGCAAAAGGGTCAGGCGGGCTTCTCGACCCATGGGGCAGGCTATGCCATGCCTTGTCAGTGGACTCCTAGCCTGGCTTTGAACAAAGTGCCCAGCTCCTTTGATGGAGAGGGGTGTGTGTATGGTAGTGTAATGGTGCTGTTGTTGGCTGGGCGGAATAGTCATGTTGGCCCAAAGTACAGTACAAACTGGGCTCACATTTTTTTGGGACGAGGAACCTGGCGGCGGACCCTCAGTGGAGTATGGCTGGACTCTTTTTTTCACACTTTTTTTCCCTCTCCCTCTCTTTCATCCTGTCGACTCGGCTGGGCTTGCTTGGAATAGGTAGATTCAACGCGGTTCAGTGACTGATGTGTTCTGAACAAGGCCGTGTCAAACGCTAGAGCGGAGCTGGCTCGTCAGGTACCCTCCCAACCCATGACACATAATTACTCGATGAAAAGCTTGACCATCACGAGCTGGCGAGACATAATAACGCGACGTACTGTGGTGGGAGGTAAAAGGTTCTATTACAAGAGTAGAGCCGTAACCACTTTTTTCGTGAACCAGTTTTTTGCTGTTCTATTCTGCAACTTGACGATACCTTCACAACAAGACCTTCGTTTTTTTGGGACAAAATACAGAACGTCACTAATACAGCTCAAGAGGAAACCTGCATCTTCTCCGCATCCACTCGCTGCATCTGATCTGAAGCCGCCATTAAGCGCTACAGCTGCACATAATCACACAACCACACCCCCCCTAGTCACCCACCTCCAACGACTTACACGGGAAAATCCAAGACTACAAGAGTCATCAAGAGAAGGAAATCCTTTCGAACGACAGCTTTCACATTCAACTTCCTCGACTCGAATCGACCTAGGACACCAGAACAGATCAAACATCGCTTTGACCAGTCAAAGTTTGTTTTCTCTTTCTCTCAGATTTCTTCGACCAGCAGATCCCATCTGCTCCCCCCACCACGGCCGTTACCCTAGCGCAAACAAACTTCAGTCTCCTTGGCTGACACGAAAGCCAAAAGAACAAGAAGAGAAGGAAAATCACAGACCTTGCGTCTTCATTGCTACTACATCACACCCTCCAGTTCCGGCAAGGGTTCGAGAAAATCAAAGAAGGACAAAAAGAAAAACAAAGCCAGGGCAAACCTACCTTACCCTCCACTACTCGGACATAAAAAAAGTACAAAGGGATCTGCCCCCCTTCTCCCTCGCCCCCCCATCCCACTCAGTCATCAGTCCAGGGGACAAGACTGCACACACACATCAGCAGACCTCGACCTTACAGGCCCTTGTTGCCCCTCCTGCCGTATTCCGTAACCCGTGCTGCGAATCAGCACAGTCTATCACGCCCTTCCGGCAGCCACCTCACTTACACAGCGCCCAGGCGCCCAGATCCCATCCTTTCCATCTACTTCGCCCATCCTTCGGGATCCGGCGAATCGACCCTTTTTGTCCCTTTTACTGGGAGCTCCATATTTTGACCCGGGCCCTGCGCCCAACGTCACATCACATCATCCCCCATCGGCCAGAAAACTGCCCCTCCCCTGTCCAGGAGAGAGGTGACTCCGATCCAATCTTAGGCCAGGCCAAGCATTAAAAGAAGCGCCTTGGAAGCCGCATCCGAGGCCATATACAGCTACTCAAAAGCCCAAAATCCGGGGAATTCCCAAAAATCAACCACCAAAATGCCCCACAGAGTCGCCAACTTCCTTCGCAACTCTACTGAGAACTTCAGTGTCTCTGCCATTGCGAACCTCAAGACCATTCGCAACCAGTCGACACACCACAACCACAAGCAGCACAACACAAACGTCCAAGACCAAGGCTTGCTGCGTAGGGTCCCTCTCGACCGCCACTCATCTTACTCTTCCGATGACGGCGAGCACATCCCTTACAACAAGATGTTCGCCGCCGAGCCCCCCGTCGACCATCACCACAAGGAGAAGAAGCACCACCACCACCGCCTCTCTCTGCCTTTTGGCCGTTCCAACAAGGATCACCACGAGAACCCCCACGCGAGGCTAGACCTCAAGATCGAGAGCCCTCCCATTGTCTTTTTTGGCGATGCCGAGACCTCTACCGGCGCTCTCGTCTCTGGTCAGATGTTCCTCGATGTCAAGGACGACCACCTCGAGGTCGAGGCCTTCGAGGCCAAGCTCAACATCCACGTTCAACACAAGCGCCCCTTTGCCAACCACTGTAACGAGTGCCAGAACCAGTACACCGAGCTTAAGCGCTGGACGTTCCTCGCTCACCCCACCACCCTGAAGAAGGGACTGCACCCGTTCCCCTTCTCCATCCTCCTGGAAGGCCACCTCCCCGCGTCCATGGACACGCCCATCACCTCCATCGCCTACGAGTTCAAGGCCGAGGCCACTCTGGTCAAGGGCACACCGGGCTCCCAGACGCCCATCAAGTTCGAGCAAAACTTCGACGTCAAGCGCTCCCTCCCCCAGCCCGAGTTCCCTCACCACTCGGTCCGCGTCTTCCCCCCCACCAACATCAAGGCCAGCGCCCACTACAACCAGGTGATCCACCCCGCCGGCACCCACAACGTGTCTTTCCGGCTCGACGGCCTCACCAGCGCCAACGCATCCAACAAGACGGTCGAGTTCTGGAAGCTCAAGAAGGTTACTTGGAAGCTCGAGGAGACCATCAAGACGGTGGCCCCCGCCTGCGACAAGCACGCTCCCGCCGGCGCCCAGGCCAACCAGAAGGGCCTCCACCGCTCCGAGACGCGCATCCTCGGCGAGAAGTACATGCACGACGGCTGGAAGTCGGACTACTCCAGCACCGACGGCCACGTCGAGTTCGAGTTCGATTACGGCGTCATCGCCAGCAAGCACGGCCACGGCCCGCGCTACGCCTGCGACATGAAGTCCCACGACGGCACCGAGGTCACCCACGCCCTCATGATCGAGATGGTCGTCTCCAAGGAGTGGGCGCCCGTCGGAAAGCCCCACCTCGCCACGCAGACTGGCACCGGTCGCATCCTTCGCATGCACTACCATGTCATGCTCACCGAGTGCCCCGGCCTCGGCGTTAGCTGGGACAACGAGGCGCCTCCCGTCTACCAAGACGTTCCCCCTTCGCCGCCCGCATACCCCGACCAGCCGGCACCCATCGAGTACGATAGCCTCGAGTCCCTTGACGGACAAACGCACAGCACCGAGGGATCAGTTACATCATAATGCATATTACACACATGAGAGAGAGAGAGAGAAGTTAAAGAGGAGGAGACTTAATACGAAAGTTAATAATACAGTTCAAAGAGGAGGGAACACGGAACGAGAACGAAATCGGGAAAAAGGAAAAGTTTTTTGATTTTTTTGAAGCTTTATTTTGGAAACTCTGGGATTCCGCGCATTATACCCCTCGGGCTACGAACCGGGTGCCTTCATTACTTTGTTCTTTTTTTTTTCTGTTTTGGATTTGTTTATAGGATTTATCACGGGCGGAAAGACTATTGTCTCAACTCAACTTATGGCCATTTGTTTTGTTTGTTGTTTTTTAATTGGTATCTTCCAAAGAGAAGTACGGCATTCATGTGAAAATGGTGGACGAACAGGGACATTTGACAAAACATGTTTGCATTGCGAGGCGTTTGGTTTAAACAACTCCCTACAAAGAGCTGGGCGGACGAATCATTCCCGTCGCATGACTTCTCAGTGGTTAGCTCACGGTGAGAACACAAAAAAGATACTATACTCTATAACAGAATAATTCTATTCCATCTATAACATCAACACTCTAAATCTCGCGTGATTGCTTCATGTCTGAATTCCCATAATTTTGGCTTTAGCAATGTTGGGACTTGCGATTACGACCATCAAGGTTCCAATTCAAACACGAGCATCAAAAAAGTGGTCGTCAGCTTGTGGAGTTTGTTAGTTTTGGTAGTGTATGTGATTTGTACGGGCGATTCATTCATCTACAGCAATGAACAAAACTCATTGAGACAACAACGTCACAAAAGTTGCCCCTCCTTTGTCACAACTAATGCGGCATCCCGAAAGACAAATAATTCAAGAAAAGGTGGGATGACATGTGAAAAAAAGGGCGAAGGAAACAAGACCTAAACGCGCCGCACACCACCACACCACACACACCACACACACCACACAAAAATAGACTTTGCACAGGCATGGCGGAAATGCGAACTTTTCACCATTTTTACCATTTTTGCGGCTCATCCCACGTTGTTCATGGTAGGGCGGGAACGGGAAAGCCTTTTTTTTTTTTTTCCTTTTTCTTTTTACTTCCGGTCTTGATCCCTCCCTCGCATTATGCCCGCCGTCCAAACGGGTTGCAGAGCGAGTTAATCTTACGAAACCATTACACGATGAAAACCACCTAGAGTTCTAGAACGCCCTGAGCGGCGTAACGGCCTGGGCTTACACACCCCCTGGTCTGAGCTTCCTCGCCCACGGGCTAACATGCCTGTGGCAAGCTTCAGGGCCCCGCGAGGGAATTTAAGAAAAAACTCAATTAGGGGAGGGCTGTTTGAGGGCGTAAAGTTGGGAAACCAACATCCTGGGAGTCCGAGTCGTGGTTGGAGGATCTTGGGAAACCTTGAACGTGGGATGGATGCATTGTGGATGAACGGGAGGTCACAGCTTGGTGGGCAACACTCTGTACGTTTTGCTGGTGGGCCTTTCTCTCTGCAGCATTTGTTGTGTTGGAATCACGACAAGTCACGATACAGTAAGCAGTAGGACTGGGCGGAGATATTGTAAGTTTGATCCGCTTGTGATGGCGCCATCCAGCCTTTCGGATGGACGATGCCAATGTTTTCACGATAGTTGCGGTGTAAGCGCACGCTTCACCTGCCCGCTGCGGGCACGGTGTGCTGTACTATGTGATGCTGGGGTGGGTTATGGTGGACTGTGACATGATGCTTTTGCCAGCCAAGACATTAAACAGAAGAAGCAAACGCCGCACCGGCCCGGTGTGCAGTAGCAGCCAGGCATCGGGTGTAATCCCGCGATGGGATGGGTGGTGCTGGCTCTCCTTGCGTGTCCCGGGGTGAGCAAAGGAGGGAGGCGTGCCCGATGCTGAGATGAAGTATCGTGAGTCAAGTCAGGCCGAAGTCATGCCAGAGCCGTGTCAGGCGTGGCGGCGGCCCTTGCAGCAACCGGAGCCGGCCGGTTCGATGGTAGGTTCAGGAATGGGAAATGTGCCATTGTGGCCCGGGGTCGGGGCCAGACGGGCTTACTAGGGGGTTTGGGAGAAACACACACAAACGAGCATTTTCTTAGGCGCCGGTGCGGAGGACCCAGGAGAAGGCTGTGTGTTTTCGTTACGTGACAGATGGGGACGGCTTCCCGGGAGGGCCATACCGGGATCAACTTCCGAACTGTATTGTAGTGTACTACTGTACCTCTCGGACAGGCGCTTAGGCAAATCCGTCCTGGATGAAGAAGGGTGGATCTCGGGAGAAGTAGAGTACTCGACTTTGATTTTTTTGCTTCTTGGCCCGGGGTGGGCACAATAAGTCTAGATTGCCTTGTTAATGCCGTCGTGGACTAGTGTATAAGCTGATGCCGTCCTTCTCCAGGAACGGTTCTCGTTACGTCCGATACGGTGCGGAGGCTCCGCATGAATCTTCCCTAGTACCGTTTCCTTGGAACTCGTCAGCGACACGAAACTAACTTGGAATCACTGCCTTGGTGTGAGAAGTTTCTTGAAGAAAATTTTCCCTGGCTCTGGTTTTGTTACCCGCACAACCCACTTGGTTAATCGTCACCTTGGGCCCTAGTACTAGCAAACTAGGAACCACAAGGCCGCATTGGTACAGTTCACTCCAGTCTTCCCCATGGATCTCCGCTGGGAGGTAGAGTAAGTCTCCATTTCCAAGGTCTGCAACCTGCTATGTACCCTACACTATGTGGAATGCTGCAAGCACTCAAACCAGAGGGGGGAGAATATACTAGCACACTAGCGAGAGAAGAAAAAAGTCGTTACCGGAATGATCCCCGCAACGAATAATTGCGTCAGGTGGGGGGCAATCCAACCCACCACCATCCCACTGTGTGACACAGAGTCTGCTCACTGCATGGGTACGGTGAGTCAGAAGATCTCTCTCAATGTGGACAATCCAGCAAACAATGTAGCGTGTCAGTCATAATCTGCACGAAGCAAACCTATCTAAATACACTTTCGATCTCCGGCAGCAACAATCTCCACAACGGGAGATGGGTCACCCGGATCGTCCCAGGACATCCATAATATGGCCGGCTGGCGCAATGGTAGCGCGTCAGACTTCTAATCAGTTCTTCGGAGCGGATGAGATGTTATCTGAAGGCTGCGGGGTCGAGACCCGCGTTGGTCATTGACTCTTTCTTTTGATTCTTTTTGCCCTTTTTGCTTATCGAATTTGATGCTACGTGTATGCTGGCTATCTAATATTGTCCGCTTAGTGGACTTAAAAAACAATTACAACATCATCGAAACTTTAACTATTAGCATGTTTACAACCCCACTACAACCACCCTGCTATATACAGATAATAGAGTTACATCCATTACACTATGGTTATAACTTTGTCTTCCGCTTGACCGGAACATAAAAGTTGCATTATACTCGCCTTTTCATCAACAATGATAAACATTCCGACCCTCTTGAAAGAATCCTCTGCATCGCCGACCCTCTCCAAGACCACACAGTTGACACTAGCATATTGGTCAAATTCCCCAAAGGGATGATCACGGCTATAGATGAAAAAATGAACCGTGCCAATTCCCAACAGCTCTGAATCGTCCAGGGAATCCCGCCAATAAGCATTTACTCTGATGGGACGGAAACGCCCGCCCTTGGGCTTGATTAACAAACGCGCAGTGCCATCTTCGCCTTGGCGGAAGTACCACGCAGTCACCACAGGACATCTCAACTTGAGAAATCCACTGACGGCGTCCAGCGTCGGGTCCGAGTCCTTCGTTGTGACATTCACGTCCACGACCTGGACAAAGTACTCATTCGGCGTATCCTCATCTCTGACGAACAGGTACACTGGACCATCGACGGACGCCCAGGACCACGACGGTGCCCTGTATCTTCTCGACAGCCGATGCACCGGTTTGAGAACGGACCACCCGATCTGCTCCAACATCCTGGACCGCCACATGCCGGCCAAGTAAGTATCCCCCGTGACCTCCTGGAAAAGCTTCGCAACGCCGGCGAAGGCGTAAAGTCGGTCCTCCGGGAACGAGAACCTGCAACGGCAGTAGCTGTTAACCAATCCTACCCAGCTCAGGAAATCTTTATAAGACATCACGGCGCCATCTGATGAGTCAGTGTCTTTTTCGTCCCCCTCGGGCTTTTTGAACATTTCGGCCTTTTGTGAGTTGTAATGAGGGATCCCGTTAGGAAAGCCCTCGCACCTGTGTTTCTCGGAACATTCCCACATTAGCTGGTCCTCCGCGAAGTACAGCAGCCGCGGCGAGAGGAACCGCTCCTGAAACACCCATCCGCGCTGGTGGAGGGTCCCTTTGTACAGCTGGTGATTCCAGTACTCGTAGTTGAAGATGCAATGGGGGCTTAACGATTCAGTTGCCAAAGTAGAGTCGACGATGCCAGGCCTGATGGCTTCAGGGTCACGCGTGCGAAATAGGCCGCCGTCGGGGTCTCCTGATGCCGTCGCCGCAACGGTGCAGTACGAGTTGGCGTAGACGTGCCTCATCATCGGCGCTTCGGCTTCCCAGTCGTCTATTGAATCCTGTATGATACACAGACAGTCGATCCACACGTACCGAACGCCGAAACGCCGGGCGACGACAACCAGGTCGCGGAACGTCAGGGGTAGATCTGCAATTGGGTGTCCGTCGCGGAACATTGGCAAGTTTGACGATGACAGTAGGATCTTCGGTTCGGGACTCCATCGGTAGCTTAGAGTCATGTACAGCGAGCTCTGGTTTTTTGGAATGTCTTCCGCGGTGATGACGAGCCTCCATTGGCTGTCGTTTTGGAGGCTAATATCGACGAGACGCGTTGGGAGCCATCCGGGCTCCGATCTTTGAAGACTGGTACAACTTTTATGTGAAGATACGCACTCCTGAAGCCAGCTATAAGCCAAGTTCAGTGTTCTATCCGACGATGTACTGCTCTCAATTTCAGGAAACGGGTCTGGACCTAGTGGACTATCTGCAAACAACGGTCATCAGTCACGGTTATAAGCTACGAAAGCCATCTGATGGCAGACACAGAGGCAGCCAAAATCATGCGTACCGCTCATGGGACATAGTAAAAATGAGGGAGACCTGACGCCATTAGCAGCGATGAAAACGAGCATCTCGACGTATTTTCCCGTTGGAGGTAACCTCTCAAAGACCGAATAGCTCATCGTCTCCCACTCGCTTTCGTCCATGGTCTCCCACTGGCGACGATATTTCTCGACGCCATTCCACAAGTAGGAGCATATAAAACACCCTTCAGCCGCCGCGTCACGAAAGTCCGTGAAGCGCTGATTCGTGTCGACGGGCGACTCATCCCACTTGCCGTCTTTGGCCTGGACGACCTCGGTGCAGACCGAGCAGAGCCGATTCAGACGTCGGGTCGCCCCCGGCGCCGCCCTATACGGGAGGACGACGTCTTGCTGCCCTTCGTTGCTCGTTTGTAAGGCCATCGGTTATTGGTATTTGACAACGTGGACGGAAGAATCGAAATGCGCCTGCAATTGAACCCCGCTTCAAAACCCCTGTCGTATCTTTATGCAAGTGACTCCCCTGCTGACGCTAACCAATATTACTCAGATAAGCGGCTGAAAGTGAGGCCTACCGAGGTCACGTCAACTAAGATTTGGGCAAATAAAGCCACGACTAGGCCTCAGATTAAATCGATCTGGGATGTAGATGTCATAAAAAGCAGACTCGGCGTATCTTAGAAACGCTGATTTCAGACGCATCGCCTCATAGTGCTTTATTGAGGTGTTACTAGAATGAGTAATCTTGAACTAGATTTAGGAAGATCAATGAAGTAGCCAGCATCATTGAGAACGCCATGATAACAGTCAGCACTACTATTGTACGTATTTATACTGCCTTGGCAGCCGTACGTGGGGAGGTGAGCTGAATCTCGGGAATCTATCCTGTTAAGGGCTAGTTGATAACAGGTTCAACCTACACATTTCAAAGCCTATATTTCTCCAAAACTAAGCAAATGAAACTCATCCATCATTCGAAAAGATCCACACTACCAGAATGTTATTGGCTAGTGCCCCGCATGTCATATTCCTTCTGCCAAACAGCTCTTGACGGGGTAGAGACAGTAAAGACACCGTAAACCAAGCGAGACTTGTCGTCGCAGTAACAGACAGCATAGCCAATCAGACGCAACCAGCGGTGACAACAACTGGTAACACAATGACACTATATGAGCTAACTCGGGGGCAATCGCTTGCCCTGTCAATAACACTGCCAATGTGTGATGGCAACAAGAAACACGAGTGGTCGGATGCAGCACACTTTGATGGAGACGAAGAGGACAGTGAAAAAAACGAGAAAGCTACTAGCAGTTGAAAGTACCATCAAAAATTGAAAACAAATTAATGTTCAGAATATGCTGGCAAACATCTATCAAGGGTTAATCCGAAGTGATAACAAGTCACACAAAAGCTGGCCGAATTCAGAGAAACACAAAAGGCCGCTCAAGATCTTCAGATTCAAGTTCGACCAGGATAATTATCGCAAGTGGCTGAAAAGCTTCAATACTAAGCTTCCGCAGTTTCAGTCATCAACAAATCACTGAATTTTCTACGTCATATCGCGCATTCAACAAATTGTCGGGTGAGAAAGATGTCAGACAAAAGTGGGACTCTCAATTGCGGTCTAGCAATATCGCCTCACATACCCGAGTAGTGTTAGTAAGCACCGACAGGTACACCGGCCCATTGAAAGACCCAGATTCCTCTCCGAGCACCAACTGATGCTAACGTAATGCTCGCTATTCGAGCGGAAGTTGCAGTTTTTGTGTCTGATTGGCTAGTATTCAACAGACCATATACCTGTTCCGATAGTAGCTGGCGTTGCCTAGATCACGATCAGCACAAAAGCTTAGCAGGGGCGCTGAGTAACACACTCTCTCAAGTGGACTGGCTGTGGTCACTGGTATGTCAGCAACACAACATATGAGCTGATCTCCGCAATTTAGCATAGTAAACGAATAAATTAATGTAGATAGTTCGCCTTATAATTAAGTCAAAGTTTTGATTTTGCTGGCAAGCAACCAATCTGACGAGCCAGAGGTTGCAGATGCTGTGCGGAACTCCGCCGCTAGATAGGCTTGGTGGCAGAAGTACCTAGTTGTGGAGGAGGTATTAGCCAATAAATCTTTCGCAATACACACAAGCAATACCTGAGAACTAATCCTATATATTTCAGTATGAAATTTTGCGCTTCGAGCTTTTCCACTTCTAAATGTCACCATCCTACTAAAAGCCAGAACCTTACGCACCTTCCGCGCATACAAGCCTTTCACAATGGTAAGATCAACCATCAGAGTAAGAGTAGAAAAGAAAATACTGAAAACCCCACAGGTTCAAATCACTCAGACAATTCTTACCCTGGCGCTGGCTTTGTCCGCTCAAGCAGCAGCCACACCCGCTGCTGCAACGCTTCAGAAGCGCGATACCATTTCCCTCGGTGTCTTCCACGACGGCTCATGCAGAGGAGCATTCACAAACAACTTTGAAGTGTCCTCTGGTCGCTGCCAGAACTTCTCAGGCAATGTCTATGGTGCAGTTTTCAAGAACCAAGGCGGCAACGTTTGCAAGCTCAAGTTCTGGGCCAACGCTGGGTGCAGCGGCAAGGCGACAGTGGCTACTGTGAACCCTTACGAAGACCATGTCTGCGTGCCTGTCGCCAACAAAGACGGACAGTTTTATCTGGTTGATGGAGCTAGGTCTGTGTACATCACTTGCTAGTGTTTCAATACGTAACATATGGCAGTCGCCAACTTAAGCGCAGGCTTTAGTGTTTGATTATTTCCACACTTATTAGTTCGTGACCTTCATGAAGTCTCAATACAGTATTATCATAACCTTCCGATGTCTTATGGTTAGCAAATGCTCGCCAGTCACAGCTCCTGAGTAACGGAATGTAAGGCGATGTCATAATATCTGTAAATTTATCTAAGCGCCTCTAACTTTTATTTTAGCAGGCAGTGGAGGAGTAGTGCGCTAGAGAGTGCCGACTGTTGTGAATCTTCTTACATGGTCAAAAATGGCGCTTCGCATTTGCTGTTATGTAACACCCAGGAAAGCGTTTAGAGTTTCCATCAAGTCTTTCTCCTAAAGTTGTTGAAGTTGTCATCTTTTCCTCACTTGGCAATACTAACAATAAATGGGTGGTGGCAAACAGCGAACGAAAAGGATTCGTTACCACTAACGGAGTCATGATTTTACTTTTTTTTTTGAGAGACATTAACGTCCCGCACCCACATTTGGACACCCTAAAAGTATCAAGACTATTACAACCTTACTAGTCTATCTAATTAAAAATATTTAACTATAATCGTAGCATATATATAGGCAACCTTTAGAAAGATATTTCGTTGTGTCGCGACTTGCTATCGGTAGCTCTTGTCCACGAGAAACAATCGCAGCCTTACCTTGAAGCTCTCCTTCGATCCGTGCCAGAATCTGCCGTAGCTCGGGAGACAACTCATTGCTTGAGAAAGCCCCTTGGCTCGGTTACATGAGAAGTCTCGACGAAACATAGATCATACCTGTGCCATTCATGTGCGTGTCTGTCGCTCTTATTTCTGGTTGGTGTATCCGTCGTATATCTTGCAGGGCCTGTGGCGGCACGAGGTTATGCAATTCCTGGACTAGCTTCTCGAACAAATTGGCCTGCTCTGTGGGTTCTCCCTTACACCAGAAAACCCATGCCAATTTGCGTCTTCTTGGCTCGGATGACGGGCCGTGACGGGCCCACGAGTGGTAGGATCCCGGCAAGTTGTTGCCCAGCCCCGCAGTTTGGTTCGAGCGTCGTGGGGAAGCATAGCTATTGTCACAGATGAATTGACAATGAATTGTAGAAGTTCGCCCACAGCTGTAGATATGCCTTTGACGTCCAGCGTGGGATGATCATCGTCCAGCAGTCACCCTTGCACGATCCCCAAGCCATGTTGTTCAATTGCGAAAAATGTTCTTGTTCTATAGTGTTTTCCCAAGCTCATCACCCTGGAATGAGCCCGCATTCCAGTCAAACCGAACTAATTAACTACCTGCTTAGCCGGGCTGGGAACCCCCTTATTTTTATCTTGTCACTTTGGAAAGCCACAGCCAATATTTTGAGACATGAGACGAATGCTTCAACAACTCTACATTCCTCCATGCACATAACAATCACAGGAGTGAAGTCTACAGCCCTGGCATATTTACATAATCTTTACGGAAATCCTCTGCCTGGAAGGTTTGCCTGCTGTCTCTATGTCCGACCTTTTTTTCCCCCTTCACCTAGGCAGCTCTAAGTTTCTAATTGCTACAATGAGGCAAATCCCCTTTATATTGGCTTTCCTCAGCGACGTTACGTTAGGTGGCGGTGGTGGAGCTATCCCACGCGTAAACCCCGAAGAGGTGGTTCATTGTGTTACATACCTGTCGACTTATCTGGAGCAGTTGCCTATTGCGAAGACGACGAACCCGGGACTGGAGCCCTTGGCTTCCACTTCCGCCGTTCTTACGGTGCCTGGCGCAGTTCCCACTGGTCTTGGTGGACCACTGCTATCATCAACACTATCTGGGACATCAGCCCCAGGCAGTTTACTAGCAGGAAGTACTCTTTTCGGAGGCAGTCTTCCGGGCAGCACACTTTCAAGTGCTACGTCTTCCTCAAGATCATTCGCCTCGAGCCCGACGCCCTCGCCTAATGCGATAACTGGCCAAGCGGTAATTTTTCTCGTAACCCCCGCCACAGGCAACTCCAAGAGACAGGTGGAAAAGAGGGATTTGGGGGGTTTCATAAATGCTGAAGCAAGTGCAAACCCGCCAACTTGCGACCTCAGCACCGTTTTTACCCTCTCAGAGGGGCAACTGTTTGTTGGGAACCAGCCTCTCTACTACTCACCCGGGGAACCCTTCAGGCAGTTCCGCGCAGGGGGGTCTCCGCCGGCCGGTGCTATTCTCACGACCTTCACCGCCGTGGGGGGGAACTTGCAGTTTACAAATCCTTCGCTGCCTAATGGGCAGTCGGGATTTTGCCAGATTAGCGCTACGGGTCAAGTGTTTCTCACTTTCACATCAAGCCCTCCAGGCTGTGTCCCGGTCGCCATTGTAACCTACCGAGGTAAGTCGTATTATAACATGTCCAGTTGTTAAATGGTGAATTACCAGCTAACCTCTGCTAATAGCCGAGCAATGCCAAAACGGAAGAATCGTGTTAACCGGGACGTCTGAATCCAGTACCAGCTCGCCAACACAGCCCTCATTCAGCTCTGTTCTCTCCCAAACAAGCAGGCCATCTACTAGTCCTAGTAGCAATCGAGCCAGCCAACTATCTGCCGAAACATCAATCTCCACCAGTTCTACCATCGGCACAACTACAACTACAGCCACGGGGACTTCCCCTAAGCCAATTACCTCCACTTCTTCAGAGCCTCTAAGAACTAGTAGTTCCTCGGAGAGCACTAGCCAGTCATCATTACCTACATCATCCACATCATTAGATACCACCGTACCATCAACATCTTCATCCGTACCATCGGCATCCTTATCAAGTACTAGCGAGTCATTCTCATCTACATCTGCAACATCGCCGGGCTCTTCCACGAGCACTAGCGAGTCGTCAACAGAGTCCAGTTCAACCTCAATTACCACATCCACGTCTACCACACCCATGTCCACATCAACCACAACAAGTCCAACACCCTCGCCTGTTCCTAACTGTGTAGACAAGGCAGATCCCTTCACTACATTAAACGGACGCCAATTCAACAAGTACTGTAGCACGGTATATCGCGGATCACAATTGATGGGAAATAGTGGTGTTCCTAACAATTATGGAGCATGTGCCGAGGCATGCTCAGTAAATAGCCAATGCACCTCATTTCAATTTTATCAACCCTACGGAATATGTTATCAATACTCTGGGGCTCTTATTACTTCTTATTATAGTCAGTATGAGGATTCTGGTATTCTTGTCGGCGGTTAATGGAGAGAATCCTACCAATTGCATTGAGGTTTAACAAGAAGCAATGGGTAAAGCATTGCTACAATACTTACATTAGTACTAGCCTCATGAGACCCTTTTTGATAAGTTGGAGACATTCAAATTATGCGCTGAGATATGCTTGTAAGTGCTAGTCTGCACTTTAGTTGTGGCCGCCGGTACCTCGTAACGCTCATTGCATTCTTGGCCAGCCTCAGACATCGGATACAGCTGTCAACTTTACTCTGGCGCTCTCACTATAGGTTTCTTTGAGCAGCTTAAGGTTCGATGGTGTCTATTTCGGTTCTTGGTAGTAATTGAAAGTTTTGGTTTTGTCTGTTATTGACCTCAAAACGCATATGATCTGATACTAACTGCATCTGATTTCGGCACTGACTGCGAACAACTAACCAACTCGCTGCGCGACGGTCCATCTCAGAGAAAGCATTGCGGTAAACCGACGGGTATGAATATAGTCAACAACGACGAGGAGGACCAAAACATGTGGTTGTGCATGGTCTGGAACACAGTAATAAGTGTTTGAAGATATCATCCTGTGAGATTTTCACCGCTTGGAACTGGTAACACTTAGGGAAACATTTAGAGTTTCTGTTACGCTTTTCTCCTAACGGTTGGTCAAGGCACTGTCTTTTCTGATAAAATTGGCATTTGCAGATGAGGGTTAACAATAAACAGAGGGTCAAAATGGTAAGTTATCAGTAACGAAAGTTTTGTGCTATTTTTGCAGAGGCGTTGATAGCAATTTGTTTTATGAATCATAGTAGTAATTTGCTGGGATCACAAGGGTACCCGTAAACTGAGGCATCTCTTCTGAGAAAAAGTGGTGTCTGTTCTTGTATCTGATGCCTAAGGAGATGTTCCAGTAGAAGTACTGCCTGAAGTGATCGTGGAACTTATGGACGACTGTCTGGCTGCTCTGTTGGCGACGGAACCACTTCAACCCATGTTCCACTAATGCAAAATATTTACTAGTATTTACTAGCAGTATCTGCTTAATAGAGAAACAGCCTATAGTACGTTTTTTAATGACGTGCTAAAGACTAGAGCTACATTCAGTTGCTGTGGTGTAGAGCACAATTGCTGGCCGGCAATTGTGGATCCCTGTGACAGTTGCGAACTACTTTTAGTAGTTATTAGGACAACGGAGAAGAGTAGACGACGCGTCTACTCGGCGGCCACATCCGTGATTTCCCATTGAGTAGCAAATGCCATGAGCACCTGGGCAATTGAATTAGCTTGTTGTATTCAGGAAAGAAGTCCATGGCAAAATCGACGTACTGGCACCACCTGGGTCGCTGTTGTCATGCATGATATGAGCCTCGTAAGGAGTGACGGTAGGCGGGGAACAGGTTCTTCCTGAGTTGATGTCGATGTGCTCCGTCTACATAATTATCATTAGTGGTTGTCTGAGGTTAATCCCCCCTCTATTACTTACAACGATAACACCCTTGTCGACACGGAAATGGGGCCGCTCCCAAAGGAAACAGACGTTGAAAGGACCACAAGTGCCAGAGTAGGTAATGCCAGTAGTAACGCTAACATGTATTATTAGCCTTCGGAAAAAAAGAAAAAAAGTACTCCTCAGGGACGTTTAGTGATGCCACTTACGAGTTTGGAGAGTGTGAGACCGAAAGACTAAACGTGCTGAGGAATGTAGATATCGCTTTGGTCCATCCCTTGCCAAACTAGCGGATGAATTAGCAAAGATCTTGTCTGACGGAGAAGGAAAATGAGATTACCCCAGGAATATTCCCGGAACCACCGATCGTAACACCAGAAGTATGTGTCACTGACACTGTTTTACTAATGGAGCCGGATCCACATTGCGCATCCGATACATAATGGTAATATCCGTATACATTGTTGTTGCGTGTCTGTAGGACGCCGCGCGAAATGAGGTTGGTGCAATAGCTCGCGCATCGTGCGCTGTTGTCGTAGAAGCACGCATCGGGGAAATCCCGCTTAGCAACATGGGCGGGAGCTTGTATAATAGCATCGGGATTTCCTTCATGCGCAATAAGAGAAGCGCTATGCTCAGAAATTAGCAAACGTCTTATGACAGAAGCGTCTATAAAGTAACCATACCGGTATGCTTTAACCTCTTCGTCTGAAGGAACGAATTTGCCATCCGCATCAACGAACTGCGGAAGGCCCATGAAGTGCTCTTTGAATTGCTCTAGACTGAGGGCAGAGATGTTGAAATCTTGATAAGTCACTTGCTGGCCGTCCACTGTCATTTGCTTCTCCAGCATTGGGACATCTGCGTAAAGAGAACCATCGGGTGCCCATTGTTGATAATCAAAAGGATTGTAAGGCTCGAAACTTTCGTTACTGCCGTTAATGACTTTGAGAAACAGTGGAGTGCTGGCTTCTTGGGTAGCCTCTGAAGTTGCTGTCGGGAAGCCGTGCACTTGGCAAAGGGCCAAGGCCAAAGCCACAATGGAGAAGTAAACCATATCAAACAGATGATAGAGATGTGAAATTGAATTGCTTTCTTATTAAAAATCTCTATGAGAAAGATGTTCTGTATTTAACTAGATCTTTTACTACTATTCATTCAGTGGTATCTGTACTCGGCACGTCGTTGCCGTTGCGACTAAGGATTCGTCGGAACTTGGTTGCCGTTTATATTATCAACCGACCCGCTTGTAAGACTAATACAATCCTTAAAGGTGCCTTGACCAGCCTAACGCCCCTAACCAAAGTTTATCTCCTGTAACAGACTAGCCTTTACATTGCACCATAGTGAGAATACGACTAGGAGTACTCTTAATCTCAAAACCCCTCACATGAAAACTACGAGATAACGGACGGGGTCAAAAACTTGAATGACTCGAATCGTAGTCCAGCTGACCATAGCTCCTCACCCACCTAGGCATTATAAACATAACATTTACAAGCTTATTGGTAGATTCGTGGAGATAAAGAGAGCTATGATTAATTAAAGTGCATCATAAGCTGACTCGTCTCTATGTTGAGCAACATTAATAGCTCAATTTCTGGGATAACCAGTGGTGCCTGTCTACCAGGTCGGTGAATCTTCCACTGATTCATGTTATCCAGAGTTCGATAATTCGGAAATGAATGATTTCAGCAGGCAAATTACCTCGAGTTAGACATGATCCATCAGCTGACTCCCAACATCATTGTGTCAGTAAATTGTGTAAGATGACAGGCAACGGGGCTTACCTAGGTAGTTTGGGCGGCTATGTAAACTACAAATCTCCCACGAGGCTTTAAGTGCCAGAAACTAGACATAGCCATCAGACCCAAATCTATGCAAGACACTTCCAGACACAATCTTTCAAAATCTTCTCTCAGTATGGTTTCTCTCTCCTTTCTGGTGCCTAACTTCAAGGCTGCCTCCCGTTCAATCACCTTGGCCATCTTGCTTGGATTGGTTGATAGTGCTATTGCAGCTGTGCAATGTGATACGATCAACTGGGATACCTGTGGTGAGGCTGCACACCGCCACAAACTACCGACTAGTGTAGGGTCGACATATTACGTGGACGGCTTTCATGGTGGTGTTATGCATGCCAAATTTCAATCCATGACACAGTCTGTTTCCGGGTAGGTCTCTGGTTCTGCTGTTCTTTTAAGAATGATTTGTTGACCATCCATTTGCTAGCAACTCCGAATACCACGACATAACGTACAACTTTAATCTCGGCGATTATGATGGCACCTACTGGGTTATCCTCCCATCGCCTTTCGGAGACGCCAACACATGCTATGCGGTCTATAAAAATTGCGACGTCACCATCAAGTTCTGGAATCTGCCAGTTCCAACTTGGTACCAACTGGCATGATTGAATTACGTGTAAGTGAGTGTAGCTTGGTCGAAAGCAATCGTATATTGACTTTGCTCCTTTGCTCAGGTTCATTTTTACAACATGCATGTAACTTAAATACTCCCTTCTTCTTGTAGAGGGAATTCTAAGTTTGTAGCCTCTGCTAGATTACATACATCATTTGAGTTTCCATTAGTCATGGCAGTTAATAAAGAGACTTTCGAACGGTGTCTAGGTGCCCTGTATGCTTATGCAACCTTATTAAGAAGGTTAATAACTTAAGTGAAACTTATCTGGGCAAAACTGTAAATTCGAAAACCCTCAATCGCAAGTAGGAAAACACATTGGCGAAACGAACAAATGGTGAATGGCTGATTGCTTGGCGCTCATTATTCAATCAGACAGGCCCCACTGTTTTGGTGGTGCTGCTCTAATTTGACTTTGAAACCGACCATTGTTAGCTTATCATTAGGAGAGCTAAAATGATCTCGCGGTTTTTGAGGGGTGTCATCGCATGTCAGCGGTAGGAGAGGTGGAGGTGGCATTGATTTCGAAAATAACCAGGAATACTACCAACTCTCTCCCCGTTGAGGATCTGCAAGCGGTTGGAAACTTGTACTATATCAAAGTTTTTAGAACTCGCCATCTTCAAAATCGATGCAACAGATTCGACTCACACAACTAGCCTAGCGACGTTCCATGATAAAAACCAGTTCGTACTTGCGCTGGGAAATGGGAGAGTGTACGTGAAATTCAAAGGACTCAAATTGAAACCTGCTTCAGAGAAGGCACGGTTTTCTAGTTTAAAAGTTGCCATGTCTTCGCTGGTTCTGGACCAGGCTGAGGGGTCGTTTGTTGTTGGCGCTACCTTCGTAAATAACGTTTTAAGTTGTTCCGTGCCGAGGACCATACATCCCGCTGTGCTGACAGAGAGACATGGGTGCCTCCTCAGCTAGCGTGCCTTCAATGCAGGAGACTTTTGTTCGTGGCTTTGATTGGCCTAGGAACAACAAGCGGTGGCCTTTTGCTTGGGTGATGTCGGTGTCTCAGGTTACGCAGCATCTTGGCAGAGAGAGCCTTGTCTGCCTGGCACTCTATATAAGTATGGCTAGGTTCGCATCTCTCTCCGTCGGCGAGAAAATGTTAAAACTTCGCTGGATTCTCTCGATCACATGGCTAGATCTGTTGAAATGCAGCCGCTTCTTAGTGAACCCTCTGCCGGCTTCCGCCAGAACCAAGGCTTCATGGATGCGCCACGAGCAGACCGACGGCTGCAAGGCTGGGCTGGTCCGAACTTTCGAGATTTCACATCTGACGACATCGGTGCCTCAGTTGATTTTGGCAGGCAGAGGAGTGGCGTTCGACTCCCTTCCCAGAACTATCAACCCATAACCGAAATACCACACGCTGTGTCTGATGTCCCTGCAGCCACTCAACTCAGACGTCCAGAGACAGAACAGGACTGGGAGGACCAGCGAGCTCGGATCACCGAGCTCTATTGGGAACAAGACAAGGACTTGAACGATGTAATCGAAATAATGCAACAGCAGTATCGATTTCTTGCTACGTAGGCTCCCTTTGCTGCTCTCTTTCCAAGTGTTTTGAGATACTTGTGTGGACGTCGCGGCCTAACAGCTTGGCAGCCAGAAGCAGTACAAACTGAGGATCAAACGCTGGAAAATCGAAAAGAACATAAAGACATCAGAGTCGCAAGCCATGATACGAATCCAAAAGCAACGACAGGAACACGAGGGAAGATCCACAACCTTTATCCTGAGAAAGCGGAAAGTCCCACCAGAGAAAATTGACCGATTTGCCAAGAGACAAAAGCGATGTGAAGATGGAGCTTCGCCAGTTTCGGGTAAGAAATGCAGCTTTTAATATTGCCGCTCTGATCACTGACCCACCCAGTGCCAACTCCTGCCGACCTCACGTATCATACACCCCCCCAACTCGATGTCATGAAGAGCCCTTCGATAGGACTTTCACCTCACCCATTGGACGTCCCTGTGGCGCTTGATTCGTTCCCGCCGGTATCAAATGTTCCTACACCAGTCGCAAGCCCAGGTCGAGGATGGTACGACGCGACGGAATTCAATTTCCAAATTCCGAATGTCCACCCTGAGATTGTGTGGAAGCAGAGTATGAACTTATCTGTCAGAGCTTCTTCCCCTCCGCCGCACCTTGTACAACCTTGGATTTTACTCCCTGAACATATCAACGACACCAGCCACTTCGTTCAAAGCCCCACGTCTCACACCTTCGATCCGACAACGACTGGGGGTCTGCAATTGGTCCACCGGTCCCCACGGGTTGACCCGGAGTACATCAACGTTGAGCTTTCCGGTAAATTGAGCCATTCAAATCTATCAGAATCTTTCGAAACGGCTCCATACCACATCCCAATCTCGCAGTCATGGGTCGGATCCTCTCATGTCAATGCGGCCTTTACAGTGTCACGCCAAGAGTTTAGACCAAACAAGACTATAGCGAAGGGCACAGTAGGGGAGCTTCCGACAATTTATGAATCTCGACCAACTGACGTTATGAAGGCTTCTGGCCGCGGCTTACCAGAACCAATGTCTGCGGCAAAGCTAAGACAACACGCCAGTAATGACGACCACGACGAGCCTTCCCCAGCGGCAAAACCACACCTGGACAACGGCTCACTCACCATGTCCTTCAAACCATGTCACAAAATAGATGGCGGAGCTTCACTTCTTGAAATTCTAAGTCACGAGTCTCAGGCGAAATCCAGCATGGACATGGTAAAGGAATTATCAAACACCGTGGCGCAACCTGTAATTGCAACGTCACAACCCATCGTTTCCGAAGGGTCGGCACCGGAATCTGAGGCCACTGACCTCGTCGACATGCCAAAGGCTGTTTACAAGGACTCTGAGATGGATCCAGGGACGCCAACAGGACACGCGACGCCGCTACGCCAGGGGTTACATCCTGGGTCAAATAATTACGGGAGTAGTCATGACGACATCAATGAAATGGACGCGAGCAGAGCCATCGCAAACGACTCTCCCGCGTCTTCAAGAACAGGCTCCGACGTCTATGCCACACCCATGAGTTTCGCAGTCGAAGATTCCGCCACTGATTCGGAGCCAGAATCTGACGACTACGAAACCCCAATGAATATTATCATGGAAGACTCTTCCAACAGTTCCGAGCCAGACGTTGACAACTATAACACACCAATGGATTCTACTATCGTCGACAAAATCATCACTTCAGAGCCAGAGCTATACTCTGACGACCAACCTACACCAAAGAATATTGCCGTCGAGCATTCGTCTCCCTTTTCAGAGTCTGCATATGCGACACCAATGGAGATTGCAATTATCGACTCAGTTACTGTTTCAGATAAATTCTTCGATGATGAGATCCTCCCAATCGACGTCATAGAGTACCAACATTCAGTGAGACTTACCGCAACTGCTCGCATTCCGGGTGAGCCCATCGAAGCCATAGAAAGGCGGTTACGATTCGCGGCGAAGGTTGGCGACCTCAAGTCTGTGGAAGAGCTTCTGCATCGAGGGGCAAATATTGATGCACGGTCCAATACCGGAATGTCAGCTCTCCACCTAGCAGCGTACAACGGTCATCACGACGTGTTGGCATTTCTCTTGGATGAGGGAGCAAAGTTGAACACAGTAGACGCGGAAATGGAAATTCGCCTGACTGGCCGAAATGTGATGATTCCAAATCCTCATCCCATTCATCTCGCTGCTCTGAGAGGACACCGGCAATGCACCAACATTGTCTTGGAGAAAACGGTTTCTTGGGCGGTCCCTGATCTCGAGGGCCGTGATGATAATTTTGTGGACCTGTTGGAAATAGCTGTTGAAAGCAACCATGTACAACTTGCAGCATTCGTCATTCAATTACGAGGAGACAAGTGGTGGGAGGAGTTTGATCTTGACCCTGTCCGCACGGCTGCACACAACGGTTCATTGCCGTTGGTCTCACTTTTTCTGGATCGTGGAATGCCACCAAACATGGTTTTTGAAGAGGACATCAGTTCTCTCTGGATCGCATTAGCTAGGGGACATCGACCTATTGTCGATCATCTTCTTAAACATGATGCTGAAGTCAACCGTCGTGATCGTAATGGCGTGAGTCCGTTGGACGCCGCGATTGCGCAAGGTCATGGAGAAATTGCCAAAAGTCTACTCGACAAGGGTGCTTGGGTCAATGGTGAATTCCTGTTTTTGTTCCAGTCTCGATATCTCCGTGGAGAAGGGCGACTCCAGTATGGTTCAATTGCTACTAGCACACGGATCGAACCCCAATGTTAACGCGGAGGCTAACGGGGTGGACCGTCTCGAAGATTATACAGAATCTATCTTTGAATTACTCGACGCCCTACAAATCAAGATGGACGATAATTACCGGACCCCTTTACACTTGGCAGTTGGTAAAGGACGCGAGGATATTGTAAGCATCTTGCTCCAAAACGGCGCAAGTCCAGCTTTCGCCCGGGAGAAGGGTCTCATTTCGCCGATACAAATGGCTGCCAAACGAGGGCATGCGGGCATACTACAAACTTTTCTCAACTTTACTGCGGACGCATCTTGGACGCCATTGGAAGTTGCCACGTTCAAAGGTTGCGCTGCCACAGTAAAAGTCTTGCTTAGAAATGGGTCGGATCCAAATCTCTACGGAAATAGTCGCCAACCTCCTTTGCACACAGCCATCGACCATGATTTCTTGGACATCGCAGGGCTGCTTCTCGAAAACGGTGCTGATGTGAATGATCTCAGCTCATCTCATCAGACACCCTTAGAAATTGCCGTTTCTAATAAATCCTACAACACGGTCAAACTTTTGCTTCAAAAAGGGGCGGATCCAAGCGCTTTTGGAAACAATCGCCAAACCCCCTTGCACATAGCCATCGGCCACGATTCCTGGAACATCGCAGAACTGCTTCTCGAACACGGTGCTGATCCCAATCGTCTCGACTCGTCTGGTCATTCTCCGTTTCATAACGCTATCATGTTAGGCAACAGTATGATGGTAAACTTGCTGCTTGATGACAACGCCGACGTGAATGTACATACCGGAAAAGGGCTTTCAGTCCTCGACCTTGCCCTTGCTAAAGAATCATATTGCTCCTCGAAGATTATCCTCCCTATTCTACTCGACTATGATGCTGACCCTGCATTTTTATTGCCATGCACCGCTGCCATGGGTGTCAAAACGGCTGTCTTGGATAACCTGGTTGAATCTTTTGCGCTATGGGACTTGGGGCTATTGGAGTTGCAAAGTTGGCATCTTATGCATTTAGCATCTGGCGTAGGGAACGAACGCGTTCTGAAGTCATTGCTTCAATCTGCCAAGAGTAATCAATATCTGATACGCATCAAATCAACCACTCAAAGGAAAGAGACGCCACTTCACGTCGCCGCACGTGCCGGCCATTTAGGGGCCGTGAGGCTACTTGCCAACGCTGACAGACCGGTCACTCGCATTGTGGACGCGAATTTAGACACCGCTCTTCACGTTGCTGTAAAAAGCTCCCACCTAGACATCACAGAGGAGCTGTTTCGACTTGGAGGAATTGCCTACCAGTTCACGTATAAGAACCAGGAGTTGAAACTGCCAAATCATGTTTCCGCTATTATTCAATCATCTCCTCTAGCGAAAAATCTACTAGAACTTCTGTTCTCTAGTGCATTATACCTGAGGGATCATGGCCCAAGAAAAGACCAGACGGGAATCGGAATTCATGTCAAGAACCGCTCCGCTGCCATCTGGATTCTGTGTAAAAAGCATGATGACGGGGCTTTGGAGAATGAATGGCTGAGGCTACTGGAGATCTCGTTGAATGAAGGCGACGAAGCTTTGTTCAAAATGCTGGTAGAGATCTTGCCAGACATGGAAGCTGTTAAACACGGCCTAGATAAGCGGATGCTGTCTTGGTTTATGCCCATCTACGACGTTTCCGAGAATTCATGGCGCATGTGCAGAGCAGTCGAGGCTTTTGCGGAGAAGAAAGTTGATTTGTTCTGTCATACGGCGCGAAGTGGATGGAACATGTTGACGAGGGCGGCGTTTTGGGGAGACAAGGCAATGGTTGAATTGGGATTTAAGTTTGGAGCTCTCGTCGATAAGACTGACGGTGGTGGGCGGACAGCATACGATGTAGCAGTTGAGAGGAAGCACATGGGGGTGCAAGAGCTTCTTATTAAGGCCAGGGTAATGCCGCTCCGTGAATAAGCTGGAGTCTCTGAGTTGATCCACGGTGTTGGAAGCAACGTAAGCTCGGAGCTTGAATCGGATATGCATGTTCTTTGGCGTTTTTTTGAGATACCCATCACTCATGTTCTGATAGCAAAACATTGGTAACACTTTCTGACGATGAGTGTTACTAATTTACGAATGATGACCATGCCGACAAGATAAACTTCCTACATGGGTCTACTCTAGAACACCTTCCTCTCTACTCTAGAACGCCTTCCTCCCTACTCTTTGTACTCTTTGTATATACCGTAATTTTAACCTTCAGACGATTTCCATCTGCGCTTGCGACCGCACCAACAATCCTGGACCCCGACTGAATAATTGCAACCGGCCCTGATAAGTTAGACGACAAGCTCTGCAGAAATCCTTCCTGGCAGCCGAGCTGTGCATGCATTGTATCAATGGTCTCGGTTTTTGGTACTGGAACCAGGTCGCAGTGCCATCCCCTTAACTTTGTCCAATCTTCCATGGAAATTAGATGTGATCCATCGGGAGTCTGATATAGTCTGCCTGGCATCGTTTCCAACTCGATGCCAACTAGTAAAACAATACTTGGCAACGCGCCCAGTCCTTTTCTCTCACCAAATTCTATAATGAAAGCCCAAACGCAATCAAAACCGAGTGGCTGCAATAAATTGGAACCATTACCGGTAAAAGAAAAAGCGTAAGGTAGTTTTGCTCGCCATGATCCTTTAAAGGCTGAGCTGGGGTAGGCGCGTATGATTTTCTCAGGAACGTTTGTGCCAATATAGTCGAATTCTACCTCTCCCCTTCCATACCAAATATTCGATGCTGTTGGTATTGATTGACTACTATTGTTTTCGACGGTGGAGGGAGTCGCCCGAAGATATATAGAACTTGGTTCAAATTGTTGCAGCATGTTTTCTGGAACCAAGTAAAGCCATTGGGGCCGCATTCTAGCAGCTTTTGTGCCCTTTTCCAGAGCCTTGCCTTCCTTTTTCAGCCCTATGCAAATTCCGTAACTCAAATCGCCAAACCTAATATTTAAAGATGTCCAAGCAAGCCATTCGTGTTCATCAGATACCACGCTAGGAAGCATGTTAAGCAGCATTGTGATTAAGATGCCGCGAGCAGACATTATCGGAGAGTCAAAGGCGAAGATGTGAGTTCGTCCCTCGATGTCAGAATAGGTTGGGTTGTCGTCTTGGTAAATGTTGTCTTCTATCAGCTTTCGATTTGGTATCAGGATATTTTCCGGTTTGTCGAATAGCTTGAATGTATGCTGAAAAATGAGGCCTTTCGGAATATTTTCCACCTCCAATGTAGGGCAAAACCGGCGACTAAATCTCAAGTCCGTGAAATCCTTTGGCTCCGCAGCAAAAACTGATGTATCCCTTGCTCCTATGTTTGGAAAGAGGAATGAAGACCATAGCAACAAGCTGTAATCCTCCGTCTGGTTAAAGATTTCTTCCTGTAGGCGTTGAAAAGCACGGTTTCCTTCTCCGTAAAGCAACGGCATATTTATATCAAATATGCCAAGCAAACAGTAAGCCATGTCTTCGGTGCGAGTTGTAGTTCTTCCAGCCGCCCATTGCATCCTTGTCCGAACAGAAAAACCTTTCAACGAATTGCCCTCCAGGGCCAGTTGACTGATCTGGGTGACATCTTCCAGTAAGCTCGCAAGGTCATGTTTCGTACCTATCAGGGACCAGTCGGAGGCGTGAAATGATACTAGACGAGGGGCTAACAACTCCTGGAGTGTCCATCCTCGGGAGAACCAGCGACTGGACGTGAAAGAGCCCCATCCGTTCTTCAGGGCCGAAAACTCGTCCCCAGCAAACATTTTCGAAGTCATCATCTTTAAAAACGGTGCCTCGACAAAATATGGAACGTCCGCCAAGTATGCGAAGCAGATGCTAGCTTGCTGATACCATTGAAACATGGAGTTGATAGCCTCGGAAAGCTCTGCGCTTGAGGACTTGTCAATGCAACAGGTGTCAACCCACACCCAATCGAATCCATGGCTGAGAGCTAACTTGCAGCACCCTGCAATTTTCCTGTAACCCTCTTTGAGCTGAGTCTGAGGACTGTCGTGGACCATTTCTTGATACACTACCTCTTCCGAGCCCCATGTATGTGATAGAATAGCATAGGCAGGTGCATGAGAGGCAAACTCTTGTAGCTTCAGAGTTCTTGTGTTTAACAGACGCATCTTGAAGAATGGGGGCGTAGTCAGAGTTTAGCTGAGAGTTTGACATATCGCAACTCTCAGCGGTGTCTGAAATGGTTAGACTTGTTGAGCAGCGGGCCGTGGAAGATGTCGTGAGGGAATTCCAATCAGGCTGAGGCTCTTGCGGGCCACCACGTGATAAATCCGGGTTCTTTTCTGGGGTGGGTGGCTTGTCTTGTTATCTTTTCGCTTAAGCACTTGGCTGCCACATCATTCGCGAATGTGATTTGCTTGCATCGGCCGTTCGGCTTGTCACATTTCTGCCCAACTTGTTGGTTTATATCCGTCCACCTTTCAGCTCTCAAGGATGAAGGTAACACTGCATCTTAAAATGAGAGTGAGTAAGCGGCAGACTCTTGAATGAACGGTAAAGCACTTTTCAATACATGGATAATGGGGTTTAGGTCGCTCTTCGTGGCCATGAAATATTCGCCTCTCCACCCCACGAAGAGCAAGTGGTATGGGCATGATCTGATTATTCGCAGTCGAATTTAAAGTGTAGACTCCCCACTCGGGGATGAATTGAACGGAACCATTTGTTTAGAGGATTCTAGTACGGATAGGCCACTTCGGATTTTCACTGGCCGAGCTTTCTTCCGGTCCAATTCTCCAACCTGTTCCTGAGCTAATACTACCATCTTTGGCCCGGCCATTTCGTTAAAAACAGTTAGGCGAGGTGGCCAGAGTTGCATTTCCCCTCACTTATACTGCACCCCCAAGCAGTTTGTAAGCCCAGGTTGCATCGACCAGCCCGCAATCCAGACCGACATAGGTTTGACTCCCATGCACGATGCTCTCTTGGCCACACCAAAGTCATCTTCTTACTGGTCGCATTTATCGAAATATGGATTCAATCGTTGCTGGAAGTGAACCATGGTATGCACTTTGCAGGAGGAATGAAGTCTGGCGAATAGGCGCTGTGGCATGGTGAAATGGACCGGGATCCGATCAGAGCCTGCTTCGCGGAAACGGGAGGTCAATCGACTGACTATATATTGCAGGAGGAGAATGTCAATCTCCCGACCCTCCTAGGAAGGACGCAGCGGCATTGGCACCCATTGTCACTGACATTGCTTTCACCATGAGATCCCTGACTGTGACCGGTTGGCTCCAAGCTGGCCTTGCCGCATTGTCGATTGTGCCCACCTCTTTGGCCCATCCTGTTTCTTCAGGCGACATTCTTCGTCGCTCAGAGATTAGCAAGGACGAACTTCTTGACAGTTATGATTTTATCGTTGTCGGCGGCGGCCAGGCTGGCACCGTCATTGCCACCCGTCTCACCGAGAACCCGGACATTAGCGTCCTAGTCGTCGAGTTCGGCTACTTCAACAATGATCCTTCACATCTCGGTCCCAACGGTTTCGACTTTTCTAATATGGAGTTCCGTTATAATATCTCGTCGGCGCCACAGAAGGGCCTGAACGGCCGCTCCATTGGCATTTTCGCCGCCTGCTGCGTCGGCGGCGGCTCCACCATCAACGGCATGATGCTGAATCGCGGCTCTGCAGCCGACTACGACGCCTGGGAAGAGCTCGGCAACGATGGATGGGGCTGGGACGACTTGTACCCGTACTTTGTCAAGCACAGTCACTTTGACGCGCCGTCCGAGGCCGCCGTGAAGGAGTACGGCATGACATGGGGCGAGGAATCCTACGGCGACGGGCCCATTCACCAGAGCTTCTCTTCCTGGCAATGGCCCGGCACACTCATTCAGAGGAAAGGAATGATCGCAGCAGGTGCCGAACCTAACATTGACGGCTCCGGAGGTGATGCCCACGGCTTGATCTGGTATCCCACGGCATTGGACAATGCGACGGCGGCGCGATCGTACGCCGTAAACGGATATTATAAGCCAGCGGCTGGACGGTCTAACCTGCACGTTTTGACCGGCTGGCGCGTGGATGAGATCCAGATCGACGAGTACAAGAGGGCCACTGGCGTGAAGTTGACCAAGAGAGACAACCTCGATCAGTCCAAGCCCGAGACGGCAAAGGCGAGCTCCAAGAGAGAGATCATCGTCACCGCCGGCGCTGTTCACACCCCTCAAGTCCTCCAGCGCAGTGGAATCGGGCCAAAGTGGCTGCTGGATGAGGCCGGCATCGAGGTCTTGGTCGACCTCCCTGGCGTTGGTTCCAACCTTCAAGATCACGCGAACGTCCAATCAAACTTTGACTGTAAGTGAAGTAGATGCAGACCTCATTTTACAATGTGTGCCGGATAATAACCTTGCCGTACAGACAAAACCAATGTCCTTCCCAACCCGGCCGTGTCCCTTACGGATCCCGAGTTCGCCGAGTGGGCTAGAAAGGAGTTCGAGGAGCATCGCTCCGGCCCTCTCCGCATCGGCACCGGTAACACGGGCGGTCTGGTTCCGTTTCCAGTGGTTGACCCTGAGAACTTCGCGGCCATCACAGAGGAATACCTGGCACAGAACGCGGCCGAGTTTCTCCCAGAAACGTATTCTGCAGAGCAGTTGGCGGGGTATGAGGCGATGCGCAAGGTGCAGGCCAAGCAGCTGACGACACCCGACAACGCCTGGCTTGAGGTGCCCCTGACGGCCTCCACGTCGTTGTCGACGGTGCTGATGAAGTGCGTCAGCCGCGGGACCGTGTTGCTCAACACTACAGACATCTACGCTGCGCCCATCCTCAACTACAATACCCTTGTCAACCCCATCGACGTCAAGATCCTGACTAGCCATGTACGTTTTGTGCGCCGCATGCATGAGACGGAGGAGATGAAGCAGCTTGGTCCTGTGCCGGTTTCGCCTGGCCCCGACGTCAAGACCGACGAGCAGATTGAGACTTTCCTCCGCGCGTCAACTGGAAGCAGCATTGCGCATAATGTAGGCTCGGCGGTCATGATGCCTCGCGAGCTGGGCGGTGTCGTTGATGCGCAGCTCAAGGTCTACGGTGTCAGGGGTCTCAGCGTCGCTGATGCGTCCATCATGCCACTTGTGCCGGTAGGTGTCCCGAACAACACAAACATGTTGCTTGCTAATTTTTAAATAGGCTACACACACTTGCAGCACTGTCTACGCTATTGCTGAGAAGGTAAGCATCATCGTCAATGTGAACTGGCGGGATAAGAGAATGCTAATTCCGCGTGACACAGGCCGCAGATATCATCAAGAAGAGGCACTGCATAAGCTAGAGGAAATGTAATGCATGGGAGGTGGCATATTCTATAAGTTGTGCCTGCTTTCCAATGATGGTTGGAATAAACCAATCCGTAAACGTGAATAGCGACTACCTTACTTATATGAAGACACTGATGCCAACCTGAGTTCCATAGCCGTGTTGAGTCCATTTCATTATTTCCAAGAATTGGCCTGTTGCGACAGACACTGAACAGCATGGACTGTGAAGATATGTATTTGAGAGTCAGATTAAAGGTGAACTTGCATATAATTTCGGACATTTCTTGGATGGCATTGTGACTTTGTACCGCAAAAAGTAGCCTGTACATCTCGCCGTAGATAAGAACCGAATAGTTGGTTAAGGACTTGTTTTTGTTGCATGTGAATACAATATGTCTTACTGAGCTGTTTGAGTTCACTTATGCTGAGGCTGATTCTCGTCACTCCGAAAACGGTGATTAAGATTCAGCTCGGCTTCTCTCACCGAAGTTGCCATTCCGTTTAGCTTGTGTTACAAACAACGGTTTGTTTCTTATTCATTATGAAAGCTATACTGATAAATACCATTTTTGCAACATGAATTATAGAATTCCTTACAGATGAAATCATTATAGTTGATTCATCTAATTTCTCTCACATTTTACTGATGAGAACTGATAAGCCAAAGCCTATGGACCTGAGTCAGACACTGGTTTCAACGCCGATAACGTACGGTTTGTAACACGTACCACTGGACGATTGCGGTAACGGCCTGGACCGTAAGTGGACCAGAGCCCCGCTTAGCGCGATGGCATCATCAAATGAGAAATCTCACCTTCCAAAACGGAGTCTCGATAAGACAGCGAAATTTCTTTCTCTCCCACACTTCCGTTCGACGACTTCTTTTTTTGTGTGATTTCTTTACCAGCCAGCCATGGCCCAGAGCCGCATGAACCTGTGATCGACGTAGCATAATTACAGTCCTGCTTTGATGAAGTGAAATTCTAGTTGGATCTTCTCGTCGCTGCTCTTCTGTTTATCTACGCCCGCGATCTCATTACATAATCTGGTTCTGCTTGTCGCCGAAAAAAAAACAAAACCCTTGCATAAAGGCACAAGAACGGTTTATCGAGTCTTCTTATCTCGGTCAGCTTTGCTTCACCTCGCGTCTCGCTATTGATAAACACCGTGGTGGAGGCCACAGCAAAGTTCAAAGCCAAAGAAGAACACAATGAGTCCCAGCTCCGAGACCATTCCATTTCCCGGCGCCAAGTCGCCCGGCATCACCGATGTCACCCGGCACGCCTGGGTTACTTCGGACGACCTCGAGGCCGTCTCGAGTCCCCGTGGAGGTCCGTTTGAACCCCATGACGATCACAATGGCGACTTCGTTACCACCACCGAGAACCGCGACTTGAAGCGCGGCCTCGAGCAGCGCCATTTGTCCATGCTGGGTATCGCTGGTGCTATCGGAACCGGTCTCTTCCTCGGTCTCGGCGGGGCTATCCAGACTGGCGGTCCGCTCGGTGCCCTCCTTGGCTACGCCACCATCGGCCTGATCGTCTGCGCCGTGCAGTTCGCTCTCGGTGAGGTCTCCGCCTTGCTGCCCGTCACCGGTTCCTTCGTCAGACACTCCGAGTTCCTTGTCGATCCCGCCCTCGGCTTCGCCATTGGTTGGAACCTGGTCTACGGTAACATCCTGTCGATCCCCTCCGAGATCACCGCCATCTGCGTCCTCTTCCAGTTCTGGACCGACCTCAACCCGTCCGTCTTCATCGTCATCTTCATTGTTCTCACCTTCGTCGTCGGCATCGCCTTCGTCCGTGTTTTCGGTGAGGTCGAGTTCGTCTTCGCCCTCCTCAAGATTCTCCTCGTCATTTTCCTCATCATCCTGGGTCTCGTCATCGACCTCGGCGGTGTCCCCGGCACCCCGCGCATCGGCTTCAGGTACTGGCAGGACCCGGGCCCGTTCGTGGAGCACATCGCCACGGGTAACTGGGGCAAGTTCCTCGGCTACTGGGGTGTCATGACGAGCGCCGTCTTCTCCTTTGCCGGTGTCGAGTCGTTGGCCATGGCCGCCGCTGAGACGCAGAACCCTCGCCGCGCCATCCCCCGCGCTTGCAAGCGTGTCTTTGCGCGTATCGTCCTTTTCTACATGCTCGCTGTCCTGGTTGTCGGTATGCTCGTCGCCAGCAACGACCCCCGCCTCGACGACGCCTACGGCACCGCCGCGCAGAGCCCCTTCGTCATCGCCGCTTCCGCTGCCGGTATTCCCGCCATCCCCAGCGTCGTCAATGCTGTCGTCATCACCTCGGCATGGTCCGCGTCCAACCAGAGTCTGCTTGCCGGTACTCGTGTCCTGTTCGGTCTCGCTTTGAAGGGCCAGGCTCCCAAGATCTTCCTCCGCACGACAAGCTGGGGTACCCCGTACGTCTGCGTGCTTCTGTTCACGGCGTTCATGTTCCTCAGCTTTATGAGCTTGTCCAACGGTGCTCTGACCGTTTTCTGGTGGCTGGTGGACCTGACTGCGGCCGGCGTTCTGGTTTCTTGGTCGGCCATCCTGTTGAACCATATCCGCCTCAAGACGGCTATGAAGAAGCAGAACATTCCGACGAGCAGGTTGCCCTGGAACAACTCTTGGACTAGTAAGTGATGCCTTCAATCTTGAGCTCCTCAGTTTTACTAACACCCATTATAGTCTACAGCTCCAGCTTTGCACTTTTCATGTGCATCATCATCCTCCTCACCAGTGGCTTTGAGGTTTTTACCAAGGGTAACTGGAGCGCCAGTGGCTTCGTCTCTTCCTACCTGTAAGTTTCAACAGCCCTCGCCATAACTTGGCCCTTAGTGTGCATACTAACATGCCTCTCAGTGATATCCCCTTGGTTCTGGGTGCCTACCTCATTTACAAGTTCGTCAAGAAGACCAAGGTCGTCTCCCTGGATAGCATCCCGCTCCATGACGCCTTTGAGCAAGCCGATGCGTTCCCCGAGGAGCCCGAGGAGAAAAAGACCGGTCCCATTCGCTTTGTGAGCTGGATCTGGGAGTAACTCCAGCTGCTCAACCTGTGCTATTTTGATACCCGGCCAATTTAAGGCTTTTTAATTACTGTATACATACTTAACAATCCTGTACAATATACCATAGACACTCAACGTCACGGACATATAATATTAAACGTTCAACACGATCATACGTATCAGAATACCTGCTTATGGGATTGGCTGATAACAGCATAGTATTAGGACATTCAGTTTAACTTGTGGCAAGGTGACAGGTGCCAAAGCATCCTGGAGTTTAATACAGCTTGACTGCAATATTATAGTTGTGCCTACTCTTCTCCCAGCGAGTGTGTGTGGGTTGCCTCTATACAAGATTTACATACGTACGTCATTATGGATACTAAATCATCTATGACTACATTTACGTATACCAATACAGCCGTCGTGGAGAATCAGATTACCTTCGAAAGCCTCTTTAGAGCCTTGGAGACTTGGTTGTTGACCGACCCATCCCATTTCATCACATTGTACCTTAAGTCGCACGAGACCCTACTGATCAATAGTCGTGCCTCGGTTATTCAATTGCAATCCATGTGCCCTTTGACTGCCAGATTTGGTTCATCTGATTATCTAGACCAGCCCTAGCAATTCATTATACTACATATGGGCTGCATGCACCTCCGCACCCGGAAGCCCGGTTCAAGAACCACGGTCCATGTCTTTTCCACGTGTGAAGTGGATCAATCCTTGGACAGTTCACACGTCGGGTCGCATCTCGGCTCGCATGTCGGAAGCACTTAGAACATGATCAGTCCAAGGCAGTGGGCCCGGGCATAAACTGATTAATGTCGGGAAGATCGTCTGATAGGGTCCAGTAGGCATGTCGCATAGTACTGCCAGATGAAAGTTTCGTAGACTTACTGAGCCGTCGCTAACAGACGCTACTGGAGAATTTCAAGTTTTTTGTGTGTCAGTAGTGCCAAAAAGAAGATCCACTCGACCGGGTAAAACCTCTTGTGACAAACGCCAACGGACGACTTCCGAAGAGCAAATCCCCCCAAGCTTTTTGGTCCTCGCACTTGGTCAGGGCAGTGCGGACGCGAGTCAACCGGACAAGCATCCACCCCCTAATCCCGCCGACGACGCGACTGAGAAGAACTCCAAAACCCTCCATGTTTTCTCCACCACGTACCCCGTGGGGATAGAACCCGACTGGTTAGAAAATGTAGCAACAGGATAAATACTCTTTGACAGCCGACTCCCGGTGGGAAATATCATCTGTCGGTGTGTATGTGTGTGTGTGTTTTGTAGCTAAATAGCAGTTGGCCTCCACTCCAGCACCAGTCAACTTGGCTCTCGCCCTTGACATAAAACGCCTACCGCCCGGGATCGAAACGAAAGCGCCGCAACCATGGGAGGTTTCAAAGCCGTGGAGGATCGGCCGACGCCAAAGGAAGTCTACAACTGGCGTCTGTACATTGAGGCTTCCATCATCGCAACTGGATCTCTACTGTTCGTTTATACCTCACCACAACGGTCTTGGTAATTGGATGCTAACTGGTTTAGTTTCGGTTACGATTCCGCCTTCATTGGAACCACCATCGCCCGAAGTGGTTTCAAGAGAGATTTTGGCATCACCTCGGAGAACTCCAACAACATTTCAAGTAACATTACTTCGGCTTTCCAAGCTGGTGCTCTCGGCGGCGCACTTCTTTGCTTTTTCAGTAGGTTTCATGTTTGCAGTGCAGAGAAGGATTGGCTGACGTTTGTAGTTACCGAGCACATTGGCCGAAAATGGACTCTGCAAGCGAACGTGGTAATTTTCCTCGTTGGCGCCATTCTCATGGTCGCCACAACTAACGAATTATCTTACATCTGTATGCTCATCTTCACAACCTCTGGCTTTGACAACAGCAGCTGACAATTCTTCGACAGACGCGGGTCGCGCGTTGACCGGCATCGGGTGTGGCGGAATTACAGCCACAGTCCCCTCTTACATCGGAGAGCTATCGATTCCTTCAATCCGCGGTATCCTTACCGGTCTCTTTGAAGTCGCCTACCAAATTGGGTCTGTAATTGGCTTTTGGATCAACTATGGCATCACTCAGAACATCAATCCGAACTCGGCAATCAGCTGGAGAATACCGATGGCCTTCCAGCTTGTCCCGTCTGGCATTCTCTTCATCGGGTGCTTCTTCATTCATGAAAGTCCTCTTTGGTTGATGCGCAAGGGCAAGACAGAACAGGCACACAAGGTCCTCGAGTCGATCAGGCACCTCCCTATCGACCATAAATGTGGGTGCCTCAGATTATACATGCTAGAGACGTTGAAGGCTAATACCCGTATTATAGACATGCAAGAGGAGATCGACATGCTTCAGAAGAAGATGGACGAGGAAGCAGTCGTCGCCAGCGGATACGGAAACGGACAATGGGCGTACTTCCGTGGCGTCGTCAACATGCTTTGCCGCAAGGGCATGTGGAACCGATTGGTCCTCGTTTTCTGTGCTTTCGCTCTGAATAACCTCTCTGGTGCAGCTGCACTGAATTACTACTCACCAAGTTCGTCTACAAACCGAAAGTCTCGCTTTTCTTATGCTAACCGTCTTTTTCTCCAGCACTCTTCGCCTCAATCGGAATCACGGATGTTGCGCTCTACACCGGTATTTACGGCTTGATCAAAGCCATCGCATCGATTATTTACTTCGTTTTCCTCATCGATCTGCTCGGAAGACGTTGGCCTGCTATTACATCATCTTTCATCTGCTCACTCTGCCTCTGGGTGGTCGGCACATATGTCAAGATTGGGCATCCTGCCGACATCATTGCAGCTGGAAAAGAACTCTCACCATCTACTGCTGCAGGTGGTAAGGCCGCCACGGGCATGATTATGATCTATTCTATCTGGTGCGAGATATTCTTTTTTTCTTCGAATGCCGCGATCTAACATCAAATCCAGCTGGTCTTTTGGACTCAACGGTATCCCGTGGATTGTGTCTGCAGAGATATTCCCTGGTGCTCTCCGTAACTTTACCGGAACCTATGCTGCCCTCGTTGTCTGGTCAGTTCTCCTGAATCTGTTTCGCCAAGTTTCAAGCAGCGACTAATATCTCTACAGGGCTACCCAGTTCGCTATTACCAAGGCTCTTCCGTACATCTTTTCCGCCTTTGGCTACGGAACTTGGTACTTCTTCGCGGCTTGGATGATAGTTGCAACGTTATGGGCATACTTCTTTTTGCCCGAAACAAAAGGTCTCACAATGGACCAGATGGACGTTATCTTGTATGTCTCTCATCGCAAACAGTGCGCAGACCCTTTACAGATACTAACCTTACTTATAGCGGCTACGCCCATGACGCTCTTCCTGAGTCGTCCACGAAAGTCATCAATAACACGTTCGATGACATTGATAAGGCTAAGCGAAGCGAGCACACGGAGGATGTCTAAGTATGGCTGGGGAAGCTTTTACCCTCACTCTGCTCTCAGTACAGCATGGTAAAGCTGTAAAGAATCACTTAAATAATAATGCATTCGTTGAAAGAATATTTGATTACTTGGCCGCCGGCTCATTAAGCTTTTGCCATCTTGGCATGATCTGCATCCCAATGGACCTATTAATACACGTTCGGCAGTAAGCTAGTTAGTATTTTCCGAACACCTTGACCCAGACATAGTCGTTGGCCCTCGCCGCTGCATAAAGACCGTCAAGCCACGTGTTTCTGTAAGTACCGGCATATCGATAGCAGATTTGAGCTATTTACTCAATCGCCATGCCCTGGAATTACACAATCATTGGCGTCATTACTGTCATTTCGCCTTTTAAAAACGGGGTTTCCTTAATAATTATGTAGAAGCAGTACGTGGTCTGTGTCCCATCAGGGTTGTAGTGTACAGCATGTGGGGAGATGGCCAGGTAATAGTAGTGTAGGCAGATCGAGTCGGCACCAAGAAAAACGTTGTTAACTTTGGAGGTTTTGGTACATAATGATCCGATCCATTTTGTGGTTCTGCATATACATAGTAGCCCAATAGTACGGGATGATTTGACATCAGATTTGCCCCCCCACCTTTTTGTTGATTTCTTACATGCTCTAGAACGTCTCGATGTTCCCCGTCTTTTCTCAGCGCACATTCTTTATCGGCATTGAAGATGGCAAATGGGGCTTCACGTCATAGATATCCTTGCCGACTATCCCGTTTTGACCCACAGTTGACCATGATGAGTTACCAAAATTGCTGCTGCGGCGTCACCGTGCCATCAACACTCAACCCAATTGTGGCGGGTCATGGTGACCTCATCATGAATTTGGTGATGGTCGAGGCTGAATATAAAAGTGATAGCCTCTTGGCTGTTCCATTCGGGCGAATAAAAACCTAGTATTACAATTCCAGCTTGTGAACCAGGTTAGAATTATCAGTTAGCTAGAAAATGTCGGATGTAAGTGTCTGCCCCCATTTTGGGCTAGCCCATTGCCTTGTAAGGTTATTTCGACATGCTCAAAATGTTCTGACAACATCGCCAGTCTACACAACCACCTGTCTACACCCTTGCTGAGGGCAACCCTGTGCAAGACCCGACGTCGTCGGTCGTGCTGAGGGGATCAAAAGTTGCAGGAGGCGGTCTTGCGTTGCTCCAGGACACACAGCTGATTGAAACGCTTGCCCATTTTCCGAGAGAAAGAATCCCTGAGAGGTAAGTGACAAGATGCTCTGCCTCGATTGAAAGCTTGAAAACTGTGTACTGACAAAAACAGAGTTGTTCATGCAAAGGCAGCTGGCGCATGGGGTGAGTTCGAGTGCACGCACGATATCACCGATTGGTGTTCTGCGGCGCCTTTCAAGAAGGTCGGCAAGAAGACAGAAGTCTTGGCCCGTCTCTCAACGGTAGCGGGAGAAAGGGGTTCCTCTGACACTCTGCGCGACATCCGTGGCTTCGCACTGAAGTTCAAGACTGAGGAGGGTAACTGGGACTTTGTCGGCAATGACCTCCCCGTCTTTTTCATCCGCGACCCTACCAAATTTCCCTCCCTCAACAGATCTCACAAGCGCCACCCACAGACTGGAGTCGCGGACTCGAGTATGTTCTGGGACTTCCACAACAACAACCAGGAAGGCGCACACTGCTTGATGCAACTCTTCGGACCTCGCGGTGTTCCAGCATCTCTCCGCAACGTTAACGGCTTTGGAAACCACACGTTCAAGTTTGGAACGCCGGAGGACGGAACCTTCAAGTATGTGAAGATCCACTTCAAGCCGGACGATGGTATCAAGACGCTCTCACAGGAAGATGCTGTTCGTCTTGCTGGAGAGGAGCCCGATCATCACATCAAAGATATGTACAACGCAATTGAGAAGGGTGACTATCCTACCTGGACCATGATGCTCCAGGTTATGGACCCGAAGGAGGCGGAAACATACAAATGGAACATTTTCGACATCACCAAAATCTGGCCGCACAAGGATTACCCCTTGATCCCTGTCGGAAAGCTCAAGTTGAACAGAAACCCAGAGAACCATTTCCAGGACATTGAGCAGGCCGCCTTTTCGCCCTCAACTTTGATCCCTGGTATTGCACCGTCAGCGGATATCATGTTGCACGCTCGCATGTTCAGTTACCCCGACGCTGCCAGGTATCGCGTCGGACCAAACTACCAGCAACTGCCCCCTAACCGAGCGCTGCATGTCTACTCGCCTTATCAACGAGACGGTCCTATGCGTCTAGATGGCAACTACGGGTCCGACCCTGACTATGGTAGGTCACTGCAATTCATGAGTGTGAACCACTGAAGCTAACACGTTTGCAGTCCGATCATCTTTCCGCCAGGTCAGAAAGGGTCCCGCTGATTTGGAACATGAGGAATGGGTCGGAAAGGTTCAGTCTTACTCCTCTGATGTCACTGAAGAGGATTGGGAGCAACCCCGGATGCTCTGGAAACTTTTCAAAGAGAACGGTGATGACAAGGCCTTAATCCACAACTTGGCGGGACATGTTGGCAAAGCTATTCCAGAGGTCCAGAAGGAGACAATCAGTAAGTCAAGCCGATTTTGTACGCTTCCTTCTTTGATCCAGTTTACTGACGTATGTGAACAGAGAGTTGGGCCAATGTTGACAAGGAGATTGCCGAGAGGCTCGAGGAGGCATTGGGTAAGATGGAGAGTAACATCGATCACCTGCCACCCTCGCAAACAGTACTGGCAAGAAACAGAAAGTGAGCTGGTTTGACAAGTAGCATTCATAGATCATAGAAGTATTATAAGTTAGCCTGGATTTCAATCAATACGTACATTAATGCATATTTATTGTCTTTTAGCTACAAGAAAACATGAGAGTAACTTCATAATACCCACAACGCCAGTTTTATGCTTTATCCCCCCAAATCATTACTGCTTTTCAGCAAACTCAAGCACGGCTGTTCAGCTTGGCCTCTTCCTCGGCCAATGGCGCAACCAGACCTGAAATCCACGCCTGCTTCTTCTCGTCGGTGTACTGAGGGTAAGGTCGTCTGCAGTGGCAGCTGGTCAAGGGGTAGCCGTGCGACTTGGCCACTACCCACTTGGTACCGTTGATGCCACCCTTGCCGAAAGCCCACTCCATCTGCGCAAGCTTCAGCTGAGCTGCGGAAGCTTCCTGCAACTTGCCGCTGTTGTAGAGATCAAAGATTTCGATGCAGTACTTGGGGTACAAGTTGGCAACACCAGTGATGGTGCCGGTGCTTCCAACAGACATGGCAGGCACAAGCCAATCGCTCTGGCCAGCAAGGGCGAAGAACTCGGAGGGCTCGAATTCGGCGCGGACACGGGCGACCTTGGCAATGCCACCGCAGGTAAGCTTGACGCCGATAATGTTGGGGTGCTTGCCGAGGCGAGAGAGCATGTCCGAGTTGACGTCTAGTCCGGCGACGACACCAGGGAAGTTGTAAATGATGACTGGGATGGGACTGGCGTTGGCGAGCTATTAAACATTTAGCAACGTGAAAGAAAAGTTGTCATTAATCTTGGCCGACATACCTCCTCGAAGAAGCCGACAATAGCCTCCTCGTTCATAGCAAAGTGGAAGTAGCTGGGAACGAGGACGAGAGCGTAGTCGGCACCGGCCTCCTTGGCGAGCTTAGTCTCAGCGATTACATCGCGAGTGGACTGACCACCGCAGCCCATGGTGATGGCGATGTCAGGACGGCCAGCGGCGACTGCGACTTCACGTGTCGTCTTGACAAGCTTGGCCTTCTCATCGTTTGTCAGGGTAACGGCCTCACCGTTGGTTCCAGCGAGCACAACTGAGTAACCACATCGTCAGAATCTATATCTTTCTCTAATTTCGAAATCACTCACTTCCGTGCAGGCCAGATCTGACCAAGAAGTCGAGGTGCTTGGTTTGAACGTCCCAGTCAATCTCCTGGTTGGAGTCGTTGCCAAACCATGTCAAGCTGGGCACATGGATGCCAGGGGGGAATGACTTGGTAGAGACCATGGTGACGGACTTGGCAATGGAGATCTGAAAAGATGGGGAAGAGTCGGAAATAGGATGTTTGCAGAAAAAACAACCCGTGTTTGCAGTATGGGTAAGTCAAAGTCCAAGGTAGGAGGTTTAGGCCGGAAATGCTCGATTCAAGTACCTCTCAAGAGTTGTCACTCGGCCCCTCAAACCCCTCCAACCCCGCGAATGGATGCAACAATCGCGGGGCTTTTCCATACAATAACATGCATCCGACCAGAGTAAGCGAGTTGTGGGGCATGGGGACAATCAGGGACCAGAGACATTGCATGATGACTGTTTTGCCACCTTGTATGTCTACGTCTTCGCGGTTATTCCGTTGCCCAGCTTTGGAATGGTCCAATACATGGCATCGGATATGTTACCGACACGATGGACCCTGCACGAAGCCATTGTGGGCCACCCGATCGGCATCGGGTCGGGAAACGCCACTAGTGGATATGGCGTAGTCATGAACCACGTGGAGGGCATATTGGCTTCATGCTTGAGAAGAGCAACGGTGATTAACTTTTATGCTTTCATGTCATCCGGGAACCCAACAATGAGATGAAGTCAAATTTGTTTATAGGGTATCTAACGTAACTATTGAAGACCTAAACATTGCCTTCGGACAAGTGCTATTACTCCAAGGAATTCATGCGTGATGCAACGCTATAGATTCAGCTTGATTTTTAGACAATGGCAAAACACGAGTCAAATATGGCGTGCATGACGGATCGAATGTCTACCCGAGCCTTCTCAGCATCTTGCCGAGCCTGAACCTCCTCTAGTACCTGAGCTGTAATCTTGGCGTTTCCCGCTACTCTCTCCATTCGAAGAATTTGAGTCTTGATCCATAGCCTTTCTTGGGGGTCTTGTTCTTCCGAACCCAGCATAAGCAACGGCCACAGCATGTTGACTGGCAGTGAGTTATCGGCGTCGAGAGAGTCTACAAGTAGTCTCGCCAAGCGCCGTATCTGACTGAGTGCATCGGCCGCCTCCTTGGTCAGGGGAAAGGTCTTGTATGCCACCCTGTGCAGATGAACCTTACTGGCGTGGTAGTTGGCCAGGTATGTCCGGAATGCGCGAGTTATAACAAAAGCCAAGTGAGCTGAGACGTGAGGCTCAGTCAACTTGCCAGCCACGGCGTAGTCCATAAGTGGAGGCCGCTGCTCATACAACGTCCGCAGGTCTGCGGCAATGGCTGCGCCGATATTCATTACCTCTGTCTCGTCTTCAACAGTACCGCGAGAACGATGCCAGGGATCGATCTTCGAGATGCGGCCCATGAAGCTTTGGACCTTTTGAAAGAACACAATGCCGGGTTGATAGAGCACTTGAAACAAGACGTCTTCAATGTCCCCTTCAGCCAAGTCTTCCCTCGATGAATCGGCGACACCTCCGTCAAAGCTCGCCGGTGACGCCTCGACGAGAAGCAACTCATCGTCTTTCGATAGAAGCAGGCCTTGACCACCTGCAGAGACAGCACGCGCATCAAGAAGCCGCATCCACTGCAAGAACTGCTTCTCGGTAGCAGCGAAGCTGCCTTTGTCTCCCTGTTGGAAGACGCTATAGGCACGCTTCAAAAATGAATCTGCAGCTTTGATCTGTCCCCTCAAGATGTCGACGTAACTGAGAAAGAAGAGAGTCGCAAGTAGATGCTCTCTTCGAGAGCTGCGACTGTCTTCTCGAGGAGAAGAGTCTTCACCGTAAGCCGTCACCCCAGCAACAGCTCTCTGGTAATAGTCTTCTGAGCTAGCTAGCCAAGCTCCTTCACGACGAGATAGCATCAAGTTTGAGAAGGCGAGGACTGCCCACTTGACCATCTGAGATGCACGTGTCATGTCGACGACTACTTGTCGGATCGCCAGCCACTTCTTCTGAGTTTCTACTTCAGCAAGAATTGGCGGCACAACAACGCGACTGAAATAGTCCATCAACCTATCGTCCTCGGTCTGAACCTGCAGAGCCATGGCTTGTTCTGACTGACTGCTGGCGTCAGTCATACCTGATGGATTAGGTAGATCCTCTGCAACAGCCCGGCCAGGAAAGTTGAGGTTAGAGGGGCTCATGAAAGCTGTTGACTGACCCCCTATGGGCAAACTAGTATATTGAGGCCGCTGCGGCAAGTTAGAAACGCTGTCAAAATGGGGTTTAATGAGTCTTCATCTGAGACTATGGAAGTGATCTCACCAGTACCTGCCCGTCAAGGCTCATCTGCTGGCCTGAATCGGGACTAACCTGCTGCCAGGCATCACCAGCATCCCACATGAAGCTGGCATAGTCGAATATTTCATCGACTGCCTGCATGGGCTGGAACAAGGACGCTGCCGGAGACACGGAGGCATCGGTAGAGTGGGACCGCATGGCCGGGCTGCGATCAGCGCCGGCAGGAATCGCGGAGGCCAGCGTTGCGTGGGGAACCGTATTAGGTTGCGGTCGCCACTTGCATTCGAGGTTCAAACGCTCGCAGTGACTGCACCTAGGTCTTGACTCATCACATTTGACTTTGCGGCGTCTGGAGAAGTGGGTTCAAAGTTAGCCAGCTGCTATCAACATGCATGCTTATTTTCTACAAGTAACAGTAGTAGCGCCAGCTTGTCGCCTCAAGGGTTGCTCGATAACCAGATAGCGGACGGCACCCAACACTGGGAAGGTTTGTACTCACTTGCAAGTCAGGCATCCTTCCCTGGACCTAACTGATCTCCTCGACGGTCGGGAGTAACTTGGCAGAGCCGATGACGGCCCACTAGTCTCCTGCATGCTTAAGGTTGCGGTCGTCGCGTGCGGGCTCGTAAGGAGTGGCGGACATCCTCTTCTCTGTCCCCGTCGCCCGTTTGATCACTCTGATGTGCGAATCTCGGTCTGGATCGGTCTAAACTGGTACTCATTAACTGGGTGTGATTATGGGTGAGCAGCGAGCGCGTGTGTTTGCCAAAGCTGGGGGTGAGGAGTACCGACGAGCGGGCCACTCAATATCCCTTCCACCTTTCCCCCTCTCTATTCAACCCCACGATGTGGGGATTATTGCGGAGGGTGAAAATTTTCAGGGGAAAATGTTGCAGTGGTGGGCACTGACTCGTGTGTGGATTCGTTCTGCTGGAATGGGAGCCATTTCCCGGGCGCGTTTAGTAATGCCAATTTGGCTTGCTGTGGAGTGACAACCGCACTGAGTGGGCTTCACAGAATGCAGAATAGATCCTTTTGAGAACCTAGAAAGGCCATGGCCTTGCCTTGCATGGACGCAAGCCACAACAGGGAGAGAAGGCGTCGGATGGGTCGAGGTACAAACCCAGATAATATGATTCCATTACAGCGGATCTGACAGCGGCAACTTGTGGCGAAAGACAAGCGCAAGTTGTGCTAGCCCCCTGAGATGTGTCCTACTGGCCCGATGGCTTGTCACCTTGTCCATATAGCCATGTTTGAGCAGTCCAGCGCCGAGCTCTAATACAGTCGAGATCACATTGACTACTACTTTTGAGTACATTGATACCCATTTAAATCTTCATATCATGGCTAAAAACGGAAACAAATGTTTGGTCGTGAGTACCGATGTCACCCACATGGATGTATTTCTTGTATTTCCTATTTCCATTGTTACGGGAAGCGTGCTGAACAATGGGCAACCCAGTTTACGTCAACCATTAAATGTAATTCATCTTTAAAAACACATTACAGCATGGAATTTCAAAGTCGATACACCTTTTGGCTGATTCGTGACTAGACCAACAGGCGATAATGATAAAAGTTCATAATTCTTAGCGGCCGAGGTTGATGCGGGCATGGATTTGACCCAAGTCGTGAACCAGTCTCACGGTCTATGACCTCGGCGCGGAACATCTACCAAAGGCCAACCCCGCCCAATAGTCAATTCCTTGCGTCAAGCGTGCATAAATCCCATGCTGATTCTATCATCCATTTGAGAGTGTCTATTTTGAAGTTGACGCGGGTTAAGAAAGACGTGCCCGAGATGTATGCACTTCAAACATATGACCTGTTCGTTTGGTGCGGAGTAGAACCTTGGCGCCGAACCGAGACGCTAAATCGCGTTCTTTGGCTCTAGTGCTTGTAAGTTCTCACGGAAGTTGACCGACGGCCGTTGACCTTCGGCAAACATTCATGCATTCCTCCCGCAGATCAGCGTAGAATTAGAGACCTCGGCCATCTCATTTACGACAAGACAGTGGCCAACTATTGCCATTTGGAAAAGGGCCTTCACTGCCAGCATCGAATTAAACAGAGAATCCTCAATACTAAGGCCCCATTTCTCTGTTTCTCCAGGCGTAGTTGTATTACTTCCGGTTTGAGTTCAAGACCATACCTGCAGTAACAAAGTCACTGCAATCTGGACGCATCTTTCCCTTTCCGCCGGTCACGCGGCGGAGCGGCGGACATGTCCGGGGTGTGGCCCCACATTCCGGCGTAAATCTGGCTTCCGAAGAATTTCTGACCTCCGAAGCGGTCTCACAAGTAGGCCGGGATGGAAACCAAATTCGCGAAACGGGCACTCGAGTGGCACACAGAACCATGCATGTTCACACCATCACGGATACCTCGCTACGATGAATTTTCGATATCATGTCGTACAAGCTTACAGTCGTTCGATAGTCCGGATGATATCGGTTCAATAGGCATAATGCACTTCTTCTTGCGCTGCATGTTTTGCAAATCATGATGGCAATAGGCTGAAAATGTGTTCCGTAAATATGGTCTGGATCCGCGGAAAAGTGCCCCCACGCACCGCAACAAATCCGTGCCAAGCCCACCAATTCAAGCTTGAACAAGAAAGGGGACTGAACCCTAGGCCGGGGGTGGCTGAGCACACCTAAAACTGTGGAAAACAGTGGGAATATAGTGGTATCCGGCGGTTTGGCAGGAATAACCGATGCGACATAAGAACACCGGATGTCACGAATGACAACGTGAACGGTCAAATGATATATGTGATTGGGGTCCCACGCTAGAAGTGACCGGAGGAAGAGGAGGAAGTAATGGGGCAACGAGGAGGTTTGCACCCATGGCCCCCCGTGTCATGCTGGTTGTTGGCGGTTGGCAAATCAACAACGGAGATGATTCCTATCATGTTTGCTATTGGGCAGAACTTTGACATCTTCCCCCCCAGTTCATTGCGGCAACAACCAAGACTAGGAATCTGCATAGCTAGGCGAGCCAGATCTGAGGCGACATTGCAAGATACATACGAGATGGCAAGCAGCCAAGACAACACCAAGAGACACCATCACTAGTTTGGGCGCCGAGCCCGAACCCTTCGGAAGTTGTGATAGGTTACGGAGAGCCGCTTTCTTGTCAACGTAGGGGCTCGCGTGGTCTCGGAACTCAAACTTGACTACCGAGGAGGTTGGAGCAGATCTAGGCCGGGGCCGGTGTACAGATGAAATGCCAGACGAGGGTGCACCCCCGTCTCCCCCCCTTCCCATGCGGCTACGGCCAAGCCCATGCACCTTGATCCAACCTCAGCGCAGAACTGTCCAATTTCGCAACTCCAATCTGTATTCCGGCTCCTTGGGACCGTTTCAACGTCAATGAATTCACTTTCGGAACTCAGACTTCAGTTTTCAGCCGTGAGCTTGTTATATGAGCCCGAACGTACGTGATCCGGTCTTAAATCCGATTCTCTCCGGTGTTTTTTCGTCTGGGCAACTTGTCACTGTTAGCGCTGTCATCGTCCTGCATGCCACGGCCTCTCTTTTCGCTTCTCAGTCGTTGGATTTATATCGGCATCCGCCCCAAGAGTAAGCCACGTCCAAGTCTTGTTCTGTTTCCGTGATCAATTCCGTTGCACCGATATGTGAGAAGTGCAGCCGCGCCGGGTCATCGATGTCGTTCTCGTTGCTGACGTAGCCGGCATTGGAGGAGACGCAAGCGATGATGCTCCGAGGATATATAAATTTTTTTCACTGCGGCTTCAAATACAATTATCGACATATCCCCTTACCCATAGCGGCAAGGAAAAACTGATGTGTTGTTACCCCTCATTATGTGAGGCTCGTTGAAGTAGGCTGTGCAACCAGGTGTAACGGAAAAGAGACTTGGCGCTTCAAGTTCTGGTGTCAACGTACATGTAGTGTAGTCCACGGAGCAAAGTGACCAGCGACAGACAGTTCAGACGGTCCAAGCAAACCGCGCTTGGAACGAGAAAACAACCTTGTGTGCCTGGAGCTTAATGATTGCTTGCCCATTTGTTGTCTGCAGCGAACGTAAAAGTCTGCGTTCCCCCTCAGTAGTATCTTTCTTGGCTGATCCACACATCTGCTGACGCCAAGTCTGCGCAATGTGTCTGCTGCCCAATTGCGCAGGGGCAACAAATACTATCATGATCAACGTTTTTTGACTGGTTGGAGAAACGTTTCCTTGTTCGTTACTCGTTTTTTTTTTTTTTTGGTATTTTCCTTTTTGCCCCAGTCCGTGTGGTACATGATCCGGATAGGGTGAAAATTCGTTGCCCTACCAGAGGCAAGTTTTAACGATGACCACCCTTCTTTTTCCCCATGGGGGTCATCGCGGGGTAGACGTCGCCGATCCTCGACCGTTCCACGGCAATGTCCCAAAACAATGGCCTTCCATTCGGCGAAAAATACATCAAGCTTATTATGGGTGGGACGTCATGGGGTGGCCTAGATAAAGCTTGCCTCCTCCCCGCCGACCTTGTTCTTGGGTCTCTTCTGTCAAGTTGCGCGACCTCTAAGGCTTGCCGACTCTTCAATCTCCCCTTTTCAAGCGTTCTTCTATGTTCAAGCTCCCTCCAAGTCGCCCGCATACCGCTCAGAAGTTTTCCCTTTGCTTCTTGATTGCCTAGTATGGGTTTCTTCAGTACCCACGCGTCGGGGACGCTTGACCCCCCCGAGGTGCGAAACTGGCGCATCCACTTGATTGCGCTTGTCGCCAGCATGTCTGCCCTGGCTAGTACGTTGGATTTCTTTGAACTTTGAACTCAATAATATCATGTGTGGCGTTTTGTCTTGTGTGCATGATCAAACTTTGGCTTCCGCTCCTAGCTCTGGCCAAGGTTTGGGGCTTGCAGGCGGGTCGCACCGCCTCGTATTTGACAGCCACTCGGAGAAAAAATGGATAGCCGGGCCCGGAAGCCCGACTCGGCACGGCCCTGTTCGGTGCTCAAATTGATGGCTAACTCGACGTTTCAGTGGGTTATGACACGGCAGTTATCGGAGGAACCATGGCGTTGGACTCGTTCCGACGTGATTTCCACCTCGACGAAGTCAGCACGAATGTCAGGGATACAATCCAGGGCAATATTGTCTCTACCTTCCAAGTAAGCACTCTTATCAAAACACGACGAGCGAAACTTGACTGACCAGCATAGGCCGGTTGCTTCTTTGGTGCTTTGTTTACATTCCCTATCGCTGAGAAATTTGGTCGAAGGAAAACCGTCATGCTCGCTGGAACTGTCTTCCTTCTCGGTGGAACACTCATGACTGCTGCTCGCGGAAGCTTGAATATGATTTACGCCGGCCGTGCCATCGCTGGTCTAGGAATCGGAGCCTCTTCACTAACGGTACCCGTCTATATTGCCGAGACTGCGCCCCCTTCGATTCGTGGCCGTCTGGTTGGTATTTTCGAGATTGCTTCCCAGGGAGGCGGCATGTTGGGTTTCTGGATCAACTACGCCACTGACAGGACAATCGACGTGAAATCCGAGGCACAATGGATCATTCCGCTCGGTCTCCAACTCGTCCCCGGTTTGGGTCTTGCCATTGGCATGTTCTGGTGCCCCGAGTCTCCTCGTTGGCTTGCTCGCGGCGACCACTTCGAGGCTGCTGAAAAGATTCTCACTAAGATTCGTGGCTTGCCATCCGACCACGAGTACATCCGCCGTGAAATGAACGACATCCGCACCCAGGTCGAGCAGCGCACCAACAACCGCCTCACCAAGAAGCAGATGTTCCAGAAGCTTTTCCAGAAGGGCATCCGCAACCGCATGGGTCTCGGCATGGCTCTCATGTTCCTCCAGTCCTTCACCGGCGTCAACATCATCACCTACTACGCCCCGAGAATCTTTGAAACTCTTGGTATTTCTGGAACCTCCACCAAGCTTTTCTCCACGGGTTTCTACGGTATCGCAAAGACTTTCGGTATGGTTCTCTTTACCTTCTGGGTCGCCGAGCGTGTCGGTCGCCGTAAGGGTCTTATCTGGGGTTCTGCGCTCGGCTGCATCCCGATGTGGTACATCGGAGGTTACGTCATGAAGGCAGACCCCGCTGCTGCTGCTGCTGCAGGAACTGTCACCCGTGACGGCTGGGGCTATCTCGCCATGGCTTGTGTTTACATCAATGGTAAGTCATCTCGATTTTGAAATGTGAGCCCTTGAAACTAATTCATTATTAGGTGTCATTATCTGTGCTACATGGCAAGGTATTACTTGGCTCTATGCTTCGGAAGTCCAGACTCTTGAAATCAGAATGCTGGCTGTCTCCATCACCACCGCCACCACCTGGCTCGGTTCCTTCATCATCGCACGTTCCACCCCGTACATGATCTCGGATCTTGGATACGGCGCCTACTTCTTCTTCAGCAGCATCCTCATGCTTATGGGGATCTGGGCATTCTTCTTCGTTCCGGAGACAAAGGGTAGGTTTCTTTACAGGACTTTTGCTCCGAAACATGACTAATCTGCCGTAGGATTGACACTCGAGGACATGGACGCCCTGTTTATGAACCCCACGCACAAGACCGTGTGGGCTCAGATGAGAGGCAAGGACGTAATCTCTGCCGGACGTGCCAGGTCGCCATCCATCACCGACGAGAAGTTCGAGGCCAACATCGAAGCCGCTCAGGTCGAGGGACGCTACAAGTCATGAGACTTGTGAAGGCCTTGCTGCGGCCCGACAGTCGAAGCCAAGGCATACGTGACGCTTTAATTTTCTGTCAAACCCCAATTGTCCTGAAGGTTTCATACAGGTTTGCTGAGCAGGGTCTATCATACGTCGCTTGAGCCTTGCCTGGATGAGCAGAAACGAGATCGGTGTGGCCGGCTGGGAAGCGAGGGCGTATTTCTTTTACCCGCTGAAAAATATCACTGTGTATAGAGCATAAAGAGATTACTATGCGCTCTTAGACGGCCATAAGTCCTCGATGATGCTTGCCATCTTTTATTCTCCTTATCACATCGTGAGGATGGGCCCGCTAACGCAACATTGTGGGTCAAGTTTGCCTCTGCTCCAACAGCAGTGTATCCAATATCAAGTCATGAGGCTGCATATTATCTCTGCCAGAACGAGTGGCTGTAGTTTATGCATGTGCCCTTTAATAAACACTTGTCCAGTAATGTGAAGTATATCTGAAATATTAGTGAAATGAATTAGTCCGTTGACAAGTCCCAACTTGAAGGAAGGTAGCTCTTTCTGCAGAAGCACTAGGGCGAACTTAGATGGGCTTTTGGCCGGACTGTTGCCGTCAATCCAATAGAACTCTTGCATCCAGTGTGCGTTTTCATGAAGACTGTAGTACCCTCGTTTGTAACTCAGTTCTCCATATGGCCTGCCTTACTTGTGCAAGTGAAATAAGAGTAACATGAAGCGTTATCTTTTGCATGCTTTTAAATCCTTGGTTTCTTCATTAAAGGCCGCTAACTAAATCTATTTTCTTTTAGGGTGCGTACAATATCTAAGTCTCAGTTAACCTATCCAGGCAATTAAAAACTGCTCTAGTTCTTTACATATCCCTAAATACTTCACGTTCGTGCAACTGATAGTATGCATCTAAATACGGAGCCTTTTTTACTTCATTCTTTTTGAAAGGCACTTTAGGGCCATCAGACTCAGTTACCCGTATTCAAAGGACTAGACGGATCAAACTCGGCAGTAGCAATAAGATCCGGATAAACAATCCCCGCCTCTCTAAGCACCCGATCCATAGTTTCCATGACAAGTATACTCTCCTCCCAAGGCATCACGCTACTTTCCAGCTTTCCGCCCCTGATACACCTTGCGCTTTCATCAGCCTCCCAGAAGGTGCCGTTACCCCACTTTCGTTGTTCATCTTGAGGTTGAGGGCACTCGATAACCTCTTCGACAGGACCGTCGGCGCCATTCTTAATGATCTTGAAAGAAAGTGGTTTATACGCCGGGTGCTCTACCTGAATCTCCCCTGCCGAACCTTGGATCCGAATCGCCGGGTTTCCGCCATTCGGATCGGTTGCGACGCGCAGAGATGAAGTAGCGATTCCAGTCGTTCCGTGCCCAGGAAAATTCAATATGACGGCGGCCGACTCGTCGATACCTGTATGATATTTCTGCACGGCTGACAAGATCTCCGGCTTTTCCTTTTCTGCCTCGGGCTGCAGATGGTACAGGATCTGGAAAATCCACGTTAGGGAGTATATGCCCAGTCCAAGCAAGACGCCCCCAGCAAGGTCCGGATTGACCATGCGGTGAGAGTCCTCGTAGTTCAATCTCGTGCTGCCGGGCTCTTCGCTGTTATTCGCACGTGAGAGGTCCGCGGTTACCCTGTACACACGCCCGATAGCACCGCCGCTGACCAATTTACGAATTTTTACGCTCAGGGGGAAGAACCTCGTCCAGACGCCTTCCATGAAGAACAACTTCTTTCTCCGGGCTGTCTCTACAAGCTTGCGGGTTTGCTCCGCGGTAACTGTCAAGGCCTTCTCGCACAGAACGTGCTTCCCCGCGTCAAGAGCCAGCATTGCGTTCTGGAAGTGGTGACTGTGAGGCGTAGCGATGTAAATGATGACCACGTTAGCATCCTTCACTAGTGAGGCGTAGGACCCGTAGGTGTTGACGGTGGAGGGTGTAGGATGGTTGATGCGGGTTAAGAAGTGCTCTGCTATCTTGGGGTCCTTGGATGAAGAGACTGCGGTGATACTGTGACTGACGTCGCTGACCCCACGAGTTGATGGGTTCGTCAACAGGTCTTGGCAAAAGTCTTTTGGAATTAGTTTGGGCGTTTGAAGAGACAATATGCTAGGTGAAAATGCATGGACGACGTACATTCAGACATTGCACCCGTCGCCATTATTCCCCATCGGAGCAAGAACGGTTCCGCAGCCATTTTAGAGTCTCAGTCGCAGTTCACGAGCCAATTTTGCAGGTTGTCTGAGAAATTCGAGTTCTTCACGGTAAGACAAAGAGTCATCTGAGGTGCCTCACAGAGACTCGGTACTCGGGGTCCGGCCGATGGAGATCGGCACCGACTGCAAATTAAAGTTTCGGGGTTCCGGGCTAATACATACCGGGCTGCCCGATGCAGTCATCTTTTTTACTACGTACTTTGGGTTCCAAGAGTATGATGTCACCGAAAATTCACCAAATTACAGTGGCACATTCATAAAACAATTCATTTTAGGAAAATTATTTTTGGTTTCATTGCCCAAAATATTGGGGTATCACGTAAATCATTACCATGCCTCATACAACTATTCCCCTCCACTGCCATCCCAACTCAGCTTGAATATAGCAATCAGAAATACAAGCTGCCAGCATTGTTCAAAATCCAATCCGAGCTCGTTTTCCTGAAATCATCCTTGAGCAAGCTTGCCTTGTTCGCAAAGAACTGCATCAGGTTCTGTCCCTGGTCCCACCTCGGCCAGTTGGGGTACTGTCCGTTGGAGCCGACGTTGGGGTCGAGCGCGTACACAAAGTTGGTGTAGTACGTGCGGATGCTGCGCGCGGCGTAGTTGTCCTTGATGCCGTAGAACACCTGCAACAGGTCCGAGCCGTGGAAGGTTCCTAGAATAGGCGTGCCGTAGTTGTACGAGGCGAGGTACGACCAGGAGGGGACGCTGGGGTTGACTGCCGTGGCAAGGTTGAGAAAGACGCGGCGGGTGAGTGTGAAGACCAGGTCGCCGAGAACAGCACAGCGGCGCTTGAAGCCGGGGAAGATCTCGTTCAGGATTCCGGTACGGTGGGGGCTGCCGTTGATCAAAGCGTTGAGGCCGTCATCGTAGGTGTCGACGTAAGCCTTGATCTGGGCTTCAGTAGCAGTGGCAAAGTAGTAATCCTTGAGGTATCGAACCAGCTTTTCCGTGCTGGTGAGGTTGGGCTGGAAGATGCCGAAGATGGTGCCTTCGTCCTCCTGGTCTCCGATGATCATGGGCACGGCGGCATACTTGCCTTCCTTGGCGAGGACGTCAGGGCTCAAAGGCAAGGTCTTGCCATCGGGACGGGGTAGGTAAGACAGCGCGACTGAGCTGTACGACAGAATGCCGGGAACAGAGGTGACGGCGTTGAGGAAGGTGGTGTAGTCGACCTCACGGAGGCAGTTCAGTGTGTCTGCCTTGCCGGCGCAACCAGCCTTCTCGACAACCTTGTCGTAGACTGCTTGGCCCTTGGGGCAGTCGACGGGGTCCGTGGGGGTGATGCTGCCGGAGTTCATGATGGCGCCGCGGAAGAGCGGCTTGCCCTTGTACTTGTTGTCACCGCCGTAGAGGGCCATCTGGTCAAAAACGGAGATGGCACCAGCGGACTCGCCCCAGATAGTGACCTTGTCTGGGTCGCCGCCAAAGGCAGCGATGTTGTCGGCAACCCACTCGAGACCCATGCGCTGGTCGAGAAGGCCAAGGTTGGCAGATCCGTCGGCGAGAATCTCCTTGCCGGGCATGAATCCGAAGCCAGCGACGCGGTAGTTCACGGCGACGAAAATGAAAGGCTTGCTAATGTCGACACCGTGCTGGACGAGGCCGGTGCCGTCATACATGGAGGACCATCCGAGCTTTCGAATGTGTTAGTATGATGTTTTTTTTTTCTCTCCATGTAGGTGACAGCGACATACCTGGAAGCCACCTCCAAAGACCCAATAGAGCACAGGCAGCTTCGCATCCGCCTTGGTGCCCTCAGGGCGAGCTACTGTGATAGAAAGGCAGTCCTCGCTTTGTCCCGAAGCCTTCTGGACGAATGGCAAATTGGCAATATCTCCGAGGAGGTCGAAGAGGATGTTCTGGCTGTCTGAAGAGGAAATCATCTGCGGACAAGCACCGGCCGGGCCAGTGGCGTCGAACGTGCCGATGTTGTCCGTCAGCCGCACGGGGGGCTTCAGTCGCAAGGGACCGGTGGGCGGCTTCGCATAGGGGATACCACCAAAGGACTCGACCTTGTTCATAACGTTACCGACAACGGTAGCGGTGTCAAGGACGACAGTGGCAGTCTTCGCAGCCCTATCTTCCAAGGGCTGGGTGTGCTCTGAAACCGCCAAGGCGGCCCCTAGAAGGGACAGAGACGAGATGAAGGCGGGAAGCTGCATGTTGAGGCGGTTTGACAGCTGTCTTTTTAGGATCTGCAGTTATGAATCTGGAGGAGGGTGATGAGCTTGGGATGCACCCAGTTGATCTGGCTTGGCTGAAGACGATCCCGAAGAACTACCTCGAACACCTCAAGACAGAGGAGCTCTCCATCGTGGAGAACAGCCGCTCATGGGCTATTTAAGTCCACTTGGTCACTCTGCCAATGCCTCGACTCCCTTGTTCCCAGGCGCCCGTAAAAAAAAAAAAATCAATCATTTTAGGGCCAGGCAGGGCGGATGGATCGGTGGGAACCAAGAACAACCCGCACCCACCACCCGTTCGAAGCGCCCCGGTAATGTGTGTGCGCACATGGTGGGCGTGATACGAGTGGACTGTCCACGGTGCTAATGAGAATCGGGGCACCTTTGAGTCGAGAGGAGCTCAGTCCCCGCCGAACCTGAGTCGTGATCTTCGCTCGTGAAGCAAGGGAGGGGTACTTTTTGTTCGTGCTAGACTTGGTCTAGCAGGGAGGCAGAAAAAGGCATTGAATGAGCTGGTAATGTAACCTTCCCCGTGGGGTACCAGGGCTTACTGCCGGGGGGGGTTGAGAGAAATGCATCTGGTGCTGCGTTCCCGGAAGAGGGCAGCCGAATGACCACGGCAGTTGAAAGGTTCAGCGAATTCTCGGGAGCATCGAGAATCCCGGGGCGGGACAGCCTTGTGACGTGCAACTTCACATGGGAATAAATGTAACAGTTCAACAGTGCATGGTTTCTTGTCCGCCTCGGTATGTCAAGCGACAGATGTGCTGCATTGTAAGCAGAAATGCAACAGTAAAAGTTGGGCAGGTCGGCACAAGACAAGGGACAAGGGAGAGAAATACGGTCAGAGACGGCGTAGAATCTTGGTTTCGTAGCGCATGTGACAGCGATACTATCCACCGGACGGACACCAGGAACCAGGAACTCCGTCCTGATCAGGAAGTGATGACCCTCGGATCCCTCTCAAGATACTAGTATTTGGTGTGAACGTGTGTCTTCTTTTGGGGGCAACGTCTGCCAATGTTGTCGTGGTGGTTGCAGACGGGCATAAGCGCCGGTGGCTTCTTAGCTGGCCGAACGAACAAACAAACATGCGCGCCATGCAGCCAACGGTTAGGCCAAGCTGTACATTCCCAATAGTGTCCGCATTACATAGTAGTAGACGCAAGGTTGCCGTAATGGGTGTGGAATGCGGGGTGACGGTTCAACCGGGCTGGAGGAGAAGCCCCCCCCCCCATCTGAAAGCAGGTCGGCTGACGTCGATCGCCAACCCGGATCCCTGTCCCTACGTACCGGCACTAGGCTAGCCATCCACGATGCGCAATTCAATCGGATTTGGTATCCAACCACGGTAATGGGCTCCGAGTTAGTGGGGTTCTGGATCGAAATGACTACGAAACAATCGATCCTCTCCATTGCCAGTTTTTTACGAGTACGTGGACCGTCACCGCCCACATGTCTGGCTAACCCGGCCCGCTGAGGAATGAATTGGTCCCAAAAACCGTTGGGTTGCGGAATATTCCACCAGTATTTTAGTTCCAAACGAGCGTCCCTCGCAGAAAATACGAACAGGGGAATCCAAAAGTGGTCCTATACTAGCATCTCGGCGAGGGGCATTAGTGCCTAGTCGACACCCTTCGCGATTCGAGCTCACTGATTGGCAAATCAGAGGGATGGTGCCGAAAGCGAGGGACGAGCTCAAGATCTGCGAGGCACACATCTGTTCTACACTAGTGTATTAGTACAATGGTGATGAGTGACGACGGGGTTTTCCGTTCACTGCGGGCCACATTTGACCTACACCTCGCGATGGGTGTCAGTATTACCCGTCTATGTGTGTCCTCTGAATCGGGTTCTCAGCTCGTGCGGGAAGTTCAGCTGCCTGGACACCTCGGTCGAAAGGAAAGATTCGAATCATCTTGAAGTGAAGCATATGAAAATTCCGTACATGGTAAATGTCTTGATTAAAGCATGTGATTGTTTTATCTGAATCTCGAGGTCTAGCTCTCCACAGCTGTCAAAAGTCGACAGGAAAAAAAAAGTAAATATTTTGTGCATTTCTCTGCTTCATGCAAGCTTGTAAAGTGGGAATAGGAAACCATGTCATTTAGCCCACCCATTGTTTCTACATACTAGTAGTACGATGTATTCATTCCCACTTTCTCACACCGCTTCAAGTTGTTAATATAATTTTGCGGGGGTTTAGAAATATCGTTGTTTCTCAACACATGTGGAGGTAATCGCCTAGCTCGACCCATACTACGGCCCCCATCGGGCATTTCGCATCTCTTGCATCGAGCCACCCAGGCACTAACATGGGATTTGTAGGTCTCTTATCGGTGCGGGTATCCGTATTTCAAGCCATCTCGCCTCCTGAGTGGTTTCTACTGCCCTGGGTTCAAGGTCATGGGGGAGATTTGTATCCGCAATTGTTGAGAGGCTAAGGCCCTTGAATCCGGCTCCTGGAATTTAGGTGGGCTAACTGAAAAAACCGGGCAAATTTCCAGAACTTCTCGAAGGAAAATTTGCAGCTAGAATTGTATAGTGAACAACGACGACATTCACAATCTTTCTGCTGCAGTTGTGGAATCAAATCGGACCAATGCCACGTGCGCTTGCAGAAACGTTGGCCCTAGCTCCCGCCCGCTAGTTTAGAGTTCAGGATGGTGTTCAGGCTGATACTATGTACCGTGTCTGAGCATTGCGTCTTTGTCAAGATGGAAGCCACTTATTTTGGACGACGCGTCTGCGGGCCCTATGGAGAATTGACGGCGTCTGCCAAGATTAGATATGGAGTCTTTAATTAACCCCATTGAGGAATTATCGCGAGGCAAGTGTTCTGAGGGATGTTCTACTATGTACAGAGAGGTCAAATAACAGGGCCGAAAGAGTGAGTCAGGTAAATATCCTCATAAAATATACGAGGCCTAATAAAGCTAAGAAGCTGGGACGGTATTTTCTCTATATTATGACTTCCACCGAAGTCTATCATGGCTTATTGCCTACACCTGTGTGCCCTGACTCTTCGGTAACAGTTTTATTCCCATGGCATGTCGGGACAGCCAATAATACCAGATGCGACAGCGTTAGGACAACTATTAACCTATGTTTTATTGACCAACAAATGCAATGGTTCAATCGCAACCTCACACTTGTCGTATTCAAGATGGCCAGGTAGCCAGCGCATTGTTCTGTTCCCCAACTATTCAAGGGAACAAGAAGAAACGATATTGGGCAATAAAAAGGAAAAGGCAAACGGTTAGTTTCATGGAAAATGAATGCAATTAAACAGCAAGGCTTATCGGCCGAGTCGGAAATCGATCGGTCTTATCAATCCTTATCTCGCTTGACCGAAGCCCTCACCTTGTTTACCTTGCTTACCTCATCCACCACCAAAACAACACGCACGGACCCCCAGAGGACCCTTGGGGCCCCTTTTTAAGGTTTTTAATCTGATCACGAGCACGTGGCGGGTCTGATCCGACGAACCAGCGAATCCAAAGCCTCAATTAACCGAAATTAGATACTAGCGCCTGTAAATTCTGGGGGGTAAGGTGAGTCGCGCCTGAAATCGCGATCCAATTTTTTCCCCTTCTCTCTCTTTTACAACCCACACACCACACCACACCAGCAACAAGCTGCAGATCATCCATGACCTCATTCCTTTGACTTGCTTTATCGGCCGCAACGGCGGCTGGCCCATTCCTTGTCTCATATCATCAAAAACAAAAGTCACTCTTTAGAAATCCTTACTAAGGGGCTCTGGTTGAACCCAGTCCCTTGTCACTCTTTGAATAATGCGCAGCGCCTCTCTCTCATCGCTGTCGCGTCTTCTGCTACCACTGCTGCTGTTGACCTCGTCTCCGTCATCATGCGTCCTCGCCGATGGGACCGTGTGGGCAACACCTCATGATAGTTACTCATCCTCTGTCGGCGTGCTCGGCTGCAAGATCAACACTGACCGTGTTGCCTATTGGCCCGGCTCTGTCGATTGCAACAACATTTGCATATCGCTAAGCTACGAGGACCGCACCGTCAAACTGCTCCGCATCGACCAGTCGCAGGGCGCGTACGATGTTAGCTATGATGCCTGGAACTATCTTTACACCGGAAAATCCGCCAAAAAGGCCCCCGTTGCTGGTGGCCCGCTCGCTATGGAGTATAAGGAACTCCCCGCAGACGACTGCAAGGAGCTCATCAAGACCAAGAACAAGAAACTGCCGCTTAGCGCCTCAAACAGTATGAACTTCCTCGCGAGCTGCCTCGGCGAAAAGGGTAGCTGGGTGGGCAGCAACTTTGCCCTCTACAACATGCTCGATTCCATTTGTTCCTGGGGCTACGACGAGGAATGTGAAATCGACTGGCCCGCGGCGAACCAGCCTACCTGCAAGCATTCTCTGGGTATGCCCGTAGCGCTGAAGGATGCGCCAGTATACAACGTTCAGTACCCATCGGGAGAGGTGGTTGAGGCGTCCTCGGGACAGAAAGTTTCCAACCCTGACACCACGAGCGCGGCGGTGCCATCTCCGACAGGTCTCAAACAAAACGGCGCTCCAAGCCGCGGCGTGTTGACGATGTTGATGGCCAGTTCATTCTTGTGGACGTTTTTTATGCTAGGGTCGTGTTGATGGGTTAGGATGGGATGGGACGATGAGTTGATACCAAAGATACCACATATATTGATGTCACGAGTACGATAATGTCAAATACTATTACCACATCATTAAAAAAAGAGAAAAAAAGCCAATTCTCACGTGCAAGTATTGAGGTTGTGTTTATTTGAAAATATTCTAGTCTCAAATGTGATAAGATTTGACACGGACACAAGCATCTGTGTTTATCTGGCTGATTTGTCGGTATCATAGCTAGCAGCGTAACTAGGGCTTGGCTGTAAAGCATCATCTGTAGGTTGCTTACCGAGGGCCTGGGATATACTGCCTTCTGCGAATGGAAATCAAGGCACTAAACCTGGTTCGACACCGGCGGAAAGCGTCACTCGACTCAAAACTGCAAGAGAATGAACGGCAGTAGATATGACAAGACTATCAAGTTCGTTTGACAGTCTGTCGCGAAAATACATTTACTCAAAAGTAGCTCAAGAGATATTGATCTAGTTGTTAGACATGAATTTGCATACTACCGTACATAGCTAGCTGTAGCAAAGATAGTGACAAAAGAAACTAAAACTACAACTTGCAAATCACATCCGAGAAATGACCTTAACCCTAAGCAGCGGTGCTGTTTGAACCAGTGCCATTGGAAGGCCGAACGTAATCGAGCTCCTTGAACAAGGGGTCCCACTTGGTGTTCTCCCAAGGGTGCGCAGCCGGCTCGCAGACAGTACCGTCCTCCGGCAATTTCCCATTCTCAAAGTACTCGCGGACAATGTTTGCAGTGCACAACGACGGCTGGCTTTGGATGCCGTGCCCAAAGGTGTTGAACTTGACCACGGAGCTGCCGGGGAACGAGGCGCTCGCGTTGACGGCAGACACGTGGGGCGTGACAACGTCGTACTCGTTTCCGATGAGCAGCGGCGGCGTCTGGAGCTCGACGGGCTCGTGGAACCCGCGGGTGAAGCGCTCCTTGAGGGGCAGCTTCCATTGGGAGCAGAGGGCGACGCCGGTGTGCATCATGTCACCGATGAAGCGGCTGATCTCGATGTTCTTCTCGATGCGGGGGAGCGCGTCCTCGACGGTCTCGGCGCGGAACGTCGTGTCGGAGCAGGTGATGCCCATGGAAGAGTCGCCGTATTCGGTGACCGGGTTGGCCTCGTTATAGATGGGGATGAACTTTTCGAGGTCGCGGATCATCAGGAGGTGGACAAGAGCTGCGAGCGTGGGGTAGCCGGCGGCGTTGTAGAGGGGCCCGCGCATCATGCTCTTGACGAAGCCGTCGTCAATCATGTGCACGCCGGGAATCGAGTCGTCGAGGATGGGGATCGGGTTGAACTTGAGTTCCTCCATCATCTCGTAAATCTTCTCCGTCATATGCTCGGCAGTCGAGTTCGGGTTGGCGGCGGCCAGGGGGCACAGCTCGGGCTTCTCGAAGCAGGTCCTCACGAATCCGGCGAGGACCTTGTCGGAGTCTGTCTGCATCTCCCAGAATCTAGATCCCAATGTCAGTTGAGCTGTTCATCGAAGCCCACCTGCGAGGCTTGGGGGTAACTTACTCGCCCGCCCACCACTGGTGAATGTTTGAGACACCGTCAAGAACAAGCCGCTCAATTCTATCGGGGAACATGGCACCAAGAGTCGCACCGACAATAGTGCCGTAAGAGATTCCTACTGAAATGTGAGCCAGGATTCATGCGCCTTCTTTCAGCAGGTCACGTACCGTAAAATCTTACTCGACGGTCACCTCCGAGTGCGTCCACAATGGACATGACATCTCGAACCGTGTCGACGGTGCCGATCACGTCCATGCGTTTGCCTTCGTTGTTGTCGGCGCAGATTTGTGCATGTTTCTCGGCGAGAACCCAGCTTCTACCAAAGGCCAGTTTGTCTTCGGTGGTCAAGGCAGTAATACCACCCGTGTTCGCATTCCACAATTCTCTTTCTCTCGTGGTGTTGAAGCATGAGAGTTCCAGAGCTGTACCTTGGGTACCCCTTCAGTTTTGTCAGTATGAAAGCCTTTGGTCAGATTGTGTCTTTACATCGAGTCGTTCTGGTCCTCGACGAAGCCTCCAGCGACTCAAAGTAGAGATGATTGCGAGCTGCTCACCTTTGGTCCCAACTGACAAGGTCATATCCTTGGCCAGTAAGCCTAATAGAAAGTCAATAAAAACGATTCGTAGTTTCAACCTTCGTGTGAAACCACAAGGGTGGTTATGCTTACAAAAGCATCTGTTCGCCGAGCGTAACCAGCGTCGTAGTCTGAAGCGGCGCTGGGCCACCAAAGTGAACTATGATGCTACCTTTGGAAGGCTGCTTTAGAGCAGGCATTCGGATAAGTGGGAGTTCGAATGTGCCGTTATCGGGTTCAGAGTAGTCGATGGGAACAGTGAGGTTGCTGCATTCCACCGGAATCGGCGGGAACAGGCCGGTAGCAACCACTCTGCCGATGACTCCCTCGCACTTTTTCCATTGGATCTCGCTCTCAGCAGACTGCGTCGTCGCAGAGGCAAGTCCCGCCAGGGCACCACCTAGAAGTAGAGGCGACAGGCGCAAAACCTGTGGCAGGCCTTGGAAGTGCATCTTGGGACGAAAGTGCCGTGTAATCGATCGACCGGTGGCGTGGAAGTAGAACTCGAACTGTTGAGAATAGTCTGTGGAAAAGTAGTGTAGTGTTGTGATGTGGTTGTGAGAAGCTGAATATCGAAGCGTGCTTCGCTCCCAGTTTTTATATCTGGTCAACCATACCGTGATCTATTCTTGTGGCTATACATACTTGAGATTGCGGGTGCCTGTTGAGATGACATCTGCCAATTCAACCACAACACACCATACCTATTCACGGGCGGAGCCGCAGTTGAGGCGGAAAACCTCTAGTGCTCACCTTAGCATCTTGTAACCGAATTCAGCTATACGTTTAAACAACCAGTAAAAAGACGCAATCTCGACCAACGCGTGTCAGGGTCAGGGCCAAGAAGCGTGCAGGCCGGAGGATAAACAGGCTTGTGCTGAAGGCAGGGCGCAGCGGAAGCGAATTATGTGAGCAGATCGGAGGGTAAAGAACATAGTTAATTACACTGTAGACAACAATGCTGCGGCTATGAATGGCCGGTAGGGACAGCATGCAAGACAGCTGTGTAAGTAGTTTTTACTCTGCATTTCCTATTTAGGAAGTCAACAGGCCGCCAAGAGCCAACTAAGCATCCGCTGCGCCACCCCGGCATTGAGCGAATTGGGAAACGTTTATCTTGGTGCATGTCATAGAACTTGGCAGTAAGCAGATAATGTCTTAAATATATATCATTCCCATCTGTGCTTTGCGTAATGATTCCGTTTCTGTTGGTGGTTAAGAACTTCACGTAGGTAGCCCGACTTCTTATACTGATGCCTAGAAGTAGGGCGATGGCAGAGTTTTGATTCAGCTGTCTTTTTGTAATGAAAGGTACACATGCAATTGAATTCGCCTGCCCATTATTTGCGGTTCAGTCAGCAGTTACGCAAGTATTTAGGCAGCTGAAAAGTTATTAGTGGCTTTTGAAATGAAAGGAATCCGACTATACACGCTCAGCGCGTTATTGGCTGAATTGAATACGAAGCAAAACACTAAATGCGCGTAGGCGAGGTTCAGGTCCGCGGGTCGAAATAGGATCAAGCCGCAAGGAGGGTACCGAATAGTCTCTGGAGAGGCCAGTGTTTAGATTAAAGTACCTCACATAATTCATTTTTTCATGGCTTGGCTAATTCCAGTCACACTAGGTCTTGGTCGCTTTTAGTCCATAGCTATGCTGAGGTAATTGTGCAGGGAAACTGGAGAATAGAAGCGTTGCTGCATAACGTAGTACTTGCTTCGGCGAGCAAAGGCGTTAACTAACCAATCACCATTTGTCTATTTGCCCCCAATGTCACGTTCACTGCCAGTGTGTGTCTTTGGGATAGCGGGGGCCTGCGTGTCGCATCAGGATGTGACAGCACTTGTTATCAGGGCCGATGTAAACTGCATCAGTCCGTAACATCAAATACTCTTTAGCTGAAGAATTCTGCTCTCCGACCTTCTTAGTGCTCACCTGCACAAGAATGAGACTTCAACAATGATACTTTATGATTATTTAACTCAAGGTAGGGCAGAAATGATGTCCTTGAGTAAGAAGTCTAGCAGTGAGCAATTTGATATCTGCTAGTAATCCACCTCTCTGAAGCTTACTGTAAGAGGTGTGAACTATATTTGACAACTCCCAGCTATACCTTATTGTTTGACATTTAACCGCAATTGTAATGAAGAAAGTTAGAATGCAGCTACGTTCGAACGCGCAATGTAGGCGTCTCGCTCTTTGTCTTCAAGTTAAATTGTATACATTCAGAGAAGCCTGAAGTATGGCTACAACGTCGAAAGCGTTCGAATAATAAATGCCATGATTTGGTGCATTGCTATTTTTGAGTCCCTTCGGGCAGCTATACTTAGTATTTTGCTTAGAGAAACATGAAACCACATGTGCTTTGTCTCATAATTGTAGCCCAGTCGAACCTGAGGGGAAATAAGGCATAGTGTTGACCTGTCTGTCTACCTATTCATGACTGTGCTCGTGCTAATTCACACTACATTTGTCAGGTATACTCAAAGAAAAAGTAAACAAAAAAGCGGAAAGCAGAAGGAGAAGTTTGCAGGCCCGTATGTCTAGTACTCAGAAAACCTCTGACAATACCGTACGAAATTGGCAAGGAAAACTGGGCGAATTTTCCAAACAGGAGGCCTCAATTGTGGGTTATTAATACTTATTCTTTGTTTCCAGGGACTAATACCTGGTAAAAAGATAATTACGTTCTATTGAGGTACTTAGCTATCATATCTGGCGAAATCCACGGCATCCCAAAAGTGCTTACTCGTCTTACAAGACCAATGATTTCATGCTTGCCAGACTCGGCCAGCTTGTGGGTGACCTCAAGTCCAAGCTCTGTAGAAGATATTAATTACTGATGAGAAGACAAGTACTTAAGAAGTGACCCATGAGGATAATTAGGAAGTTCTGTCATTTAGTCCACCACTTACTTCCAGATGCGCCCGCTATGGCAATTTTGACCATGGTTGTTCGATGGTGGGTTAGTAGGTTCGCTGAGGTCAAGAACGAGGGGACGGAGTTGAACGCTGGTTGACAGTGTTTGAAATGCTGGATATGAGTAACGATTAGAGTGGCACTCTTCGAGGCAATGGCGTTTATTTGTACCAAAGAGTTCCCCAAGAGAAAGTTGACTTCTTCCGTCAATCTTCCGCTACATCTGCACCCCAGTCTTAACTTTGTCTGATCTAGACTTTTATTGAAAGCCCACCCACGCATGAGGTTATTTTGATGTGGGAATCTCGGTGTACAAGGTAACTATTCCGTTCCGCATCTTAAACCGAAGCTCTTGGTCGGGGCCGGCTTAAGACGTCGGAAAGTAGACCAATGGGCTTCGAAGCTCGCACTAAACATTGCCCCGAACCATAGATGCATGCAGCCAATTCTTTGCCTTGCCCAGGATTCGTGTTAAGTTTAGATCCGCCATATCGCAATCGCGATCAGAATATCAAAGTCAAGCATGACCGATTTACACATTCTCGATGTCAAGCGAGTATGAAAGCGATGCTAGCGTCCATTCAATAGGATAAAAATTGATCGTCAGCTCTGATGGATCAGCAATTATTGGACCAACAAACTGGATGTTTGGTTTGGTTCCGTTATTGTACGTCGGGATAATGGTATATGTCACGGACTGGAAATCATAACCCTGGATGTTGTTTGAAGACTCTGTCCACCATCGTTGCATGCCAATAGGCGAGCCCTGCCAGCTGATGGTCACCGGGTATCCTGATTGTCGATTGATGATGTTCGCTGGGCCAACAGTCGGATCGGAAGCAAATCTCCATTGGTAGTTGAAATCGTTGGGATCGGGTGGCGGATTGCACGCCAGAGCTGTGCCAGTGTTGCATATGTACCATCCAGTGACTGAGTGCGGGTCAGTGGAGAAGGTTCTAAGACGAAACCATTTGTTTGGATCCAAGGTGAATGCAGGCGCGGTGTATGAAGGCTGCCAAAGCTTAACTGCAGGTGGAAAGGCGCAGTATGCTGCGTTCTGGATGTTGGTGAGATTTTGGCTCCATTCCTGAGCCATGTTTTGAGCTTCCACTGGGTCGGTGGTCGTGGTACATAAAAGCACGATTGCATTCTGAAGGATTGTGAAGATGGCGAGCAGCTTTGTGTCAACAGCTTCTTCAAAGGCCGCAGTCGTGAAGCTACTACCAGCGGTGACCTGTGCCTGATAAGTATTGCTCACCCAGATCTGGACCGTCCCTCCCCCAAAGTCTGCAAATTCTGCATCTCCCAGCAATGCATCGTACAGCGTCGACATTTGATAGCCGATACCATCATTTGCATTGCTCAGATCTTTTAAGAAGCTTTCTAGGTCCGCAGTGTCGCCGTCACTTGCGCTTTGCAGACACTGCTTCATCCGTTTGGTATAATATTGGAGATGAGTGATTGGACCCCACATCTTGTCCATTTGGTCTTGTTTCTGGAGTGTTGAGAGCGCATTGGCGACTTCCTGGTTCAAGGCGGTGAGTTGGGCTGAGACAGCGTGGACCTGGTTTTCAAGAATCGTGATTTGATCTACAGCCTTGCCAAAAATATGATCTTTAACGTATGAGAGGATATATGGAGCTGCTTGCTTGGCTACCCAGCCTATGACCTGAGTCGTCATTGTGTTATCCGTTAAGCTCGTCAATAACTGAATTTTCTGGACTGAAGTCGATTAGGAATCGAAAGACTATGGGAGGCTCTCTTGTCATGGATCGATTGTGGTGGACAGGCAGGCGCACTGCTGCACAGCGAATTAAGTAATTTTTGCCATCAAGAAAATGCAATGAGTTAATTAATGCCGAAAACGTAACAAGTTAGCTAGCACTGGAAATGTAACGAGTTACTTGGCACCGAAAACATATTGACTTCAGCAGAACTGAAAACATAACAAGTTAGTTAGCACCTAAAACATGATGAGTTAAGCTAGAACTGCAGACTAATCGGCTACTGTTTGGCTCACAGCCGTCTGCACTAAATCAGGGCATATAAGGTTTGGCAGTAGAGAACTCAGAGGGCGACAGAGGGCTTACTAATGCGGAGGTCAGCGCTGGCAGTTCCGCGTGGTTTGTTCGCTGTCGGGGGGGGCCCAGCCCACGCTAACTTTCGGGCATAGCCCGTTACAGGGGCATGGACATCACTTGTCGGGCTTTGGCCCTGGCACACCAGACCCACTTATGAGCTCTAGTTACCTTGGACATGTATAATACAGCGATATTTTGGTTTCACATGTTTGAAAACAGGGACGCGTTGTGATGAACAGAGAATGAAATCCGTCCAGTGTAGCCAGAACACAGGATTAGAGTCCCCAGTTACTAGTGAGTGAGCACGCATCGCTTTCGTAGGTTTCAGCCGAATCTTTGTTGGCCTTGAAGCGATTCCATCCCAGGTTCCATATCTACCTAGGCACAAAATACTAGACACACGACGACGACGAGAAGTTTTGTAATCTGAGTAAACTTTATTTTAGGTAGATTATCACATAGCCTACTCATAGCTATGTTCCCCCGAGACTTCTAAATCTTTTGAATCCAGAAACACAAGTGCAACTTAAAAGCGGCTGTAAGTCAACCACTTGCCACGCAGTGTGATGTTAACCCATCTGTTTTATATGTTAGTTTGACATTCTCATCGTTCATAACACAATGGCATGTTAGCTCGTAAGGGTACTTACGTGACTCCATCTTGGTCAATCTCCTTGTCCACCTTGGACGAGAAGGCAATGCCGCTCATAATGCCGTCGCCAAACTTTTCGTTGATAACGGCCTTGAACGCGTACCCATAGTTCTGCACAATCTCGTAAAGCCGGTAGATGAGCGGTTCCACGGGGGGCATTGGCCCGGCCCGGCCGCGGTCAGGCACGCCCGCCATTGAGGCCGCGAGCGTCGCAGCGGGAATGTCAAGCACCGACGCCAGCTTTTCGATGTCTTCGGCCGATGCACGTGCCTGCCCGTAGAACAGGGCGGCCACGGCGACCTCGCCGCGGCCCAGCTCCTTTGCAATCTGTTCAAAGGTGAGCTTGCCCTTGGCCTTGGCCTCGAACAGGGGCTGGCAGTAAGCAGGCACTCGGTTGACAATAGTCGACTAGAAAGGTATCAGTAAATATGTGAGAACTTGGATTGACTCAGTTACGAAGTTCCGCTTATAGGACACTTACATCGAGCGTCACAATGTTGGTTGAGTCAGTCATTTTGACGGTTTACAAAGTGTGGAACGTGCTTTGTGTGTAGGTAGAGGGTTTTGTGGTGATGGGATATGGGCAGGGAGTAGCGCTGGAGAAGACGGATAGACTGAGGAAAAAGAGAATAATATCAAAACCACCGGTTGGGGATTCTTGAAATTTATTAATTGAGCGAGGAGTATGCTTGCAAGAGAAAACTCTTCGTCTTGATGATAGGAACCCATGCACCCTTCACGTGAGGCTAAACTCACTCATCCTTAATCATAGCACAAAGCCCGTCTTAAGCTTGCGCCCGGGATCCCATGAGATGACGGAGAAAACCCGGCTTCTTGGTAGATACCGCATTTGATCATACTTCAACACGTCAAATGCTATCCTCAAGCTGGCGTTGTCCGTTGTCCCTCACCCAAATGCCGGGATGATCCGTCTGCAAATCCCGAGGAGAAGTGAAATGAATCCATGCCCTGCATTACACGCGGCCATAATTATATCTCAGTAAGTCACTTGCATGCTGCATGGTCTTCGCTCAGGATAGAGAAGATGAACATGGCAGGGCACAGTCGTGGTTTATTACCAGAGCCTTAGTCATGGTCAGCTTCCAGTCGGTACAATCGGAGAAGCCCGGAGATTTCTGCCTCCAACAGAATAGCCTTTTGACTGTTTCACTAACACAAAATAGTAACAAGTGCTTGTTAGGGGTACTCCAATATGCAATATACAGTGAAACTTCTCCAGGCAGATGCACGTGAAATACCTGCGACGCCAATGGCCACTCGGAGGAGAGGGAGCCGAGGTGTAAACCTGCGCGGCTGCTGGCAACTTCACATTACAATTTCGAGGAATTATTGCATCCGTTCTAATGGAAATAGAAGCTGGGTTAGGTGTCATTTTAGTTGTCCTGGGGTGCCGTGGATTGTTGTTGGAGCGTTTGGGTCGAGTCTGTCTCTTCCGTGGTTTCTGCTGCTGGAGAGTTCTAGGTTTGTCGCATTTTCTCCATGGATCGAGCGTTAATTTTGGTGTTTCTCTTAGTTCTCCAAGTCTTTAGTTCATATCGTCGTGCTGTGTTTTGACCGACTTCAAAGTCTTATAAGGAAGCATGCGAAAACGGCTGTTGATGCGCCCTGGGATAAAAGGGACTAGACTCAGCAATAGGCGGTCATGTCGCCGTGCGGGCTTCTGATTATGTTCTATTGAGAATACGCTGCTTGTTCTCTCTCTCTTTAGTGCAAATCACAACACCGCTTCCTGCCGCAATTCCCTCACGCCCAACTGCCATTCCCCCGCTCATGACCCAATTGGCCACGATAATCACCAGATACACAGCTAAACCCAAATGCTCTGTTCTCTTCCTTCCCTGTTCCAACACTTCGTAATAACCTTGTAGCTTCAATCAACGAGGTTATAAATCTTCTGGATGCTATGCAAGACACCCTCAAAGTCAATCTCGAGGTCCTTGATAAGGCCCGTCTCGAAGTCAAAGACCCAGCCGTGAACAATGGGGAATTTCTTTTCAGCGAAGGACTGCTGGACGGCGGCCGTTTTGATAACGTTGCGGCACTGCTCGAGTACAGAGAGCTCGACGAGGCGATTGTAACGCTTCGACTCGTCAGTGATTTGATCGAGCTCGTCCTCGTAAAGTCGGTAAACGTCACGGATGTTGCGTAGCCAAGGGTTGAGCAGGCCCAGGTCCTTGGGCATTATAGCAGCCTTGACGCCGCCGCAGCCGTAATGGCCGCAAACGATAATGTGCTTGACTTCGAGATGGCGAACGGCGTAATTGATGACGGACATGGCGTTAAGATCCGTAGCAACGACGAGGTTGGCAATGTTGCGGTGAATGAAGGCTTCTCCGGGCTGGAAACCCGAGATCTGTTCAAAGGGTACGCGCGAGTCACTGCAGCCAATGCAAAGGTACTCTGGTTTCTGGCCAGCCGAGAGCTTGGAGAAGTACTCCGGGTCTTCCTTGGCCTTCTGCTCGGCCCATTGTTTGTTGAACTCAAACACCTTGTTGTGGGAGTGCTTAAGATACTTGTTAATAGCCTCGTCCGACATGCTGGGCGACTTTGTGGGGTAAGGTAGCTGGGGAAGACGGAGAAGAGGATGAGCGATGTCTGAGGGCACGGAAGTCGATGAAGTTCAGAGCTGGTGGTAAGGCGAGAGATACCGATACTTGAGTGTTTTTGTACTTTTTTGTTTGATTGATTATATCTGTATCCCAAATGCACACCTCTGTCAGGATTTTTAATCGCTCGATTAAGCCACGAAATTTGAACCGGTATCCGCTATACAGCAGGTTTTGCGTAACGGTACTTTTGAACAATTTATTTGTATGAATAATTCAATTCAGGAAATCGCTTGGTCCCTTATATCGCAATATTCGCTTTATGGCGATGTAAAAACGGTTCGCTATACGATAGTATCAGATCTATTGTACCCGCGGGTGGTGGTGTAGGTCTCTGTCTTTTCTTCCACCTGCAAGTACACACTGCCTTGCAGCCTCCATGATGTGCTCTGATAAGAAACTGACTAAGCCTGCGGTTCTGTGACTCTGATTGTGAGTACTGCATTCCAAATATACCGGGCTTTGAACCACATCCCTAGTGCCCTTCAGCGCCCGCGATGTGCAGTAAGACCTGACTAAGCCCACAGTCCTGTGACTCTGTGTGGGTACTGTGCACTAAACACCGGGCTTTGAACCGCATCTTCAGCGCCTTGCAGCCTCCGTAATGTGCTCTGGTTAGAACCTGACTAAGACCACCATGTCTGTGACTCTGATCGTCTGAAGAAGGCTACACACAGAAGCGTTGGCATACTCTTCTCAGAACGAAATACTACAAATACTTCCTCGGCCTCGCACCTGAGCTCAAAAGTCTCTTGGATACAAACACATTGTGAAAACACACCCTGAGCCGAACTAGTACTACTCTGCACACCTCTTTTTATCAAATTACAACCTTGTCGTAAGTCTTCACAGAGATACGACACTTTAAGCAGTAGTCTCATTGACAAAGAGGCAAAGTTCATCATGGCATCCTCCCAAACTCAAGAAGGAAGACCTCCCTACCCGCCTTTTACGGAGGAGACGGCTCGAATTAAGGTCAAGGCAGCACAGGACGCCTGGAACACAAGGTAAGCCAACTGCCAGTGTCGCTTTGCTTCAAGAGATGCATTCTCTGCTCGCAATGATTGACAAGAGTGTCTTCACTGTGCCGTAAATATGCTAACCAATGAAAAAACATCAGAGACCCTCACAAGGTCAAGCTCGCCTATACCCCAGACAGCATCTGGCGTAACCGCTCCACGTTTCTCCAGGGTCGCGACGAGATCGCCAAGTTCCTGACGGAGAAGTGGAGCGTCGAGGACGGGTACCAGCTGCGAAAGGAGCTGTTCGCCTTTACGGACAACAAGATCGCCGTGCAGTTCTGGTACGAGTGGTTTGACAAGTCGGGACAGTGGTGGAGGACCTACGGCCTCGAGGACTGGACCTATGCTGAAAACGGCCTGATGCGCAAGCGCCATATGAGTGGTAACGACGTCAAGATCTCGGAAGAGGAGCGATGGTTCAAAGACGGGGTCGACGTCAACACTGTCGATATCTCGGAGAAGCACTGGTAGAGGATACGACTGTTTAACCTTCTCTCCCCTCTGTAGAAAGACGCTTTGCATATAACCACGGATAGAAAGAAAAAAGAGTTATGATAAGATAATCGAGTGTTTTTTGTTGAAAAATTCAATGCTGCAGCTAGCAACGCGGTAGTCCAAGCCACAACCGCTGGGATGGAAGGTTGCATTGGTGTAGATCAAATCCACCATCACAAGCTACTTCTGAGATTCGACAAGCCTGGATGCTCTCAAACCCTGGCCTGGCACCAAAATTCTATTGACCCAAGGGCTCCTCGTTCTTGCATGTAAGAGCCATGGGATCTCTAGACCCTAAGTCCGCGGCAACGCCTCTGTAAGCAATCTCCAGAAACATACGAGATGCACGCAGTAAGCGTCAGGGAGCGCTGAAGGAGGGTATCGTGATAATCAATTGTAGCTAACCTAAACTATTTCTTCCAAAAGAAAAGCGCTTACCACCCAAATTGCTCGCAATGGAGATCCACAGAGGGCCCTGTGGCGCGGATTTCCCTAGCGACATTGTTTCTCAACTCCTGCATTAGTCTCTGGGGGCCGCAACCCATAACAATAACTCGCTGAGTTGGAGTCGATTCTTCGACCGCATGACGAATCACGGCTGCAACATCCGGACGCCCGTAGTTAAGCGACGGGCTAAAAGTGTTTTGCACATCTGACTCCTTAAACCGAAGCGCCTCGGTATCGGAATCGCTGAGCCTTGAAGAACGGCGTCCTTCAGTTGAGCCAGGTTGGCCCTCGTCTTGCGTGTGTGGCCTGTCGCGGCTGGATGACAAAGGTTCATCGGTGATAAAGAGGGATACGGAGAAGTTAGGGTGTTGTAGGAGCCTCTGTAAGTGGGTAGAGAACCAGCTAAGAACGGCTGTTCTCAAATCAGCCATGTTTCGTTTGCAGGGTTTTGGGACAGGTCAGGAATCGCTCTTACCGGATTTCTTTACTGCCCACACCATGACTACCTTCTGTTCGGATCCCGATCTCATTCTTGCGAGGATATTCAATGCGACGCCCACCGTGAAACTAGCTCCGCTACCGCCTGCTATCAACACGATGCGGTTGTAGCTTGTTAGATCGGGCAAATATCCGTACGGCCCCTGTACTGAGGCCGACAGATCTGCACCGGGATTCTTTGAGGCAAACTCGTGTAGGTCGCGGGTGAATCCATCATGCGCTGATACCACAAACTCTAGAGGCTCGACCGCGGATATGGTGAAAGGGTGCGTTTCCAAGAGTCGAATGCGAGGAATCCAGAGATACGCATGCTCTCCAGAGCGGGCAGTAGAGGGGCATTTCTTGAAAACGATCTTTGTCGCGCCGTTCGGTAACGGATAAACAGTCGCTGTGTTGTTGACGCTATTGACACCGAGACGAGTAAGGCGAACGGCGTGGTCGAGAACCCACATGCCACCGGCCACGGCAACTGCATATGCCACGTTTTCGGCGACATCGGGGTGATGGAGGCCAATAAAGATCAGTGAAAGTATGAAGAACAAGACATGGAGGATATAGAATAGCTCGTAATGTTTCCGGCTGAGTATTACAGCAACGATGACCATGCTGAGAAGCATGAAACCGGCGACAATGCCATAAATCTCGTCCAATACCTGGAGGCGAATTGCGTTGTTCTGCTGGATGAAAAAGGATGAGTAGCAAGCGCCATGTATGATGGTGTGTACCACGATTGTGATTCCGGCGATACCGTGAAGGAACTTTAGCCTTTCATATGACCAGGCTGTAAGGTATGCGAGAGGGGTGTTCCGGAGACTAAGAAAGACGGTGAAGCATATATTTGCCAGAGCAAGCCTGAAAATCAATCAATTAGCACAAAATCTGATAGCCCAGAAACGTGGAAGAAACACTTGGAGGAATTCAACCGGATGGGTCAAAAGGAGTAAGGTAGCCTTACCATCCTGTTCGAGCTGCGATCACGGACTGCATCGGCATGGCATCGTAATCCGAATGAATGAATATGAACAAGATATTCAAAGCCAGATATCCGGCGCTAATTAAAGCGTGGCCTACGGAGGTCATTTTCGGTCCGGTCCGGATAAGATATCTCTTGAAAAATCTGTAATGGTGTCAGCTGATAGCCCCAACATTCCGGAAATCGAGTCGAACCTGATCGGAATGGCGCATAGATTCACCAGCCTCGTCGGCAGGAATTTGCGAGATAAGTTTGCCATATAGAATATGACAAACAGGGCCATGACCCCGGCTAACGCTGCTGCGTAATAAGACATGGCCTCGTGGTCAGCCCTGGCGCGGGCCGCAAATAACATCATCAACTGGGCTGGGGAGGGCTGAGTGGGCGGCACATTATCACCAGGCAAACCTGTCGGCTGGGGAACAGCTGTTGTGGTGCTGGTGAGAGCCGTCGATGTAGTGTAAACAACCCGGGAATACATCGTAGGCAGGGGGAGGTTTTGGTGATGGAGAGGATTCGTTCAAAGCGTTAGCGAAGGGTATGAGGAGTGCGCGTATGTGAAGTGTCTTTAGCTTGCTCGATAAAATCAGTTTAGAAGCAGGAAGCAAACAGACAGAAAATGAAGGGGTATCAAGCAACTGATTGTGGCAGCGTGTCTTATTCGTTGTCGACTCGGTGTTCTGGAACGAGGACTTTGGGGAGGTCTTTAAGTGACAGCATCTTCAAGATGTTTATCAATAGTTGATATGATTACTGAACTAATTAATATCAAGGTTTCTTTGAATTGGAACGCGAACATGAATCGTTTTCAAGGCACAATTTCACGATACTTTCTTGGTCACTATAGGGTTTACGACTTTACTGTGGCTTATCATGTACCCTAGCGAAAGCACGTCTTGGAACATAGCCAGGGTCCTGTTGCGCAAGATCCTTAGAACTCGATTGAACGCGTACGCGTGCTGATCCCTCCACTTGTGATTGCCATGAGACAGCTGCGGGTACAACGCAACTTTAGTTATCCTTCTCAAGCTTTTTACATCCGAGTTCCGATGCCGCGCGCGTTAACTGACTAAGCTCTGGTTTTACACTGGGCTGGTTTTCTTGGCCTGTAACCACATTTCCTGTAATTCGGTCTTGGCGTCACATCAATCTGTCCGTCAAAGCTTAGGTCAATGTGCGCACCATATGCTCTAGTAAATCATCTTCCTGGTGAGCAGGGATCTCCTGGCATGACTAACAAAATAAGATTATGTTAGGGCAGAATCTAGCAGATTCTTAAAAGATTTACCTGTCATCTAAGGCAAGATATCTCATACCCACCGACTTTTTCTTGGTACATAGTTGAGATAGTCAATTAAATTAGCGTTTGGCTATGGGCAGTGTTGCTCAGGCGGCCTCTTCCACTCCACGCAAATGGTTTGTCCCTATCTCAGTGCGCTAACCCTACAAGTCTGCCTTGTTTTGTTTAATTTTTTTTTAATTCTTCACCAGAAAAAAAAACAGTAGAGTAAAATAATAGACTGCGTGGATTCGTCAGGCCACAACGTTCACAGTGGTTCATCACCAATGTTGTATCAGCAAACTAAACACTATGTAACATACACCAATTATCATGTCCTCCAGCGGAAACCGGGGTGCTTCCAGTCAAGGTCAGATATTTCCTTCGCACTGAGACCTGCTAACTCAGCATCAATGTCGCGCTGATCCCTCTTTTTATTATCCCACTTCATCCAAAACCAGCCGCCAAGTGATATGAGAAGCATCATGCAAGCGGCACCAAGATTTAACCCATTGCCAATCTTGAAATCTGGCGCATCTGATGAAATATAGCTCCAGGTAGACACGAGTCCACCCACGTTGCCCAACATAACCTAGATCTCCATTTTTAGGCCTGCGGCTCCAAGAAACCCCCCAATAGAGCAGGAGAGATGACTCACGTTTAAGCCTATGGCACTGCTCCGTGCTGTATCGCTAACCACATTGGCGCTGATCTGCGCGTTAGACATTGTGCCCAGAACCATGGCAGTGCTGGCAATGAGGAAGGTTGCAGCGTATCGAACTCTGGCTATGCCTGAGACCAGGAACATGATGTAACCGATTATCATTACTAGCGACAGTCCGTCAGTCTCAAACATGGAAAATCTTTCTGCAACACCTTTGTAACGAGAGACATACATGGAGCGCTCAACGCGATAAGTACCTGTCTGCGATCAAGATACCAGCTCAGTGCTGGAAACCCCAGTACAAACAAGGCTCCTACTGCGTAAGGAGGCACGCTGTAAAGCTGCTGTTGAACAATGCTGTAGCTCGGGTAGATTGAGCGCACAATCATTGGCAGAAAGAACGCGAGCCCTTGTACGCTGATATTGTTGAACAGGAAAATGACGGCAATTTGAATGGTGACAGGGCTCGTCATACCGCGTACGAGCTTAGTGCGGTCCATGCCGTCGAGGATCTCCGTGGCTCCCACACGCTCTGACTTTAGACGAGCAGTACAGAGTTCCTTCTCCTCCTGCGTTAGCCAGCGCGCCGTTTCTGGACGATCCGTCAGCGTGAAAAATGAGATGGCAGCTAGGCCTATAGTAATTATGCCCTCTACAGCAAATATCATTCTCCATTCACGGAGGGAGCCGAAACTATCCATGGTAAGGATGGCTGAGGCGAGAAGTCCGCCGAGGGCGCCAGCCAGAGGGGCTGCAACCAAGCAGAGTGAAAGGCGGAATGTGAGCTCGGCACGCTGATACCACCTTGACAGGTAGTACGAGATCCCAGGCAACACCCCGGCTTCGAAAATCCCCAAAAGAAATCGCACACCTCGCATAGCAGCCTGAGTCTGGACTAGAGCGGTGGCAACAGAGGCAATGCCAAAGATAAGAGATGTGAGGGGAAGGAACCAGCCAGGTCCCATCCACTTGCAACATATGTTTGCAGGTATCTCGAAAATGATGTACCTGGAATGTGTCAGGTTGGACAAGGTCAATGTCTAAGTTGGTAGTGTTCTCGAAAATATAACGAATGGAGGGGGGAAGGGTTTTGGGTTATGTCAGTGAGGATTCCAGTGTAGGCATACATACGAGATGTAAAAGAAAGAAAGAATGATATTGTAGTCGTAACCTTGAAGCCCTAGGTCTTCTTCCAAGCCGGCAATTCGAGCATTGCCTTGTGAATTGTCAGTACAGGACCCAAGAAGGAATCATGCGAGGGTTTCGATACAACATACCAATGTTCGCTCGGTCAATGAAACAGAAAAGATAAAGAAGAGCAACAGTTGGAATTATGTAGAGATCGAGCTTCCATCTGAGCTTGCGAACGGCTTCCTTGTCGAACTCGACAATAGCGTTGCCATAGCTGTGGGCATGTCAGCAGTTTCTTTCTTCCTGCTGTAAACATTTTAGGTCTGTGTTGTTTGCAAAACTTTTTACTTACGTATCAGTAGCCAACTGACTCTCACCGGCCGCATTGTGAATGTTACCTATAGATCCTTTCCCATCCACATGATCGGATGTCGCCACACTGTTCTCGACTTCCATGCTAGTTGGAGCAGCTTTGTCGCCTATGTCGTACATATTGACGGCCTCTGGGGTTATGAAGCACTGGCCGTAAATAATTGATGATCAAGAAAATGTTTACATGTTTACCCCGTTGAGATTGTGCATATGTGCGCATTTGTAGTCAGGACGTCGGAGATTACGGAAGACGCTGCCAAGAGGACTCAAGCTAGGCAGATACCGATGCACTGCTTCCGAGTGCATGAAAACAATAGTAGAGACGCAACTCTTCCGAGGGAAAGGGATACAAAAAAGCATTCCGAAACTCAATGTAGAATACGCTGGTTACACAAATCGGGGCCCCGGGCGGAATGTCCTGACGGGCCGCTGACTAAAGTGAGCATTGGGCAGAGTTCCCTAAGCCAAGGTCTTGATCTATCTCTGTAGAATTTGATCCTTGAGCATATGACCGCCTGACTGCACCTTACTTAGATTCGTAATCCATCCTTTTTCTTTCGCAAATGAGTCGTGGCACAGGCCCGCGCCCCTGTAATGTGTCGTCCCATCAAGGTTTAACGACAGGCATTCCCTTAGAGTTTTCGACTTTACCGATCGAGCTATACTACCCGCCGCTAAGCTATTTCAGCTGAAGTAGGCCTCTTTGATACAGGTCTATAAACTCTTGCCTCACAGCCGTGTTCCGGCAATCCGGTCTCCGATTTCCGCCAGTATCAGCAACTGAGGCAAGGTCCTTCAAGGTCGGCTCTCCGAGTTCCGTTAGCCAGGGCGGGCTTCTGGCAGAGTCGAAGACGTCGACGCAGCCCCTAATTTCAGATTACAGAGACCTAGCACCTTGTCTGCTGAAGTGTCTTTGTAGATACGTCCAACCCATTGGATAATTCGTGTTGCTTTCCTCTCCCTGGAACCCTAGATTCCGATATCATTCTGCGGTGAGGCAAGAGACACGCGATATTGGGCGTGAACTTCCAAAGTGGTTAAATTTGCCATAGCAATGCACCTGACCTCTCATACGGTTATTTTCACACGTCACAACGTTCGCGAGACAGATGACATCTCAAGCATTTAGCTGACTCCCTACTTTATTTGATTTCTTTCCGGAGAAACGTAGAACGCTTTGAAGCCGCATTAGGTGACCGAATTAAGAGATTGGAGGCCGTGGTAGCTTGTATTGGCTGTTTTCATTTCACATTTCAAACTGCATTAAAGAACCGTTACATGGTGGTTTATTGAAGAGCTGCCAAGTATCCTTAATCATCCGATCTAAAAATTGTCTATTTACAAATCATGACTATCTTCATGGAGCTTATCGTTTGCGTTTGATGAGTTGTGCTGGCGGTAGGACTTGCTCCCAAACCCCTGACGGCGGTCTTGTGGATCAAGCTCAAATCAGCTCCAGAGGGTTGGTCCTGTTGGCAGGCGGCGCAACTTGCAGAGCATCCCAATGCTCGGCGATGCAGCTTCCCTCAAAACGCCATATATCAACCGCTACAGTGTAACGTCCCATGTTCGGTCCCTCGACCTTGACATGGCTCCAACCCACATTGTCCGCGAAGCCGGTGTTTGTGATGGTGACGTTCCATTCAGCGATGCGTGGCGCAACCCACTCCAAGCTAGCTTCGCGGTCACCATTCACGTTCGGGTTGTGATTGATGGCGTTCAAGAGGATATGCTCTCTTCCAGCGCGGAAGACGTCCTTTTCGATGTAAAACTTGCGTAGGAAGTTGTTGAAGATTATGGACTGCTCGGCAGAGGAGACAGGGTACCCAGGGTTGCAAGTGAAGGATGGGACAGTCGTAGAGCCAGCAGTGTCGTTCTGAGCGAAGACAGCCGGCGCTGAAAGAATGTTCAGGGCAGCGAGCGCGGAGAGCTTGGAGAACTGCATGTTGGCAAGGGATTGGTGTGTACCTGAGTATTTTCTGAGAAAACGAAGGTTATATGTAACAACAAGATGAGGATTGAATGATGGAAGGCGTTTAAGTAAAATATCTCTGATGGAAGGAGGTAGGATTGAGTATTTATCTTCTAGCCCGTCAAGTCTAATTTCGGTGTTGATCGAAAGTGTCTCTCCTCTGCGCCTCACGTCCAGTGTCTTATCAGTCATCTCGTTCACTGGTTTGTAAGAATCAGCCATGGATTATTAGGAAGCTTGATAATCAAGAAATTTTTGATTGCTGTTGTCATGCGATCTCAGAGTGAAGCAGTTAGGTTTTGATTGTTCATGTCCTAGGGAGCCTAGCCAGCGTATCGACAATCTGGCCTAGCGGTGCTAACGAACAGTTTAGGTCTAACAAGATGTATATTATCTAATCTACCGTTCTTTCCATGACTTGTAAAGCCCTCCTACGCTGCCTGAATGAACAAATGACCGAAAGATGGTGGCATCACCGGAGTTGACTCGCGAGAACCCCAGCCCTACTTGCTGTCAACAAGCCCCTAAATGCGTTTAGAAAGCAGCATCCACCTAAATGGGTGATTAAAGTTTGTATGTGGATGCCACCTATCTATCAAATCTATGTTCAGACTAGGATCGTTGCAACTATTGTTCTCTCATGTTGCCCCTTGTTATCCAGACTAAGCTAGACCTTCTAGATACACAACATAGCCTAGCTTCTTTATCGACCGGAGATGACACATTCGATCCCAAAGGTAACGGCGAGTCCGGTCCGTTCGGAGCGGCGCAGCGATAATCGTACTGGCTGTGCAATGCATACGTGGGCAGAGTACAGATAGGTTTAGGTTTATACTCTATTTAAGGCCAGAGTGGGGCATTCTGTTGACTACAGACCAAGGCTAACAATCCCTATCCTCTTCAATCTCCACTCTTCCCACTACACAAGCCGATTTCCCAAGTATCTGATTCGACAACCATCTCTGGGCATTTTCAGGTGATGAAGCCTACTGTGGGCGCAGTCCCATTTAGCGTCAGTGTGTACCGGTGGGATACCGCGCGGAAGTGTTCCCGTGGTGATTACAGGTAAGCACATTTATTTCTTGGTTGCAATGCTTGCATATTGAATGTTCAATTCATTTCCGGTCCCATGTGAAGTAGCAAGTTGATGTAGTGCTTCACAACCTTGCACTTGCTCGTAGTCGACTTACATTCATCTCCTCGCTTTTGAAATTACCCCCTTACAAATTGATAAACTGGTGTTTATTTGATGACTTGAAATAAGTGCCGCGCGGTTGATGTACATAATGTTGAATTTATTTAAAGTTTTCTCCTTTCAGCGATGGTCTCAAATCATCTGATACAACGACTTAGCGTACCTAGACGAGCTGAACGGAACTCGGAACGATTTGTCGCTTGCACCTGACTCCAGTCATCATTGTGCGAATGTAAGACACCCTGTCGTACGTTTCTTACATTGGCTTCACGATTAAAGAGTTAAAACCAGACATCTTACTCAAACTTTTATTCTAAACCACCTATCCCTATCACCGGACATCAAGTAAAGTCGTCTTCATTCTTTATCAAGCTTTCTACCGTCATTCTTACGAAACCCTACTCAATGGCGCCGTATTCTCTGCTTTTCAGAGCCAAGGTAGTGATCTTTGCTTTGGTGCCGTCTGTCTTGTCTGCTTCCGTACCTCCCGGTAGCGTGGCCGATTTTGTGTTTCAAAATGGGTCCATCTACACTCTCGACGAACATTCGAACCGAGTCAGTACTCTTGCTGTCAAAGATGGAATAATCATTTATGCCGGCAATGATACAGCCCCCAAGGACCTCATCGGTAACTCAACCCAAGTCTTGGACTTGGGTGGTCGCATGGCAATGCCTGGCTTGGTCGACACTCACTTGCACGCCCTCCAAGCTGGGCAAAACATGCTCAGATGCAACTTCAACTACCAGCGCCTGAACAAACAGCAAGTCCTGGATCATCTGCAAACCTGCCTCGACAGTGACCCGAGCGCTGCACCAGATGCCTGGCTCGATGCCGTCAACCTCAATTATATGGCTTTGACTGCTGGCGGGGAAAGTCTCAGCAAGTTGGACCTGGACCCTTTGAGTGCCACCCGCCCCATTTCACTTCGGTCCAACGATTTCCATACCTTCGTCCTGAACACCCCCGCGCTTGCATTTTCCAACATCACGAGCACGACTCCCTTTCCACCTGGCGGAACCATCGAATACCTTCCCGGAACTCGAGAACCGTCCGGAATCCTTCTGGACGGTGCCAATATCCTGATCGGCGGCCCCCCGCGGCCAACTGACGAAGAGAATGCTGAAGCTGCCCGGGCCGCACTCCAAGTTCTCCGCGAAAACGGCATTACGACCTGGCAAGATGCCTTGGCGACCGAAGTGAATTGGGGGCCTTTCTACGAACCATGACGGATTGTACAACAGTCCGGTGGTTTGAGCTCGCGTGGTTACTTTGATTACCGAATCCAGCCTCCGGCCAACCTCGAAGCAGTCGACGCTTTGGTTTCCGAGACTGTAGCACTTCTTGCATCTAGAAACGACAACTCCACCATCACTCGTGTGCCGACGCTGAAGTGGCAGGCAATTAAAGCTCTTGTCGATGGTGTCCCCGTCTTCTCTGCAAGAACTGCCGCCCTCACGGAACCGTACTTGATTCCTGTCGCAAATGGTACCAACGGTACCCAGGTATGGGGTCCGGATCCCGGTCCGTTGCCTGCGCCGTACTGGAACGCTGAGGTTCTCGCCAAAACGCTAGAAGGCTTTTTCTTGAACGATGTGGATGCCCAGTTGCACGTCACCGGCGACCATGCCGTGCACATCAGCTTGGATGCAGCAGAGGCCCACCTTAGAGCCCACCCCAACCGACGTGAGATCCGCCTCGCCCTCGCTCACTGCACCCTGACGTTGGAGGAGGACTGGCCTCGTTTCGCCCAACTGGGTGTTGACGGCGTGTTCAGCCATCAATGGTCTCAGCCCTCTCCCATGTGGCTCCCGGACACCTTCAACAGCTTCGGCCCGGATCGGTTGGATAATGTCGACGCGTATGCTGAAATCCAGGACGCCGGACGCCCTGCAGTTTATGGAAGTGACTGGCCTGTAAGCTTACATACGAAACCCCGGTCTACTTTTCCCTTTCCAAGAAACTAAACATGACTAGGTTGATCCTCTTGACGTCTGGCTTGCTTTGAAAGCAGGTGTCACCCGAAGTGGCGACCCCGAGAACATCAACTCGCCCGCGTCTATTGGAGAAGCCTTTAGGGGTACATTCCCAGGCCGTGGGATCTCCCGCGAAGCCGCGCTCCGTGCTCACACGATCAATGGAGCCAGATTCCTGCGCGCCGATAGCCATTTCGGTTCCTTGGAGGTAGGCAAGTTGGCAGACATCATCGTAATCGAGAACAACTTCTTCGAGGTCCCCGACGAGACTTTGGGGCGGAACCGGGTGCTGTTCACCATGGTCGGTGGCGAAGTCGTCTATGTCGAGGACGGGGCTCAGCGCAGCTTTGCGGCTGGCATCACCCCCAAGTTCCCTAATAACAACACGGTTGCTCTGAAAATGGCGCGCAGAAACTTGGGTGGTGACTTGAGGCATTTGGATGCTGCAGGACGCGCTGATGTCGCCAAGCTGAGAAAGAGGGGAGATTGTGGATCTGGCCATGCCCACTGAGACCGAACCAAGGAAACAGAGACAGTAAATAGTCTAGCACTGCAGATTTAATGATCTTTTCTAGCAGGTCCCAGAACTTTGAGAAAAGCTTGTAAATACTTTGAGCTCGGCCGGATATCATTAATCAAATCTTTGCTTGCGGCATACAATGGGATGACTACAAATCTCGTCGTCAAATAACAACTAGCACATCTGTATATTGGAATTAGAGCAAACGCATGATGAGACTTGGAGAGGCTGTACCAAACAAGGGGAAATAAGTGAGAAAGCTGTTAAAGGTTGTTTCTTCTAGTACGTGCAAAAGGCTTACATTATTAACGTATGTGTTCGCGTCCTGGGTGCTATTTTTGGGTAGCCTAAGCACCTTCAACCTACGTCGCCGCAATTGCCACAAGAGTGATCGCCGATTATGGTGCCGGTTGGCATGGTAGCCCTGGCAGCCGGGGTCGTGCCGGAAGAGGATCCCCTTTGTTTTTATTTTCTCAATGACTTGTGATCTGCTGCTTTGGTTGAACAGTCTGAAGGGCGTAACCTCCACTACGAACGAGATTACCCAAGAGACTTCGTTTATGACGGAGTTCGGCCCCAGCCGGGACTTTCTGGCGCGGATAGGGCTCTGTCCTGTTTGGGCAAGTATCTCGTCTTCGATTGGCGTGGCGGGGTCTAGGATATCCCTTACCTATACTACGAAGTTTTGTCGGACAACGGGGCACGACGCGGTGAACCCTTTTGAAGGGGTCTCCGCCTTGTAGGCCCCCAGGTAATCCGCTAGTGCCTGCTTGTCTACGAGGAGGTGCTGCTGGACCTGATTGTTGCGTAGGCTTTAGGGAAAATCATGTGCTGGCGTGGTAGATGTCGGAGACACCCGCCAGCTCTATGCCGAAGGTCTGGCAGACCGTGCGGCTTACAGCGAACGGAGCAATCCTTCGGGCGGTTGAAGGAGTGTCGACTGTGGCTGAGGCCGCAATGGTAGCCTAGCTCCGGGCTTCGGTTGAGCCTGTTTCGGACTTGATGAGTGTCCTGAGGGCTTGGATCTTACGCAGCTAGTGGCTTCTTTCGCAATCTGTTTTCTATGGCCGTTGAAGCTATCGACGACGCTGTTAACAGGCTGGGCGATGGTCAGAAAGACTTCTTCTCGCGCCTCATACTTTCTGGCTTCTTCGTCAAGAGCTGACAAGACGGATCCTGTGGCGGGCCCCCTCGCAGCTGTGTGGGAGAACGTAGGCCTCTCTGCCGTCGGAGGGACGTCATTAGCGGCGTCAGCAGGCTGACTTCCCACGAGACTGGGCCGAGTTGGCTGTGTTTCGGTGTTGCGGCGGCGTACAGCCCTTGGAGTAGGAGTTGGCCCTGGAGGTAGCTAAGATCTCTGGTCAGGGCCGGCGGTGGCTGTCAAGTCATCACGAAAGGGCTCCTGAGACGGGAGGTGAAAGGTTTTGAGCTGTCAAGGTTTATAGTGAGAGACAACCTGTTTCACTAACAGGAGATGTCCAGAAAATTTAGGCTAGAGGGAAGTTCGCAACTGATCACCGTGTGAGCTTGGACGGGTCGATTATACCAGCAAGACCAACATAGCCCACCAGCAAGATTCACTTAACGTCCAACCACAACTTCTGTTAGCAGATATCTCACTGCCAGAGGGCTGGACGTGACAAATAAAGGCTAGAGGGGCACTGAAATTTGTGACACTAGTAAAATAAGTGGACAAATTTGGTCTATTCATATATGTATGATAAACACGCTTATTGAATCCACATATTGTGAATGTTCACTCATACGACGTATACGACAGTACTACGTCCTGCTTGCCTAGTTGCAGCTGCCGGGCTGGCCACTCATAACTTGTCCGGAGCAGACTCGTTGCCCACCGCAGCCCTATAATAGTAAGGTTTAAGTATGTAAAGTAGAATTCAGGGTGTAGATCAGAGTGTAGACCAACACTAGTACAATCGCAATACTGGAATGAATTAGTCACTTTGTAATTATTGAAAATTGAAATACTTACACAGCCAAGATTACTGGTAGAACAACATGACCGAGGAGCAGCTTGACGGGGCGTTGGGGGTTCACGTAAGGCGCGTGAGCCGACGTCAGGGGCAGCCAAAACGGGCGCTAAACAGAGAAAAAGATAAAAAAACCGCATTGTACTGGAATTTTATACTGTACTTTGGTACCAGACAAGATTGGGTTAAAGAAGGGAATCGAGGATTTTATAAAAAACACCGATTTTTGTTGGCATAGTCTAATCATAGAAATGGGTACAGATTGTAAGTTTCTTGTTAGTAATCATAGATGGATGTCAAATATGAATAAAGTTTTTTGCTCATTACTGTAAGTAGTTTTAGATTGATACCTTGATATAACTGAGTTAAATTAAAACTGTGCGATCAGTAATCCAACTTTTACAACGACAATAAACTTTGAACCAGAACAGATATCCAGACTCTTAAGACCCGTAATGGATTACTAATATGCTGATCATATATCAGAAAAGAACATGTGTAACTGGGGAATGGCAAAGTGTATTGGAAGGTGCGGCAAATTGATAGTGACGACGTAGCACTAGACATGTTATTCATAGAGCCAGTTTTGCTTGGCAGAAGCAAGGCTAATAAAACGTAGTCTCATTACGACGCCAGGTCTGACTTCTTCCTAGAGAAATTATTCAAATCCTAAAGCATAAGACTTTGCAATTCCATAGGTCATTTTCAGGGGTCGGTCATGTAGTAGCTTGGAGTTCGGTCTTCCGGACGAACATTGTGCCTTTTGGCCCGTTAGCTCAACGGTAGTGCCACAGAGATTCAGGATTCAAACAGATCACTAAGAGCATAGCGCATGTAAATGAAATAATATTTTGCGATATGAGCTGTCGTTATAATCATATAGCCCACAGTAACTAACTGGTAACTGTGGGTCCGCTATTATCACCACATAAAGCTTTGTATACTACTAATAAGGTATGACTGCGCAAATTATCTCTCTCCACTTAGAATTATTCTTCTGGACCGCTTGTTAGGACTCCCCTATTACTCTTGTTGTCAACGGCATGCGCTCCTCCAGGGTAATTTAGACCAATGAGCAATACTTCGTAGAGGCATTGAAGACACAATCGGCTATCAGCAACAATGATGGTTTGTATATATTAAGAGCGTCGCATGTTCAGTCTTGGTAAACTTCAGACAAAGTATAATTACAGTAATCTAGAGCCAAGGGTACCAGTGTCATCAAATGCTTAACAGGAAGAGCCACTTTTTGGCTCACCACAGACATTACTCATAGTGGTGACGGGTGTCAAAAAACCAGGACCCTAAGAAACCCCCATTTCTTCCTTCTCCTTCCTCAGTTCTCTCTTCCTCTCGCTGCTTAATAGGGCGGCTTAACAACATATTTACGTAGTAAGTTGTTTGGTTGTTCGTCTGCTTCACGTGCTGTGCAAGTGCATTTTGTAAGGCAAGTCGAGACGAGTGTCCTTTATCTATTGGGCTCTGGGAAAATTTCTCCATAGTCTCTCTTCTTCCTATTCCTTTTAGATTGTCTTACTTACCTTCTAACTTCTCTACTGCTACTGGAACCAGGTGACTTTACGTACTTTGCTCTACGTGCACTTCATCTAGTCTCCTATTTTAGCTTGTGTCTACCTGACTGCTTTAACCTATAGCGTTCCTGGAGAATGAGAACGCGCGTGCTCCTAAGACCGAGAAAAAAACATAATTATCTTGGATGTTATGACAAACCCATGCGGACTTCGGTAGTCGAACGTGGTCTGTTCTCATCTGCGTTTCAGGTATGATCACTAATCGTATTGATGGGCAGCGGATGACAGGGCCATAATAGGGCATGGCATAAAGCGACTATTGCTGTACCGAATGTACTGGGACAGGCCTGACACATGTCACTTCCTGATACCCATACTAGACGTCACCATACCACTTTGACTTAACAGCCTTCTAAGAAAGCGCAAAAGCTTAATGTGATAACATTCTCATGAATAGAGCATCTAAAATCAGAGTGAGGTAGGTAAGTCAGGCCTCCCGACGTATTAATTGTAATGGATTCGAGGTCTAGCTTTTACGGCCTAACAAATGTAATACATACGAGGAACCGTTCCGACACCCCGTATTCAGATCGGTCTTAAAACTTTCTTACGTAAATGAACTTTCGGCTGTAGACCGCCCTCTGTACGTAGGCCTGCCCTATTTGATCCGATTGGCGGATAGCACAGAAGACAATGTAGTCTGACACCAGTCCAACCCAAAAAGGAGAGGCACCATGGTGCCGATAACTACCTTTCACCAATCACAACGTATCATACTCTCTTGAAGCGCAATAATTGTCTTCTAGGAATCATTGTCTACCCGATGTTCAATCAAGAAATTTTGGGTCCAGCATCAGTAACATTTAGATCAGAGTTTCTGAAGTCCTTGCACAAACTTTGTGTTACGACCCGTAAACAAGGATAACAGCTGAAAGACCCACTTGGACGTCGGGCGGCTGTAACATGATTGATTGATTGATTGATTCCTACACGGTTATGAAGCCGCTCTTATGCTAGCAGCTATGCCCGGAAAGCGGGGTTTGGCAGACAGCCGAAGCATCGACGATAAACCGCGACGCCCCACTTCGCCCTGTTGTTGGATCAGGACCAGCTGTCCCCAAGCTCCCACTATGCTATCTATTCTTGTGTGTTTATGCCCTCTGTTGAAGATTGTTGTCCTCCTGCCTGCTCTCTCGCTTGGTGTTGCCTTCTAGAATCCTTCTTTCGCGTCCTCCTACTTCGGTTCTGTTGGTGCTAGGCACCATGTCTGGTTCTGTATACCTATAGTCTCCCCCCAGCCCTCAGCTTCGTCTCTTTATCTTGTCCGCATCCTCTCAGACTCGCATGTGCTATATCTCAGTTGAATCTGTAAATCTTTTTGTTGCCTCATGCTGGGTTCCTATGTGGCTCTATGTTTCCATCTTTCGACCACCACCTCCATCCACCGCCTGGAGTCGGACTCAATCCGCAAAACACAATGCTCCAACCGCTTCGATTCGTCCGATTACTAAGTATGAGAGCTCGTACACAGATTCCGCAGACATTGTCATACGTTGAAGGGGCGACAATCCTTCTTCGCGGAGGGGGCGACAGGGGACCAATCTGTCTGCAAACTGTAGTATTTTGTGGCATCGATCGTAGCATGCCTGGTGTCTGGTGCTTTCTCTATGCAGGAGGTGATACCGTTCTGTCGGGCTTGTCGTCGTTGTTGTCGCGGGACGTTGCAAACTTTGTCGGGGGTGATAGGCGACCCATAACCTATCGGTGGCTTGATTGATTGATTGATTGATTCCTACACGGTTATGAAGCCGCTCTTATGCTAGCAGCTATGCCCGGAAAGCGGGGTTTGGCAGACAGCCGAAGCATCGACGATAAACCGCGACGCCCCACTTCGCCCTGTTGTTGGATCAGGACCAGCTGTCCCCAAGCTCCCACTATGCTATCTATTCTTGTGTGTTTATGCCCTCTGTTGAAGATTGTTGTCCTCCTGCCTGCTCTCTCGCTTGGTGTTGCCTTCTAGAATCCTTCTTTCGCGTCCTCCTACTTCGGTTCTGTTGGTGCTAGGCACCATGTCTGGTTCTGTATACCTATAGTCTCCCCCCAGCCCTCAGCTTCGTCTCTTTATCTTGTCCGCATCCTCTCAGACTCGCATGTGCTATATCTCAGTTGAATCTGTAAATCTTTTTGTTGCCTCATGCTGGGTTCCTATGTGGCTCTATGTTTCCATCTTTCGACCACCACCTCCATCCACCGCCTGGAGTCGGACTCAATCCGCAAAACACAATGCTCCAACCGCTTCGATTCGTCCGATTACTAAGTATGAGAGCTCGTACACAGATTCCGCAGACATTGTCATACGTTGAAGGGGCGACAATCCTTCTTCGCGGAGGGGGCGACAGGGGACCAATCTGTCTGCAAACTGTAGTATTTTGTGGCATCGATCGTAGCATGCCTGGTGTCTGGTGCTTTCTCTATGCAGGAGGTGATACCGTTCTGTCGGGCTTGTCGTCGTTGTTGTCGCGGGACGTTGCAAACTTTGTCGGGGGTGATAGGCGACCCATAACCTATCGGTGGCTGTGGTGTTGATGTTTGTTTGGGCTTGGTCGTTGTGCTCACGTGATAGCCCGTGACTCAACCGCGGTGGTGTCGATGGTGTTGTCTATTGACGTGTCATACTTTGTGGCTTGCTCTCGAATTTTTCGTGGTCAGAGCCCGCCCGCGGCCACGAGCAGGCTCTTTGGGAGCAGAATCAATGCCGAGGATGACATTATGCCCAAAGTGACCTCTGAGAGCGCGAGCGGGCGTGGTTTGATCAATTTGATGCTGTTTTCAAAAATTTCGTTCTCGCTGTTGTTGATGTTTTTTTTTCAACCTATCGGTGGCTGTGGTGTTGATGTTTGTTTGGGCTTGGTCGTTGTGCTCACGTGATAGCCCGTGACTCAACCGCGGTGGTGTCGATGGTGTTGTCTATTGACGTGTCATACTTTGTGGCTTGCTCTCGAATTTTTCGTGGTCAGAGCCCGCCCGCGGCCACGAGCAGGCTCTTTGGGAGCAGAATCAATGCCGAGGATGACATTATGCCCAAAGTGACCTCTGAGAGCGCGAGCGGGCGTGGTTTGATCAATTTGATGCTGTTTTCAAAAATTTCGTTCTCGCTGTTGTTGATTGGGCGGCTGTAACAGGACATTTGTACTGCAGAATCACAGGAACAACAGGGATTCACTCGGAAACGGAAGAACTATGGTGCAAGTCACGTGACGATAAGATAAGAGATTAGATCCGTACGCCAAGAATACGGAGTCCGTCCTTGGCACATACGGGATCCGTATGAACGAGGAACGGACCCCGTCAGGATCAGGAACGGTAAAACAAACAAAGGGTACTGTTCGGACTTGTATATAGTATGACCTGAGCTCGACTCATAGTCAGACTTCCATAGCTCTTCAGCAATCAACTTTGTATTCATCCTCAGGATACTTTCAGCTTACCTTCACTGCGAATACTTGTTGAGCCTAAGATTGATCACCTTAGCCTCTGACTACCGATCTACGACACAGCCTACGACCTACGAACCAGACTTACGACACGACAATACTGTTTACTAGCGTCAATCCCCAACTTCTGTTAGCAGACCCTACTGTCGGATAGCTGACCGTAACACTTTGCTTCTGGGATGCCAAGCAAGTTTATGACTCTGATCAAGCCATCATAAAAATTCCATTTGCTGAAGCTTTATAGCAGAACTTTGCCTTTCCAGTAATTAGCTTTAAAAGCCTCCGCTTTGGTGGGTACGGCCCGTATGCTTTGCGGCGGGCGAATTTCCGAAAGCGACGGATTTGGCATTTTACCTCCGCTGGTTTTGATGCAATTCAATGACATTGATCGAAAGGTGGTCTACTCTGGTTGTTTGCTCCAAATGTCGTTGCATCTTGAACGGCATTATGGGAGCAATAGAGTCCATGAGTGGCTACTTGTGAAAAGTCCATACCAAGGTCTGCCATGCGCCTTACACGAGTAAGTAATCCCAAGTCTGATGTTCCCCTTCGCACATGTTTTGTTGGTAACTCTCTTGAGTCAAGATTGCACGATAGACGCCTTTGAGAGCCGTCACAGTTTGCATAGATAGAAGAACCGTTGCCTGTACATCTCACCTAAAATGAATGTCTCTATTTGTTCTACTGACCCTCGATATTCTCGTCTGCCAGATAAATCCAGCTGTGTTCGTATCCGTTATGTCTATCTCTACCAAGAGTGCGAAGTACCTATTTTAGCCGGCTTTGAGAGACCACGCAACCGCAGAAAGCCGCCAAGTTTGCGAACGAGATTGCCAAGAGAAGAGATAATGGGCGGAGCACCATCTATTCCCACAGATCCGTCGCGGAGGATCCAGGTCATTGGGGCTGGCTACTCGCGGACAGGGACCGTTTCCCTGCAACTTGCTCTAGAGAAACTCCTCAACGGCCCTGTGATGCATGGAGGAACACAGATACTGCGCCGAGAAGATGGTAAGTATAGCCAAGATGAAGTGTTTTTTTTTTTTTTCCATTCCTAGAAAACCTGCTGATTAATCGTCATCTGACTCTATTCTGTACCAGCATACGTAAAGAAGCTGGTCCAAGCATACAGAGCCAGACATGAACGAAATCATACAAGGCTTCGCAATCTTTTAGACGAGGTTTTCACTGGTTTCGTGGGTTGTACTGATATTCCGCCGATTGACTTCATTCCTGAGTTGATGGAGCTGTACCCCGACGCAAAAGTTGTGTTGATCACGCGTGACCCAAAAAGGTGGGCAGCGAGCATCGAATGCGTGCGGAAGGAAGTATCAAAATGGTGGATACCATATTTGATGTGGCCCATTCCGGGCTGGCGATTTTTTCCAACCTTGCTTAAAGAGTTCGAAAAAACGGCCATTCGCATCATAGGGGCCTATCACGAGCACTCTGACCCCTCCCTGGGTAAGCTTCAAGCCTACGAAGTTTTGAAATGTCCATTAACAAATTTGAGACAGCGTTGCTTCATAATTGGAATCGTTCTGTGCAGGAACTGGTTCCGAAAGAAAAGCTTCTAATCTTTCGACTCGAAGAGGGATGGGATCCGCTTTGCAAATTCTTGAACGTAGACGTCCCGAATGAGCCTTTTCCGAACGCAAACGATTCCGCTGCATTGGAAAGGACGGCGCAAGAGATTACTACCAAAGTCCTGGTATTTTGGGGTATGGCTGTAGGGGCCACAAGCGCTGTCTCTTTCATCTTGTGGAATTTCTGGACGGCTAGATAAAGTATCTGATGGTATATCTCGGTTCATTCGAGGTATTTGGAACTTAAAGAACCAAGTACTAGGGATCAAGTCATCAAATCAATCTTAGGAACCGGACGACACTCAGAACACCTCACACGTGATTCAAAATCCAGCTTCCGCACGGATCGGGGATCATGACATGGAAGTTGCGAGAAACCGACAAAATAGCCTGTTTGTACTCGAGATCTGCGGAGACGACACGGTAGCTCGAGAGGACGGAGGCGCATGTCGGTCGGCTTGGAGACGGGATTGCCGTTGCGGCCGGCGTAAGGTGCAAACTCGGACGACGCGACGGTATGGCCCGTCCCGGATACGGGGTGGCACCGTTTTGGCTTTACCTGGGGCCGAGACACTTATGTGGGAAGGTTGGCAATGACGAGGGAATGAGGAGGGCCCGTCACACTTTTGCTCTTAATTCCCAAAAGTCATTGATATCCTAACTCCTCCAGACATCATGGGTACAGAAGAGACCGACTTGATTGCCTATTGGCCAAAGCCTGAGCCAAAACTGCCTTCGCCGTGAATTCTACCCCTTACGATGTCCGTAAACCCTTTGTTTGATTCAGCGAGGTATTGCTCATCGAGAACGGCACAGGATGTGGGCTGGATGGCCGGCTCGGTTCGACAAGAGCGGCCGTGACGCGTCAAGATCTCATGGCCTCAACGTGAACCTTATCGCTTATTTCAACACGTTATAGTATATAGTTAACTAGTATACTGTAGGTGTGACTGTTACGAGATGCGAGCTCACATTGAATCTTGAAGGATTGAGTGGCTTCAGGTCTTGAGGAGACGCTCTCCGTCATTACTGTATTGACGTAGTGCTCTTACACGTCTGTGATTTCGGGCGTACGGCAGAGACAGTTGAGCACTTCCTCTTCCGATGCACAAAATGGAAAACGCTCAGGGGCGAGCCAGATGATCCAATGCGCAGAGACACAGAGAAGCAACATGTCCCTCTATCTAGGAGGCAAGAGCCTATCAAACGACGATAAATGGGCGCCAAACATGCAGGCGGTTCGAGCGAAAGCAGAGTTTCTTTAGTTCCTGTTACTTTCTTCTGGAGGAGGATTGGACCTCTAGCACCTGACTCGAAGGTGGCTCGTTCAGAAGTGGTTAAATATTAACCATGCCATCGATCACTAATCACGCGGATGATCTCTGAGATCTTATCACAAGAGAATCAAACTATATTTAATAAACTTTCAATCACATACTAGGATGTTTATTTTGTTCAAGGCTTCCCGTGACACTCCCGTATTTACCTTGCACAGTGTCCCCGGAGTCAGTTGCTTACTCCCGTGATCCCTTCGTGCGAGATAGACATGCTCGCTTGTAGGACAACCTATACAAGAACATTCTCCCTAGTTTTCCCTTACGATTCTGCTGAATCTACCTTGAGCCCTTTTGTCAGAAGTTGAAAAGAGTTGATTGAGTTAGGGTACTCTCGCTAGCTACAGGAACATAGTTGTTCAATGACCAAGGAATACGTACACGTATGCAGCAGTAAGAATTCATATCCACTGACCTACTAATGTTCAACAACTCATGAAAGATAGGCTCCAGTGGGACAAATGTTCGGACGGAGGAGTTTAGGGGTAATTTAACCCGGCTGCCTATTAGATAAGGCGTGATTAAATGAGTGATCGCCCAGCTTAAAGCCGTGTATTCTCTGGGCAAACCATGGTTCAGAAAAAAATGCGCGTCAATCACAAACGCCGCACGTTGTCGGCCACTCCGCTAGGAAATTAGAGGCTTTGACGATCAGCGATCAGCGCTGGGTCGCGGCAGTCAATGAAAAGATCATGTCTAGTTATTGGTCAGAATAAACAATGTAAAGAAATCAGAATTCATCAATAAAGCATGGTATCCACCCGAGCGACTTTTGGTTTCAGCCCTCTAAATCTTTCCATTCGCTAGTAGGACCGTTCACAATGAGATACACAACTCTATTCCCATCCGTTTTGGCGCTTTCGTCATCAATTTCAGCTTGGTCACTGACCTTTTACGACAGTGACGCTTGCGCTGGTGGCAGGACGTTCCATTATGGCGGGACGCCGGTTGGGCGAAATCACATCGGCAAGTGCTTTACTATGCCAAGTATTGATGCATCCTTTTCTACATACGATGCAAAGAGCGTGCAAATCAATAACGGGGGTTGTTCATTCAACATCTTCACCGATCTCACTAGCTCCAGTTCACTTGGCGCATGCACCTCCTCAGGCAAAGGCCAAAACTATTTCCCGGTCCGTACCGAAGGAATCTGTGTTCAGTAAGTTAATGGAGTTGGAAATAGAAACAATGCTAATTTCGATCAAGGCTACCTAAAGACAAAATAGGGAAATGGCAAGCATGGTCTGTCGCCTGTTAGTTGCGAATAATAGGAGTTAGACGAAGAAGTCGGGAAATGGCGAGCAGTGACAGTTTTGTCAAGTGAAATCAAGGCCACGACAAAGGGTTAACATTGTTGGACGACGCAGTGTAACCAGGCTTGCATAATTCTTGAAGACAATCAGCTTGGCGCGAGAAAATTCAAGAGGGGATGTGTGATTATCAAATAGTGCCCATTATGCATGCCCCTGACAAACGTACTGGGTTCCTCGGTGAACAACCTAAAGTGTATAGAGCATCTGGAGGGTACCTTATTCAAGATTAGTCTTTATCCCTTGATCATCCAAGCACGAAGGCTGATGACTCGCTGTTTGCTATGTACCGTGTAATAGAAACTAAACTGGGAACAAGAAACTTTAACACAGATTTCTTTTCTCATGATATGGCTCGTTAAGCATAACTAGAAAATAAAGGCGCTCTGCAGGCACCTGGCGGCTGCAAGACAGGCTATGTGCAGAACTTACAGGAGCATGTAGGGTCTTCAGGAATAGCAGAAGGTATAGCATCTATGCTCTAAGCACAACTGCCCTCGTCGGAAATCTTGATGGTATGGCTGTTGAAATTCATATCGTATCATCGAGGCTGGCAAAGCTTTTAAGGTCAAGCTTTGGCACGCAGCTGGCGAACCAGGCCCCTCAGATGACACCTTAAAAACGGCATGAGCTACATATTTGCCAAATACAAGACGAACAAGGGGTTCATAAAATCTCAACAAGCAGAATAAACGAGAGCACAGTAGCCAATACTGGATGACCGCTGCCAGAGTTCAAACGAGGTGACACCGTTTCAGATCACAGGAGGCACCGTGGATGCTGAAACAAGTTGACACGAGCTAGCGGCCATTAAGTCTGCATATCTGCTCACCAATAATCGGAGTAAAGCGATTAAATCACTGAGTCAGTAGATCATCGTCTACAGATTCTTGAAACGTTTTACAGAGGTCGTAGTCTCGACTAGCCACCAGTGCAATGCGAGAGAATAACCGCATAATCTATCAAGTTGCACGGATCAACTACTACCCCTTTCTGCTACTTCAGGCGCAACAGGGATGGCGCCTAGCGCATTATCTCAGTGCATTCACCGTTCAATGTTAACTGATAAAAGACATTATCAGTGGCTACTGAGAGCTGAAGCTGGACTGGCTGCAGACCAAGGCGTGCAATGTTTTAGAGACGAACACATAGAAGGTGGTCTGACATGAGACCTAAAGACGAAAATCTTCTAGATATTCGGACAAGAATCGGAATAGGCCGAAACCGAAACCGACCGCGGTCATCCTCAGACTCCAATAACAGCGTATGTTATTGAGAGTCCGCTGATACCCACTGTAACGATGTCAAGCGTCTCGAGCTCGTTTGAAGCCCCTCGACTAGAACGTCTGGATTACTCTATATCAACGTTAAAATAAAGCTTATCAAAACAACAATTATAGGGTAGCAATAGGGAGGCGATGGATAAAGGCTTGAATATAAAAGCTTCCAGTGCCATCACCATAAAGTCTACCTCGTCAGTCAACCTCATTTGTACTTCTGTAAAGACGTTATAAATCCTTACCCATAAACTAAAACTCCAAGTGCCTGGCGCATACCCTCCTACACCAACCTACCTTACGTTAATTACTTCTTCAACTTATCACTTAACCGAGTCAACATGCAGATCACCGCCGCATTTGTCGCTTTTGCCGCCTTCTGCGTAGGCCAGACTGCCGCAGGTACGTACCAACACCTCTCCTCTGTCAAACGAGAAAGGAAATCCAGCTAACGAGCCGCGACGACACAGCAACGATGCCTCGCAACTTTATCGATGGAAAGGGCAGCGCGCTCTTTGGAAACGCCGGCAAGGCGTGCAGCGTAGGCAGTCAAGATGGCGAATGCGACCGGTTCGGCCGCTGTGTGCAGCAGATCCCGCCCAACGAGCAGTCCATCCTCAACCAGGGCAAAAACGTCGCTGCTTGCACCGCTGGCGGGCAAACGGGAACTCTTTAAGTGTCTTTCCTTGCCTTGAAGTTGCCGAAGCAAGTCTAGAATGGAAGGTCGAATAAACCCGAGAATTCTAAAAATGAAAAGTCTCGCCGTGCACCCCCTGTGTTGGACCAAAAGTTCCAGCGTCTGTGAAGTGTGCGATGCGAAGTGTCTAATTGGATGCTAGACTTGACTTCTCCACGCACGTGTGAGATGATTCCTGAAGGATTACCTATCTGATCGTTGCCTTGTCTGTTCAATGTACAATTGCTCGTGGCCACTTTTCAATCCTAGCAAGAATGGCGAGAGTCCATTGGCAGAAGTGCGACGCCTGTAAACAACATCACCACAACAGGAACATTTCCACGCACAGAGGGTGGCATTATAGGGCTCCGCAAGCCTTCAACAGCCCTATAAAGCCCTGGTTCAGGGTGTTTCAACGCTCCGGCCGATGGAACTGGAAGGGCTGCTAGTGCTTACGCCAAGGACGGGTCCTTCAGCAAGAGAGCCAACAGGAACGCGACATTCAGATGGATGCTACAGACAATAGTGCTTTGCATGCTCTCGGCCAATTGAGTTCGGGACGTTGTCAAGCTCCGTCGTAGGCTTCATTATAGCGAATTGAAATATAACCTGATTCCCCCTGGTGGCAACACACCGCCACGATAACTTCACCACATCCACGGCGGTTCACTTCAGCTAGAAAACGACTTCGGAATCTTGAGAAGCCTCGCGTCGTAAAGAATGGAACCTCCCGCCGCCTCAATCATCACATTTCCCACCGACAAGAGAGCGCAATTCACAAGAGCCAGCAAACCCAAAACTAGGACGGGATGCATCACCTGCAGGTGGGGGCCAAGAGAGTCTTGAACAGATAGAAAACACGACATATGTCCTAACGCTCAGTCGCTGATTGCTCCCCCGTATCTAGGCGTCGGCACAAGAAGTGCGATGAGGCAAAACCAGCCTGCTTGACATGTCTGAAATACAAAGGCTTTTGTGAGGGATATAAGAGCACGGCTGTCAAACCATCATCGCAGCAGCGGCAGCAGCAGCAGCAGCGTGTGCTTCAACCTAAGCCCGCAACAGAGCCAAAAGGCAATGACATGCTAGTCGAGCCGAACTACGTGTCCCTCATTTTTTCCAGCCAGTTGGAGAAGGAAAGCTTCGATTATTGGATGGCCTTTTCAAAAACCACGACGCTGTTCCACTCTGAGCTGATCACGAATCTCATCCCTCAAATATCATGGAATGACCCGGCAATAAGGCATGCGGCGTTGGCCGTCGGCGCCGCTGCCCTAGGCAGTACGACCCGCGAGCAACGCCTCCTTGGCAAAGGAAAGTTCTATGCAGACTCCCTACAGCACTATGGCAAGTCGCTCAACCTCTTATACTCGACGCCGCTATCCCAAGAGCGGTCCCTTCTCGCTTGCCTGCTGTTCATCGCTTTCGAGACTCTACAAGGGAACCGATCGGCTGGTCTCAGCCACATGAACCACGGTTCCCGGATACTAGACCAGTACTACCCCAAGCACGGCGCCCCTAGCATGTTGCTGGAAGAGGTCATGTCCAGCTTCCAGCATTTCGGGCTGCAAGCTTGGAGCCACAGCGTGGCGCACCCTCGAGAGACGAAATCTCGAGTACCCTGGTGCTGCAGGGGGCGGAAGGCGAAGTATGCCGTCGATGAGATGCCCGCTTCCTTTAAGAATCTAGACGTCGCTCGTCGCTGGTGGGATATCACGAGACACTACGTCAAGTACCACGCGCCGCTCAAGACGAGCTTCGAAGTCGCCAAGGTGACCTCCCAGCCGATCGACTTTGCACAACTTGCCGACTACGGGTCTCCAAAGTCCCAGCGGCGCATCCGTAGTTTTATGCGTTACCTCGACGCCTGGCACGTCGGTTTTGCGCCCCTGGCGGTGAAATCAGAACGTCAAAAGCACAAGAACCCCCAGGACTTCAATCGTGCGCTTGCCCTGCGGATAGACTACCTCAACGTCTGGAGCGGTGTCCGAAGCGGAGGTTGGACGGACGTGGAGGACATTGGCCGCATGGAGCCGGCGTTCCGCGACATTGTCAAACTCAGCAGGCAATACCTCGAACTCCAGGGACAGCCGTCGGACGGCCAAGAGAGATTCACGTTGGAGGACAGTCCGACGTGGGCTCTTTCGATGTCGTTCGTCATGTGTAATGCCCCCGACCTGAGGGACGAGGTCATCTCGCTCTTCGAGCAGTACCCCAGGCGCGATGGCCTCTGGGATACCCGGGTTTTCGTGGCGCTCTTGCAATGGATGGCCAAAATGACGGCTGGCAATTTTTACCCCGAGGGCGAGCGGCACATCCTCGGCAGCAAGGTCGTGATTTACGATCACTCATCTTTTGTGATTGAGTTGACGCGGTGGGATCCCGTGAGCTCGACTGCAAAGACTTGGAACGTTAATTTCGATATATCCACGGACTCGACGGAGGAGTAGACAGCGTCGAATGTATTCATCACAATGCAACAATCTTGGTTTACTGTAGAATAACCTCACCCTTATAATGTACACGAAGAATAGCATTCAAAAATGGAAAAAACACAACAAATACGAAAAGAATGATTTCAAGACCAAAAAGACAAAAATCAACTGTCCCTGGCAAGGCTCGAACTTGCGACCTTTGGATGTCCCTATCTCAAGACAGAGTCATAGATGTGTACTATGAGACCAACGCTCTTCCAACTGAGCCACAGAGACGATTTGATTGGTTGCTACGGATCAGAAGCCGTACAAGTTCAATAGAGCGCGACATCCCCATCTTTTCCGTAAGATGAGAAGCCAATGACGGGTGCTTCTATTAACGGCGAAGTGGGTCAAAAGGACCGATAGAACGGGTCCCCTAATTACAAGAGTTTTGGTGTAAAGGCCCCCCCCCTTTACGCTGAGGAACCTTGGAAGACTCTGGACACTCAAGGTTGCACGTGCATGGGTTTCGACCCAGTTGACGAGTTGTTGTGTTGTCATTTCTCAAAAAAAGACAATGCAACTCAGAGCTGCATGGTCCAGGGAGACTATTGAGAGTGAAAAAAAAAAAAAAAAAAAAAAACACCACATGCGGCGTTTCGTCACATTCAGTTGGAGGAGTGGTTGGGCGCTGGGGCGAGAGCGAAGTTGGAGATCATCGGAAACATACGGAAGAGTCATAAATTAAAGGGACAACGTGAGAAGAAGAAAGAAAAAATTTCTCATGGCAGTCGTAATCCGTTTTCCGGTGTTGTGGACGGGTTTGAAGCATCAGGTGGCCTTGTTCGGCGGCTTTTTCGCTGTTTGAGCTGGAAGCTGTTAGGTAAAATGGGGGTAACAGAATAACCAGCGAGCCGCTCGGTGCCCCCTCGCCCACACAGTGCTGGAGGGGCTAACGGCATGTTTTTAAGTCGAAGGGTGGGAAAAAAAACGCTCAGATGGGGGAGATCCATCATCCAGCCGTTAAATTACGAATGCGAGAGAAAGAAAATTCTGACATTCCTCGTGATCCAAGGACACAATGGCAACATCCAGAGACCACTTACACGCACGTGTTGGAGTTGACTCCATGGTGTCTTGGAGGTGCCTTCGAGGCCCCCGGGGGGTTCTAGGCACGCCCTTCCTATTTAGGAAATAAGACCCTACTACAGTAGTACACGTGTAAAAAGGAGGGGGGGTGCTTCAGGCTTTTGTTTGGCTGATGGGTGCTGTACTCTCAGCTAAAGCGGCTGATTTTAGGGACTTTATCGGCCGAGTCTTATCGGAGCACGGGCCGTGATTCGTCCTTCTTAGGGCCCGTCTATCTCTATAAAATCCGGGGAAGCAAGTCCACTACTAATAGAGACTCGCAACTCCGTAGTGAAAAGATAAGATAACGATCTCTCACCTTCCGCTTTGCCCTCTCGCAGGACCTTGTTCTCATGCAGGGCGTGGTTGACGGACTTGGTGCCCAACCTAGAAGGGGAAGCCAAGATTCAGGGCAGACAGAGAAAAAGAGACGGTCAGCATGACCATGCATTCACGTGGAAGGGTCGGGGACGGCAGCACTAGAGGGTCCTCCTCCCTCCCCCCCGCCCCTCCGAAATCGCCCAGGGCATTTATACGGAGAATGCGGGCTGGGGGACAACTTTCCGCAACACTTTGAATTTCATTAGTAATATTTCCATGGGGTACGATGTCCCGGGGGCCCTCATGACTAGCTACAACATGAGTGACCGATGCACGGAGATAATATGGACGCCCCGATGTTAGCCGGAATGGTGGTTCCGGGCTTTGCGGAGACGTTCTTAGCTTATCTGGCACCCCCGAGACCCCCGTCACCCCGAGGGGCATAAGAGACGACTCTCTCGCATGATTTTCATCTCGACTGCTTTGCTCGTCTTTCTTCATCTTTCCAACCAGTCTCGACTTTACTGTCCTTTACCATACAAACACAACTCCAGATACACTCAGCCACACGCTCTCTCTCTCTCTCTCTCTCTCTCTCTCACACACACACACACACACACACCCCAACTTATACCACACACTTCACAATGGGTTCCATGCCGACTCCGTTGCGGGTGGCCGTCGTCAAGGCCTACGAGATTGAGGAGCCTAAGCACAGGGGAATGGTCCAGTCGTTCCGTGAAAACATCCAGCGCTACGTCCCTGATGCTATTATCGACGCCTACCGTCCCATGTTTGAGATCGGACACCTTCCCGACCCTTCAAAGTACGACCTTATTATCATCACCGGTGGACTGAGCAACCTGTGCCAGGCACCTTCATGCTTTGAGCCTTGGGTCAACGTCGTCCTCGAGTGGATTAGACAGGTTGTGGCTACGCAACACGTTACAAGAACTAAGCTTATGGGCGTCTGCTGGGGCCATCAAGCAATTGCCACGGCTCTGTCTGGATCTATTGGAAGCTTTGAGTTCCCTAGGGTAAGTTGTTTAATCCTCGCTCTATCAAAGTCTCGCGTAGGCTAACCATGTTTGCACAGGTGGGAGTAGAGGAATTGTCTCTCAACAAGGACGGACAGCAACTTTTCGGAAAGGACAAGATTGTAAGGCCCCTCCACATTGAAAAAGAAGATGGAAACCCCGATCTAACACCACTTTTTTGTAGAAAATTACAAAGTTCCACAAGCGCTTCGTCAAGGACGTACCGCAGGGCTTCAGGGCACTGGCCCCCGACAACGAGATCCTGTTCGCCGACTCCGGCCTTGTTCTCTCCATGCAGGGCCACCCCGAAATCCACGGCGAGCTCGCGAGACAACTCTTTGATCACGATGTCGAGTACTACAGCCAGACCTTGCCGACGGAAGAGGCTCTCCAGCGCTACTTCTCGGAGATGTCGGACAGCAAGGAGGACGGCGAGTTGATTTTCAAGAAGGTCACGGCCTGGGCTGCTTCATGAGGGCCAAATAAAAGTAAATTAAATTCGATTCTAGTCTATAATTATTAAATACCATTTAGTCATATATTTTCTGATGAGGTCGTTTTGGTCGTGATTGTCAAATAACTGCGAGAATCGACCAGTTGAGTAGTTTGACATTTTTGCTGTTTAAAAGTGAATTATTCAGGACCACACAAAAGCACCCTTGACTGAACCCTACCCCACGAAGGGCTACAGCCATCATTGCACCTGGTTTTCCACGTTCAATATGCCCAGTAGTGCCTGGATTTGATGGAGTTGGACCAAGTTTGCTAGGGTTGGTGACCTGTGCGATGTTAGCAAATTCAACTCTCTCTTACCTGCCAGATTCCTTCCTCTCATCGACTGCCACAAGAGGCCATTATTACCAAGTCTAGAAATCTCCATTTAATAGTCACTTTTACTCCGCATTACATCTGATACGTAGACAATATGTCGTTTCCCTCATACTCCGTACGAATTTAATACTTCAACTTGGCGTTATGTACCGATAGGGATCGCAAGTACCTCAAACATGAGCTAATTGTTAGGGAAATAAATGTACACTAAATTGAGATACATTAGTTAACAAGACTAGTAGACACAAGCGTCCCGATTCGCTTTACTACTCCGTCGGCAAAACGCGTCTTGAGGCTGTCGACGGGATAGAGACTGAGCCAACTTTCTTTATTTTGAAATTGTCCTCTTCAAAATGAACAATCCTCATTCTTAGCGTCCTATTCGTCCTCTTTTTTTTCCCCAATTTCTTCCTTTTTTTTTCTTTTTTTCTTTGGTGGGTTGGGATTGTGAGCAATGCTGCAGAAGTTATTTGACCAACTAACTGTCTGCACTCTCAGGCCGAGTGCGAATGTTCTTGCCAACCCCTTCAAAGCACCACTCAATTCTGTAAAAACCTCTTAACGTACCTTATTCCTTATATCTTTAATCCAAAGTATAACAATTCAAGTAGCCGCTGTTTAGCACCGGCTAGAACTGCCAGATTGTAGTCGGATTCCCAGCCAGGCGGAACTATTGCATGTGGAAATATACTCCCCACATACTATCCAACGCACCAAGACCTGCATATTGAAAACATTTATGTGTCCGGTCCGGCGGATACACCACAAGGGTATTACGGATACACCCAGCTTCAGCTTGGCGAGCAGTACCAATCAGGACACCATGATACTGAGATCCCCTTGGTAAAAAAACCCTCATCCAGTTACCTCTGCATTAGATACACCACATACTATAAAAAAGCTTATCTTCCGTGTCCTAAAACAACGGACCAGCACCACAAAATCCCGAGAAAAAATACCAACGGCCGCTCCACATCAAAAATGAAACCAATAGTAGCAATGCTCAACTGAAAGTGGACCAACATAAAATCACGGAAAAACACTCACGATTGGCTCCCATTCGGTGTGGAGAAGCTATCTTGGCCCCTCCCCCTTGCTTAGGGGGGGAAACCATCCCATTATCCAGGTTCTCGTCCCCGTCATTCTTCTCTCTCTCCCCCTTACATTTTTAAGAGCATATCGCTCTACAGTCTTGTCTTCTTCCGCGTACAATTTGTGGGACCTCTGTCACATTTTCAGGTCGCCCGCCCCCCCATTCTTTCGTTTTCTTTTGACAGAATTTATTCCATGTGTGGGTTCATGTTTCACTGCACGGCCCTCCCCCGCGCGAGCACCGGCTACCATGGCCAACAGTCCAGCGACTAGTCCCGACCACGAAGAACGTGACGTCCAACTACTCAGCAACGGCGCCGTGCGGAAGAGGAAAGGCACCACCCGCTCTAGAGAGGGTTGCCTGGTCTGTCGGTAAGCCGAATCCCAAAAGAAGAATTAAATAAAAGACCGGAAGGGGCGCGGTTCTTTTCTCGGGCACTGCGGGTTCATTGGACGCGGGGCGGCCGTGGAACCGTCCTCTCACTCTCAAATTTTTGCTCTCTCTCTCTCTCTCTCTCTCTCTCTCTCAAAGGATGGAAAAGCTAACTTGCAGTCTTTTGTGAATAAAAAGAAAGAGACGTGTCAAGTGCGATGAGACTCATCCATGCTGCAAGAGATGCCTCGTGACGCGGCGTCCGTGTGTGTGGCCGGATCCTTCCCGCCGCGGTAATAGGGCGGTAGTGCTTGCGCCGGCCGAACCGCTGCGGCCGGCTTTGAATGATGCCGCCGCGCGACCGAACACGGCCGGCGCCCGCGCGTTGAGTTATTTCCAGTACAAATCCGCGCAGGAGTTTGCGGGTTACTTTGACGGCCAGTTCTGGGGCGTCACCGTCCTCCAGATGGGCCACAGGGAGCCGTGCGTCAACCAGCTCCTCGTCGCTCTCGGCGCCCTCCACGAGGGGTTCCGTAACGAACCCGTCTTGAGACCGGACCCGGACGCCGTCATGCTCCGTCATCGCGCCAATGAGGAGTACACCAAGGCCATCCGGCTGTTCATCCAGCACATCGAGGAGCGGGAGTGGACCAGCCTCGACGTCACCCTCACCTGCGCCGCCCTCTGCATCGCGTTCGAATGGCTGCGGGGCACCGCGCACGACGCCAATCACCATCTCAAAGAGAGCCTCAACACGATGGCCCAATGGCTGAACGGCGACGCGCCGGACTCCAACAGCACCAAGATCAAATCGCCCCAGGGCGAGTTCATCCGGACGCAGCTCAAGCCCATCTTCGTCACCATGGCCCTGCACACGCGAACGCTGAACGAGCCTCCCAAAATCCCGCTCCCGGTCATCGAATCGGAGCACATCGACCTGGAGCGCTTCTCCAACGTCCACCAGGCCCGCGACTCTCTCGTCTTCCTCCTGGCCAAGAGCTTCCCGGAGGCCGTGTCCCATTACACCGTCGACCCGGACACCGCGTCGCCGGGCGACATCTACCTGCAGCTCGAGAAGTGGGGTCACTGTCTCGACAAGTTCATCGCCGAGCACGAGGGCATGGATCGCGACCCACGCGTGGCCATCCTCAGGCTGTGGCATATCGGCGCCAAGCTGCTCTACTACGGCGAGAACGGCGACAGCGAGCTGTTCTACGACAAGTTCAGCTCGGACTTTGAGAGCCAAGTCGACCTGGCCGAGTGGCTTGTCTCCGAGTCCATGATACCCCGGTGCCGCTTCTCCATCGACATGGGCGCCTTGCCCACTTTATATTACACCGCTGTCAAGTGCCGCCACCCCGGGACGCGACGGCGGGCGATCGATCTCATGAAAGCGTGGCCTAGGCGCGAGGCCGTATACGATAGTCTCGCGTGCGCGGCTCTCGCGGCGGAGATTGTCAAGATTGAGGAAGGGGACGATTTTGTGACGTGCGAGACTGACGTCCCGAAGAGTTCTCGCATCAGCGGGAAGATCAGATCCGAGTTTGAGGTGTCTGATATCGGCGAGAGGGTGAACAAGCTGTGGATTAAGCGGGAGGGTGAGAAGGAGTGGACCGATTATAGAGAGGTACGGTGGTGAGTGCGTCTGTAATAGCTGTAAAATTAGATTTTAGATCTTTTAGAGTGTTCTTTTCTTCCGCCGGGAAGATTTTTCAAGTTAATCATAAAGAAGCATCAATATTCTCACAATATCTGAGTCGGTGTCCTAAATTATATTTGTTTTTTAAGATGAGAATTAAATGCGCGTTAAAAATGCTGGACCTTTAACAACTTTTGAAAAGTCATCGAAAAACATCTAAATCATAAACATATACCTCCAAGATACACATGAACAATTTTCGGTTCATAATATTACGTATTGCTCGCATACTGCCCGTATCATCTCAAATTTAGTCCATCCAGAGTCGTCAATCAAAGTCCTCAGTAAATCTGCTTACATAATACAAAATACCGTCATACTGCTCCACCCGCAGCCGCGAGACATTTGGCAAAGTCAAACCAATCGAGCCTCTCCCGCCAACGACTACGCACAACCGATCGATGTACGCCTAGTCTTTCAGCAAATGTCCACCCAGCAATAGTAACCAAGAGCACGTTGCTCAGCGAAGCAACCCGGACGTCCGCCCACCATGCGCGAGTTCATGAGCTACGTCCAAGGCGCATTCTACGAGGCCACCGGCTGGAACCGCGACAACTCGTACTCGTCGCTCAACGCGACCGCCGATGGTGCGTCCCTAGCTTAACCATTCTCTACAACTCCAACGAGACTAACTGGTCCTCTGCAGCGCTCCTCAACTTCCCGACGCCCCAGGGCCTTCGCCTGACCCTCTCGTCCCTCGCGACCCCCCACTTCGCGACCTCGTACCAGCTCGGCTCCGTAGGCGTCGTCGACGGCTCCATCTCCTACCTCTACTCCTCCGTCCCCCTCCGCGCGAACCTCACCCCAAAGTCCGAGGCCATCCCGCTACCGGCGCTCCTGCGCTCATACCGCCCACTCGGCGACCTGCCGCGCCGTGCCGATAGCACGCCTTACCCGCTCCTTAGCCCGCGAGCCGCCTCGCTGCTCTACGGCCGCCTTTACCTCCCCGAATCCCTCCTCGAAGGTCTCATCGTCAAGCGCATATCCCCGGCGCTCCAGCTCCAGCTCAGCGCCGTGTCTGGCAAATTCTTACGCAATGGCGGCACGCTTCTGGGTCTGGCCCAGTACGACGTGGGGAGATACGCAGTGGAAGGACTCGCCTCTTCAGACGGCGGCCTACTGGGTTTCAGGGGAGTGTACAATTTTGGCGGAGACGCAGCGGACATACCGCCGCCGCCGCCGCGGGCCGTCGTCGGGCGCGTGAACGGAAAGCCAAACGGCCAAGGCGAGGACGTCAGGGAGCGCATCTACGGCCGCTTCAGCGCCGGCGGCGAGATATACTACGGCACCCTGAACAAGTCGGGCGGCGTCAGCTTCGGGGCGCGGTTTGCAACGTTGCCGGAACACCGCGGCACGCCCTTGACTGCGACGCTGACGCTGAACCCGCTCATGGGCAACATCAGCACCAGTTACGCCGTCGTCGCCGGCCCGCACTGTAGCCTTGCGACGCGGATGGACTTCAACGTGTACAGCTACGAGAGTGACTGGTCGGTGGGGATGGAGCTGTGGCGCAAGAACATTCTCAGGAACAACCTCGATCAGGCGCTGTCGGCTGAGAGTTTTGTCAAGAAGGAACGGAGCTTCCAGGAGAAGCTCGAGTGGAGACGGGATGAGCCCGAGCCCGAGCCTCAGCCTGTTGTCGAAGGAAAGCAGAAGGATAAGCCGAGGGAACGCAGCTTTCAGGCCAAGATGGAGTGGAGATTGGACGATCCCGCGGCGGCGGCGGCGGACGTGGTGGACGAAGGTGGGACGAAGCCGGAAACGGGTGCCGTGGTGGACGACGAATACGGCAGCGTCATCAAGGCTCGCCTGGACCAGAACATGAAGATTGGCGTGCTGTGGGAGGGGCGAGTCAAGTCGCTACTGTTCAGCCTCGGTAGCGCCATCGACTTGCGCAAGCCCGACTCGCCGTTTAGGACCCTGGGCGTGGAAATCCAGTTTTCTTCATGAGGGGGACCTTTCTCCGTCATGCATGTTGGTTTTTTGATTGCTACGCAGATGAGCGTTTTGTCTTACCCGATACGACATGAGCTCCGAAACTCTGGCTCAACGTGATGGGGGTATTACGGTACCAGCTGCACGTTGACTAGTTGGGACCCCCCGGCGTCGTGGGGTTCCGGAAATCTGCGAGCGCAAATGGATGCTGCTTGCCGCTGCGGCAGCCTGCATGAAGTGGAATTGAAAGGATACGACCTCGCTCACGCCGTGGCCCCCTTTTAGAGGATAATTACGCCGAGAACAAGGTGGGCAAAAGTTCCCTGGATAACTACCGGTTAAGTGTAGACGCCCGAAATATCGAGACCATCTCGCGATGTTCCTGGGCGTCGAGGGGGGCCCGCATCGGGTGTGCTAGTAGACGGCCGGCTTGGCTAAAGCTTGATCCTTTGATGGATGCGTCGGCCAAGCTTCCTTGGCGATGGGGGTTACGGGGGGATTCGAGACGTCAACCCGCCCCCCATGATGAAGGACTGGGACGTCCGGGGATCTCAAAATATTACAGAATAAGTTGTTGTAAAGCTGAGATTCGGCCTGTAATAACATGTAACACGTGGCAGTCAAAATGCCCATATCAGTTGATAGCAAGTAAATAACTCATTGTAAGACTAGTAAATAGAAGCTATTCAAAGTACCTAGTATATTGTAAGAACAGTTGGAAAAAAAGACCGGTGCAATGATAGTGTGGCGCTACGTTAACTATATCGTCAACCAACCAATGTAGTGCCATCAAGGCAGTCAGTCACCTCGAGAGACACCAGTCAGTCATTCAGCTGGTCAGTCATGGGTCGTGTAAGCAGTCGTGGTAGTATTGGGAGGGAGGTCAGAAGTTGGCCAACTCATGGCGCAAGAATTATGAGAATGAGGACCTTGATGGTTAAGCTAGTGCGGAGAACCTTGATGGCCAGCTTCGCAGCCAATAAGAGCCGTCATATTCTGGGGTTAAAAAAATAAAAATAAGAGGGATAAAAACTGATGGCGGGACTAGCGCGTCTGAGCAGGGATGGAGCCAGTCTCAGGCTCTCTCAGCTTACCGTTCTTGCGGATACTATGTATACTACATGGAAATTCTATCTTTTTTTGTACCATGTGAACCATTATATGTACCATCATGTGTATGTGGGAGATGGTCATGTCACAGGGAATGTGAATGCGCTCATAGAAGGGGAAGAAACTAGGGGGAAAATACTAAAATGAGGAGTCTTTATTGGTATCATAAAATGAATTGGTTCTTAAACAGGTTACAAAGCCGTCATTTACATTTTGTGTGGGAATCAATACCAAATGTTTGCAGTACGGACATGGGATGGAGTATGAGTATGGAGACATGAAGAGATACATACAGAAACTGCGCTGCCTTCATCCAGGTTGGTGTCATTAATACGAAAGGTGCAGGGGAAAGTGGTTCGTAGTCGCAGCTTCTTGATAAGGAAAGCGTGTGAGGTAAGAACAAGGTGCTAAAGTGGACCATAAACGTCGAGGTGGCCATCCGGGTTCTCATTTTGGTTTTTTTGAGCATCCGCCTGTGCCTGCCTCTGCCAGCCCATGCCTATGCCCATGCCTATGCCCATGCCTATGCCCATGCATATGCTGCCGCCATAGCATCAGCATCCGCTTTGCGCTTGGGTCAAACCAAATTCCCAGCTCTCTGGTCTCTGTTTTCTCCCTCTTTGACCCTGGCCACGAGTCCGACATCAAACCGCCGAAACTCTATCTTGAGACCATTCTCTTGATCCATTTCTACCGAGACATCTGTGTTACTGGAAAGCTCGGCTCCTCCTTCCCGGTAGACATTACTTTTACGCTCTGTTCCTCTTTTGGTTCGACAATACAGATACCTTATCGTCTTTCTCTCCTAGCCGCCAATCGACCTTGTAAAAAGTCAATAATCACAAGATAGACAGACGACAACGACGAAATAAGATCCTACTCCTCGTCTGCAAGGTGCCGGGTTTCCCGACTTTTGTGGTTCTCCAAGTTTCCTCGTCGAGTCCCACGTCCCGTTAGCGGGTGGTTACTCCGTCCTCTTATGTTCATCTAACTGACCACCCCCCCACGACTGACGACCATCCGGGTTCTCGACATCTCCTCCCATCAACGGTGCCGCACAACCATCCATCCCCCCTCGAAGTTTGAATACTTTTTTCTTTCTGGCCCCCCCCCCCTGCTCTTGGCGCAATTTATATACTGTCTTTACACCACCCACGGAGCCTCATTCCCTCCATCTACCAAGACGCCAAGCTGCGAGCCAAGACCTGCCAAGATCCGTCATCCAACACGATCTTCCTGTCCCTTGCCGCCTCTCCCCTGCGCGCCCAGCCAGCCCGCTTCAGCTCCGACCATTTCGGTATCTCTGTGTCATCAAGGGACCTCAGACGCCACCCGGCCGGCCCTTGAATCGTCGCTTCCGGAGTCCCAAAGCTTCTGAGCCCCTCCGTGGCCCGGCATACCGTCCAATCCTCATCCGTACCGCCTTAACGCCGTCCTCAGAACCTGTGTAGTCATCTGCACACTGCAGTCACCTGCCTCGCCCTCAGGGTACCCGTCCATTCACGAAGGTTGGACAAGTTGTTTGAATAGAAGAACAGCAGTCTTCGCCGATATTTCTTCTCTGCACTTGCTCAAACATCAGCCAAAATGAACCCTTTGGAGTTTTCAGCAGCAAAGCTCCTCGCTCTCCGCCAGGCGGAGGGAGCCGGAGCCACAGATGAAGTCACCAACGAGTGCGGCGCTGCCGCCGTCGACGTGAGCAACATGCCCTTGCGCATTGCCTCCATCTTCATCATCCTCGTTGCCTCGCTGCTTGGTGGTTTCCTGCCCATCTTCCTGGCCAGGACCACCAGGATGCATGTCCCCAAGATGACCTTCTTCGTCTTCAAGTATATTGGTACCGGTGTCATTATTGCGACCGCCTGGATGCATCTCCTCGCCCCCGGTGTCGAAGCCCTGCACAACGAGTGCTTGGCCCCCATGCTTGGCGAGTACGACTGGGCCTTCGCCATCGGCCTGATGACCGTCATGGTAATGTTCCTGATCGAGATGATTGCTTCCAACGTGAGCTCTGGCGCTTTCTCTCACAGCCACGGTGGCCACGAGATGAACGGTACTGGCCACCCTGTTGACTCCAAGACCAAGGATCATGGTACCGATGGGACTAGCGCTAGTGAGGTTTGCCCACATGATAACGGTGATGCTGAGAGGGGTGTCGGCTTCGTCGACCCCAACAAGGTGCCCGGACTTCCGGACGACGTTAGCTACCCCCCTGGCGGACGTGACCACCTCGGCCATGCTCGCGACCACGTCGAGGGAGACAGCCACAACAGCCTGAGCGGCCAGCTGACGGCCATCTTCATCTTGGAATTCGGCGTCGTGTTCCACTCTATCTTCATCGGTCTCGTCCTCGCCACTAGCGACGAGCTCGTTGTTCTCCTGATCGTCCTTACCTTCCACCAGTTCTTTGAGGGCCTCGGTTTGGGCTCCCGTCTCGCCGTCGCTCACTGGCCTTCTCACGGACGCTGGTGGCCGCACATCCTCGCTGGCCTGTACGGTCTTTCGACCCCTGTCGCCATTGCAGTTGGTATCGCCGCCAAGCCAAGCAGCGCCCAGACGCAGACCCTTGTCAACGGTATCTTTGACTCTATCAGCGCCGGTATCCTCATGTACACGGGTCTGGTCGAGTTGCTGGCTCACGAGTTCATGTTCAACCCGCAGATGCGCAACTCCCCGCTCAAGATCCAGCTGTTCGCCTTTGGCTGCGTCGCCCTAGGCGCCGGCGTCATGGCTGTCCTGGCCAACTGGGCCTAGGTGGTGTAAGATGGATGCGGTGGTTGTTGTGGAAACTGAGCTAGACTTTGAAATGATGGATATGGTATTTGGTATATATGGGTTTAAAATGATACCTGGGTCTTGTGAGCCTGCCTTTAGTGCATGGTTTGAGGGATTCTCCTTGTAGGCATTTTTGGATATTTTTGCATAGGAGGAGTTCACTACTATGCCTTCCGGCATGTAATAATGATTATTGATAGAATTGATGCGATTCAAGCACTTGTCTAAACGTATACCACTGTGAGACCGGTTTGTGTTAGCTAGGGATGCGGTAAGTGGGCGATGAAGCGCAAAGATCTGCTGTCAAGCAGGAATTCTTGACAGTTGAATTGCCGCTGCTGATGACAGTTAGCTCGAAGATTTCGTTTTCTCCGGGTTATGCATTCTGAGCTTCTCTTAACGCTGAATGTACAGATCCATGGCGATTCAAGGACTGTGAGAAACCCCACCTGATGAACAACCTCGTGATTATCTAATCGAGATTGGATTGGGCTCCCAATAGGTTCACGGGTACCCGTGCGTGTAAAATTTCACGGGTACCCGTGGAAATGACTAAGCAACCTGCCCACGTCAATGAACGCGTCTTGTGTCATACACCTTTCACGCGTTATTTGCATCCAGCACTTCAGTCATATATTCTTAAAAATGGAAATAGCTCTCAAAGACTCAATACTCACATTCCCAGACGACAGTCTCCCCCCTGAAAGCGATCATAAATCTCGCGATGAGCTTTTTATGTCAATCAACAACTGGGCGGCGACAAAGGGATACGCATTCACTACCGGGAGATCAACAAAGGAGAAAAGCGGACGACGGACGATTACATATTCATGCGATAGGTCGTGTCATCCGCCAAGCACATCAATAGCGCGGCAAAGGCAAACTACTAGTAGGGGGACTGGTTGTCAATTTTCCGTCCTTGCTAAGGAATCTTTGGATAAGAGCACATGGAGCTTGAGACACCGGCCCGATAAGCGTTTTTCTTCTCATAATCATCCCCCAAGCCAACATCCGTCTGCTCACCCAACGCATCGCAAGCTATCTGAGGAGGATCAAGCCAAGGTGGCCGGTCTTTCAAACGCTGGCGTCGCACCCAGGGACATCAGAACATACATACGACAAACGACAGACTCTATAGCGACCCAGCAGGATATCTACAATCATATTGCAGCCGCTAAACGAGATGTTCGTGAAGGGCAGACCTCGATCCATGCACTTGCCAATCAACTTGATGAGGAAGGCTTCTAGAGTCGCATGCAGTTTGCACCAGATGGCCGAGTTACGGCTGTCTTGTTCGCTCATCCAGATTCCTTAGCCCTTCTCCAAGCCTACCCAGACATCATGTTACTAGACTATACCTATAAGACTAATAAGTATGGTATGCCACTTCTTGATATAGTTGGCGTCGATGCTTGCCAACGGTCGTTCTGTATTGCGTTTGCATTTCTTAGCGGCGAGGCAGAAGATGACTATACCTGGGCTTTGGAGCGGGTCAAATCCTTGTATAGTCAGTGCAACGCTAGCCTACCTGCGGTTATCCTCACAGATCGCTGCTTAGCATGCATTAACGCTGTTGCAACCATCTTCCCCTCTTCTGCATCTTTGCTTTGCCTCTGGCATGCGAACAAGGCCGTTCTTCAACATTGTAATCCAGCTTTTGACTCTACTAAGCCAAAGACAGTCAACAATCCTGCAGCGCTCAAACCTTCAACTCAGAGCTGGGAAGAATTCTATAACTCCTGGCATTCGATCATCAGCTCGCTATCTGAGGTGGTTTTTGAGGAGCGCGTTTCCCAGTTTGAGGAACGCTATCTTCTGGACCATCTCGAAGAAGTCGGCTATGTTACGTCCGTTTGGTTGAAACCATACAAGGAGAAGCTAGTGAAAGCCTGGGTCGATCAGCATACCTATTTTGGCAATGTGGCTACTTCGCGAGTTGAGGGTATTCATGCACTACTTAAATCGCACTTGAAACGATCCACATTAGACCTTTTTGAAGCTTGGCGAGCAATGAAGCATGCTTTACTAAATCAGCTATCGGATCTAAAGTCAAATCAAGTTAAATAGCAAATACGGATACCAGTTGAGCTTTCAGGGTCAATGTACGGCGCAGTGCTTGGCTGGGTATCGCATGAAGCCTTGCGCAAAGTAGAAGAGCAACGGAAGCTGCTCACGAAGAAAGACACAAATCCTTCCACAGCCTGTACGGGGACGTTTTCTCGAGTATATGGTCTCCCATGCTTACACAAATTGAAGACTTTACAAGAACAGAATCTTGTTCTTCTACGTGAGCACTTCCATGCACATTGGCATTTGAGGCGTGATGGAGCGCCGCAGCTATTGCTGGAGCCTTGCCAGCGCATAGAGCCCAGGTTGCAATTAGAGAATCCCAGTATTCCCAAATCAAGCACTAGACGAGAGCCTAGCGGGTTCGAAGTTGTTGAAGTTGCTTCACGGGCCCCAAGCAAATGCAGTAGGTGTCATACAGTTGGCCATACTATGACTTCAAAGGCGTGCCCTCTGCGATACACGCATTTATTGCCTGAACCGACACCTACTCCAGATCCAGCTACAGTATCAACTGCGATATTTACCGGGATGACGACAGATACACAAGAACCTCCTTCAAACGCCGTGCAGGACGTACCAGAGTTGGTTCAACCGACTATTGCTATAGTGGTAGAGACCAGTATATCACCACCTCGGGTATTATCACCATTTGCGCATTCGCATTCACCTTCGCTGCCAGGATACGATTTACCTCAGGCGATATACGGACGGTACTGTGCAGCAAGAAGCGCCTGGTACGGTGCTTAACCTCGTGGGAGTGTCAAAACAAACCAGGAGTATCGAAGGGTAATAGGACTTCCGCTACGTTATGACAAAAAGTGTTATGAGTGGTGTCTTGACTATAAGCAGATGAAAGGACGCTGCACTACCTTACACGGGTCAAGGGATTGGACGAAGGAGGAGATGATGGCTTATCTGGACTGGGATAGGGCTGAATATAAACGGGTCGATGAGCTGATTATTGCGGAAGATGGACAAAACCCCTTTAAAAACAGTGAGAGAGGTATGAGCGAAGTCTGGAAACGAGTTGAGCAAGATAAGGCAGAGTAGGAGGCGTTATACGCTGGTAGTAAGCCTGAAGAGTGTATCGTAGTAAAGTCGTAAACTTTCCGGATAAGTTTGATGCAGGCCGTGCCTCTCATTGGCTCATGAGCCCCATATCAGAGTTGCTTAGTCATTTCCACGGGTACCCGTGAAATTTTACACGCACGGGTACCCGTGAACCTATTGGGAGCCATTGGATTGGCCCACCTTACCTAAGCACTGTTGTTTCTTCAGCCTTTTTGGGCCCACCAAGAAAGCCCCACGGTTGACAGATTTCTCACACCTCAACCACGTGATGTGATGCACGGACCCAGGGCTTTCTGCCCTCCCCGCCAAGATTGCCCGCAACTTTCCAAACCACCAAAAATTTCCAATCGCGAAGTCTGATTCCCGTTGACCGACCGACCTCATCGCCAAATTCCCAACCGCCCAGCGCCGCACCCAAGTCCACCCTCTTTCCCCCCCAATCCAATCAATACCGCAAAAATGGCCGGTGGCGTCAGTGTCCGCGATGTCGATGTAGGTTAACACCCCAGAGTGACAAAAGACTCTATTCTATACCTCCAGCCGAGCAAACCTCTTTTCGACCTCTCGAAATCATTCCGAAAATGTCTGATGACACCGCGCGCACTGCCCCTTCATAAAGAGAAGACCCTTCGACCACATTGATCTCTCATCGACCTGAGATACGGCAAATGCTATCCATTTCATCCATGATCTTGGAGTCGCGACGGTGACGAAGAGAAGTGTGTGTGAAGAGAGAGGCTTTTCGAAGGGGCAGTCCGAACGGCGAGGAACACGGAAGGAAGAAGGATTATATATACCAATACATGAGGAACAAAAACGGAGCAGGCGCGAGGGAGTCGAAAGACTTCTGATGACGGAATCATGCTAATTGGTGATTTTCTTCCTGGTAGGCGCAAAAGTTCATCAACGCGTATGCCGCTTTCTTGAAGCGTCAGGGCAAGCTGCCCATTCCCGGTATGTCAACACAGCTCACCATTACCCCTGCGCGTAATATCTAAATACTAATTTACCATAGGTTGGGTCGACATCGTCAAGACCGGTCCCGCCAAGGAGCTCCCTCCCCAGAACATTGACTGGTTCTACGTCCGCGCCGCCTCCGTCGCCCGCCACATCTACCTCCGCAAGACCGTCGGTGTCGGCCGTCTCCGCAAGGTTCACGGCTCCGCCAAGAACCGCGGTGTCCGCCCCTCCCACCACGTTGACGCCTCCGGCTCCGTCGACCGCAAGATCGTCCAGGCCCTCGAGAAGATTGGTGTCCTTGAGCAGGATGAGGAGAAGGGTGGCCGCCGCATCACCCAGTCCGGCCAGCGTGATTTGGACCGTACGTTGTTGTCCGCTTTGCATATCGACTTGTACAATGTGCTAACTTAACTCTCAGGTATCGCCCAGACCACCGCTGAGGCCGAGGAGGAGGAGGATGACGAGTAAATCTGTCCCTCTTCACCAATCGACCAGCAAAATTATATGCTTGTGGTAAAATGAGGTTTCCGGTTCATGGCTACGGCAAATAAAAAGGGGCATTCCGGGGTTTAGGCGTCTGAAAATGGATCAACGGTTTCACGATTGAAAGAAAGCAATTTGATGGAATCCCCCAAGCATCCCAAATTCAAGTTCCGTCTTCACCCTGGTGTTTTGCGTCTCTCTTCTCAGAGTTATGACACGTAGTGCCCTCTGTGGCTTATGATCACGCCTGGGTTTTATCCATTATTCATGTTGCTGTGATGTGACGTGCCTAGTGATTCACCGTTTTTTGTGTCGTACGCTGCGCGTTATTGAGTGTCTTAATTTCTTAAATCTTGGAATGATGTTGGCATACAACACAGCTGCCGCTCAACCTGAGTCAACTAGTTCTCAACTCCTGCGTTTCTTCTGCGCTCCTTCCTAAAACATCCTATCTATCAAACTAGTCACTTATTATCCAACATCGCGACCTCTAACCAACACTCTTCGCCGCCCACAATCGTCTTTTTTCCACATGAACTAGTAGTTCCTTCTTTCCTCCGTTACTTCAACAACTTCTTCACGACGCGCGCTCAGAGTCGTGACTACCTCAACATATATCAACACGCGGTTGAAAATAACCTCTAATACCTCTTTTCCCATCGCCTTCCCTTCTTTCAACTTCTTATTTCTCTTACATCTCTCCAGCAAGAGACAGACTTTTCTCGTTCCTACTCCAAGTCACAATATCCATTCTTTCCTCACTACATCGCCAACTCATCAACTCAAGCAGAGTCAACGAGAGCGTGACCCAAGTTAAGAGGTTATCTTTTGACCGTCTTTCACTGCCTCAAGCTTCTCATTCGTCTTCCGTCGTTCTTCCTTATTATAACTATTTGCGGCAGAGTGCCTGTTATTACTGGACGAGCATTTACAACTCAGCTTCGCTCCTGCTGTTATTGGTACTCAGTTATCTAAACAGACGTATCGCAGCTCTACTTCGAACCCCCTCCGATCACAATCTTTCACAAGCATACGTTGATTCAAGAACTCGAAGATGTCGATGCCCTCTACTTCATCAACGGGCACCCTTGCCCGAGGCGACCGTCCGATTATTCCCCTTGAACGGATGAGTTGTGACCTGCCATATCCAACCACCGAGCATGTCATCAAAGAGGAGCCTCTCGACGAAGCTATCTCTCAGTTCAAGAATGTCATGTCCCTCAGCCACCCGAGGGAGAAAGTTTTCTTCTTAAAGAGAATTGTGGATAAAAATCCCCGATTCGATATCCTGTTTCAGATTGGGGGAGGTACACAACGCCCCAGATTCAACGACTCCGACGCCTCATCGGACACTGCCCGCACGATATCAGACGCAGGTCAGAACATTTTCGTCGTCAAAGAAGGACCAAACATCAAGCTCCTTCAGTCAGTAGCGTCTGCCGCTTACACGGCAGACAGACCTGAAGCAAACACTAGAATCATGTTCGCTTTAAAGACCTGCGGCTTCATAAGTACGAGGGATTGCAAAGGCCAACTGCATGTTCTGAAAGTTGCGGCCAGCGGTATATCTTTCAAGCCCCTCGGAGACTCTGATCGCCGAGGCTTGCTATACAACAGCAAATGGATTGACCGGGTAAAAAGGATTGCGAGGATTCTCAATATCAACATGGGAAGTTTTTATGACGGCTGTGGCCGGACTGCTACACCGGAACAAGTCGGAAGATGGGCAGCCGGACACGTTGAAAAAAAGCTCGCGACGCACATTGTCTTTGTACACCTGAAGAAGTTGGGCATTCAAGCTACGAATATCACGATCGAGGAGCTCAAACGTCTTAGAACGTGCCTTGCAGAGCAGGGCTACAGGCCTCAGTACGAGATCCATCTAACCCGAGGACCTTGTGGCGTCCCTCGACGTTCGGGCAAGTGTGTCCCGTTCGTCTCTCGGCTGGGAAGACTCACAGGGATTCGATTCAAAATCTGGTCGTGGGAGAAGAATGTCATACTAGACGGCCTTGAGCCACGCAAGCCGAGAGTATACATATCGAAGAAGGAAATGCTGGAACGATTTGGGCATCGAGAAGTCCCCCTGGACAACGAGGTGGAACAGGTCGAGCATGAATTTGAGGAAGATGACTGGAGAGATATCGTTGGCGAGGGTGATGATGACGGTGGCGACCAAGGGACCGAAGAGAGTGACAATGAAGGAATCGACGAGGACATCCCATGTGGCGATGGAGGCGACGGTCAAAACTCCGACAACGGAACTAACCTTGCTTCTGGAATGGTCGACGTATCAACCTCTTCGGAACAGCAACCGAAAGCACATCAGCCAGGCGCCTCGAAAACGATCGAGAAGAGACTTCGTTTGCCAGACATTATCCCCAAGCCGCTGCCACCAACCCCGACCACGTCCGTCCCGTCAACGCAAACTCGTCCTGTTTCCGTCGAGCCCTAGGAGCGCCGTCGCGAGAAACCCTCCCAGAGCCGAGCTACGAAGAGAGCAAAGCTGCGGAAGATGAAGAAGACGTTTCATGCGCACAGATACATGGCCAACAACACCGCAGTTACGCAAGGTATGTTAAGCAAGTCGAAGTTTGCTACTAGGATGATGGCTAACGTCTTACGGTATAGGGGCATCTGTTCTTGCCAGTCGACTGGGCACTCTTCGGAACAAGACGCGCAAATTAGGCTAAGGCATAAGCTGAGGAAGACTTTTGAATGCGGAGTGTAGGATATTGTATGTTGGAAGTGGCTGGACTAGACCTATCGGTTTCTTTGTCTGTTGGCAATTTTCACTCAAAATTTTTGGGAGTTGGAACCTTCTTTTTATCAGATGGCTCTGCTTTTGAGTCTGATTATAATAGGAAAGTCGGTTTGGAGGTGAGGTTTGTTACCTCTTGGTATGGTATGGTTATGAATTGCAATCAATTCGTCAATCACCTATTCGTTTGCAAAGTAAACACGAGCTGACTCTCCATTAATCTTTTTTGACTTCTTATGTCATTCAAGCATTATTTCATAACCATAAGACTACCGAAGTAGACCCTATTCTTGATACCTGCTCGCTAAGCCTACTTCGCAATGCTCAAATCAAAGGTAAAGTCAAACGCCTCCGCATAGCACCTATACTGCTCAAAGGGTCTTGGCCCAACAGTCGCCGATCCAATACCATTGTTGTCGTAATCAAGATGCAAAACCGTCATGTTCAAGGGCTTCAGATCGTAAGGGTGCTTCGCGTCGTCCAGGTCGTAGGGCAAGTATCTCTGGGCCGTAAAGCTAAACGGCTCAGCCTCAGACCTCCTGGCATCAAGTGTCACGCCGCCGGCCCCGTTGCTGATTTGCAGCCATCTAAGGTCCTCCCGGTTGCCGTTCTCCTGGGGATAGTCGTAATAGGTGAACAGGTCTTCAACACTAGACTTGTACTGTCCAATGCGGCAACCCTCCTTCGTGTCCTTGTAGTTCTCGCCCGGTCCACGACCGAACCACGAGACTTCGTTGAAATCGGTGGGCAACACGGCCATCAGACCGATACGAGGAACCACTTCGGGCTTGGTCTTCCCCTCGAAATCGCCACGAGCGTGGACAGTGAGAGAATCGGACGAGACGGTGTACGTCAGGTCAGCCTCCACGCCCCATTCAAGAGCCTTCGGCGCCACGCGGACCTTGTAGTTGACTGTAAGCCCACCGTCACTTTCTTGCCATCGCACGTCGCGGACTTGGGTGTGCATGCTGTTGACTCTGGCCTTCACCCAAATAGGACCGTCGCCCTCTTCCGACTCATCGTTTTGCGTCTGAGCACGGTAAAAGAAGAGCTCCGGTCCGCGCTGGAAGACGTCGACCCCGTTGATGTTCCAGGTAACGTTTCCTTGAAGTAGATCAAAGTCAAACGAAGACTCGCCATTCTCAACCTTGAGGTGCGTCCTGTCTTGCTTGACCGTGAGGTTACCCGACTGCCTTGCTCTGACGGAAACATCCCGCCTGGTTCGGTTGCCTGTAGCTGGGGCGTTGAGGTGAAGTTGGTCCCAGGCCACGACGTGTCCCTTCTCTGCCCATACCGTGTCGTTCTTCAGAGCGAACTCGACAGTGACCCACGACTCACCAGCAAAGCTAGAATTTCCAGTAGGCAAGTTGACCGTTCGCTGCTCACCGGCTGGAATGCTGGGGAGATTCAAGGGCTGACGAGACGTAGGCTCTTGCCCGTCCTGAATTATGTGCCATGACGCAGAGAAATCATTAACATCGTGGAAGTCGAAGTGGTTGGTGACGACCATCTGATGTCCATCACCTGTCAGGTTCACCGTGATGGCCTGGATAGCCTTGGCATACTCATTGAGCGAAGGCATGGGTGTGTGGTCGGATAGAGTGAGGCCGTCCATGATGAAATCGGCGTCGTTGGGGTAATCGCCAAAGTCTCCGCCATAGGCGTAGTACTCAATATCACCTTCTTTCTTCAAGAGACCGTGGTTGCTCCATTCCCACACAAGCCCACCCTGAATCAAAGGCTCGGTTCTGAAGAGCTCAATGTACTCTTTCAGACCGCCCGGGCCGTTGCCCATAGCACTAAATACAATATCAGCATAATCCAGAGGTTAGAGCGATGAAAGACTGGCGACATACTGTGCATATTCACACAAAATGAACGGCTTGTCTGTGTGGTTACCAATGAATTCAAGGATGCTCGTAGGCGATTCGTACATCTGGCTGTACATATCGACCGACGTGGCGTTGCGGTCCGGCTCGTAGTGAATGATGCGACTCGGATCACGCTGTCTGATCCATCGGGCCATGGTATCCAAATTCTGGCCATAGAAGCATTCGTTTCCAAGGGACCAGATGATGACCGACGCGTGGTTCTTGAATCTCTCAACAACCTGGTGAGCTCTGTCGACGTAGGCAGCTTCCCAGTCAAGGTTATCCGAGGTCCACTTTCCAGCTTCCTCTTTCGTTTTCTCAGCTTTACCAAAGCCGTGACACTCAAGATCCGCCTCGGAGATGACGTAGAAACCGATTTCGTCCGCTACGTCGAAGAAGTCTGGATGAGGGGGTTGATGAGCGGTGCGGATGGTGTTGATGTTTGAGCGCTTCATCAGAATGAGATCGGCTCTCATGTTTTCGTAAGCAACGGTTCGGCCGGTGATGTGGTGGTGCTCATGTCTGTTGACGCCATAGATGGTGATGGCTTTTCCGTTGACGTAAAAGTTGCTACCGATAATCTCTACGCGACGAAGACCGATTCTTTGGCTGATGGTCCGGTTGTTGAACGTGACTAGTATCGTGTAGAGAGTTGGCGTTTCAGCAGACCATAGATGAAAGTCTTCGCCCTCGATTCTGTGCTCATAAATATCCGAAGACGGCCCGGTCCACTCATCGAGGGTGTCGCCGCTGGGAGAGAGAAGCTTTACCGACATATCACCCGGGTCGCCTTGTATGGTTGCGTTGAGCCTGAGCGTGCCGCTTTCAAACGAGTCATCGATTTCAGTATTGACAAAATAGTCCACGATTGCTGAGCGAGGGAAAGGAATGAGGTAGACATCCCTGAAGATGCCTGACATCCACCACTGGTCTTGATCCTCGATATACGAGCCATCAGACCATTGGTAGACGCGAGCAGCAAGCGAGTTGGCTTTTCCTGGTGTAAGATAATCGGTGATATCAAATTCATGCGCGTTGCGGCTTCCCTGGCTATAACCAACTTCTTCACCGTTGACCCAGACGTGAAAGGCGCTATCAACGCCCTCGAAACGAAGACGAATTTGCTGGTCCTCTTCCCAGTTGTCTGGAACTTCAAACTCCCGCCAATATGATCCCGTAGGATTGATGTAAGAGACATTAGGAGGAGTGATAGGGAACGGGTAGTTGATGTTGGTGTAATGGGGAATACCGTATCCCTGCCGCTGCCACATCCCTGGGACCTCAATGTCTGCCCATGAGGTCACGTTTGCCGTCTCCCAGATGGGTGCTTCGAAAGGGCTCTGATCATAATGAAACTTCCAGGTGCCATTGAGGCTGAGGAACTCGCTCTGTCTACGATCGAATGACAAGGCGGCCTCCTCGCTGGCGTACGAGTAGAAGTGAGCTCGGGGAGCCAATGTGTTGCGGTGAAGAACATTCAGATTCGTCCAATCGGGCAAAGCTCCTGGGAAACCCAGGCCCGAAATGAGGTCCATGATGTTTCTACTTGGCTGAGACTACCTGATCGGATATTCCGCGACTCTCAACTCGAGACCTTGCCATCGCAAACATCGCAACGCCGCTGATATAGAAGGCTCACGGCCTCGGAAACTCCTCGGTACTTTACATTTCCGGCTCGGCGCATGTCACGATCGTATAGCTGCACTGAGAGAAGGATTTCTCAAGGCCCCTCTTTCATGTAACCATAACTGGGCTCATTTGTGGCCGGTTCCTCAATCGCGGGGCTCACGTGGTCGGCCATGACGACTCTGAGTTGCATCGGCGATGCAAAATCATCGTATGTGCCGCTGATGCTTGGAACTAGGAAGCTGGGCAGCGGGGACGGAAATATAAAAGACTTGAAAAGTCGATGCACATCTGCGATTTCCCCGCAATGACTGGATCCACGGGCAGCGTCCGGCCCCGACAACCCCGCGATCGACATTGAAGCGGGGAACAAGCGAGTGAGGAGATGAATGTAGTACGATGTTCACCGCTTGGTTCAATGAAGCTCCAGCGTATGAAACCACTGTACTTTGAAATTAAAGGATTTGTCAAGAAAATGAAAGAGAGCAATGGCACTGCATGTTACATTCGGTATATCTGGTCGCGAGCTGCTTGTGTGGATAGACATGGCGAGCTTGAATTGATGTATTTGTATCGCTCGGTTAAGGTTGTCAGCGATGCGTAAATAAGCTAAATGGGGCGTATATGTCAGGAGTGGGTTCTGACGTAGTTGACACCATCGTATCATGCCAGAGGAGTGTGAGAATGTGGTCTGAGATTTGAGCTTGTCAGTATTTGTTCCTCAACACGGTGGCCAACTTATTCCCTGAGAAGATAAACTTGGAAAAACTCACTCTCAAGTGAAGTTGAAGTCGGTTGTAATCACCTAGCATTAGTGGATTCGTATTGCTATGTGGCTTGCATTGGATGCATGATAGAGGACTTGCGCCTGAGCGAATCAAAAGGTTGATTGACGAAGGGGCTTTGTGGTCGAGTTGAATTGACAATCCACTCTTGAATTCAAATTTCTTAGGAGTCTTATTTATCTTCGACATGGAAGATCCTATGAAGAAGAAAGCTTTGCTCATCGTGGCATAGCAGAGGGACTTGAGCAGGCCCTTGGTTGTCTTCCCCTCTCAAGAGACATCCGCAGCATCTTTAATATCAGACCCTGCAATGGCGGGCATATGGTCTTAGCAAGCCTGCTGTGAGAGTGCAACGTAATGGTTGTCAAAAACCTTGCGTCCTCTCGCACGAGTATCTCCATTGCCGTTATCCGAACCGCAGCGAAGGACAATGGTACCCATATCTCCCGCAATATCCCAGCACTGCACGTCGACCTTGTCGGTGTGCTACACCAATCGTTAAGAGAGTTCATATCGTCGGAAGATAACCAAAACATACCGTGTTGCAAAGGTACATCGAGCAGCTGCTGGAGCAGCTAACACGAGCACAAGCGCCCTTGGGAGCACTGCACGTAGAAGAGCCGAGAAGAAGAAGCTGGTTGAGAGCTACAGCACACTGAGAATAGTAGCCGTTGATCCAGTTGCCATAGCTACAGTCATACTAAAGAGCTGTTAGAGTGGACTTGAAATTTAAGAGATTGTAGCTCACGTTGCTCTGTCTGGACACTAAACTTCCCTCAATCGGGGAGTTGGGGGATCTTTGGGTAAGATCATTCTTGGTGAATCCGCGCGAAGTCAGACCTTCTGCGTATTCTGGGAACGCCCACGGATCATAAGCGGGATTGAGCTCCAAAATCTGCTGGTAGATTGCGTCCGCAGTGCCGTGAAGTGTTACGTTCGGGCCACCGACTGTGACGGGTCCGGTGAAGGATAGCTCAGCCACAGGAAGGTTGTCGTCATTGACATCTTCAGCAGAGCGATAGTAAACTGTGTTCTTGCCGGGAAGGGCAAAGGCCTTGTTGGGGAGTCAGTTGACAAACCAAACAAATTTGCTACACAATACCTACAATGGAAGCCAGGAACACAAGTCCTGTAACCGCGGTCTTCATTTTGACAATAACAGAGATACAGCGAGAATTCAAGGGCTACGAATGCAACGAGCTACTAGGAAATGGGACTGCGTTGAAATGTTGATGGAAAAGGTAAGTGGCCCTTTTATAATACTCCCTATCGACCCCTTTTGCAAAAGCCCGTAAAGCACTATAATGGATACTATAAGAACACCTGCTGTATGTATCATAGGTTGCCATTGTTGCCCCTTGCTGCGAAATCTGGTGCATGCAGAATATGCAAGGCTAACATGCCCCGGAGCCATATAAGAACAACAAAGATGCTGACTGCATGAAGGATCACAGGAATAGGGCCAGAGATTGGTCGTTAGTAACTTGGAACCACGAAGCTAGGAGGAAACAGCTCGGATTCCATTCATGTAGGTGTTGAGCCAACCATCGCCAAGGCGCTGTGTGATTGGTTGGCTCGGAAAGCTGCACTTGGTCGGGGCTTTCCTGCAAAACAATTATATCTAGCGGAGTTTATACGATTGTAATCCTTGGCCTCGCCTGCAGAGTTGCATCGTATGGCGCGATTAGGTGGCCTGATCTTGTTGTAGTATAGTAGCCTCTCATTCAGGGCAAACACGATTGGCACCAAAACGAAAAGAACACTTGAGGCTAACAGGGTTGAGCTGCCCGTTGACCATTCAAGACCTTTCTAACTTCAAAGAGGCAGGACGTCTATGGTGGACTTCCCTAGGGTTCCGTAGGATTGAAAGAATCCACACAGGACGTAACGTGGCTTATTGATTGCCAACCTCACGTTTATCAACACCATTTCTGGGGATATCACAACCGCTTTGAGGGAAATTGATCGTTACAAGACTTCAACATACCTTACCGCTGGTACATATACTAGTTAATTGATGAAATCATCAACACCCCAATTAATTTTGGCTATATTTATAGGTCTGTCGAGAAAGGAAAGACGGCTTGCAGACCTGCGTTGCGGTGGATGGCAGTTTGCTAATTCAATGGTGCAAGTTTGATGATAGTGCATCTATGGCACCGGATGACATTTAGTTCAATACCTTGAAGAGCGGCAAAGAGTATACGAGTATTTTAAATGTCGTTTTGAAAGCGCGTTTGGCAGAATTTGGCACTGACTCCCACAAACTCGAGCATGCCTGACCTTATGAATTCCCTTACTAATTGATCATGAATCTTTTAGCCCTACGTTCATGTTAGTCGATAATGTTCGGTACGCGCCAATCAACTTGACTGGGGCTACGCAAAGAATCGGCTAACTGCCCAGGAACTTGTCTGAAGCATTCGGTTCTAACTATTAACAGCTCAGATACAGGAATTAAAGACGTTGAAAATAATGATGAAGCTCAGAGTAAGTAGAAGTTTAACGTGTTCCCATGTCATGCAGCACCACTGTCTGGATATCCTTAAAATTTATACACTTTATCTCCATTTCTTAGTCTGAAACATTGAGCTATCGATGCTCTGAATTTTCGTCGCGCGGATGCCGTCACAAAGTCATTATTCCTTTGCAGTCGATGTGTATCGATCTGCCCAAGTCGTATTTGGAACGGAAGTTTTCTCCTTCGAATCAAGTTACAATGTCTTACGGGCTTACGAGAACTGGTAGTAGATGAAGTCCCAAGCGCCCGTATTATCACTGTCGTAATCCACCTCGATCTGAATGAGCTCTTTGTTGAGGTCAAAATCCGCGATAGCGCCACGAATAGATTTTGAGAAGATGGTGTTTCCGAGTGCATCCCAACAACTCTTTTTGGCCTCGTCCGTATCTGTGCTGGATACCTTGAAAGAAGCGTCGAACTTGATGCCGATTAGGGTGCGGCAGTCGGTAAGGGCGGTCTGCATGTTTTCGTTTTCGATCTTGTAGCCCAATACCTCCTTGAGTTCTGACGGCTCCAGGCCTGCCATGGTCCAGCACTCTTTGAGAACCTGCCGCATTTTTAAATGCGGCTTTGTTGGATCGAGACCATTCATGGCTTGGACAACAGTCAGGCGCTTTGAAACTTTGTTGACCATGACGGTGTCAACGGGCTGGAGTTTGCCTTCTTTGTCTTTTTTGACGTAGCCATCTGCCCAGACCTTGAAAAGCCATTTGTTGCCAGTTTCGTCTACTTCGGTTTCCACTGCGTACGCATTGTTATTCTGCATTGCCGTCAGCCAATCAGCCCCCCAAAAAAATATCAAGTTTTACCAAGGCGACTTACGGCAAATGGCCGGACTGGTTGGGCTGGCTGAGCAGAAATCTAGGTCAGAGATTAGCGAAACTTATCACAATCAAGTACATCCCTCATCGGTGCAAGCAATTGGGTTGCTGCGACTAACAGTGCTAATAATGGGACTTAATGCCAAAAGAATGACGGAAAAGTAATGTGAAATCATTTTGACAAACGATGGAATGCTCGGGGAACGAATGGCAGCTGCGCGATGGCTGGCGAAGTAAAGAGTGATGTAAGTTGGATAGCTGATAGCCCTATGCCTCTACAGGAAAACTGAACAGGCCGACATGATATACAGCGTCGCTTGTTACAATTCTTAGGGCAATAAGAGACGGGAAGTGGTTGAGCTAGATTCAAGGGGTTGACTGAATCGTGTTTCTATTCATAGGGGTGGACCAAGTCTCGGCGAGCCGGATCACGACCGCTCCGCTCACAACCAATGGAAAGATGTCGGACTGTATTGTGGGAGAGACGGGTCCACTGATACAACTCCAGAGGATTGTTGCAAGCCGTCGAAATTTCGAAATCTCCAAGCTGCTCGATATTTAGATCATGAAAATGCTGAAATCGGCCGACTTCGGCAACAAAATCCGCGGCGCACTGACTCAGGTCGGTAGAAATTCTGCATAGTGTTAAGATGGTGATGTCGATCTGTGGCAGGTAGAGTTGGGACGAACGCTGCAGAAAGTTATTAATACCCTGCCAATGTGCCTGTGCTGCGGTACATGACTTGCAGTATGCCGATCATCAAAGGAAAATAAAGTATGTTTGTCGACCTAATAAAAAAATGTGGTATTCTTTAATAGTAGAAAACTGGATTAAGATGTCGATCTTTCATGCTCCAATGTCCGTACGCAGTTAACTAAAAACAAACCCTATATCCTTCATGTTATACTCCAATTCAGTCATCTGATGTTTGGCGCTTGGCATTGCAATTTGGCTACCCGCAATGCTCAGCCTTTCGGGAACAGAGGAGTCCAGGCTCCAGTAGAACGTATATATACTCTTTAGAGAAACTCAGACTTGCCTATCCATTCTTTAACCTTCCACCTTCTTTTAAATTGGCTCGTTCACTCCTACTGGCTGTATTCTTTCGTTTATGTACTGCAGTCATGTTGCGTCATTCGTTAACCTCACTGCTTTTGCTCGGTTTGGCCACGTTTACATCTGGCCGTGCTCTTTCTCCTCGTGACGGAGATGTAGCAATAGGCGATAAATTTAAAGATCACGACGATATTAAAGCTTTTGAACAGGCAGCATCCGATGGTACACCTGGTGAACTAGAACTGCGCTTTAAGCCTGGGCTCAATGATGCCAGCGGATGTTTTCCATATGCAGCCGTCGATAAGGATGGTTACCATGGGTAAGTGGTCAATTTGGATTATCGTATGAGACTGAGTTTCGACTGACGTTAATGATTTACAAGTGCTGGATTGAAACCTACCGGAAAAAGCGGTGGAAAGTGCCGAGACCCTGCCCTTGGTCAGGTCTACTCAAGAGTGGGAGTCTCCAACGGACGCACTGCTGTCTTGTACTCCTGGTACATACCCAAGATCATGACCGACAGCGACAACCACAAACACTGGTATTTGAGCGTCGTAGTCTGGCTTCATACGGACAAGTGCGGCGCCATGGCTGCCGACTATTCCATCGCCGGCGTCAGCTACTCCAATGGCAAGGAGACCTTTGATACGACAATGAGTTCGTCTACCATCTACAGCTCTGGAGACAGTAACACGGGGGCTGTCAACACGCATCCTATTGTAGGCTATGACGGCCAAGTGGGCGTGTTTCCATCGGATGACAGTGCTATCTATGCGCTCACCCCTCCAATGATTAGCTGGGACAAGCTGTCGACTGCGGCTAGAGAACAGTTCAACGGAATTCAATACGAGCATGCACGATGCCCCTTCACGGATAACAATTTCCAGTACACTCTGGACGCTTCTTACAACGCAAACTTCTATGACAAGGTGCCAGCTGAGCCTGCTGCTGATTGCGGGGCGACCCCTACGACTTCGACAGCCGATCCCGGCTCAACTGATCCGACCTCGAGTGGCACGCCAACAGAACCCTTGACATACCCATCAGCGACGACCACCGATGATGTAGAGCCTATAGAGGATGGCCCGGAAATCAACCCTTCCAGTATGCCGGCCGACCCGACTTACACGCCAACCCCGGGTGATGGGCAGTAGTGAGCCCTAGGAAAGCAGCCGACTGATTCTAAAGTTGGACGAACTGTAATTTAATCAAAGATAGCACAAGGAGAGATCTACAATACAAGGCGTGCATTGCGCTCTATTACCCAATGCTATTCTGTACGAAGATACAAACACTAGACGGCTCTGCATAGTAATCCTTAGCATTCTTGTTGTACTTGGCGCCGCCGTGGTATTGGCTACCGGGCTGGGTCATTGACGTCAATAGCCTAGAGCCAGTTCTTTTTCCTGAATTATCATGATGGCTATAGTGCACAATGTGTTGCATTTCTTGAGGACAGCCTATTCCTTGCTGCACCCAAGAAACTTCGACTGATGATCCCATGCCGATCGTATTGAAAAAGCCTTACTATTTTTTTTTAAAGGTGATTAAAAGTAATGAAAATTAAAGATTTGTGAGGGCAAGAGGATCGGTTAGTAGATCTCATCTTTCTCATACACCCAGATGCAGCCAGAAGGAAGCAATGAGATGGACATGAATGCATATCGGCTAGAACTCTCTCACTGAGACCAGCTACCTGACCAGCCAATTCATGGCCTACTAGCGGGTATCAGATAAATACATTTCATGAGTTTGTGCTGTAGATATAAATGTGAACATTATTCTATAAGGTATCTACTGTTGCGTTATTGACTGTATGTGGTCAGGCAAGGCACTTTGTGAGGTATCCAAGAATGAATTAAGTAAGCCAATAATTTCCTAGTCGGGCAAGCAAGTCATCGCCTTATCGATAAGCGATGAAAAGGAGACTCTCTAAGAGTACCGATGTGCCACCCCAGAAGCGAAGATCTCCAGATTAGGTTATGAGAAGAGGTATGCATACTTCCTTTGGAAAGAAAGAAAAAGAGTTGTTTACTCATTGAAGAACGGCTGGAATCCATTTGAACGAGGCGCAGCTCCATACCATCTATCCGTCTTGGCAACCCTCTAGAGACCCAGACCAAGCCATTTGCAGCCATCGCAAAGCCAATTCCAAGATGCAAAAGCCCGCTTATTAGGGCGCTATAAGGCCACCACGACGTAATGCCAGGGCTCTGTATTCCCTCCCCGCAATATGATTAGCCCGACCCAACCCACCAGCTGAGACCCCATTACGCCCGAGTTTTGAACATCCATGTGAACCAACAACCCCACGCCACCCGGCTGCCTTGGAGAGTGCCTTGATGTCTCAAAGTGGTGTATGTCATGGAAGAATTCGAAAAGCCGAGTTTCACGGGGGTCCCTGGCGTTTGCTTGGAAGAGATGACTGGCTCAAAAACCTGGAGATTATGTCCATCTTGTCCCGTCCAACGGGTGTAAAACCGGGAATCGCAAGCAAACAACCCATGTTTGCCAAGCGACGCCAACGCTCGCCCAGCTTCCGCCAGTTCCCTTCAGCCTCAGCCCAGGGGGGGAACTTTCGTTTGCATTCAGGTCACACCAGGCTGCTGCGGGCCGACCTAGGGGAAAAAAAAAACGTGCTGGATAAGACATACAAAGGGGTGGCTGCGCCCCCTCCAGCCTGATGTGATGGATGAGATGGGATACATTAGCAGACGTGCACCGCGTCTCTGAGAATCACTGCCTGCGAGCCGCCAACGACAAAATGTTGGATCTCGCGACGGCTCTCGTGCGGCTTTTGCCCCTGGCTGGCTTTGCCGTTGCCGCCCCCTCGTCGTGGAGCCCTTTTCGGAGACAGGCATCAGGGGACCAAGCCTGTGCGCAGATTGCGCAAGCTTACGACGAGGCTCGGGCAGATAGAACAACAGGTGAGTTTTACATATCACGATGCCATCAACCGCAGAGAATGGTGTGTTGGGTCTTTGTAAGGTCCTGAGTGGGTGGTTGACAGGCGTGTAGCTAGGGTGAAGCCATCGCTGGCATACCAGTGTCTTCGCTCAATCCCGGTCGATGTCGATAGGGACGTCGCATTCGTCAAGTACATTCGACCATGGCTTGAGTTCCAGAGCACAGTTGGCATCCTGCCCAACCCGCCCGAAGAGTACCTTTACCCTGGCGTGGACATTTTCGGTGGTCTCAACAACATCACCCAGTCGCTCCAGAATGGCGGATACGCATCCCAGATCGACTTTGGCGTTGACCTGTACCGGCTCATTAATGTCAAGCCTCGGGACGGACACCTCGGGTACACACCTCGCGTTGTCACACTGATCCGCTTTGAAACCCCGGAAATCTTCATTTCAATCTCAGAGGACGGCTTGAAGGCGCCCAAAGTCTACTTGTACAGTAGGTTGACAACAACTCACCGCTTTGGATAGCTCTCGCGAGTTACTGACATTTGTCCAGGGGACTACCGACTCAGCAAGCAGCAAGGCTACACTCCGTCAGAGGTTGCCAAATTCGACAACGTCGCAATCACCGACTATATCCAGCAGCGATCAGTCGACAACTCCAGGAACCAAGACCCCGACGCGGCGTATAACGAGCAGCTCTTCAGTGCCGTCATGAATAACATTGGCGAGACGGGGGGTGCTGGACGACACATCCACACGACACTGCCCGACCAGAGTGTCATCGAGTTCGCCAACGGCACGCGCACGATAATCACCAACATCGCCTATGTCACCTCCAACTTCTCCGGTATCAGGACCGGCGAGGACGTCCACCGTCGATTCGAGGTTCCTGGGCGCGACGGAGAGGCAGAGGTACCGGTGAACACCACGAGAGCCACCTTCATCCCGGCCCTGGAAGGATACCCGGAACCCTTTGTGATTCATCGAGATAGATACCAGAGCGGCTACTTCATGAACGGGTCCGAATACAGTGACGTTGCCGTCATTGCGGTCAACAGTTTCGTGACGCAAAACCAAGCCAGACGCAGCCTTGCCGGAGACCCTCTGGAGTTCATCCGCGTTACCAGCACATTCGTCGAAAGGAGCAGGAGACAGAGAAGATCGAAGCTCATCATTGACCTCCAGGGCAACGGCGGAGGCCTCGTCGTCAATGTGATGACGCTGTACGCGACGCTCTTCCCTGAGGGCGGAGACAAGGCGCACATGAACATGCGCGTTCGCGCGCACGCAGCCTTGAACTGGGTCGGCACGACGGCGGAGAAGCTCGGTGTCGACCTGCAGGACCTCCCGTACCCCGTCGGCTTCAACGGTTTCGTCGATGTGAATTTCCGAAACTTCACCACTTGGGAAAGCTTCTACGGCCCCAAAACGCTCGACGGGGAGGAATACTCCAACATCGTCCAGCCTTTGGAGATTTCCTACGCGGCCGACGGCGTCCCCGGCGAGTTCGACATCCCCGAACCGTGGTTCAAGCCCGAAGACACAATCATCGTCACGGACGGCTACTGCGCCTCCGCGTGCGCCTACGCGGTCGGCATGATGACGCGCGAGCTGGGCATCCAGGTCGTTGCGGTAGGTGGCCGGCCCCTCGAGGCTCCCATGCAGGCCATCGGCGGCACCAAGGGCGGCCCCGTCCTCTCGCTCTCCCCTTACCAGAGGTTGTACCCGGCGCTGAGCGCCTTTGCTACGCCGCCTGACAATATCGATTTGACGCCCTTTGAGAATCCCAATCCGCCCCTAGCGGGTCCCCCTACCAGTTCGTGGGCCATCAACTCGGCCAACATCTACCTCGACGACGACCTCGAAGGCACACCGGTGCAGTTCCGGTACGAAGCGGCGCACTGCAAGGTGTACTACACCTGGGACACGTTGACGGACCTGAGGAGGCTGTGGGAGACGGTGGCCAACGTCAAGTGGAACGGAGGCAAGTGCGTAAAGGGTTCGACGACGAACGACGACGGGACGATTGGCAAGTCGGCGCCGGGCTACTCGGACAAGGTTGTGTCCAACTTCAAATGGAGTCCTGGTCCCGGTGATGTGGTTGAAGGGGCGAATCGCGGGACTGGGGGCGGTAATGGCACGGGCAATGGTGGTGATGGTAATCAAGACAAAGGGAACGCCGCGAGTTCAGCAAAGGCAAGCTGGAGTGTAATGTCGATAGTGACAGCAGCGACGATTCTGGTCTTCGTCATGTAATCCTTAGTTGTGGCATTAGCGGAGTGAGCAGCATTATACCACTTGATTGAAATATACTGGAGTGGACATTCGCGACAGAACACTGCTTATAAATATGAGGGCCTGTGGAACATGTAACTAGAGGCTTTGATGCTTATAGCCTTCAAAATGAAGACTTGATTTGTTATGGCATTGCCCATAAAAGTTAAGTCAGTATGACGAGTACATTATCAACAACCCAACTTTTCAAGCTGAGCCGAGGTCGGGTTGCCGCTTTACTCCCTCAGCTGTGTTCTGCTGTGGGTCGAAAAACAACTCATGGCAAATTTCGGTGTACGCACTAGGTAGGGCTGGGAAGATTAGCCTCCATCTTGCGCATAATATGCTCAAATTTGAATGTTTTTCACTGAGGAGAAGAATCCTCCGCGGTAAACACTCGCCTGAAACATGTTTATTTCGCATGATTAACCAGTCGGCCACGAAATCAACCCAGACAAAAACAAACATTCATGGTGCATCAATCAACTCGGGGAGAATCAACAAAGAAGTGGGAGCGAGGAAGTGTTTATACTATGTAAGATATCTGTCCAAGGACTTCAATTTAAAGGAGATAAGTTACCGTTTGTTGTCATGGTTGGCCCCTGTTCCCACAACTAAGCTTCTCCCAAACTGGTGCGTCACCCGTCGACGGTGAGAGTGGAAAAGTCAAAGTAATGAGCCACTCAAACCCGAAACATCTCGGATGCCCGGCTTATGAAGGCCCACTAATCACCTCGGATCCGGCACGGCGTACGGCACGCAGGGGGTGACCAACATCTCCCCCAGACTGATCGTCCTCTGTAAGAAAAAGCCAAGCTTTAAGCGAATCCACTGACACCGATGGGCTGTGAATTTGATAATTGCAACGTCTGGCAGTCAGACGGTTCATCTTGGAGATGTGAGACATATCGAAAGAGATGTGCAACTGTATTTAGGGTTGAACGGTTGATGTACTCAAAACCTTAACTATGAGAAACTTTGTATGACGAATAATCAAATCCTGCGTGCCTGATTCGGCAGAAACGGGCTCATTTGTGCTCCCCCCCTCCAAAAATTGGCTCATCCCGCAACTCAATTCGTCCGCTCACCGGATGGTTTTCCCGCGCATCCACCAAAAATCAGATGAACCGTCAAAAACTCTCTCGGCTGAAAGGTGTCGAAATGAAGGAGGAGAAACCAAATGAAAGGGCCAAGCAGGCAATATCCCAGTCTTGCCACCTAATCGCGCACCGCGTGCCTACACAGTCCGACCGTTGCGCTTCTCACGTCACCGCTCACGCTGCTCCTCCTAGCCATGGGGCGATTTGCTGGATGGAGTGGCCCCACGCATCACATCTGCGCGACAGGGATCTCGACATGCAGAGTTCCGGCCAGACGGCACCTTGGTTACATTACGGGGAGCGTGGAGGAGCAATTTTCGAGTTAAGGAGAAAGACTCTGATATAAGACTCTCTTCCATCGTTCGCCCATAGTAGAGCGTCGTTCTTCCGTCTCATTGCACTCGAGTTTCTTCTTCCCCCCTCCTCCCCCTTGTCACTCTTTCAAGGCTTTACGCCATCACGCTCATTTTTTTTTTTTTTTTTTTGAATTCAGTCACTCATTTCACGCTCCCTTTTTTGATACTTGAATCTGGAATTCATCATGAAGGGACTCATCGTCAGCGCCGCTATTGTCGGCGGAGCCATGGCTCAGGCCGGCCCGTACATGCCCTGCGGTGGCAAGGGCTGGACCGGCGAGACGACCTGTGTGTCTGGTTACACCTGTGTCGTCCAAAACGAGTACTACAGCCAGTGTGTTCAAGGCAGCGCCAATGCCGGAGGTGTTAGTGCCCAACAGGTCACCACCCTGAGGACTTCCACCAAAAAGGCCTGCAAGTCCAAGGCCCCCGATGCCCCGGCGCCCCAAGTCCCCAAGTCGAGCGCTGCTGCGATCACCTCCACAACCTCTAAGCCCGCCGTTGTCCCGTCATCCAGCAAGCCGGTTGACAACCAGGCCTCCAAGCCGACTCCTGCTCCCGTCAACAACGACAAGACTCCCACCCAGGCCGGAGAGGCAGATGCCCAGGACGGAGAGGTCGAGGCCCCTTCTACCCCTGCTAAGCCGTCCAGCTCTTCGGCTGCCCCCGTAGTCACTTCCAAGGCCGTTACCACCTCCAAGGCCGCCGCCACCCCTGCCCCTAAGCCCAGTACTCCCGCTTCCCCCGGTAAGGCTGGCAAGTTCAAGTGGCTCGGCGTCAACGAGGCCGGCGCCGAGTTTGGCGAGGGCAACCTTCCCGGCACTCTTGGAAAGGACTACATCTTCCCGGACACGGCCAAGATCGACGTAAGAAAACAGAATACTTGTTTAAACCTTTCAGTGCTGACATTCGATAGACCTTGATTGCCCAGGGCTACAATACCTTCCGCATGGGTTTTCGTATGGAACGTGTCGCCCCCAGCGGTCTCACCGGAAAGTTCGACGACGCCTACGTCTCCGGCCTGACCAAGATCGTCGACCACGTCACTTCCGCCGGCGCCAGCATCGTCCTCGACCCCCACAACTACGGCCGCTTCTCCGGAAGCATCATCACCGACACGGCCGCCTTCAAGACCTTCTTCGTCAACTGGGCCAACCTGTTCAAGTCCAACGACAAGGTCATCTTCGACACCAACAACGAGTACAACTCGATGGACCAGGACCTCGTCCTGAAGCTCAACCAGGCCGCCATCGACGGCATCCGTTCCACCGGCTCCACCAACTGGATCTGGGCCGAGGGTAACTCCTGGAGCGGCGCCCACAGCTGGACCAACGTCAACGACAACATGAAGGGCCTCACCGACCCCCTCGACAAGACCGTCTACGAGATGCACCAGTACCTCGACGGAGACTCCAGCGGCACCTCGGGCAGCTGCGTCTCGACCACGATCGGTGTCGAGCGTGTCAAGGGCGCCACCGAGTGGCTCCGCTCCAACGGCAAGGTCGGCGTCCTCGGCGAGATCGGCGGCGGAGCCAACGCCCAGTGCAAGGAGGCCGTCGCCGGGCTCCTCGAGCACCTCAAGGAGAACAGCGACATCTGGCTCGGCGCCACCTGGTGGGCTGCCGGACCTTGGTGGCACGACTACTTCACCAGCTTCGAGCCCGACACCGGCGCTGGTTACCAGTACTACAACGAGCTGCTGAAGACGTACCAGTAGACTGGGTTCTTCCTCTTAGAAGGTCGATCATTGGGCTAATGCAGGTACGCGATTGCGGATTGCAAAAAAACAAAAGCTCCATTGAGTCATCCTTTGAAAAGGACACCTTTCTTTCTTTGTATAAATATTAGGGGACCTTGGTTATATCTGCGTTGGGCGGCCTTCCTTTTGGTGAAACGGCTGACGACTCATGATATTTTCCACTTATTTGTATCTATGTTGAAAAATTTCATTCGCCTCGAGAAGGCTTGTCAAAAAAAGTGGCTTGTTGCTATGACTTGATATGTTGGCCCCCATGCGCCCGGAACCCCCGGAAGAAGACAGCCTCTGTGAGCCGTGACCGGCTGCTCATGCGGCCCCATCTACTCCGTCCCCGTCAATCCTTAAGAAATCATTCCTGCATGCATCTTTTTGCTTTAAATTTTGAATAATCTCGGCTGCTTAGTACTGGGAAAATTTTCATGTCCTGTGAGGTAATAAATGCGCGCTAGACGGGCCGTTTTGATTTTTCTACAAGCATAAAAAAGTACCAAGCATAATGACGCTTCCCAGAAAAACTGATAGCGCCGTGATCCTAACCGAATTCGTTCCTACACCTGCATCGCGTAGTATTAAGGCTATGCGGGGCAGTGTTTTGTTCAGCTCCAACTAACATTCAGCCTTTAACGCAGCCAATTACATGTCTGCATCAGTGTCCAACCAACAATAAGAAACAGTGAGCATGCATCGATGCAATTTCCCGCCAAGCTTCATCCCAAGCGACCAGCCGCAGCTCGACATGTTGGTGCAAAGAGGAATGTTTGCTCCATGTATAGGGACACAGTAGCTTGGTGGGCCGATTACTGTAGCAGGGACCGGCGGCTGCCTGGTGGTGTGGCTGAAGATCCTTGTCGAAGCATCTCGAAACTAACCAGAATCAACTCGCTTCCGGGTTGCTAATATTATCACAAGGCAGCACCCACCCCCTGGCCAAAAAAAAAGAGGCACGGTTCAAACTGGCAAACATAAATATTGGGTTGGTCTGCTTTGTAACGTGTTTGCAGTACAAATTGACATCCTGTCTCACCTGATTTGCAGTTTGCAATTCTAAACTTTTGCTTAGACCGTAAAGCAAAGAGCTTGAAACTTTTACACTCATTTTAAACTATTCCACCTTTGTCAAGTATACCCAACTTCAAGGACAACTACACATTTGCAACATTCCCTTCACAATACAACATCTTCATCCCTAACACAAATCAACAAAATGACAAAAGTCGACGGAACATCATCCCCCCGCCCGCGCTCTCCTCGCCCTGCGGAAGAGCCGCAGCCGGCTCCGTATAGCACGTGGTCCGGCCCCCCAAGCCAAAGCAACATCCTCACCCGCCAATTCGCGGCCCTTCCTCTCATTATCCTCCTCTACACAGCTTCTATCCCCTTTACACCCGTCGTCTGGGTTCTCAACCTGGACGGAAGCTCTCTCTTCGACCGCCTCTTCGCCGGCTTCGCTATGCTGTCGGCGTGCTACTTCCAATGGCGCATTGCGAGTCTCAAGCAACCTCTGGCCATTATTCTCCCCGGCTCAAGCGGCACGACGATCCGCAACGGCCGCGTGGAGAGGGGCTCAACCCACGGCTTCGTTTGGCACCCGTCCAACTACTGGCCCTACATCGTCTGCGAAGCCATGCTCTTGTGCCTGGCCGAGTTTGGACCCAGCGAGATTCTGAGAAGGAGTATCGTCTGTGGTGTAATTGCTGGCCTCTGGGTTATTGGCTACAGTGCGACGCCCGAGTCCACGAAGAGGTGGGCTTATGATCACTTGAAGGCTTGGATGTTCTGGATGGTCCTGGACGAGCTCATGCGCGTTGGAGGCAGGAGCTACAGCGGAAGACGTCGTAGATAGTAGGAGCTGATCATGAGCTCTTTATTCCACGTGCATATTTCAGATGTTGAAAAAAGGAAGACGGCCGGGACAGTTTTCAGGCGTCAAATGTGGCGAAATGGGAAATATGTGGACCAAGGTTGAGTTTGAGCAGGATGGTTAAAGGAAATAAAAGTCAAATCCCATGTAATTGTTCACTAACAGTTCAGCCGCGTATATGAAACTTGTGATGCAGCTTTAGTAACAACCATGTTTGAGTTGAAAAGAAGATTCAGACATTATTTGGTGCCGTATAGTCAAGCTAATCACCGATTGAATCAAAAGTTGAATAATACCGAAGATTTACAAATGACATATCTTATCCCAGACTGTTGCAACAGTTAGCATACGGGCTTGTGTGGCTTCCGACAGACGCTTGGCATATAGGGCCCCAAGGCACTCTCCCCCTTCCAAACTTGACAGGTTGAGAGACCATATGCCAAAATCACTACCAAAGCACCACTTTTACTGCACCTCAACTCATCATGAGAACTACTTGAGCTTACTGTGAATTGCTATTATTTGTGAGGTCCTTTCACCCTGTGCAATCTACGTAGACGGCACATGTCGTTGTTTCAGTGGGTATGTGAGCGTGATGCCAAAGTTCACATCACGAAGAGTAAGAAACATGTCCAAATTGGACTAAATCATACATAAATTTGCAAGCTCTGTGTGACTGACCAAACTGCTCAGCATGCTTTTGGTTTTGACAACTGTAGATCCTGAAAAGGACAAAATCCTTTACCAAAGGCGGCACAGCAGCCCAATTCGTCATAGTGCGTGCCAGGAAGGATCACAGCATCAGCTCCACGCATGATAAGCTGAGTCCACTGCTGATAACGCGCTGTATGTTGAGCTGCAAGTCTTGAAGCCATTGCCGGCTTGGCTTGCGTATGCGTGTGCATCAAGCCATGCCCACCCTTGCCTTAGCTCCGGCTCTTCACTTCGGAGTCCTTTAGCGATCAAGAAGTCATCTACCTACTCGGTGGATTTAGACTTCCATAAAACAGCAAAGAATCATGCGAAACCAGAAGCCATCAGTTTGGAAACTCTGTTTGATAATATTCACATGCTGTTTGAGATAGCTCAAACTTTTGTGCACCTAGAACGTGGGTAGCTACTTCAACCATAGCTCCAAGACTGTGTCCAAATCTCGACCTCTTCGTTACACGTGCTAGAGGAAGAAGTTGAGCGGGCAGCCAAATGGATATTAGAGAAGAGTGGTCTCACGACACAGATTCTCTGTGGAGTTACAGGAGTCTCTCGGCTGTCATCGCTCCGTGGCATCAGTAGACTTCAAAGTCATCCATCAGTGCTCCTTCAAAGATCGCCCTCTGTGGACCTAATCAGCCCCATTGCATCAGTATATTTTGTGGAGCATTTACATGGTTCAGACACCACTACGCTGAGCGACTTGAAGCATTTTCAAGTTACCTCGCACGACCATAGCCATCAATACTTACATATTCTACATGCATGGTAGCTTTTTGTCAGCCGAAATGGAAATTTCTTGAGGTTAATTTTCAAAGAAAGGCAGCTTTTCTTTCCCCAAACGGTAGCTCTTAAATGCGTGTGCTCACCAAGGTAGCACTGCCGAAAATCACGCCAAGTAACTATCCCAGCAATAACGGAGTAAGTGTGCTTAGCGCTTACAGCTGTCAATTTGTAACCTTGATACCGTAACATCGTCCTAACGAGGTGGCAAATGTAGCTGTTTAACCAGGGTACAATCGCCTGCCCACCAGCATTACTTGCGCGCATTGTTCGCAACCCTTGCGCCTTCGGCAGTATAAACCAGGGGCTCTTCTGGGGCTCCTTACCACCGATCCGACCTACCCTATTAGAGATCATGAAAGCGTTTTCTCGGCACCGGAAGGCTTGCTGTATCCTGTCCCTGGACCCGGAGCTTAACATACCATGTCTGCCCACTCACCGTATTTATCCCCACGCGAATTATAACGGGTCAATCAGATAAAGCGGACGTCCTCGCTTGCCCTGGAACCTACCCAAGGTCATTTAGGCGGAAATCAAAACTAGACACTGTCTGTGCAACGGCCCCGAGGTTAGTGCTCTCAGGGGAGTGAAGGGCAATGATGTGATGAACGGAAATGGGTTTCTGGCCCGGGTTGGCCCACCATGGAATCTTTTAAAGAAGACAATGGGCCATTCTTGTAATCTCTGAGAGCTTGCGTCTTTAACCACACCGCGGTTCTGCCAATATTTGCAGCGCTTCCTGCCTCGGAACCATGGACGGTCTTCCAAGTTTCAAATCTGCGGCCCTGGCAGTGTTGATATCGAGCCAATTTTCCACCGCCGCCCCGACTGCTGCCCGATTCGCCAAGCGAAGCGTCACAGAGCTTGGTGATGCCTACGACTACATTGTCGTTGGCGGTGGTCTGAGCGGTTTGGTAGTTGCCAACCGCTTAACGGAAGATCCTGATGGTAGGAGCCCAACCTCCAGATATTAGCCTCAGCACATGTGCTTATGAAGACGTGCATTAGTATCTGTTCTCGTTGTTGAATATGGCGAGTTTGATAATACCTGGGACGTCGCCATTCCGTACTACGCCGCCAACAATCATCCCAACGACATGATTCAGGTCTCGTCCATCCCGCAGCCCGGTCTCAACAACAGGACCTCTGGAGTGCAGACGGGTACGGTAGTAGGAGGCGGATCCACTGTTAACGGCATGGCTTTCGATCGGGGGTCAAAGGCCGACTACGATGCTTGGGCGGAGCTTGGAAATCCCGGCTGGGATTGGGAAAGTCTTTTTCACTATTTCAAAAAGGTAACCGTGCCCAAAAGAGACGAAATACGAAAGATTTATCAACTGATTGATGAAATTTTAGTCTACAACATTCCATCTTCCTGCTCAAGAGTACGTTGACAGATGGAACTTCTCCTATGATCCGAACACCTACGGGGATGGTCCCATTCAGGTCGGCTTTCCTTCATGGCAGTGGCCCGACAGAGGTATGTTCGCCCTTATATTGCTCATTCACAATGTTTGTCATGCGAAATTTAGTTGGGCTCATTTTTTTTTTTTTAAAGACATGCAGAGAGAAGCTTGGATCAAGGACCTTGGTGTACCTGTTCTTGATGACCACGGTGCTGGCGGCAACAATGTCGGGCTAGCTCAGCTTCCCCAAAATCACGAAGCGAAGAACGTCACTCGTTCTACTTCCAGAACCGGCTACTACGATCCCATTGCGGAGAGTCGCAAAAACTTGAACTTGCTCATTAAGCACTACGCTTCCAAGGTGGAATTTGAGAACAAGAAAGCCATTGGCGTGAACATCATCTCCCGTGATAGCGGCGAAAGCTCCCTTATCAAAGCAAACAAGGAAGTCCTTTTGGCCGCTGGTGGGGTCCAAACACCTCGGATCCTTCAGCAGAGCGGTGTTGGCCCTGCTGCGCTGCTCGAGTCCCTTGGCATCGACGTCGTTGCCGATCTTCCTGGTGTGGGTGCAAACTACCAGGATCATCCATGGATGCTGGCTTTGTACAACTGTAAGTCTCCAGGTCCTTAGTATCCGACAATAGGAAAGAATCAGGGACTGACAATTCCAAGATGGAAACCCCCCTGAACTCGGCAACGAGGCCATGAACGATCCTGCGTTCTTCAACGCCTCCGAGGCCGAATACTTTGCGAACCGGACAGGACCATTCACTCACGCCCGTGGAAACAACATCATCTTCCTTTCCCTTCAAGATCTCACTCCTGACTATGAGGCCCTGACAGCAACTATCGAAGCCCAGGATGCCAAGGACTTCCTTCCCCAGATCTACAGCGACCATCAAGAGCTTCTTGACGGTTTCCTTGCGCAACGTCAAGCTCTCGCCAAGGCTTTCCGAAACCCTGAGTCCGGCGTCTTGGAAATTCCTTTTGGAGGCTTTGCCGGCGGTGGAATTGCCTTCCAAAAGCCCCTCTCCCGCGGCACTATCACGATTAACACTACTAACCCCGACCCTGCCACGCCGCCTGTCGTTGACTTTGGTGTTCTGCAAAATCCTGCCGATCTTGAGATGCTTGTGCTGAGCGTTAAAGTTATGAGGAAGTTCATGAATAGCGAGACGATTTCCGTTCGTGAGCCTGTCGAAATTCTCCCTGGAGGCAACATCACGAGCGATGCGGATATTGCACAGGCTGTGAGGAACTCACTTTTCGCTAGTTTTGCTCATCCTAGCGGAACAGCAAGCCTGTTGCCCCTCGAGCATGGTGGTGTCGTTGATCCTACCCTTCGCGTCTACGGTGTTGATGGCCTACGAGTGGTTGACGCTAGTGTAATCCCACTGATTCCAGCCTGTCATCTGCAGGCTACTGTGTATGCGGTCGCCGAGAAGGCTGCTGATCTAATCAAGGGAATTTGAGACACTGCCGCATGTGTTCACAAATAGCGCAGGATCCAACGAACTCTTATCGTTCAGGAAGAGCTACCAGTGCATAGAGGAAAAGTAGCATTTAGCTGTTAGGGTATTGGTGACCAATCCAATCACATCCATTTATTGTACCATCAGGGATACTGCAACCTTGTTCCCACCGACGGCTGTTCTTTATGTGCTTAGCCAGATGATCTAGCCTTTAACGAACCACATAGCCTCAAAGCTCAACTTCCACTGATAAATCGATTTTTTAACACTGACGAAATGTCAAAATCGTAAAGTTGCTGGAGCTACTAGTACGATCTGTTGCCTAATAAAGCATTTCGCCTCTGGCATTTACCATGAAAGAGACCTTACACTACACCACTCAATCATCCTAATTAAGGCTTAGCACAGCGGTTACTTTCTGCTCCTGAGACATCCGGGAGAAATTTCACTGGGTATCAGTAATCTGGTGCACATCATGCGACCCCAATTCCTCTCCGGTTTTGATCTTCCTGTTCGTGAGACAGTTCGAGACGTCCAAATACCCGGATCATGTTCCCAGCCGCTTCCGCATTGGTGGCAAGGTTCTGCTCTCGGAAAATCGGCCACCGATCTGGATCTTTTTAGTCGAGGCTTCTTCAATGCCACTTCGGTAACCATTGGCCATAGGCCCGTCTTAAAAGCCATTCGTTATCTTCAGCCGCAAACGGACGCCAATCTGACCACAATGTTGCTCCCGAAGCCGTCTTGCAGCCCACAAATAATGGGGCTGATTATCGCTTTGTTCGGCATTGGCGTAACTCTGGTTGAGGAGTAGATCAACCTAGTTCATTATCGTGACCGTTCGGGCGTAAGTCTACTAGGGTGTTGGCTTTTACTTGCCATTTTCGTCACAGTCAACCCGACGCTTAGATATTCATGCTCGGCCAAGGATCTCCCCCTCGGATGTCCAACGTCTTCTCAGGAATGAATGACCGTTCGACCCGGGAACAATCATGAGGATATCTCACCTCGTCGTGGGCTTGGTCGCCGGCGCGAGGATAGTGGCCGCGAATAACTCTACCGTTGCCTATCCGTCATGTGCAGTAAGTTTTCACAAGTTTGGCAAAACTTCTTACCCAACTAATCTAACTCTGTGCCCAACAGGTTCAATGCGTTCTTGAAGCCCTCCCGAAATCATCCTGTCCTGGTCTGGACCAGGCATGCCTGTGCAATGACACCGAGTTCACAAAACACTTGGCGCCATGCCTGAAGGACAGTTGTTCAACCGCAGAACGAATTAGTAAGAATTTACACTTGATCGAAAAATTTCTACCAAAATACTGACGTTTTCAAAGATATGGCCAAGTCATCGGCCGGCGCCTGTGGAGTAAAAGTCTCTGATGATCGAGCCTTGCCTCGATTTCTCACTGGCATACTGTTCATTCTCCCAACTGCATTCATCGGCATCAGGATAGCCAATAAGATCATGAATCCGTCAATTTGGGGCGCGGATGATATTACTGCGGTCCTAGGCTACGTGAGTTTGTCATTACTACTCTGTTTCTAAACTTCTTTTTGCTAACGAAAGTATTCAGATCTGCACTCTGCCTTTAGTACCTATTATCTACAGATGTGTGTTGTCTGAAACTCACAGAAAAGTTAAAATGCGCTAACACTCCGAAGCATTGGACATTGGGTTAGGAGATGCAGTATGGAACGTTGAGCCAAGCGCAGTAACCGAGTTTTTCAAAGTAAGTCTCAGACTGCAAACTCCATTTCAGTTCCAATCGAACCTATTGCTTATATTCTCAACTTATTAGATGCTTTTCGCCTCGCAGGTTCTGTATTTAACTGGACTCATGGTTATCAAAGCATCGATTCTGTTCTTCTTCCTCCGAATATTCCCGGCGCCCGGGGTCCGAAAGATACTCTGGGCTACTCAGGCCGTCAACTTTGTTGTCGGTCTTGTTTATGTCTCTCTTACCTTTGCGCAGTGCCGGCCACTCTCAATGTACTGGACAGGTTGGGACAAGGACCACTCTCAAGTGTGTTTCGACTTCAACAAATTGATTCTTACACACGCTTCAATCAACATCGCCATGGACGTTTGGATGCTCATCCTACCTTTGACGCAGCTCTACAAGCTCAACTTGGTCCTGCGTAAGAAGGTTGGAGTAATGCTTATGTTCAGTGTTGGACTATTGTAAGTGCTCAAGATGCTTACACTCCATTCGATCGTAGCTCACATGTACCAGTCTTGCCGCTGTTAGTGCCATTCGCATTCATACAATGGTTCGTTTCATGAAGGCGAGCAACGTAACTTGTAAGTTATACCATCATCGATCATTGCCTTTCTTGTAGGCGTGGGCCCTCCGTTGTCTATGTGTCACTCGTTAACTCAAGTCCCTATTCAGCTGAAGCACTCTGGGTTTACGTTTGGACTTTCACGGAACTTTGCGTTGGTGTGTTTGTCGCTTGCTTGCCGAGTGCGGGCCACCTCTGGAGAACGCTGTTTGTCAAGCCAGAGACTACCACCTTCCACGAATCAAAGTCTCGACGACAGTCTTCTTATGCTTCGGAAGCAGCATTGTTTCCTTCAAATAAGCAGGGAGACAATTCTGTAGGCTCGGTCAAGGAGGTGTCAGTACGTGGAGTTCCTCAGACCCCTCCGTCGCCTCATTCAATGGTTTAATATCAGTTATTGGGATATTCAAACATCCGGGCGTAATCGAGTTTTAATGTCTAATAATATTATGATGACTTTACATTCAATGTCCAAAGTGAAATTGGCTATTTTTTGTTGCTCATGATGGTTTCTAGGCACTCTCGTCATCACTCTGCTTCTTTCTCCGGTCCCGATCCACTACATCATCCAACACGGCCAAGCCCTCCCTCTCGGCACGAACTCTTGCCCTCTTCAATCGACGAGTATCAGACTCTGTCTGCCTTGTAACCCACCATGTGATGCACGTAATAATAGCGCAACATCCAACCAGAGCCATGGCTGACGCGAAACTCGTCTGGTATCGCGGCGCATACTTGGATCTGAAAATCTGAGGGCCAATAGCACCTCCAATCTGGCCGTAACTGTTGACAAATCCAATGCTAAATGCTGAACCAGTGGCCCGTGATGTTGTCTGTACACGCCAGGGCCACATTAATGGGAAGAAGGCAGCTGTAAATGCATTGCCAATCAAAGTTGCAGTGTATACGGCTCCATTGGAGGGATACGCAACCAGAACGCCATAGCAGGCGAGAATCACAGCAAAAACACCGAGGGGATAGAGTGGTCGAGGTATTAGACCCTTGTCTGCAAAGAATCCAGTCACTCCAATGACGAAGATGGCTAGGAGAGAGATTGGGAGATTCAGTAACTGGGCTCTGGCGATTGTGGTGAAACCCAGGTTGGCAATGACTGTTGGTTGGTAGAAGCGAACACCAGAAGTACCAACAGTGAAGGTAGCCCAAATGAGAGTAAAGAGCCAGAGACGGCGGTCTTTGAGGGAGTCGACAATCTCGCTCCACTTGAAATTCATCTCTTCGGCTCGGGGAGCGTTTGGTGGAAGGCGTGCTTGAATGAATGCCTTTTCCTTGTCTGACAACCACTTTGCGGTAGGAGGAACTAAAGTATGTGAGCAGAGGGTCTTTCAAATCAGATATCTTTGGAAATACGTACAATCAGGAAGAAAAAAGTAAACAATAGTGCCAAGCACAATTGTGATAAGACCCTCAACCAAGAACAGCCTATAAATGATGGTCAGTCGTCGTTGGATAAGTCGAATCATTATGAATGTTGACATACCATTGCCATCCTGAAAGTCCTCTTGATCCCGAGACCGTGTCGAATGCAAATGCAAGGATACCACTAAAAACTCCGGACAAGTTGCCGAGGATGTCTTCTAGTTGATCAGTGATTGACATATGCGAAATATGGAAATGGCTACTAACAGAAATACAGTAGACGAATCGACATTTCGTCCGGCCTGTACCAATACGTCATCTGCAGGATAACGCCCGGAAAAAAACCCGCTTCGAACTAGCAGTTTGTCAGTACATCTAGTAGAATACTGCTTCGTACGGTGTTACCAACCGCTCCAAGGAGGAAACGGGTAGCATAAATGCCGCCCTTGTTGGAAACTGGCACATGGCAAAGCAGTGCAATACCCCACGAGATCATGATTCTTGACTGCCAGGCACTCGGTCTGAACCGCTTCAACAGTAAGTTGGAAGGCGCCTCAAGCACGATGTATGGAACCTTCACAAGTTGGCAAGTCAGTAACAGGATTACAATTTCAAACGCGTCGGACCTTACATAGTATAAAACATTGAGCAATTGTACTCATCCGAACTCATGTCCAACTGAGTCATAATGTTTCTAGAAGTTCCTTTATTCATGATTCTCGCATTTGAGATGTTGTCGGCGTCAATATTCTTGATCAAGAACATTATAGAGCAAAGTGTCATGATCCGAATATCAACTCGTCTCATTAAACTCTTTTCCTCTTCGGCCGTGAGAAGTGAGCGAGCTCGCATACGTTCTGCATCGAAACCGGACACGTCTCCAGCAGCAATTCCTTCGTCTACTTGCTCGCCGCGGCGAGCAAAGGTCAATCCACTCACTTTGCTGGGTTCGCCGTGGTCGGGCAACGACTGCGTGGGCGACGTGATGTCCTTTGAGTCAGCCATGTTGACGCAGTTGTCAAAGTAGTTTTTACGCAATGTCTCGAATGATGGTGAAGAACGGAGGTAGTCCGGCACAAGTGTGCATCTCCCGCGTGCTTTTGATGTAGGGCAACCATTTCGCCTCTCAAAGCAAGCCAAGCATCACATCTGGTCCAGGGTAAGGAGAAACAACGGAAACAGGCCGAGCAAGAATACAACTACCGATCATGTCATTAGGTGGTGGAATCACGATTGGGATATGTGCAAGAAGCTCTATTGCCATTGGTAGAGGATGTGGGTTGAAGGTTGCACTCCATGCGGATCTTTATGTGCAGACAACAACTCCGGGTGCTCATCGACATTTTCACGTTTATCAATCCTTCCGTGGGGGCCGTTTCGAGCCTCTTAGTGGTATAAATTAGCATTGCTTCATAGAAATGTGATAAAAGTACCGAGCGGGCGACATCCGACGATACCCTGGCATTCGCAATCAAACCCCGCGATGACGAGATGCGATTGCGGTACCCCATGTCCGCCGTTCCGTAAAGAGGGCCGACCCCGGCGATGCGGCGTTCATTCAAGGTTAAATAGTTAAGATATCAGCAACAAAAATGTGGGGTTATGAAAGAGTAATTGTAGCGAATCACATAAACTCAATTGTACCATATTTGATTTGTATCTAGGTGGACAATTGATGTAGTTCATCATGGCGGCAGCAGTTCAGCCAGCACAAACCAACGGCAACAGCCAGTTTCCTCTTCCCGCATACCAGCAGGTCCCCGAGACCAAGCATGAGCGTGAGTCTGAATGTGACGAGCAGATGATAGAATGTATAGCTCATGCGAAATGTCATAGTTGAATGGGCGGACCTGGTTACGCTTGACCTTTCTAAATTCGACCAACCCGGCGGCAAGGAGGCTCTATCCAAGCAACTTTTCGATGCGATTCAAAACATCGGGTTTTTCTACATAGTTAACTTCGGTCTTAGTCAAGAAGAAGTTGATCGACAGTTTGCCATTGGAAAAGCCGTCTTTGAGTTGCCAACAGACGAGAAGCTTAAGTATCGAGCGGACCTTGAGAATGGAGGATACAACGGCTACAAGCCTCTGGGACTCAGGGTATGTTTGAAGTGTGCTCCCGAATATGTGCTAAAGCCAACTCACAATGTATTTAGGAGGTTCGTCCCGGGGTCTTTGACAACACGGAAATTTTCAACATCCCCAAGTTCATCCCGGCGTTCGAGCGTCCGCAACCCAGTGTGATAAACGAGAACAAGGCAGAAATAAAGCACTTCGCTCGCCACATCCATAACGACATTGTTCAAAAACTTCTCGTCCTCTTTGCCATTATATTGGAGCTCCCTGAGGACTACTTTGCGGCTCGCCACCGTTACGACGAGGCTTTATCAGACTGCCACCTCCGATACATGAAGTACCATGCTCGAGATGACGAGACGAACACCAAACTCGATAATGTCTGGGTCAAGGGGCATACCGACTTTGGAAGTTTGACCTTGCTCTTTCGTCAGCCTGTAGCTGCATTGCAGGTTAGGAGTAATGACGGCAGTTGGAAGTGGTAAGTTCGCAACCTCCCCCTAATATGCATTTGCGTAGAAGCGTCTGACTCCAGTCCTCATCAAGGGTCAAGCCGTACGATGGCAGCATCACAGTCAATGTAGCCGACGCGCTCGAGTTTCTCAGTAATGGCTTCCTTAAGAGCAGCATTCATCGCGTGGTCGTACCGCCGCCAGACCAAGCTGGTATTGACCGCTTAGGGGTCTTATACTTTGTGCGCCCTGAAGATAGCCTCGAGCTGAGACCAGTCAAGAGCAAGGTTTTGGAGAGGCTAGGATACGACACGAACGTCAACTCGGAACTAGCAGGGATCACGGCGGGAGAATGGGTCAAGGCCAGGGTAAGAGCAGGCGTAAATCGGACCAAGGAGGCGAGGAGCGAGATTTCAGAACAGGAAATTGTCAACGGCGTAAAGGCCAAGTATTATGACTAGTACTGGGGTACCTTGTACGATGAACACCAAACATACGACGAGGCGCTTTCATATTTAAGCACTTGGGTTCCCATACTTTATTGATCATCTGTGACGTACGCATCAAAGACATCTGCGTAGAACTTTTTACCGACATCGCGATGACTCCGAATTTTCGTCTTTAACTGGCTTTCTCCCCAAGTATCATACTCGCCTTTCAAAAATGCGGAATCAATCTCCTTACCTTCGGTCGATTCCAAAGCCAAACCCCTAATCTCTGGCTTCTCAAAATGCTCCCTTAAAGTTCCCAATGCCTCTTCTTTTGTTAGGTCTCTTCGAACGCCTTGGAAGAATGGCACGCTAAATCGTTCAAGCGATCCCGACAGCACGCGATGAGTAGTGGCCTTGCACACACCATTCGTGACAACCTCGAATGCTTGACCAATGTTAACGACAAATGAACCCGGCAGGACAGGAACATCTATCCATTCTCCATTTTTATTGAGCGCCTGGAGACCCTTGATGTGAGGCGGTGAGGCTTGGAGGAGAAACGTCCACCAGCCAGAGGAGTCTTTGTGAGGTCCAACGCCCTGACTTCCCACTTCGCTTTCAGGAAGAGCTGGATAGTGGACAAGCTTGAGTCGATGTTGATCGGATAAGAAGGGTAAAAACGTTTCCGAGGGCAACGAAAGAGCTTTTGCGACAAGACGAAGGAAACGTTCGCCCAGAAGAGTCAGCTCAGAAATGTAAGATTCAATGACCGGACGCAAATCTGGATACGCAGATGGCCACTTTCAACCTCGAGTTAATCCCAAATTTATACGATCGAAACGACAATGTTCTCACCTGATTTGGCCCCCTCAACCGCTCTCTCAACGGTAAGCCCTCTTTCCAACCATCGTCAAGCTCTGTCGCGAACTCGACCTGCTCTCTTCGATCACTCTTCCCCGCAGTAGTCTCCGAGCCATCCCCGCTGTAACCCAGAAAATGCGGGGAGTTCTTCAGCGCAATCTCATTCTTCGCGTCCACCGGTAACGCAAACAGCGTTGGCAACGCCTCTACGACGTCTGAGATGGTCTTCTCGGGAACACCGTGATTGATCAAGTACAGAAATCCGACGTTGGTTAGAGCGTGTCGGAGCTCTCCGAGTAGAGCCGGCTCCGTGGCGGGGTCAGAGGCACGGGAGAGGTCTATGCGGGGGATTTGTGCTGGAGACATATTGGCTCCTGAAATGTTTATTAAACCAGAAATTAAATAGAGAAAATAACTAGAAATGAATCTAAGAGGCCCAAAAATTCTGTTCGATAACCTTACATCCAATGTTCGCAGAAGACTTGGGGTACTTTGCTGCCGGTGCCGGACCGAGCCGGACGGCGATGACGCGACCCTAAATGAGGCGCACGCCATGCGCCAAGTCGAGAGATTCTACAAATCAGCAGTCTGCCGTGTAAATCCCACATGCATAACACATCTGATTCGGATGTCTGATGGTTGCAACTTCAATGGAAATAGCCCGGCTGCATCAAGTTGTGCGGCTTGGAAAAATACCCTACGACGACAGTAAGCCTAGAAGCTTATCTCTACGTCGAAACTGGCTGCTTTAAGAGCAAACAGTTTTATGGACGAGCTATCCCTACCGCAGTAATAGAAGACTTAGTTTGATACTATCGATGTATATGAACAATTTTTAAAACCCACAGCCACTGGATTATGATAGCTATTAGTAGCAAAGTGTAATCCTACCACGCCTTCACATCTAGCCACAAAAAAACAAAAGAATAATTCTCAGACTGAGTTTATATGCTCAGAGGCGGATTCGAACCGCCGTCAACACGGAGCGCTGTGTGAAGAAGACCACAACGTATCATCCTAACCAACTAGACGATCTGAGCGACTTGATCATTCTGATCCATGTCAGTAGCGTCACGAGATGGGTTCATTAACCCTAGCTGGACCCGCAGTGGGACTGCATCAACGAGTCCACACAATGATAAATTAGTAGGTGTATAATCTTCCGACTCGTAAATGTTTGAGAAAGGTTCAAGATTACAAGAGACGATGAAGACATTCTTGATATGTTAGTATTTTTAGGCTGAAAAAAAACTATAAATGATCTTCGTAGTTACGAAGTTAGCTTTTACGATTTCGACACCTTGCACACGGCCGATGCAACAACTGAAGGGTCCGACTCCGAAGTGGCCTTCAGAGTCACCACAGCTGTAGCTGCGGCATCATCACCAGCTCCCACCGACACGCGCGCAGTCTTGGCCTCGCCGAATTTGGCAGTGAGGAGGGCATTCGGAACCTCCACGCGCCAGCCAGCGCCCTCTACCTCAGCACTCAGCCTGTAAACGTCAGAGTCCAGGAACGCGGAGACATCTTCGGGGTGCTGAGCGTCATTCGGGTCGATGGCCACGTAGGAACCGCTGTTCGTAAGCTGGAATGAGCAAGTCACGCCTTTTCCGGTCGGCGTGTTATGCTTTAAGTCCGTCACCAGCCCATCCTCCAGCGAGACGTCGTGGACGTTCAATCCGCCCTCTCCTCCAATGGAACGGACTGCGACCGTGTATGAAAGGGCACCTTCGCTGTCACGATGACGGTCGATTATGTAAAAGTGCAGATCATTGGCCTTATCGATATACTCAAACTCGCTGCCAGAGTTCGTCCCCGCGTGGAAAAGCGCATCGGCCAGTTGGCGGTAGTCGCCTATGGTAATCATTGATACGGTACCATTGGGTCTGTAGAAGTCGACGAGTTCAATGTCTTCTGGGTGAGCGTCAATGACCCATTGGAAGGGTTGACGGTCAACATCCTTTGACTTGCTGAGCAAAACACCCGAGTCGGGGGTAAAAGAGTCGGCACCCATGCGGTCAACCACTTCAATGTCGTAGTTGTTCCAGCCACCGCCGTCGCACAGAGGATCAGTTGTGGCATTGCATGCTGGCGATCGGTCAGCGTCCATGATGATCCGGATTCCCATCAATCCATCGCCAGGGTCAACGGAGCGAGCCGTCAGCTGTGCGACAGCGATTCCAGAAGTCGCCAATGCCTCACGGGACAGCCAGAGAATATCGGATCTCTCAATGAGCCCAAGCTGGAACTTGTCACGTAGGGTGTGCGACGATCCCATGGACGAGCCCTGGAGCGCTGGGATTTGCCATCTGGTGTGTGGTCCCCCAGGGCCATTGAAAGAACCTCTGGACATCATAGACCATATACCGGTGTAAGCTCTCCGCATTGGAGTACCATAAGGGTTATTGTAGTTGTCACCAATATCCAGCAGGTGGCTCAGCTCGTGGGCATAAACAGCCATGCCAGAGCTCTCACCTTGAGTGGAAGAGCCGCCTCCGGCGTTGGGCCACAGTGTAGATGCTGCCGCCCAAGACGACCAGGGAACATAACGGGTGCGTGCCCAGTTCGGCAAGGAAGTGTTGCCAGTCTTTGGTGGGCCGAATTCATCAGGAACATCCTCAGGACCGTTGAACATCATCTCGCCGAATTCTTGCCATGTCGATGACTCGTCCTGGCCAGCAGAGAGAATGAAGACCAGCTCAAATTGCTGTGCAGTTTCGTTGCCGACATCGTTTCTCCAGGCATTAAGTGCATCCGTTCGAATATTAAGATTACATATTTCTCCGACTGGACACGCGCCAGGATTCATGTCGTCAGAGATACCGTAGTGGTATCCATTACCGGGAAGTCGATAAGCACCGAACGCGGTCAAGTCAACTCCAAATCGCCCAACAGAGTCCTCCATCCAGTATTCGTGGAGGGTGTGGCCCTGGTTTAGCTCATTTGGTGTGTTTAGAAGATCGCGATAGAAAGTCGGTACCTTCTCCCGCGGAATGTCGGCAGCAGCGGGTTGCGGGTTGTTAAAAATGGTCGAGTGCGCAGGCTGGCTGATTGTAAAGTTCCTATCAGGATAGTCCACAACTACAAGAGCGATGTTGAAGTTGCGGTTGGAACCCTTGCGAGCGGGGTTCGACCAGTCAGTACCGGGCGGCTTCACCCAGTCGTCCCACGTCATATTGTCGGGATTCACCCAATTCTGAGGGTCAATGGGCTCGAAGGGTGTGTACGGGTTGCACGACACAGCAGCTGCAACATTGACACTAAGAGCGGCAAAGACCGCGGCCACAAAGGCCTGGAGGCCGTTTTGTCCTTTGGCGAGCTTCATATCGCCGACGGTGAAGTGGTAATCGACGTACGACGGATAGGCATACCACCAAATGCTGGCACAGGTCAACAAGAAAAGGAAAAGGACACGAAGGCGGGGGAATCTGAAGATAAGTAAGTCAACATGTCCATAGCCGACATTGGCAAACAAATACTACGGACCTTCTCCCTCTGACCTCATGTTGGTTCGATCCCCGCTCCGGCTTTGGCTCCTTCTCCTTCCATATCCCCTGCTTTTGCTTCACGGCTGCACATTTCGCTTCAATGTGAGGGGAGCAACATTTCGTGCGCCAAGAAACCCATATCTGGTCACCGGCCTTTTGCGATGGCACCTGCTGCTTCAGGAAAGAATCCATGTCCACTTGGACGCGCTGATCATTAAGAACCTGCGTTTTTGCCAAGAACTACCGGATAGCTCGGCTACGATGGCCGACGAAGTGGCGTGTTGGTCCTATCTCATACTGAATCTTGAACTTGTCTACTTATCTCAGAAGGAATTAAGGATATAAGAAAGGAGGTTGTTTGAAAGTAAAAGCGGCAACGACAACAACAGGCAATGACAAGTCAATGTAGGAGCGGAGTAAGGACCAATGATCCAGACGGGGTTAACCTATGTTCGGCTGGTTGCATTGACAAGGATGCATGTCAGACAACTAACGGATGAAACTCGGGCCGATTGACCAATAATCTCTCTCGCGCTCGTCTCGGACTCCTTTCCGGGGAGAAAAGGCCATTCATGGCTCTAATTTCTACACCCTTAACACATAGCCCTAGTTCAGTCGTTTTTCAGGACGCGATTCTATCTGATAACAACCAATGAGAATCTTTCCCAGTGCCAGAAGTTCACCTCTTCATATTCCCAACCACTGCGTCTGTGAATGGCATACTCGACCCGCAACTGTGGCAACTGTGGCGACCTGGACAAGCTCCCCTCGGTAAGGTTTGGTGTATGAAACAACTGTTGGTTGCACATCAAGCCGGATGCCGCCCGAAGAACAACAGTGTTATCGGATCATCAAAGCCGGCCTCCCCAATGAGGGGTCCGCCTCCGATGCTAACACAGCCTCGCCGAATACCGCGCGGGATCGCAAAAGACGGCGGCCATACGTTTCAAAAGCGTGTGATTCCTGCCGGCTAAGGAAGAGTGCTGTAAGTTACTTTCTGTTGTCTCTTCTCCCTAGCGTAGTCAAAATTTTCTGGCAACTCGAAAACGACACGTGGAGAAAATGTACTACCTTCCGCTATAATATGGCCATTCTCAAGTGGGCTTTAGCTTGGCAACACGGCACAACACAGCGGCTTGTTAAGCTTCAGTGTTATCCGCTAATCTTTACAAAAAGTCCCTTCTAATCTCGTCAAATAGTGCGATGGCATTCAGCCTGACTGTTCGACATGCTTGCGTCGGGGCATCAGGTGCAACTACAACCGTGTCTCTCAAGCTATCCTAGATGCTTTACCTTCTGGCAGCAAGATAGTAGAGGAAGCAGCAGCGTCTCGGAACGAAGAAGATCTTGAGCTGCTTAGTCTTTTGAGGGATTCTTCCGACGAACAGGCACTGGAAGCCCTGCGTGGCTTCAAAGAAGGTAAGGAGTCTGGGGAAATCACTTCTTCACTTCGCAGTATGCCAAGTGTTGGACTAGGACTGTCCCAGATTGCTCTGAATAGGGCAATCATACCACCTACTCGGTCTTCTTTGGAGTTCGAGTTGATGGTGCGACATCCCGTTGCGTACCCCGCTTGGGCGCCGGTTGAAGCTTCCAAACTAGACTTGGATTACCTTCTTCTTCCAAGTAAGATTCTTTGGAACAGAACTAACCCTATCGTGTGAGTTTAATATTCCATGCTGCATTAGTGTGTATGCAGTTCTCTTTTCGAGTTCTTGCGTAGATTTTGAGGCTCCATACCTTGAATGGCATGCGTAGTGAAGAAGTTTGGATGTAAGGTGTTAATCTTTCATAGAACCTCGGACCTACCGGGCCTGTCGGCCTCCTACCCATCATCTGAATCCAGCTTAGCAAAGGAAGATTCAACGGGCTACGGCCTTGTAGGCCCTACAAATCCCCCATCGGTTTATGATGAGAGATTACTGGAGCTCGATAATTCCAAGTGGACGAGCTTACCCGTGACTAAGGAGTTTGCTGTCACTGTGTTGTCTCTTTACCTCGAGGCCGATCACCCGATGATGCCTCTTTTTGATATTGATGTGTTCCTTGACGGTCTGTTGGGTAAAAACCCTTTCTGCTCCAGGCTCCTAGTCAACGGCCTTTTCAGCTGGGCATGTGTAAGTTACCTGACCCGGAGACATGCTAACACCGGATAGACATCTCACATTGGAGTTTAGCAGGGATACGCTGCGTTTAAACCAGAGGCGACGATTCTGGGATATGCCTTTTTCGAGGACGCGAAGCGGTTGTGGAGAAAAGAACAAATGACCGGAGCTGACAATATCTGTACATTGGCCGGATTGCAATACGTAGCCATAACAGCCATCTCCCTCGGCGCTGGGGCAGAATATGTAGAATGCCTTGACGAAGTAATCGCGATGGCCAAAAGACTTCACCTTTTTAACGTTGACCCGGTTGAGGTCCCCGCGGTTGACATGCAGGATGAAGTCTCGCAACGAGCCGCAGCGCAGATCGCCTGGGCGCTCTTTAACACACTGACGTAAGTTGTCCCTCAAAGCATTCGAATGGTTTGTTCTAGATCCTATCAAAGGTACTATGCAAATGCTTGCAGTGACTCACATCATGGACGAAAGACTTCTCTCCACGCACATCCATACCCGTTTGATCAAATACCCACCTCGCTTGCCCGTACCAGAAGGAAGGATATTTAGCAAAGGAAACTCCAAACTTTCCAAAAAGGATAAGCGCCGGCAGTATCTCGGGGTTCTCCTCAAAGAAAACAGCAACTTCTATCTTATAGTCCATGATATGATACAGCTCATGTACAGTTCAAATCAAACGCCCTATGCAAAAGCATATACCCTTGTTTTTGCCGACAATACCTACAAGCGGCTCTTGAAATGGGCAGACAGCCTACCTCTCGAACTAGCACAAGGGCGGAAGAGTACACACCACACTGTGTTCATGCAGTAAGTCATCACATAGAGGCCAAATGATGTTAGCAGGGTTCATGACCGACTAATCAAAAAGTATTTGCTATCATCTGGCCATCCTAGACCTGTTCCGCCCACTTATTCGACAACACGACGCGGGTGGGACCCGTATACCCTCCTTCAGCTCAAAGGACGCAAGCCCTGAAGCAGCGTACTCAGCATCCGTCAACCAACTGAAGCGAATCGTGCTCTTCTACCGCCAGACATACCCAGAGTCTTCCTTCTCCTTCTTCTGGCACTCTGCTCTTCTTTACTTGGCCAACGCTATGCTGAGAGAAGCCAGCGGCGTAACGCCGAGCCCGGAGTGGAGGTTTTACTTTCAGCTGTGCATAGCAAGCTACCAAACTCTGTACAGCAGCTATCGTTTGGCAAAGGGTATAACACATAGTCTGTTGTCCATGGCGCTTGAGAGAGGTGCCATAGATCATCAGGAGGCGAATTTGGTCAAGAAGGACTTGGAGGAGAGAGGGCGGCACCACGAAATTTCGGACCGGGTTCCAGAGTCCTACGTGGTGGACTTGGATCTGGCAGTGACAGATCCTTCAGCTGCACAGGCCGAGAGGCTGGTTCAGAAATTCCATGGCCTGTTAATTGATGAAACTGAAGAAGATGATGGAGCTTCTTTAGAGTTTGAACACGAGGAGGAGTAAGGAAACATATGGAGGCGTGTGCGCATCATTGAAGTTTTGGTTTGGCCCGGGAGCATGATAAGCCTCAGTACAAGAAAGCCTTGTTTCGTTTGAATTTTTCCTAAAAAAAAAAAAAGTGTAAAGGAAAGAATCAAATACAAGCTGGATTCGTTAAATGTTTTGTCTCGTCGGCTTCCCAGATTGATGCTGGAAACTAGTATTACAAGGTTCGTGAAGAATAAGGTGTAGAGGTATGAGAGGATGTAGACTATTCCTCTGATTATCTTATTCTACCGGTATCTTGTCTTAATAGCCCTGAGCAACTAGATGCCTAGGTAAAAACCTGTAGTATCGTCCAGTCCAAGCAGCATTAGGATCGCCCAGCTCATCATACAGTTCAGTCCCGATGGCGTGATGCCAGACCTTGAGATGCTCGCGGCCCTCCTCATCGGTGTCCTCCGGAAAGCCGCGAACAAGGCTTGCGAATGAGGCATGTAGGCCGACATCGTCGACCTTGATGAAGAACTCGTGCCTCGCACCGCGCGGCACGTAGACACTTTCATTCCCGTTGCCGCCGGGCGTCTCGAAAGGCACCATGTTTTCTTCTTGGACCCAAGCCCGGAAGCGGTGCTGCAGGTCTCCGACAGAGACACCTTCAAGGACGGGGTCATCGACAAAAATCATGTCCATATTGTCGAGGATTTCCGGGGCGTCGGACTCAAGAATGGATTTGCGCAGGTTGCCCAAGACCCGCTCTTTAAAAGCAGCCCAAGGCTTGGTCGAGGCGTCGTCATACGTGGTTCGGTAGATCACAAAGCCCCATTTCTTGTATTCGCAGTCTCTGATGTTGGTCTCGGGAGAGGGCTCGGAGTAGTCATCCTCTTCTTCTGATGGCTCCGAAGCCGAGGGCGAAACCGATCGCCTCGGCGTAGACATAAAGGGCTGTTTATATGGTACGCCAGTTGAGGATGAGATCCAAATTTGTGATTGTCTTGATAACAGGCGAGTGGTAAAGATGAGTCCCGGTAAAGCGTGATGAGCACGATGACCGATGTTGACGGCGATGACAGGTGTCGGACAGGAGTAGTTTTTATGGCGAAGAACAAATCTGGGTGAGAGCATCCCTGACCAGACTGCGGACAAAGTGGCATTTGTGAGGAGCGGATAGAGGAGGCCGAAGAGGATCATGCAATCTTCACCCCTGAAGGAGCTTAAGGCCCGAGAAGGTTGAGTATATCACGTAAGCGAGAAGGAACAGGGACGGACTGGATCCACCACCCTGCTCCGGGGGCTGAAAACCTCGGCAAACGAGAACAGTGACATCGGGGTTCTTGGCTTAATTTTGATTCCGATTAGTGCCAAATCGGGGCCTTGCCGGGCCGTGTGGGGCCGTTGAGGCAGCAAACGTAGATTGTCACCCATTTTGATTCAGGCTGGGCCTGAGCAAAGATTCTTAGTTGGCGTATGTTGATAGTGACGAGGAGATTTTGTTTATGCAAATTGCAATATGACCATGTTCCTGCCGACGCCGAGGCAGAGAGGCCAATCTTGGTCCATCTTGGGAGAGACCTCGCTGTGATGGTGAATGGAGAGACAGGCGATTTAAGCGACAACGGACACTGACGCGCCTGTCGAGACTGTCTGGTCTGGTTTGGTCTCGTTCGGCTAGTTTCATCCTACTCATGTCTGTCGTTCTTCTCGCCATCTCGCCCTTAACCCTGATCCTGAGGGACCCAATGGACTAACACCTCTTCCATCCTCGCTTACACCAACAGGGAACATGGTCTCCCATCTTCTATGCGTTAGTCCTCCCGGTCAAGGCCTCGAGGCCGTCACTATCATCACCACGGCGGCACCCACCGCACCCCAGCCCCCGCCGTAGGTATCGTCAGCTGGAACTCGTGGATTGCCAGCGAAGCCGACTGTGATGCCGGCTCCTACGCCGGTCTCGGAGACGCCGAAGAGCACTCCGTCTGCACCAAAACATCGGATGGTCCAGGTCTAATCACTCCCCCTGGCCCGCAGCAGCCGGAAATCATCACGGGCTGTCGTTTGTTTTACATCGCCTTCAGTGGAGACGGCTGCCGAGCCATCATCAACGAATACGGCATCTCATTCGATGACCTGTACGCCTGGAATCTGCTCTGATCTCTGGAGTTTTCTAGTATTCCTTTCTAAATGCAAGCAAATTCCATAGGCCGAAACAAGAAGAATCGTTATTTTAAGAATAACCATAGGAGGATGTTGGGGCTACTTAGGCAGCTCATAGTTAAATGCCTAGCAAAAAAAGGAAAGAGTTTACGTCACATAGGCACAGCTGTTGGTAGATTAGGCTGTCAAGAGCTACTTACATCTATAGTGCATTTTATAACATTTTGTCAACAACTAATCAACTATTACTAGTTGCTGTCTGCACGGTGACATAAATAGTTTGCGTGTGTCATGGATACCCTCTTCTCAGCAACGGAGAATTAATCGGGAAATGTCCAAATCGGGACAAGCGCCAGTTGGTTTGAAGATGAAATATTCGGGTAAATTCTAGTATTAAGACAGACAGATGCGGGCCTTTGGTCGGTCAAATACTTGGTTCTCAAACCTGCCTTTGCTCACCTTGGCCACAGCGAAGATGCAGAGTATTGTGACATTGTTTCTTTACCCAGTCTACCGGCTTCACTTCATTTTCACAGTCGAAAGACTACCAATCCTCTACTACTACTCATTTGTACTTCCAAGTGACATGTGGTATCTGCGCCTTTTTCTAAGGTGGGAGTGGTCCCATCGTTCCAGGGTTATCGAGGTTGGCCATCAACCCCATGAAAGGCTTAAGGAAAGGATGCTTTCCTTTCCTAAACAATGAAAATAACGCCAAGAACCTATTCAGTACTTCTTCCACCTGTGTTGGCTTGGTAGCCGTCCAGTCTAGTTCAGCCCCGTTGAGCTGATTAGTCCAGTTTGACCCCCCAACCAGTGATACTGGGCATACAGTCCCGTTGGTGGAAGCAACATTAGATTCAGACTCCAGATCATGAACATCAAAAAACCTGCCAGAATCTTTGAATTCCTCCTCACGGAGCGGAAAGCTCTGGGCAACTTGCACGCAGTTGCTGGCAATGTCGTAGAGCTTCTCCACGAGGCCGACTCCATGCGTTTCCAAGCTACGAATGTCAAATTTTGCGCAAGCCTTGATTGTGTCTGCTGCAATCTCCACGGCGTATTCCGGTCGCAGCTCAGAAGTAGAAGCAGAAGGGCTGATGAACCCGTGGCGGGAAGCAAGGCCCCAAAGGAGGTTGCGCACCCAGTGCCGAGTGAGAAGAATGTCGGCGTGCTGGGCAGCTCCCTGCGATGTTCCAGAGCTCAAGTTGGGGGGTTTCTTGTAACGTATAAGAAGTGACACTACTTCTTCTGCAGTGATATGTCTCGCATTCCTGTCCGATCGACATAACCCCTTCCAACATCGCACGACAGTTTCGTCGACGAAGCCAACTTGGTCAATCATGCGCTGGAGTCCATCGACAGCTTTGTCTTCTGTCGCTTCACTAATTGAGGATGCGCGCTCAATAAGCTTGGAGAAAGCCATAATATCCAAGCCCATCAGTCGCGGCATCAAAAGTGTAGAACCGTGCTGTATAGTATATATCCTATACGTTTCATTAGAGACCAGATACCGGGTAAAAATGGAACTTTTTTGGAGAATTACCTTTCGACGAGCGCCAAAGCCGTCACGGTTCGTACTCTGCGGTCCTTCTCGTCAGGACTAAGACCTTCATAACTTGAAGGATCGTGCATCCTCAGGATCTCGGCCAAGGACATTGCCTCTCGGAACCGAAGCTGCGCGGCATTATGATTTCCCCGACAAAACTGACAACCAAATAGGAAGAAGCTGGTTATGACAGTCTCGACAGTGGGATCTTGACCAAAGTCCGCGCCGCCATGCAGGTCAGCCACAAATGATAAAACTGACTCGGCCAGTCGTAGGCGGTCTGGCAATAAAGGCCTATCCTGGCTATGAATGGCTTGAAAAAGGGTATACGCGCAAATGCTGTGAACCAGAGCTTTAAACTGCCGGTCGTTTTCGTGGCGATTCCGTTTGATGTTGTCCAGAATGAAAGATCTCTTGAAGAATGGCATAGATAGGTAAAGGCGAGAGAGGAATACTTCGATGAGTTGGTTTATCATTATAGGAGTTAGTGGGGACCGTTGGCCAACGGTGAGAGCTCGATATGACATGTTTGACAGGGATGACCACGAGCTGCCGTGAAAACCCTGGGCTTTTGGAGATCCAGGCATTTTGAACGATTGAAATGAAGAATTTGGCATGAAGGAATCCAGGACCGACAAGCCGGCTACATCCGTCCCTGGTAGACCCTGGAAATGCGGTGCTAGCCATGTCGATATGTCCGTTACTGGTTTTGAGATTAACGGAGTAGAGGAATCCGAAACAACGACTCCGTTTGGCGCTGGAAAGCTTGATTCACGAGAGTGTTCATCGAAAGTTTCTCCAAACCAGTCTGTATTTCCAAAAATCTGTGGCTCTGCAGCCGGGGATGGATCTGGCCCTGCAGAATTCGAGACCGACACTAGCTGGCTGCCGGGCACAACCTCGCTGGTAACGGAGTAATCGGTCGAGCCTTTGCTGGTATGGATATCCGGTAGCCGCCGGGCCACTTTCTTCTTCACACGTTTTGGTATCGATCGTGAAGCTTCATGTCCATTGGCAGTACCAGCAACTGTGGAGCTAGACCTGTATTGCGGCTGTCGCTGGTACGCGCAGGTCAGGCCTGTGTCAAGGCATTTCTTACATGGTAAGGTCCTCTCACACTGTATACAAGCTGTTGTAAGCTCCAAGTATCAATCTACGAGTGACCTAAGCCGGATAATCGGCTGGGCTGTTCTCACCTTCACTTTGCGGGCATGACAATGGTCGCAAGCCCGTGATTGAAGGACGCGCGACAGAGTCTGATCCAGTACAATCTGACATGATTCGCTCATTACGGAGCAAGATAGCCGTAGCACGTGGGCTTGTGGTGCCGGACGGCTCAATTTCTTTGTCGATGGGTTCTGGAAGCTGTGCGAGGCAGAATTTGAGGCAAAGTTCATTCGTCTCCGCAGCGAGGGCCGACGGACGTTTCCGTAGTGAAACGCTTGAGCGCCTCGATTATGCAATCAGATGCCACGCACGGTGTTTAGTGTGTATTTCACTATCAACGTGAACCTCGAACCCATCTCTTGACAAAGTATAAACTTGTTCCTATAGTCGATATGTCGCAAGACGAGAACTGGTTCGTGGGTGAACACTCCACATTCAGAATTGACCCGCTGGGATGCTAATTCACCCGCAAATGTGACGCTAACATGGGCATCACAAGCTTAATGGCGGATCATCCGCACATCGGGCTTCAATGAACCAAACAAAACGATTGTAAAGCTCGCTAGAATTAATTATACTTGTTCCTTGCCTAATGATCTCCGCCACTTCCTGGCCAATGGGTGGCCGGCCGATCATGGTCGAATACTCGGCAACTGTCCCAAAACGGAAATTCAGCGAGGATAAGCCCGACGTCCTCAAACCGCTATAATGGGGAATCCTCAAAGCAACTCGCTAACTCATGGGCGAGATCGAGAATGATCCGACTTCTCTAACATCTTTCTTCAATTTCACTGATTTCCTCACGATGGATGCCGCAAACCACATCGAGAGTTTTGAACAAGCGAGCAGTCCTGTTTCTACTCAACCTACCGAGTCGTCGGGGACCTCAACATCAGGGGAAGTGTCTCGTGTACAGTCTTGTTCCACCTCTGTTACGGATCCTGACGACAGTCGCATTTGTGGTAAAGACGACGCTTTCGGTAAATGGCGCCCGATCGTACATTTGATTGCACCTCAGGGCTGGCTGAATGACCCCTGCGCACCTGGATATGATCACATCAATGATTGCTACCATGTTGGCTTTCAGTGGAATCCGGATAGTCCAGAATGGGGAAACATATCTTGGGGAGCTGCCACCTCTAATGACCTGGTATCCTGGAGCGTTTCCCGCGATCCTTCCATCATTCCTACCAAAGACGATGATCCAGGTGGTGTTTTCACAGGTTGTCTATCGCCCGTCGAACTTTACCCTGGCGAGTTGACGGCGTTCTACACTTCGGCCAGAATCCTACCCATACACCATACACTTCCATACAACTACGGATCAGAAGGGTTGAGTATAGCAACTTCGAAGAATGGCGGGCGGACGTGGGATCGCCATGAAGGAAACACGGTTCTACCAGGTCCACCACCAGATATGAAAGTAACAGGATGGAGAGACCCTTTTGTCTCGGCCTGGCCTTCCCTGGCCAAAGTTATGGGCGATTCAGAAAACACACTATACGGCATAGTTTCCGGTGGACTCCTTGGTCAAGGGCCAACACCATTCATTTATCGCTTGAACAGTAACGACATCACTGAGTGGTCTTTCCTGTCATCCTTAATATCCATGCCCCGAAACTTCTCTCCATCATCGTTGTGGCCGATCGATAACGGGGTTAACTGGGAGGTAACCAATTTCCTTAGTCTTCAAGATCCGGATGATTCAAGAACACACGACTTTCTTATCATGGGAGTTGAAGGGCGGGTGCCTCAAGAGAGCGATAAGGGCCGCTCGCAGTTCAGTGTTGACCATGGCCAACTCTGGATGTGCGGCAAACTCGAAGCACGCGATGGTCGACCGACGATGGAATACCTCTACGGTGGGTATCTCGATCATGGCAGCTTCTACGCCGGCAATTCCTTTTGGGATCCAAAGACCAAAAAGCGCATCATAATCGGATGGGTCATCGAGGAAGATCTCCCCAGTGAATTGCGGAGGCGGCAAGGTTGGAGTGGGCTACTCTCGCTGCCGCGTGTTGTGAAACTGCAAAGACTGAGGGGGGTGGTACAGTCTCTTTTAACTCCCCTACATGATATTCCTTCGATCAGTCTTGTCCAGGATGGGGTATACGGAAGCGACAACGAGCCAACATTCGAGGTCACAACCCTCTGCGCCGTTCCTGACCGTCGATTGAGAAGTCTGAGGGGTAGCATGCATTCAGTCGAACCAACAGGGCCACAAGCCAAATGTTTCTTTCCACAAGGATGCCCAGCTCTAGAGATGATGGCAACTTTCGACGTCGGACCCTTGGTGCACTCAGTTGGGGTGCAACTCTTGTTTGCAGGTGGTAAGTTCATCTAACCAATGTTGCGAGGCCTTTGCTAACAGTAGTATAGACAACGAACCCAAAGGAGTAGTAATGTTTGACGCCTCGTCCGAGAGGCTCACTGTACAGCGTCACGAATCAACGACAGAGCCAGGGGTTATTGTGACGGAAGAGAAGGCGCCACACACCCTTTTTACATCGGTCGATGATTCCGGTGAAGAAAAGATGACCAGGGAACCTCTGAGCCTACATATGTTCTTTGATGTCAGCGTCTTAGAAGTGTTTGCTAATGACCGCACGGCATTGACAACGCGACTGTATGCAGATGTTGCGAAAGTGGTGGCAGTTGAGCCATTTGTAATTGGCAGCGATGGCACGACACGAGTCGGCCTGGATGCTCTGCGAAGCCTTACGTGTTGGGAGCTGAGAAACTAGGTGTGAATTATATGGTCATTGGTGCTAGCGTTCTTTGGCGAGAGACATTTATTTAGACTAGATGGGTTGATTCTAGAGACGGAAATGTTATATTGCGTCTCACAAGACTTTGAAGAGTGGCAGGAGACAAGAGAGTATTATAGGGCAGCGCATGTAGATGTCCACCATTATATTAAAGGGCAGGTTTCGGACCTGATTGAAAGTTCATGTGTAGCTGCCTGTATTTCCAAATTAATTAGTCCTTCCAACGAAACGCGACTAATAATATGAGAAACCCAACATAAGACCAAACAGCGCAAAGAGTCCTCTGATTATGCTGCTCGTGGGACTTCATCGCTTGTTCCGAAAAGTGGGGCTATCCTAGCACAAACATCGAAAGTTGGTAAAGCTGAGGAGATTATTACCTACCTAGATGTTAAGACATAAGAGCGTTTGCTGTTTTCAGGGCTAGTGAGCTAATTTCTATAATTCGAAAACAGTTCTTCGGACGACTGTTCATGTACTAGCCTACTGCTATGCTTTGGTCTATTCAGTTGTCAGAATTTGGTGACAGCAGTTACATTTTCCCTAACAAGCACGTACTTTGTAAGAGATTCGAGAACATATAACTCGAAATTAAGTCTTTAATTGCTCTCTGTAACTTGATGTTTTATGGCGACGATGCTTTTATCTCATTCCCGTATTTCCATTTATACGAATTGATTCTTGTGAAACAGGTAGGCAGAAATGTGTGATCCTGATTGAATGAACATCACCGAAACATTGTCAAGACACGTCCTTCTTATTGAAAAGGCACTACTCTGTTCCTCTTGAACGAAGAACATAAAACTAAAAACGAAATAGATATAACCATACGTTCATATATAGCAAGCGCGAATAACAGACACCCACCCCAGCATCAACAGGCCGACTTCGGGCGGACTCCGCCCGCTAAAACTCGGGCCGCACGTGACCCACCCAAAGCTGTCTCACTCAACAACCACACCTTCACAGCAAACCAGACATTGTCACGACGTATCTTTTTCAGCTTGACATTCTCACTTCCAGCCCACCCAATCAACATACCAAAAGAGAAAACGCCTTGCGGTCTGCCTCAGCTTGGATTCCAGCCATCATGGCTTCCACACCATCTCAACCCCCTCCCACCACCGCCCTTCCGGCGCAATCTGACCCCGCCGCCTTCGCACACATCCAGAATTACATCGACACCCGCTGCAACGCCTCCCCCATCTACGCCTTTCTCTTCAACCCCGGTCTTACACTCACTCATGTCTCAAAGGGCCTGGTTGTCGCCCGTCTGCCTCTGTCCGCGAACCACCTCAACTCTTCCGGAAGCATCCACGGCAGCGTGTCCGCTACCATCGTGGACTGGGCTGGCGGCCTGGCCATTGCCGCCTGGGACCTGCGAGAGGCTACTGGCGTGAGCGTCGACATCAACATCAGCTACCTCTCCGGTGCCAAGTTGGGCGATGAGATCGAGATTGAGGGCAGAGTCGAGAAGGTCGGCGGCAGCTTGGCGTTCACTCACGTCAACATTTACAAGGTCGCCGCTGATGGGTCAAGGGGAGCGACAGTGGCGAATGGAAGACACACCAAGTTTGTGAGGAGCAGGTAAATCTCACAATATTCACTAGAGATGGGGCTATAGACAAGATTGTTACACTGCAACCTAGAATCTGCTCAGCATCTCATGTAGAGCTGAGCTTAATACGTCATACATCAAATAAACAAAAATTCACCGCTCAAAATCCCCCGTAAGCCTTTCCCCAGCTGTGCAAGAACCCGTCAGTCCAACCAATAATCGAGCCTCTCACCCCCGCCGAGATTAGCGTGCCTCGACAGACGGTTGCCGAGTGAATGCTCGATTCGTACTTGAAAACCCATACCACACGATTAACGCTGCTGGGAAGCTGGGAGCTGCTGACCACGCCCACAATCAGGATGCACAGCAGAATAGCGTTCCCAGCGAACATAGTAAACCACGGCCTCTTCATTCTCGCCCTCCACCACCGCGTATTATTGCCTACCATGACTAGGATCGCAGCATCAAAGAGCTGGAAAATGAGGCTCAGGGACAGCACGGCAACAGTGGCATTTAGCCAGCGATATTGTTCATCCGCAGGCAGAAATATGCAGCCGATTCCCTGGCTGGCGCTTTTATCGACAAAGTAAGGGTCCGCGTCGCAGCTGACAAGGACAGATTCGGCAGTCTGGAACATTGGCGAACACCATGTGGCCTTGAGTCCCGCGGTGTCGCGCCCCTTTCCAGCTAGAGCAAGGCCGATGAGCTGGAGGATCAGTAGAGTCAGGAGGAGTGTGAGCGCGAGGATCGTCAGCCAGGCCTGGCCGATAAGGCCACGGTCTGCCGGGACTGGTTGTGGTCTGAGGGAGACAACTTGTACCGGTGATGCTGTGGACGTCAGAACTTATTCACTCACTACCAATAATCTACTTACTCTTTGACCTCTCACTCATTTGCCCCCTTCGGCTCGGCAATGGCATGTCTCCTGTCTGGTGGCGGATGAAAGGGCGACTAATCGACTCCCTCAGCGCACTCCAGAGAAGAGCAACGCCATTCTCCTCGACAACGAGGAACACGAGCTGCATCATGGCCCCAATGTCCAGCACAATTGCCAGCGGCATCCAGACCATAATCTGGTCGGGGACAAGGTGGGTGGTGTACGCCTGGATTGTGAAATAGACGCTGAAGAATGCCAAGATGATCGAGAGCGTCTGTACCTTCTCCCACCTCGTCACTCGCAACACAGTCACTGGCAAGTGTATGAGGATCCATGCCATGGTATATGGCCAAGGGAGGAGGCAGCCACCAGGGTCCGGCCTCAGATATGTCGGCGCGCCACAGGGCGCCATATTGCGACGAGAAGCATCGAAATCACTGAGAAGGAGCGTGCTGTTGCCGGTGCTGTTGAAGCCGACAACCGTCGTCGGCGAGAGAGTGCAGACGTCCATGGCTGCAACTTCATGACAATGAAGCAGATGCCCAGCAAAAATCACCTAGATGAGAGGTATGAAAAGTCAGGGCATCCATCTTTTTAAAGTGTCTTGGACACTTTCCACTCCCTTGGTTCAATTGCCAAGAGTTCAACTCAGATACCTAAAAAATGCACTTCTACTACATTCTTGTTTACGTACAAGAATGTCGTTGGCCAGACTCCTGCAGCCTCACAATAGACCGACTCCCTTTTGGTATACCGCTCGCCTCCAGGAGCTTGGCAGACGCCACCGCCAGTTCTAGGCTTGGTAGATTAACCAATTGCCGGACTGCCCACTGCCGCTTGCCGGAAGTTGAGCAGCTCAACAGTGATTGCTGAAATGGGAAAACGCCGAGGCATACATGATACGACGTCTCTTTTCCTACGTTATCCAGGCTTTAATACAAAAACGTTCAAGCCATCCAAATACCAAACCTTTATTCTTTTCTAGCAGAAGACGAATCAAGTGTCGCTGAATTTCGAATCAACATGTTTAGAAACATTTGGATAGATCTGCGGCTTGTACAACTTGGCATAGTGCCAGGTTAGCTGAGGATAAGTCCCTACAGAGCTACAATTGGTTGCTAACCATAGGTAAACTTTTAATCGGTTCAGGAGGCTATCTCAACCAAGAGATGCCTCGCATCTTTGTGTGCCCTTGCCCTTCGTTTCGGTCATCTATTCTTCCGCCTTACAGTATTTCTAGTGAGGCTGACAGATCTTCTTATACAACTGGATCGAGTGGCCCAGTACTCATTGATGTGCAACTAGAATCATTACAGTTCGTCGGTGTTCTAGCTAGGCTCTATCGTGGAAATATGTCGTGCTTAAATCTGACTCGCCTATTCCGCATCGGAACTTTGAACATGAGTCGTTTCTTCCCGACAGCCATTTTATAAACTTGTATCAGGTCTTTTTCCCACTTTTTGAGATTCGAGAGCGAGGAAATGGTGTCGGGATGATCAACTCCAAGGCCGCGTTGCCGAATCCCAAGGCATTCGCGCATTAACTGGATTGCGTCGACCTGCCGGCCCTGGCTTTTCCATGTATGGGCTAGGTTAGCCATGCTAATAAGCGTATCGGGATGTTCATCCCCAAGCACCCTTCTCTCCGTCTCTAATACCTGTACTTCTAGCTCTTCCGCCTCATCCCACCGCCCTTGGTCCCAGTATGTAGACGCTAGGTTACCTATGCTCCTAAGCGTATCGGGATGTTCATCCCCAAACACCCTTCTCTTCGTCTCTAATACCTGTACTTCTAGCTCTTCTGCCTCCTTCCACCGCCCTTGGTTCCAGTATGTAGATGCTAGGTTACCTATGCTAAAAAGCGTATCGGGATGTTCATCCCCAAGCACCCTTCTTCTTGTCTCTAATACCTGTACTTCTAGCTCTTCTGCCTCCTTCCACCGCCCTTGGTTCCAGTATGTAGACGCTAGGTTACTTATGCTAACAAGCGTATTGGGATGTTCATCCCCAAGCACCCTTCTCTTCGTCTCTAATACCTGCACGTGTAGCTCTTCCGCCTCCTTCCACCGCCCTTGGTCCTGGTATGTAGACACTAGGTTACTTATGCTAACAAGCGTATTGGGATGTTCATCCCCAAGCACCCTTCTTCTCGTCTCTAATACCTGTACTTCTAGCTCTTCTGCCTCCTTCCACCGCCCTTGGTCCCAGTATGTAGACGCTAGGTTAGCTATGCTCCTAAGCGTATTGGGATGTTCATCCCCAAGCACCCTTCTCTTCGTCTCTAATACCTGCACGTCTAGCTCTTCTGCCTCCTTCCACCGCCCTTGGTCCCGGTATGTAGTTGCCAGTTCAGTCATGCCAGCTACTGTATGGAGATGTTGGTCACCGAGGATCTCGCCCCATAATCCCGTAGATTGAGTAGCACTCAGTTCTGCCTGTTTCCACTGGCCACGATATCGAAAATAGGCCCCTACATTGTGTAAAAGCAAGGCTTTCGCAAGTCGCTCATCACGAGAATCGGTCCCCTTGTTTTGAAGCACAGCATTAGCATGGGGAAGGTATTCCTGGCAAACCTGTCGATTCTCGTGTTTCCCAAACGGATATAAGTTGGAGACTATGTCAAGCGCTTGTTCCGCATAGCTGGCCAATCTCTTTTGGGTCTCTAACCATTTTCGTGTCACCAGCTGTACTAGCCGATGCATAGTGATTGCGTTGTCCTTCGCCTGCGATACGAATGAGAAAGCCTTGAGTACGCCAACGGCCTTGGTGACCTTGCTCGTGCTCATCTGTTGTTCGTCCGTATCTCTTTGGTTGCAGAAGTGAACTATGAACTCTTCAGGAATGCCTTGACGGTCTAAGAGACTGGCGAAAGATAGAACGTCGCTGGCAAGAGCTTCTTGTTGCTGTATCTGATTGAAAGAGACTATCCACGTAGATGTGAGTGCGTGCGGTGTCTCAGAGTCTCTGCCAACTGCTTCAAAAGGCTCGCTCAATTGATTTACTAAGCTTTCGTCGCTTTCTTCCAAGAGCTGAAGGTATTGGGAGATTGAAATGGTGTTCTCTTGGATGAATGCGGCAGCTTGCGCAAGAGCTAGTGGAAGATGCTCAAGCCGCTTAGAGAGATCGGATGCCTCGTCGGTGTGAACCTCGTCGTCGAGCATTGTGTTTAGTAACTGATTTGTCTCGTTGTCACTCATTCCTTCGATTTTGAGGAGTGGGTTGCTTCGCGCAATTCTTAGCGCAGCTTGTTTGTTTCTTGTTGTGATGAGAATAGAACCATGAGCGCATTCAGGGATATATCGCCCTAGGCCACCTGGCTTTTCGGTTGTTGAATGTGTGTTGGTGCTACCGTCTGGTGACGAGGACGGGAAAAACAGTTGTGTATCGTCGGCGTTATCAATGACCATGAGCCACCGACCTCGGATTCCTTTTTCAAGCCAAGTCTTGACAAGCATGAGCACATCAGCTTCAGAATTGTCACGTCCAGGGATATTACACTCTTGAGCAATAGCGATGTACCCTTGACGAAATCGATCTGCGTTGCTCGCATGGACCCAAAAAACGGAAACATCGGGGTGGTCGCGTTGCAGCCAAAGCGCATAAGCGAGGGCGATCTGCGTTTTCCTGCACAATGTTAGATGCTATAGAGACTCCGAAGAGGTAGCCTATCGTACCCGATACCCCCAAGCCCATAGAGCGCTACCCTTGACCTCGGTTTTGGAGATTGGTCGAATTGCTGTTCGTGCCCAAAAAGCCGTTTGATCTGATCGAGAGTTTGTGATCGCCCAATAAAGTCTGGGTTCTCGATGTACGGAACAAGGACTTACATGCGTTAGTAAAAACCAGGTATATGTGTGAGCTACTTACACCATGTCTGTGAAGTTGACAGACTATCCATATGTGAATATCGCTCGAGAAGTGCCTTTGTCGTTGAAGCCGCGGTTGCTGCAGCAAAATGCTGCCACTTTTTGTTTTTATGACTGTCTGCATAGTCACAAACTGCCTTGACGATGATGCAGGGAATCTCGTCCCATACTCCGGCCCCTTCCATTTCAAAAGCAATAAGATCATGCTCTTCAGCAATCCTGTCACGATCTAGTCCAGACTTCATTACTGTGTCGCCTGACCCCATGCGTCCGACTAGTATCCTAACCTGTCGCGCTACCATGCTGTCGTCTGTCTGCCCTTGCAACTGTAATGTCTGCACGTCAGGGAGGCTTCTAACCACGAGACGAGAGTAGTCACACTGAAGTACGTCGCAAGACGTAGTAAGAGCTTTTTCACAGGCTTTCGATTCACTGCATTCACAGCTGTGACCATCACGGTGTCTGTGAAGGTATTCCGGCTCGAAAAGGCGATCTTCTGTTGCGATGGGGCGTTTATAAAGGCTCTGATGTCCTTCGTCAACTGCCCTTTGCCGGATCTGCTCCATGACCTGGCTGGCTCGGCGCTGCAGACTGCTGCGACCATGAAGCGTTTCCAAGGCCGCAACAAGGGAACGAATTTCCTTATTAGGCCTTCCTAGTCTGTCTTCAACTGTATCTTTCGAATTGAATTGGTTTGGATACTTTCGGCCCAGGTCGTATTGCATAATGCTCTTGCTGATAACCACATCCCCTAGGTAGACTTCGTTGTTCGTCCCGACTCCAGGCACTCCGCCGCAAATGCCAGCCAAGATGGCGAGCTTGATCCCAGGGTAAGTCGATCGAAGACTGGCTGCAGCGCCGGCTGCGTTAGTTTTCCCCATGCCAGGGAGGAGAAGCAGGACGACGTTATGTGGTCCTACGCGGCCGGTGCTGTACGTGTTGTAGTCTCCTGATGCATTTGATAGCTGTTCTTTATCTTCCTCCCATATCTCATCGCAGGCGAAAACAACGGCATCGTATTCGAGGGGTAGAGCGCAAATGACGGCGATTTGGAAGTCCTCGTGGCGGCGACGTCGAGCCTGACTAGCCATGGTGAATCGTCTTCGATTGGAGAAGATTTGGGTTTTGGATCAACTGCCTATTGATGATGTTTCCGGCGGAGATAGATGGGAGATGGATGATTGTTGGTAGTGACGATAGCATTGGGAAGTGGTCTTGACTGGACGTAAGGCTGGGCATCATGTTAAATCAGGCTGGCGCTTCACGAGCATCGCCGATTGGTTCATGTGACCTACGCCACCCCCAAGTTATTCCATTTCGTGGTGCCAACAAATCGTGCGTTGCTGTTCTGCTTGTAGGCTGACATCCATTTTGGGTCTGTCTTGGAAAAATGTTGTATCTTTCTGGCGACCGAACTTCGTGATGTTTTTCCAGAATGAGGCTGGAGAAGACCGGCCCAACAGCTTAAATGCTAGGGTACGCTACGTAGCATTTACTTTTAGCGCAATTATCTTAACTACTACTGGATGACTGGCTTAGTTGAGGGGAGAAGAAGACCATGAACAGTGGAATGATAGCTGTAGGAGCAAGATGGAGTGAGAGGCAGTGTTCGGGGCTGTGTTGTCAAGTAGGCAGATTTACTGTAATCTAATTTTGCCTATTGGCAACAATCTTATCAATAACTACCCTCACTGAAAGTGTTAGCTGACTAGACGATTCAGCAACAAATGTCACGCTTTTCGGTGTTGGGAAACAGGGGGCATACGATCGAAGTGCGGGGTTAGGCACTATAGCGGTAACTGTGACAGTGGACTGTTGCAGCTGTTGGGAGAGTGCCCAAAGCAGCCAAAGTGACAAAACTAACCAAAGCGTCTAAGGTGACAAGAGTGACGAGAGTGACGGGAGAACTGGTAAAGCGTATGCAGAACGATGGGAAGGCCGTGGATTTATAGCATATATAGCCAGTCTGGCAGCAGTTCGGACAGTCTGGATTGTGCTGTACTGTAATTGCGTTTGTCCCTCTCAGCCCTACCGCTATGGCTAACATAATCGCTCTCCGAGCATGGCTGAAAAGTGAGTCTACTTCTTGACAATAGTAACTATTGACAGATATAGAAAATCAGACATATTTCAACGAAAGTAGAACAGTTTTTTTAGCATTACTTTATGCTAACTTAAACAAATCTGTATACTAAGAATTTTATTGGTGTTGCCAAAGTCAAATCCCCAGTTTACACGGCTGGCTTTGAAAATACAGGATGACAGACCAACAGGTCCGAACGGAGCAAATTGTATTCATACATTCACTCGCTCTAGCTGTCTTCTTAACTGGCTGTTTGATGTCTCTACACTTTGATTTGCAGTTGGTCCGGTTGACAACCTACGGGAGATCACCATCAGAGAAAACTCGGGAGCCATACGGTGCTGCCAAGTAGTTTTTTTAGGAAATTGTGCTCAAGGTCCACCCTCATCTGCCTCTGTAACAATACCCTAGCAATCTGCCTGAAAACGCTTCACACACATTAGGAGTAAGCTATATGATACAAAGGGCTGAGGACCAGGCACCACTTTCGAACTGTAATAGAGTAAGGCAAGGAAACGAGTGACTAATAGGACTGTTGAAGTTTCAACAATTTGAAGCGGGAGAGAAACACATATTATTCAGGTAGGAACGTAGTCCCATGGCATTACTGTCAACACAAAGAAGATATACATAATACAAAACTTTTCAACTCAGCCTCCAAGTTTACCTTCAGTCACCATCATCATTCCAGAACAAACAGCGTATAACCTGGTCCGGAATATTAAACCATAATCAACTCCATCTCCATCTTCCCCTACTCGGTAACCTTAACCAGCTGGCTCTTCTCGGCAATCTTGGCCGCAAACTCGCGAATCGGTACGGCCGAAACAATCTCCAGCAGCGCCATGTTGGCCTTGAGCTCGCGCGCGATCCAGTTACGCACTTCGATGGCCGTCAGAGAATCAACACCGTAACGGTACAATGGCTGCGCCGGGTCTACCTCCGATGCCGGCATCTGCAGGATCTCAGCCGTCCGCTTGACCAGCGCCTCGGTCACGATCTCCGCTGCCTGCTGCATCGACGACACGCCAGCTAACTGCAAGGCGAGCGATGCCGCGGTGGTATTCTCGGCGTTGCCACCTTCTGAAGAGGATCCCGCGGTCGTGGTCATCGCCATAGGGCCGAAGCGAGGATCGGCAAGGTAGAACGGCGGAGGAAGACGGTGGGCGGCCCAGACGTCGGCCGTTCCCAGACCCGTAACCACCTGCGGAGGAACCGCCTCCTCCGAGTCTTGCTCCTGCGTCTGCCCGTGGACGGCACTCTTGATGAGCGCGTGGAAGACGGGCTCCGGAATACCGACCGCCTCCTCCCACTGGCCGAGCACGCCACTCTCGGTGTTACCCTCGGCCAGCACGCCGACGTCGCGCATGACTCCCAGGTCGACCGCCACGGCCTTGAGTCCCCGCTTCCGCCGGTACGCCGCCAGCGCGTCCTGGTATGTGTTTCCAGCCGCATACGCCGCTTGGCCCGGGTTGCCCACGACACCCGACACGGATGAGCATAGCACGAAGAAGTCAAGGGGGCGGTCCGCGCCAAAGTACTCGTGAAGGTTACGCGATCCGGCTACCTTGGGGCGAAGCGGCTGCGTCCACTGTGTGTGTTCCATCTTCTCGAACACCACGTCACGCAGCACCATGGCTAGCTGCACGACGCCGCGGACAGGGGGCATCTCGCGCTCGCACGCCGTCATGGCTACCTGCAGTGATGTCGCATCGGCTGCGTCGGCCGCGTAGGCCCGCGCCGTAACACCCCAACCCGCGGCCAGCTCGGCCAGCAGGGTACGGGCTTCGGCCGAGGCATCTCCTGAGCGTGAAAGGAACGCAATGTGCCGGGCACCCGCGGCGGCGAAGTTCCGTGCCAGACTGCGGCCCAGGCCACCCATGCCGCCGACTAGGAGATAGGTGACGTTCGGGTCGAGACGGAACAGATCGGCAGCGCGCTGGAACACGGGGGCGCGCGTATCTTCGTCGGACTCGCCCAGCGTGTTGAAGGTGATGACGGCCTTGCCGGTGTGCTTACCCTGCTGCATCACGCGGAAGACCTCCTCAACCTGGCCGGGACGGTACGCCTTCAGGGGATAAGCAGGCGAGAGATGGCCCTGTTCAACGAGGCTGTACACCTCACCGAGGACGGAACCGAGGTCTTGGACGGGGTAATTAAGGATATCGCAGAAGGCAAAAGTCGCGTTCTTGACAAATGGTCGCATATCAAGGGGTGAGTTATTGGTGATATCACGTAGGCCAATCTCGACAAAGGTGCCAAATGGCGCCAGGCAAGCCGAGTCCCATGAAGCGCGCAGCAGCTCGTCGGCGAGCGAGTTGAGGATACAGTCGACGCCGCGGCCCTTTGTGATGCGCTCGACGCTCTTGACGAAGCTGAGGTCACGAGAGTAGAAGATGTGCGCCTCGGGAATTTCGAAGCGTTCCCTCATTAGCTGTCGTTTACTCTCGGAGCCCACGGTCACGTAGATGACCAGACCCAGGTACTTGGCCAGCTGGATTGCGGCCTGTCCGACACCGCCGGCCGCGGCATGAATCAGAACCGACTGCCCCTGACGCAGCTTGGCAAGTCGAACGAGCGCGTAGTACGCCGTGACGTGCACCAGGTTGATGGCGGCACCCTATTCGAACGTGATGGAGTCGGGCAATTTGTGGACGACGGCGTGGTGGGTGCGGACAGTCGTGGCGTGGCTTCCATATGCGTGGGCGGCAACACGGTCGCCGGCTTTGACGTTAGTGACTGCGGCGCCGGTCCGGACCACGATGCCGCTGGCTTCCAGACCTAGCATCGGCACCGGGACCAGGCCCATGGCGCCCATGATGTCCTTGAAGTTGATGCTCGAGGCATGGACGCGGATCTCGACGTCCGTGTCGGCGAGTGGCTCGAGTATCCGCTCATCCTTGACAAAGTGCAGCGTGTCCAGCAGTCCGGGACGACCGATGGCCAGGCGGACGGGTGACTTCTCCTGAGATAGGGGCACGATGCGCGTCGCATCCTTGAGGTGGCGGGCGATACGCCGTTCGCCCGCCGAACTCTTGTACACGCGAGACGTCTGTAGCAGGCCCTGGACCTCGCGGAACTCGTTGTCCGGGGTGTTGCTCGCGAGGATCCGACCGGCAAGGGATGGGCCGTGGGCCGGGCTGCTGAGATGGAGCGTTTGGAATTGCAGGCCGGCCGCCTCGTTAGAGATGGTTCGAGCGAGTCCGTCCACGACGTAGAAGGACGGGTCTTCGCCGCCGGTAATCCATAGGATCCGCTCGCTCTGCAAGATCAGGCTTCGGAGGGTATGGAAGTCACGCTCAGAAAGATCAGTTAGCATGGGCTGCTCGAACTCCAGCAGAGATACAACGATAGGAGAGGATTTGTCTCCTGACGTTGGACCAGTCACGCCGGATTCGGAGACGATTTCATCCCAGTCTTTGACCACGACGCTGTTTCCTTGAGAAACCAACTCGTCTTGCAGCGTCTTAGAGAAATCTTGGGTGATAGATGAGCATGTGGATGGCACGACGACAACAAATTCCTGGGCTGAAACTGTCTCGCCGTTCTGTTGTGCTGAATCTGGAGAGTATCTCAACACGGCTACGATCTCATCTTCCGCGCCACCTACAGAAACTGTCGACTTGACGCGCCAGCCGTTAGACTGGAGGAACGAGGCCGCTGCTGCGTAAGCCTGACGACCGCCGATGGAGAGGACGAGAGTTGCATCCGGCTTGGCCAAGCGAATAAATGAGTCCAGTACCGGGCTTTCACTGCCCACAATTTGCTGGAAGAGCGGCGGCGGAACGACCAAGAGATCCGCAGACACGGCTTCCTGGACGGCCCGTTGCAGCGGCAACGGCTCACCAAACAGGACGGCAGTCTCATCGGTATCGACACCAACATTTGAGAACGTGTCGTCCACCAGGGCGTAGCGGACATTAGACGGCGGTACCGCACCTTGCGGTAGCAGCTCGGAGTTGCCAAGGAGGCCGTTTACAATAGACTGGCCCTGGCGCAGAGCCTTGTGGTTCTGTACCAGCTCGACGACCGCAGCCGAAGGCTTCTCGTGGAGCAACATGGTAATCAGCTTAGCCATGCCATCCTCGGCCGGGGTCTGCGGTGCCACCACCTTGGCAATATCTGCGTCATCCAGCAAACCCACGGAATAGTCCCATCGCACCTCAGCCGTGACGGAAGCGCCGGGCCCGTCGAGAACGGTATCGGCGTCGGCGCTGCCCTCCTGTTCGTCCTGACTGCCGCCTCCCGCAGAGTCAAGTTCTAAGATGCGGAAGTCCTAGATCGAGATGTACATTTTGTCGAGCGCCGGGTCGAACAGGAACATGTCGTTAGTCTGCTCGTGGAACCCATGGCGCTTGTTAGTGCTGAAACCAGCCATGATGTCGTCTGGAGCACCGGGCACGTCCATCCGGATCTCCATGGAACCCAGGCGCGTGGGTGCGAACGGCTTCAGGCCCAACTTGCCGTTGCGGTACGTGGCACCCACCCAGCACTGGAAGATGGCATCGAGCGTTGCTGCGTGGATCAGGAACGGCCGCGTGCTGCTGTCGGGCCCGGCTTGCCCCTGACTAAACGTCTTGCCGATGTCGGTGACGCGCAGCCGGAAGTGCGTCTTGCCAGGTCCAACAACCAGGTCCTCGACACCCTGGAACAACTCGCCGTACTTGAAGCCAGTACCCTTTGCGATCTGCGCGTAAAAGTCGTCCTTTGCAACAGTCTCATGGAGCTCCTCAACAGCTTCCCGATACTGTGCTGCCCTCTGCTCGACCACATACGCCTCCTCGCGCACCATATGCTCACTCTTTCCAGCCGCGTAGTCGATGGCGATGAGTCCGCGGCAGTTATCCCGCAACTGGCTGGAGCTAGTGTTGGCCGACGACAAGGTGAACTCCCACCAGGGTCCCTGGCCAGATCCTGCCCGGGCGATGGTGACGACGGCCTCAGTGGCTACGCCCTCGAGAATCGACAGGGCGGCCATGACGGACACATCGCGTAGCCGCAGAGCTTGAATAGTCTTGCCCGGCTCCGCCAGTTGCTGCACCGCCTCGAGAACCATGCTGATCATGCCGGCCGCAGGAAAGACGACTGTATCGCCCACAGTATGCCCACGCAGCCACGGCTCGTCGTCCAGCCGGATGAAGCCGCGCCATACGTGCTGCTTCTCCTGCATTACCGGGGTCGGAGCCCCCAGAAGGCCCTTGGCTGGCTGGTCTCGGAACCATCGCTCCCTCTGAACTCTTGGATAGGCGTTGTATTTGTTATCGTGCATCCAGGGGTACGGGGGCAGGTCCGTCAGCAGGTCAACGTCCGACAACAGATCGCCGTTGACCTTGGTCAGGTCCAGCGGGATACCCTGGTGGAACAGCTCTTGTGCCAGTCGCAAGCTCGTCTCGGCTGCATCAGCGCCACGTCGGAGGACGGCCTGGTATGCGACATTTTTCACTCCGTGATGCGACAGGATCTGCTCGATGGGTCCTCCCAGGGTACTATGCGGTCCGATCTCGATGAGCAGATCGATCTCGGGCTCAGTTTTGCCCTCCGGCTGAACGAGCTTCTTCAGGGCGTCGGAGAAGAGCACAGGCGACAGGAAGTTCTGCAGCCAGTAGAAGGGACCCAGCTGCTCGGAGGTCACTTCATCGCCCATCACGCTCGAGATCATACGGGGAGCGCCATCATCTGCAGAAACATCCACAGGCTCGAAGCCTCCCATAGCCTGGTAGTATTCATCAGAAACGACCGCCACATGAGCCGAGTGGTAAGCCACCTGGACCTTGAGGCGTCGGCAAAAGGTCTTTTGCTCTTCCAGCGCAGCCGCCATGGAGTCGATCGCCGTCGAGTCTCCGGAGAGGGTGATGCTGGAGGGGGAATTGACGCAGCCGACGCCGACTTGCCCATCTAGCCCCAGCTTCTCGATGAGCTCCTCGGCCGTCTCACGGGAGCATCCAGCAGCCATCATGGCGCCGTTCAAATGGGGAGCCACCTTCGGCAACATGGCTGACGCCGTGCCGCGCGAGTAGGCCACCACGAGAGCGTCCCGGTGCGTCAGGGCTCCCATGCAGTACGCCGCCGCGATCTCACCGCTGGAGTGACCGACGACCTTGGCCGGCTTGCTGAGGACCGGAGAGCCCCACGACCGGATCTCGTCGATGAGAGCGATCTGTAGGACACTACAGATGGGTTGGCTGAGCTCAGGCTGGCTTAGCCGGGACTCCTTGCCCATCTTGGACAGCTCGGCCACGGGATCCCAGGGGCAGCCGAGACTCTTGAGAATGGCGGCTGACCGGGTGACTGAATCCCGGAACACGGGCCGCGCAAGAAGCTCGATGCCCATGCCAGGCCACTGCGCACCCTGGCCTGTAAAGACAAAGCCGACGCGGGGTTGTGTTGCTTCAGAAGAAGCGCGTGAGATCTTCCACGCCTCCTCGGAGGGTGCGGCTGCGAGCTGAGTCTCCAGCTGTGACAGGCTGCTCGCCACGCAGCTGGCTTTCCATCCCAGACTGGAGCGGGCGATGCTAAGCGTGTGCGCGAGGTGAGCCAGGTACTCGGGCTCGCCCTTCTCAGGGGTCCAAGTCGGGTTTTCACGCTGGACGTTGCGAAGGTGTTGTACAAGTGAATCCGACACACGCTTGATCCCTGCTTGATCATGACTGCTAATGACGAATAGCCTCTTCTTGTCGACAACATTCTTAGGGGTATCATGATTGCTGTGTCCGTTGGTCAATAGTTTCTGTGGTTGTTTGTATTCCTCGAGGACGACATGGGCATTAGTGCCGCCCATGCCGAAACTGCTGACGCTCATGCGCTTAGTCTCAGCCGCAGGCCAAGGCGTCAGCGACGTCGGGACCACCATGTTCCACTTGTCAAAGGGAATGCGAGGGTTGGCCTTGTGGAAGTGGACGTTGGGCGGAATCATGCCGTGCTCCAGCGCCATCACGCCCTTGATGAAGCCCGCCACACCCGCTGCGGGCTCGAGATGGCCGATGTTGGCTTTGACACTGCCTACATATAGCTTGCGAGACTCGCTCGCATTCTGGCCGATCGTTTCGTGTATCGCGCCCAACTCGATAGGGTCTCCGACTTTGGTACCCGTACCGTGAGCTTCGACGTACTGAGTCGCGTCATAGTCAAGTCCGTTGGACTCGTATACCATTCGAATCAGCTCCGCCTGTGCCGAGGCGGATGGCGTCGAGATAGTTTTGGTCCAACCGTCCGAGTTGACGCCACTCCCGCGGATGACGGCACGGATGTGGTCTCCGTCACGAACGGCCTGGTCCAGCGGCTTGAGGACGACAATACCGCAACCCTCAGCACGTGCGTAACCGTTCGCTCCCTCGTCAAAAGAGAGCGATCGTCCGTCTGGGTTGAGCACACCCAAACTGTTGAGCTCCATTGTTGCCTCGGGTCCTAGGATCATGTTGATTCCGCCTGCGACAGCCATCTAATACGAACGTACATTGTTAGCAATAGACAACTATGTGATAGGGTTCAAGTTCAGGGGATCTTATATTAACGATCAGATACATACCTCTGCCTGGCCAGACCGCAGACTCTCGCAAGCCTGGTGAATAGCCACAAGACTAGACGAGCAGGCCGTCTCGACCGTCAGACTGGGGCCGCGCAGGTCGAAAAAGTGCGACAAACGGTTGCTGACCATCTCGTCGCTGACGCCCATCAGGTAGAGCCGCGGCCACTGCTCAAAGTCGCGCACGAGGGCGTCGCGGTAGTCGCTCCAAGCCGTACCAATGACACAAGCGGTGCGCGTGCCCGCAACCTTGGGCAGCGGCAGTCCAGCATTCTCGAGGGCCTCATACGTCACCTCGAGCAATATGCGCTGCTTGGGGTCCAGGATGGCCGCCTCGGCCGCAGTGAACTTGAAAAAGGACGAGTCGAACGCGTAGGGATCGTTCTTGATAAAGTGTCCGCCTTTTGTAGGCAGCACATTTTGCCGGTCCTTGGGGTTGGCATGGTAAAAGGCCGATGTGTTGTAGCGGTCCGTATCAGCTGAGTAGGCATCTACATTCGAATCGTGTCAGTTATCCATCTGCTGGCTGCTTCGGGATTTTGCGTCACAGGGTTAGGGTTCTATTACTCACCTCTCCCCTCTTTCATGAGGTTCCAGAACTCGGTAGGGCATGTAGCATCACCGGGAAGACGACAGGCCAGCCCAACAACAGCGATGGGAGAGTTTTCCCGACGGACATTAGAAGAACCCATTTTGGCAATGGGAACTAGGAGGAATCAACAGTGCTCTGGTTTGTTGAGGCTACAAAGACTGCAACGCTCGGCTGATCGTGAGGGTCGAGGGCATCCCTTATCACGCAAACCAGGACTGCAGTCTAAGGCCCATCTTTGACTACTATGCTATGGGGATCGGCTGGCCCGAGTAGGTGAAATCGAGCCATCTCGGCATTTGATGCCATACCCTGCGACTAAAGCTTTGCGTAGCAAAGCAAGAGGGTCCGTACTAGTTCTGTGTTGTTCAGGATCCTACTTTGCAGTCCCCCCTGTTTTCCACGATTTATTACTAACCCGGACCCAACTCCGATCCACGGGTTTCTGAGAATATTCTTCCCCTGAGGCTCCTCGGCTGACATTGCCATCTAAATTGAAGACGATCTAGATGGGCAGAAAAGCTGCCGTTTTGGGGGTGATCAACCACCGCAGTTTCTAGGGTACCCTGGATCGTCGTCTTTACGATACTTTAATTACTCGATTTAGTTCGATTTAGTAAGTCAACCCTACTACGTATAAAACTGCCTGTATAGTATTGCAGCAAGATATTTTAAGTGGAACTGTTGTGTCTTATCAATGTTACTTCCATTCTCAATCTCTTCTAGCAATTAGCAGCTCAAAGCCCCGCGTGTAGATTTGGGCAACTGTATTCAAAGGATAAGAAGAATAAAATTGAACTCTTTTCATTAAGCTTAAAACAGAATTCAAAAGCTAGCCAGGTCACCGCCACCGTTTAAGCTCCCAAGTCTCGTAGGCTCGACCGTCTGTCAGCAACATACATAAGGTTTAGGGATGTTGAGACCGAGACCGACAGAAGCTAGTGATCGACCTTTCTACGAGTCAAAATTCAGTTTCGTGATCGGCAATGTGTTGTGGGGTATTTCGAAGAGACGATAAGTTGCAGCAACATTTGCGCGAACGTTTGCGCGCCTGACTCGATCCAAGTCTCTAGGGGCTCGTATCGTAATCTACCGCGACTATGCCTGCGACGATGCCGTGGTGATGATACGCCGTGAGGGACATTGACATGTGGGCCCTATCACGCCTGAGCTAATACAATGTAAGCCATGGTTGCATGCTCAACTCGGTGCCTCTAAATGGATGGATCGTTGAGCGCTGCGTCTTGTCCAGGGGTTTAGAAGAACTAACACGCCCGCGTCTCCAACAACAAAACCTCAGCAGCAAGATCGTTGCAGTGTCTTGCAGAGGTTTCCAACACATACCCAAGCAAACAATGACGGTGGTGACAACAACTCCGAAGGTCCTCCTCTTCGGGGGCTACACGGAGCCATGGCTCGAATCGATAGACCACATCCACGAGCAGGCCGGCTCATGTGCCTGGCTGCGACTCTTCCTGGATGATGTCGCGTCGGTCGTACGGGAGGAGACGCGATGTATGCACCCCAAGATCCGGAATAGCCTGGGCCCAAGTGGCATCTTCTCAAGTGTTCAAGAGGTTGCCGACCTGTACCGGGACCACGACGATGATGTCGGGTTCGTGCAATGTATAATGTCTTATATCGTCCGAGCCGTCATTCTTTTAAGGTGTGTATGATACGACTCAGATTGGGATACAAGAACAAATATGATCATAAGTTGCTAATCTGGAAGTTAGATGGGTTCACGACTCGCCAGACGTCTTAAAAACCAGTCCCAGGCCCGAAGGACTAGGCATCTCGGGAGGACTCATCAACGCCGCCGTCTTGGCAATTTCCAACGATTTTGAGTCGCTCCGCCAGGCCAGCGTCGTAACCGCCGGGTTTGTATGCCGGTTGTGCGAAGTTGCCGGGCAAGTCTCGCGGGCTGTGGAAGATGGTGGCAGCAGTAGCAACATCAACTCTTCATGGGGGTGCGCCGTCGTGGGCGTCACCCCTGAGAAGCTGGATGGCATCTTGAACCAGATCCAGGAGAGCATGAAAGTTCCCAGCCTGAAGAGGGCGCGGGTGGGCATCAGAGGTGATCACTGGGGCACCGTCGTTGGGCCTCCCTCGGTGCTCGATGCGTGCTTAGAACATGCTGCCATGGACGAGCTCTCTAAACAAAGACTTCCCATTTACTCAATGCAGCACAACTATGAGCTTTCAAAGTCGCATCGCGAGTACATTGCCGGATGTTCTGCCCTCCACTCAAGGTCTGTCTTCCCGGGATTCCGACTCTGGGGGTTGCAGACCTATCAAGACGATGATGCTCTTCCGAGCTATGCCGACTGGGCCCAATTGCTCTTGAGCGTGGTAGACTATGCTTTCTCGAGACCGGTGGATCTGGTTGACATGATTAAGAGGCTCAACACCCGCCTCGGCGCAGATTCTTCTCAAGTTGTCGAACTCTCAGTCATGGGTCCAACTTGGTTCGTTGGCTCGCTCACCAGCAAGCTCAAAGCTACAGGGAGAAGGGTTTCAGTCGTCCAACACACCGTACTTGGGAACGATACCCATAAGCCTCAAACAGCCGAAGCTGTAGACAACTACGAGGGGCGTATCGCCGTGGTGGGCATGGCTGGACGGGCCCCCGAATGCGATGACCTGGAGCAATACTGGAACATCATAGAAACAGGCCGCGATGTTGCTCGTGAAATCCCTCCGGGTCGATTTGACGCCGACGACCTGTTCCAATCCAAGCAGAGTTCCGAATGCGTATCTACATGCAAGCTCGGCTGCTTCCTCGAGAACCCGGGCCACTACGACGCGCGCTTCTTCCGCGTCTCGCCGCGCGAAGCCCTAATCATGGACCCAGGCAGCCGGCTGTTTCAGATGGCGTGCCATGAGGCGCTTGAATCGGCTGGCTACTCATGTGGCATGACCCGCGCCGTAGATCCAGCCCGCATCGCCGTCCTCTTCGGTCAGAGCAATGTGGACGGATATGAGACGGCTCACCATGAGAAAGGCTGCGATGCCTACACACTGCAGGCCCTCGCGCGACCCTTTGCTGGCGGCCGCGTGGCCTTCCACTACGGCTGGGAGGGGGCAACCTACTCCGTCGACCAAGCCTGCTCGACCTCGCTGTCGCTCATCCATCTGGCATGCAGGGGCCTGTTGACGGGCGACCATGACATGGTGGTCGCCGGTGCTGCCAACGTACTGGCTTCACCACATGGTTGGTGCCTCTTGAGCAAGGCTGGCGTGTTGTCAGACACAGGCAATTGTCGAACCTTTCGTGATGACGCAGAAGGGTACTGCCGCGGCGAGTTCGTCGGCGTAGTTGTGCTGAAGCGCCTCGCCGATGCCGTCGCCCACAACGACCGCATCTTGGCCGTCATCCCCGGGTCGGCGCGCAACCAAGCCGGCAACTCAAATTTCCTCACCCAATCTGATTCCGGTGCTGAGGAGCGCGTACTCCGCCAGGCGCTACGGCAGTCCCGACTTGGCCCGCGGGACATTGCGTACGCCGAGATGCACGGCACCGCGACGCCCATAGGCGACCCCTGCGAGATGACGGCCGTCGCCAACGTGCTAGGCCGCAGGTCACAGGCCGGTGGCAAGGGCGGAGACGATGAGCCCTTGACAGTTGGGTCTGTAAAGGCAAACATTGGACACAGTGGAGCATCGTCTGGTGTAGCGTCCGTCATCAAGTCCATCCTCATGTTCCAGAAACAGATGCTGCCACCTCAGGTCGGCATGCCACACGCCCTCAATAAGCAGTTCCCGCCTCTGGATGACAATAAGATACGGATCTTGAGCAAGACTGCCCCCTTTAATTCTGTAAACGGGAAGCCAAGGCGTGTTCTGATCAACAACTTTGACGCTGCGGGAGGGAACACGGCCTTGGTGATGGAAGACTTCCAGATGAAGAACAACAAGTCTGCAGGTCCTGATGCTGATCCGCGAGCAGCACACGTTGTCGTGCTATCAGCCCACACAGCCGCATCGCATCAGACAAATAAGTCCAGGCTGGCCAAATGGCTCGCCGCGAACCCTGACACTCGTCTTGAGGATGTCGCATATACAACCACGGCACGCAGGGTACATCAGTCCTCGTTCCGGTTCGCCTGCGCCGCCTCCTCGACCAACGAACTCATTCGGGCGCTCGAGTCCGATTCAAAGCCCACGACAACCAAGAAATCTCCCATCATATTCGTCTTCACCGGCCAGGGCTCGCACTACGCCGGCATGGGCGCCGAGCTGTACCGCACCAACCCCGTCTTCCGGGACGCTGTGGACTTGTGCCAGCAGATCTGCCACGGGTTCGGGTTCCCCCCATTTTTGGACATCATCAACGGGTCCGGGGCCGGAAGTGGGCCATGGAACACGGCGCAGACGCAACTCGCCGTGCTGGCGCTGGAGATCGGCCTCGCCACATTCTGGCAGCGGCTGGGCGTAAAGCCGGATCTCGTGATGGGTCACTCACTAGGTGAATACGCGGCCTTGCATGTAGCCGGCGTGCTTTCTCTGGCCGACGCCCTCTATCTTGTCGGCTCACGCGCCGCGCTGGCTATGCAAAAGTGTAACAAGGCCCCCGGAGGCCCTTGCGCCATGCTCGCCGTAGCGGCGCCCGTGGCCGCTGTCCGCGATCTGTTGAGCAAGCTGGGCCTGGATGGCGGAAAGTGTTCGGTAGCGTGTATAAACAGCCCCGGAGCATCGGTCGTGAGCGGGACTGTCACCGCCGTGGCCCGGCTGCAGACGGAGCTTATCAAACAGAAGACGCGCTCCAAGATCCTCCCTCTGCCTTTTGGCTTCCATTCTTTCCAGGTCGACACCATCTTGGACGACTTTGTGGCTCTCGCGTCCGGCCCAGGCATCACTTACTCCTGGCCGCCTAGAGTTCCCGTAGCCTCGACACTGCTGGCCTCCATTGTCGATGCCAATACGGTTCCGGAAGTGGGCTTCATGTTTGGTGCAGAGTATCTTGCCAAGCAGGCTCGAAACCCCGTCGACTTTGTCGGCGCGCTTCATGCCGTTCGAGCCAAGTTCAAGGATAACAACCCAGTCTGGCTCGAGATCGGCCCGAGCCAGGTATGCGGTGCTTTTGTGCAGGAGACGCTCTCACCACCGGCCGGCCACGTTGTGTCAACGCTGGCGGGTGCCAACACGAATTCGTGGGTGGGCATCTCAGAGTGTCTGGCCAGCCTGTACGTCCACGGCTGCGACCCGGACTGGATGCTTCTACACGCACCATTTGAAAAGAATCTACAGCTTCTCACGTTGCCCTCGTATGCATGGGATACGAAAGACTTCTGGATTGCCTATCGTGAGAGAAAGCTACCAGCCAGCGACAATGTTGTTGGTAAGAGCACTCAGGGGCAGCAACCCATCATATCCACGTGCGCGCAGTACATCGTAGATAAGACCAGGGAAAAAGACGGTAAGACCCGTGTCACTGTCGGCGCTTCCATCGCATTGCCGGGACTCCTTGCCATGATCGAAGGTCACCGGATGCAGGGTGTCGGTCTCTGCCCCGGTTCGGTCTTTTGCGAGGCCGCACTCGTTGCAGCCAAGTGCGCACTTGAGCACAGCGGTCGGAAGATGGATGACCACTTCAAGATAACGGAACACTTCAGTCTTCAGAAGGCTCAGTTGCGACGTCCGCTCACGGCCAATCTCGCCGGTCCGGAGGGCGAGCTTCACACCACTGCCGTCGTCGAGTCGGAAGGTGTCATTCAAGTCTCGTTCAAGGCACTGTCTCGATCGTCGTCTGCGGCAGCCCGCTCATTGGACCTGGGCCGCTGTGCCATCGTGGCCCATAATACTACAGACTCGGACTCTGAGTCGTTCTACATCAAGGCGAGGATGCTCGAGGTGCGGCGATCCTGCAGTAGTAGACTACCGGCGAGCATCTTCTACGCCTTGTTCTCGCGCGCGGTCCAGTACACGTCCGACAACTACCGGTGCATCCGCGAGGTGTTTATCTCGGACGACTTTGCCGAGGCGGTCGCCGAGGTGGTGCCGGTCCGCGACCCCGCCGATGTACGGTCCGTAGCGGGCTCCCCTTATTGTGGTGAGGCATTGGCGCATCTCGCTGGCTTCCTGGTCAATTGCCATCCAAGCCGTTTCTCGTCCGAATCCGCGCCGGCGAGCACGAGCTACATCATGGACAGCCTGGAGAAGCTCGAGCAGATGGCAGACATTGAGCCGGGGCGATCGTACTTTACGTACGCGCGCGTTGCTGAGAGGAAGGTCGACTCTGCAGTCTGTGAGGTTGTCGTCTTTGACGATGCCAACAGGCTGGTCATGCGGACCTGGCAGATGAGGTTCCATGAGGTGCCGAATGCCGTTCTGCAGAACTTACTTCCTGGAGGTGACAGACAGGAGTCAGTGAGCAGTGGAGGCAACTTGAAGGTGCAGTCTCCTATGGCAGAGGTCTCGAACATGACGGTGCTTTTGACGAACAAAGAGGCGAGAGCCAAACAGTCCCCAGTGTCACTAGAAGAAAAGCACGACCTCGAGGATGATGGCCACCAACAGCCCCCTAGCCAGGCCAAGCCCGGTTTGCTTCCGGTCATCCTCGAGTGCATTGCCGAAGAGACAGGCTTGGACACGACAGAGCTGACGGACGATGCCGCGCTGGCGGACCTGGGGGTTGACTCCATCATGGCTGTGGAGATTTGTACTCGCGTCAAGGACAAATCCGGGTATCCTCTGTCTCCATTGTTCATGGTAGAGTATCCAACCATAGGTGACCTTGTCCGCTCTTTTGGTGCACCCCAGCAAGACAAAAAGAAACTGGAAGAAGAGCAAGTTCAGGAGCAAGCTGAATGTCACAAGCAAGAGAAAGAACACGAGCAAGAGCAACAGCAGGAAAACACGACATCCACGTCCTCTGTTGAACCTGGAAGCACACCACTGGCCGAGCTAACGCCAGACTCGTCTTCGTCATCGTCAGTAGCCGATGACACGGCCCCCAGCAATGAACCTCCTCCAAAAGCCCGAATCACGCTCCTCCAAGGCCGTCCAAAGGCCGGCAAGGGGCGCTTGTACATGGTCTGCGATGGCTGTGGTACAATATCCACCTATATTCACCTCCTCCGGCGCCAATTCCCTCTGCCCGTTTACGGAATCGAATCTCCCTTCCTACACTGCCCATCTCGGCTGACGACGCAGGTCGGCATTCCCGGCGTGGCCAAGATCATGGTGGAGGCTCTCGTAGAGGCCCAGCCCAACGCCGGCCTGTCCGAGGCCGACGAGGACTCCATCGTCATCAGCGGCTACTCCGGCGGCGCTCTGTTCTGCTATGAAATGTGCCGCCAGCTGTGCGCTCAAGGACGGCGCGTGGCCGGCCTCGTCGTGTTAGACATGCGCTCTCCTCTCCCTCTGCCAGCATCAGCAACAGCAGCATCGTCGGAGGAGGAAACTTGGCCCATCTTCCTCACCACCTCGGAAGACCACGTGTTCGGCAAGAATCAAGAATCCAACACGATGAAGCATCTACGCATCATGTTCAAGTGCGTCATCGACTACCACCCGCCGCGCCTGACGGAGGCCGGCCCCGCTCTCCGCATTCCCACTGCTGTCGTCTGGTGCTCCCGGGGAATGGTGGGCCGGCTGCGGCAGCGACGGCCCGATCTCGTCGCCAAGCTTGTTGAGATGGGATACCCTGCCGAGCCGTACCCTGGTTACATGGAGAATCCCAAACTGGGCGCCATGGCCTGGAGCCTGCCCGACAAAAAGACAGAAACGGACCTGGGCCCCGGCGGCTGGGAGAAGTATGCGGGTGCTGGAGAAGCTAACGAGGCGGGCAAGAATCTAGTGTGCTTGGCTGTCGATGCAGATCACCATGACGCTCTCAAACCCGGGGTGGCATCTCGTCTTGCAGAGTGTCTTGACCAGGGTGTGAAGTTTGTGCTTGGAAAGAAGAGTTCTTGATTTACGATAGTAATGAGGAGGATTTTATATAATAGTGTATTTAACTCATGTCGGAAAGCAGTATTCCCTTTCCCTTGGAATATTTGTGACAGTCTCGGTGTGTATTTGTCGGGGTTAGGGTTTGCGCTTTTTCTTAGACTTTTCTACGTCCTATAACCTGCCAACAAGCAAGATGAGCAATGAAATAACAATTGTTGTGAGAATCAAAGGGTCTCAAGTCATGAATGTTATGAGAACTGAATTTCTTCTGAAAGTCGAGCAGAAACCTTCGCGTAATAATCATCAGACGAAGCTTAGCTATAGGGCCGCTACACTGATACATTTCATCTCACCAAAGTAACTTTCCGAATCCCAGTTCCCCATTTTCCACTTTGCTCAACAATGTCAGCCCCAGCCTCCACGCACACCAGGTGCCAGCAATGGCACCGCCGAGGAGGATTCCCCATGCCACCGAGCCGGCCGCAACCACGACCCGGCGGACCATCTTGACGTCCTCGGGCTTGTTGTTATGCGGAAACGGCTGCGAGGGCACTGGCAGCTTGAGCATCTCACACAGAGGACCCCAGCCGTCGCGAACCCGGTAGAAGAATAGCCGTTCCGGGGGCACCACCCGGCGCAGGTAAGCCTCGTGCTTCTCGAGTACCTCGGGGCCCTGGAAGCCCTTGACGCCTAGGCGTGAGATGCACGTCTTCTCAACGAGAGGGCCCCATCTTATATGATGGTCAGCAATATTCTTCATCTGACCGAAACGGCATTTGCAAGCGGTACTGGTAAGATTACTAGTAAGAGGACGGGCACATACTTGACGAACGAGTTCAGCACTGGCAGCGGCCGGGCAAAGAAAGGCAGCCATGGCCAGTCGACGAGGCTGGAGACCGTCTGCGCGCTCTTCCACCAGGACTCGGTGTCTCTGGTCGTTGCGATGACTGTTGAAGTACAGTACGGTATAAGTATTTAGTCTGTTGGTGTACCAACGCTGTAGATCAAAGAAACTAAGACTCACCGATGGCATCCGGATATAGCTCAAGCAGCTCCGGTACCAGCCAGATACACGGAGCGTCAACCGTCTATCCATAGCAAAATCAGCGGAAAATCTTCAGAAGGGCAACTCAAGGTAATACCCCAGAATATCCCTCCATGAGTTCGGCCAAAAGCCACTCTAAGCGCTTCTTCTCGGGAAGGGTCTTGTCCTCCTTGGCCGCCAGCTGCATGACCTCAAGCCACCGCTTCCGCACCTCTGGGGTCCCTACAAGCCCCTCGGCGCCGCCATCATGAACGGGTCCGATGAGCGTCGTCAAGGCCTGTGCAAAGGTCTTGGTGCCAGTTCGAGACCTGCATTATCACCACGTTCGCAGTTCAGCTTTTGTCACGATGTGTTTTTGGGTTCATGGTAATACCTACATGCCGGCACCAATGACACGGAACTTTGTGCCCGGTTGGGGGCTCGAGTGTCCTTGGCCCATTTTATCGTGAGGTGCGCCGATGCAAACTGAATCCGATTACAAGTACAGCACTCGCTGGTAACAATCACCAAAACACAAGACGTACGCCTCGATCAAGGTTGATTTCTTTGTACTTTTCTCTCAGTCGTCCAAGTGAACAAGACCCAGGGCACGTGCATCCAAAGCATTGCTACACGGCGAGCCTCTTGTAAGTCATTGCAGATCAGCCAGGGGGCTTGACGCACCACTAGCTACACGACTCAGAACCCTCATTTGCACTCTGATGATCACTACCATCCACTAACACGTAGATGCTGGTAAAGTAGCAATGCGCGGGAGCACAATGCCGGAAGGTTTGTTGGAGCGAAAAATAAGCCGACTAGAGATCTGCAGCCAGCAACCTAATATAGGCCTGTAGAACAGATATTAGCTCCTCCGGCATAAGAGCGTCAAAGTAACACTTCTTTGACTAGATTGCCCGCAACCTCATATACGTCGCGCACGCAACTCAACCCAACTCTTTCATCATCAGACTGCCGCTATACCGTCGAACCAAGTGACTGCTGCGACCCAGTTCCAGAATGGCTTCCTCTACCCTTCCCACGGACCAGGGAGGAGCCGCAACTGCAAGCGGCAACATGATGTCCGAAATGGAGTCGGCATTTAAGTCGAGCGTAGAGTCAGGCCAGATTCCGGGTGCCGTAGTAATGGCGAAAGATGTGACTGGTATGCTCTCCATACCTACCATCGGACCAAACTAAACTCCTGGTGAACGGTTGTGACGATGACAAGCTAGCTGACCACCGGCGCTAGGGAAAATCAACTACACACGTAGTTTCGGAGCTAGGTCCGTCCGGCCGGATGAGAACGGAGCGCTGCCCCCGATGGAAGCAGACACGATCATGAGGATGGGCCAGGCGAGCGTGCTCATCGGGACAATCATGGCGCTGCAATGTGTGGAGCGAGGTCTCATTGGCTTGGACGAGAGCGTGGAACGGTATCTTCCCGACCTGACCAGCATGAAGGTCCTGGCAGGCTTTGATGCCGACGGAAAGCCCATCATGAGAGAGCGTAAGGGGGATATCACCCTTAGGTTGGTCACCAATCGCATGCAACCCGACATTGCTGATACTCGTTTTACCCGATCATTGTTAATTCTTGCAAAAGACACATGCTCACCGACACCTCGGGTATCTCTCACGTCCCCATCAACCCCCTCCTGCAGCAGTATTGCGCCAAAGGGTACTCGACGTACCCCTTACCCATAGGCGGCGAGACCGACATCCCCGACCCGTTGGCCGCACCCCCGGTGGGCGACCCCGGCACCGAGTGGGTCCACGGCACCAACATAGACTGGGCCGGCAAGCTCGTCGAACGGGCGACAGGTACGGACCTGGAGAGCTACATGCAGCAAAACATCTGCGCGCCGCTGGGCATCGCCGACATCACGTTCAGGCTCCAGGAGCGCCCTGACCTGCTCGCGCGGCGGGCCGACCTGACGAAGCGCAACCGGGAGGACGGCACGCTGCACTACGACGACACCATCTTCTTCCGCAAGTACCCGACAGAGTGCTACGCCGGCTCGGGACTGTTCGCCAGCCCCGCCGCGTTCATGGCCGTCATGCACTCGCTGCTGAAGCGCGACGGCGTCCTCCTCAAGCCCGAGACGGTCGAACAGATGTTCCAGCCCGCGCTGGACGAGACGATGGAGCGCGGTATGAACGAGCACTTTAACAAGGTCATGCGGTGGATAAACTACGGGTATCCTTTGCCGCAGTGGCCCAGCCTGCGCCGCAACTATGGGTTCGGGGCGATTGTGATTATGCAGGATCTGGACGGCGACAAGTGGCGCCGCAAGGGGTCCATGTCGATCAACTGCGGGTGGAACGTTGGCTTGGTAAGTGTTTCTTCCTCTTTGCCGTGACGATGACCAGTGATACTGACGTCGTATTCTCCACGGAACAGCAAATCGACCCTGCGGCGGGACTGTGCACTATGGTGGCATTCCAGACTTCGCCATACAGTACCCCTATCGAGGAGGGTCTTGTCCACACGTTTGAGAAGGCCGTGTACTCGTTGCTGTGACCGGTTAGTCTGTGACTAGTAGAGACTGGATGTTAAGACAACTTGGTTCAAATCTATTGTTGCCCAAGTACTTGTTACTTTTCCTAGGGGCGGTCCCGAATATTCATATTCCAGAGATAAGAGTGAATTGTCCGTCAGGAGGCCTTTGGCTGTGCATCCCTTTTGTAGCTTGTCATATAGAAAAGTCGTTTTTGCTGACCAGTTTTGACGCCATGGTCCATTATGGACATAAAAGAAGATGAAGAAGCCGTAGTAGACGACTTTTGGATATATCACCATCGAGATGGAGAGCGGCATAACGACTATGCTTCTACATGGGTTGGTTGGTCCCCCATCATGCAGATTACACAGGCGGTTAGGGGGTGATGTTTATTCTCGATTTTCGGCACTTTCGTCGGGGACTTTTCTTCCTAAATTTACAGCAAAAGCCATTCAACTTTATGAAAGATGAAATTTGAGAATGTTCAACACATTTATAGGGCAACGAAGCATGAAAGAAAGTAGCTTGAGGAGCAGGATGGTACTCAAACATGGGCACGTTGCATGACGGCTGCATGGAAAGCAAATAAATAACGAACACGATATATCGATGAGAGCCTCAACACCGCTAGAGTTGTGATTGGTAGACGACCTACACTTAACTCGGCTTGAAGCATTCGGGCATCCCTTGTGACTGATGTGAGGCCTGTAGCAGAGACTGTACAAGTTGGTATGGCAACTAGTAAAGAGACACGTGCAAAAGTAGTCGATAAGTTTTATTAATCAGCAGCTGACACAGTGCCTTTGTTACTTACGTACAATGTAAATTGCTGTCTAACCCCTGCACTTATACAGCCCTTGATCACCGCCTCAGGGCTTGGCAACGCCACCAAGTCTAACCATTGTAAATCAACTGATTGCCGGGCTGCCCGCCGCTTGCAGTGAGCTGAACAGTTGCCAAAGTATTAAAACGCCGAGGCATATTCGAGTGACTGCTTCACATGGCCGTAACGTGAATTTACACCTGTTCACATTGGTTCGTCAAGCAATCCGAATCGTCTGTAGTCCGTAAGGCTGAATCGGTGTGGCGACGTATGTCAAGGTCAGGCATGAGACAAGAGTTTAACGCCTAGGGCAGTATACTGCGCGTCTCAGATTTATACACGACTGTGAAGTGCAAAATGTTTGGGAAGGGTGTCGCGGGTTGTCGCGACATCCACTTGGTCCATTTTCTCTAAACCAAAATTGATGATGCTTTCCTTAATTCCCACTCTCGTAGTTGCTGCAATATGAAGGAGCTACGTTCGATGTAACTAAAGTGTGATACTGAGTTGATAACCGGCGTACCACTTTTAGCAACTTAAAGTCACTGTAAGTTGGCAGACATAATGATAATACGTAGAATAAGACGTTGTATAAAACAGAATACTCTACAAGTGGTAAATTGGTTTCCCAACCATGAAGACATGACAAACTTACTCTCACACCACTTATTTAATGATAAGTAAAATTTCTAATTGTAACAAGATCACCGACTGCGTAGGCCTTAGCCTCAGTCTGTTCTACAACCACATCCACCAAACCGCAATGTGAGTAACACACTTCAAACACTAATTCACGAGGGTATCACAAGTCTCCAAACAAGACGCTACGACATGCTCTATTCCACCCCATCCCGCCCAAGCGGCATCTAGTCCGCCTTGGCCCTCCTCTTCTTCTCCCTCCTCCTCTTCCGTCTCTTCCTGTCGGCGCTGATCCTCCTCCGCTGGGTAAACGTGTCGAACCAGGCAAAGATCCAAGTCCTCATCATGATGAGGATGGTGGCGACTACGACGGGGACGGCGATTTGCCAGCTGCGATTTAGTTAGCATATCTTTTCTTTTCTTTCGTTTTGGTATCGGAAAAAGCGATAACGCCGCTTCTCAAAGGGAACTCACAAAAACAGAATACCCTGTGGCTTCTTAATATCCTCGAATTCCTCAAAGTTCTGCCCAAAATACCCGGTCAAGAAAGTCAACGGCAAAAAGATAATGGTAATGATGGTCAACTGCTTCATGCTCTCGTTCTGGTTGGCCGAGATGGTATTAAAGATGAGGTCGATGAGGTTGTCGGCGGAGCGCTTGATCTGCTGCATGGCCTCAGTGGTGATGACGCAGTGATCGAGCACGTCGCCGAGGTAGGTATGGGTCATTGGGGTGACGATGACGCCGCTCGCCGGGTTCTGCAGCTCCCTGGCGGCGGCCTCCTGGCTCAGCTCGGTGCGGTGGTCGCGGAGGACGTTGACGAGGTTGTCGATGGGGTTGAGGAAGGTCAGCATCTTGTTGATTTCCGAGACGCAAATGTAGAGGCTACGGGTCTGCTTAATGCTCGGGCTCGTGAGAACGTCGAGCTCCAGGTCGCCAATGACGTCGCTGTAGACCGCCGTCAGAGGGATTGCGAGATCGATAATGGCGTCAATGATGGCTTGCACGACAAGTGAGGCGTCGCAGGACTGGCGGAGTATGGTCGACGAGTCGCCTAGACGCACTGTAATTGGACGCTCAATGTCCTCGGCTGACATCTCGAAAAAGGAGATGACTGTGTTGTCTGATGTCAGAAAGATGGCGACCTGTTCAGCGGAGACGGCCAGGCCGCGAGAGATGAGAGACGAGTGGCTCTCCATGTACTCTGTGCGAGTTTCGTTCGCCGAGGCGTGATAACGCTGGAGAGTGCGAACGAAAGCCGTCTCGGGGAGCTGGGAGAGGTTGCTGGGATGGTGGCTGAGAGTGTGTCCATAAGGATTCCCGCTGCCATTAACGCCGACTGGTGTCTTTCCCACTTCAGGATCACTTCGAACCTTGTTGCCTCCCATGGTAAAAGCACGCTTCAGCTTGCTAGTCTTGACACTCGCGTCGTCGTCCGACTCGTCTTCACTACTGCTGCTGCTATCCTCGTTGATCAGCAGCACAAGCTTCTGAAGCGTCAGGACGATGAAGGCGTGGTTTGCGTACCAGTCCGTCTTGGTTCTGTTCCGTGTGTTCATGATATCTTCAATGGCAAGCTTGTGTAGGCCTTTGTACTGTCCGCATGCTGAGATGACATCCCAACTGAGACCGTTGATGTTGATCCAGCGGCACTTGACCCAGGATTCCTGAGGCTCTTTGATGAAGTCGACAAATCCATCGTTCCCGAACTTGTGCTTCACCATTTTGTCTTGGCTAAAATCTATAACAGAGATGTCGCAGTCCGCATGAAGGGTCGGCATGGAGGCATGGCCACCATCGGACTTGTTGGGGTCGAAACCCGGCTCGGAACCGGGTTGCCATCCGGGGCGGGAGAGTTCAAAGTCGTCAAAGTCTTCGACGGGCTTGAAGGTACCGGCGCGACGGCGCAGAGGAGATATTGCTTGGTCGGTGGAGGTGCGGGTCAGCGGGGCGCCCATATGGTTGTCGGTGGACGCGATGCGGACGCGGCTCGAGCCAGGTTCTGCCGGGGTGTTGGTCGCATAGTCGTGAGTATCAACTGAAAGACTCGGGAACTTGACACGGGGAGAGGGAGGGTCTTCGGGGTTGGTGGCTGTCTTCGACATTGATGCTGCCCAGGAGTCGACCTCTGTCGACGATGAGGACATGCTGTGATGACGGATAGGCACCGGACGGCGAAGAATCGAGGGACGACGGCGGGCGAGATTAAACCATTTAGTATTACCGATTAACAAATGTATTGTTTTTGTGGCGCGGCCGGGCTAGGAAAGCTGATATTCAGGGACTCGCAACGGCGCAGAGCTTGGTCTTAGCTCAAGAGGGCGATAGTTTGAAGGGGGCGCAGTGGCGTCGAATCAGCACTAATCAGCAGAGGAATGGCCTCTCAGCCGCATCTAGAAGCTGATGGGGCGATATACTCTAAGGATACAGCTGAAGCGATGGTTGGTTCATCGCAATCGGGGGGATGGTTGGGCGTTGGGATGGGCTGACAGAGTTCGGACGAGTTTGAAGGAGGGAAAATGGATGGAAACGGATGATGTCGTGTGAGAATGAATATAGGAGGGAAGATCCTCGGTACAGAGGGCTGAGGGGGCCTCTTGGCTAAATTTCCAGGCCCCCCGAAGAGATTCCATCACTATTCCACCACCTAACATGACGTCCTCTTGGCAGTGAGCTTTCCGCTGTAACGACCCCACTGTTTGTCACCGAAGCCCCTATTGGTCGGTATTTTAATGACTTAAATTAAGCTCTCGGTTGGTGCCGAGTTGCCGGTTCAAGCTTCACTGGAACTACGGCAAGTCAGTGACGCGTAACCAATGACTACAAAGTGTGGGAGTCTAGAACTTGATCCATTTGTCTGGGGAAGCCTTCAAGCTTTTGCCTAGAATCCCCAGATATATCTCGGAACTTGGTGCCGATGAGGGTGACACTGGGTGGAACATGGCGGAGGCCAGGCAAGCCCATTTGTTCGATATTATTTGATCATTGCTAGCCGCCATATAATTCTTAAGTCCGCCTTCGATGAAAATCCTTCTAACAAGAGAAAACACCAAACTCCAACTCCCCCTTTATGCTACATAAATCTAACGCCAATCATGCCTACGAAATAATGGTATAGCTCTCGCTATTATCCCCCCTACACGCCGCCGTAACAAGCCGTCCCTCGTTTCCAGGAACAACACAAGTAGCCTTGTCATTCACAGGGGTCCAAACAAAGTTATTTCCCTGGATCTTGACCAGCTGGCCAGTGTTGGTCAGTCCCTCGCCGGCAGCGCGGCCACCGCACGAGAACATCGTGACGGTATCGCCATCAGCCCTGCGCCCGTCGGTGCTGACGCATCCGTTCATCAAGCTGCTTACAACCAGCGCTGCCCCATCCTTTCCATCGTTGTGCTTCCCCTTTGTCACGATGTCCCACTGCTGGTTGGGCGTGCCGTTGCACTCGGCCAGCGCCACGGGAATTAGATTCTGGCGGAAGTCGCCCGCCGTGGGGTTAACCGACAGACACTGACCGTTGGCCGCGCGGATGGCGACCTTTGTGAACTCGCGAGTGGCTGTGTCGTCAAAGGCGTGTGCTTCTGCCGCTGCGGTCGGGTTGAGAGTGCCGCCGGCCCGGGAGACGGGGACGGGAGTAGTGGGGTTTGCGGCGGGAAGGTTGCCGTTGCCGTTGCCGTTTCCGCCGCCGTTACCACCACCGTTTCCGGCAGCCGGCGCAGACGAAGTAGCAGGCACATTAGCAACAGGAGATGAAACCACGGGTTGTAAAGTAGCCAGAGGCAACTCGCCGTTGCCCTGGCCACGGTCGGCAGTAGGGCCGGCAGTAGGACCGGCGGTAGCCGTAACAGTCATGGTGATGGTCACATCCTCACCGCCACATCCACCCGGGACATTAGGAATATCGGTGGCTGCAGGCGCTGCGGTTGTCAGCTCAGGCTTCTGAGCACCGTTCTCGCCCCCAGCACCGCCATTCCTGTTGCCGTTCCCGTTGCCGTTCCCGTTCCCGTTCCCGTTCCCATTGCCACCGGCCGGGTCTCCAAAAGCAAAAGTCTGGTTCTGGTCGGCCGTGTTGCAATCCGCCACATCCACAACGTCTCCCTTGACTGTAAAACACTTCCCCTGCTCGTTCTTAGGCTTGAATTCTATCGAACCTCCGCCGCCGTTGAACTCGAACAGCTGCGAAGTCGTCACTCCGCCTCCGCCATCCGCGCGTCCTCCGCAAGAGAAGAGCAGGACCTGGTTCCCGGCCTGTCGGCGGGGGTCAAAGTTGAAGCAAGCTTGTGTCTGGCCCCATTCAGATTAGCCGCTACTCTCGATTATATAGATGGTCAACTTACCAGGCTGCTCACAATGAGCGCCGACCCAGCTTGGTCGTTGTGCTTTCCAGCAGTAACGACGTCCCATCCCTCGCCGTCCTTGGTCCCGCACTGCGCGACCTGGATCGGCGTCAGGTTGGCGCGGAAGTCGCCGGAGAGCTTGTCGACGAAGAGACACCTCCCATCGGCGGTTCGGATCTGGATGTTGGAGAAGGCACGAGTGGCGGTGCCGTCGCGCTGCTGGGCTTCCTTGGTGGCCTCTTCGTTCAGCTCAGTCACGGCCCGGCGCTGGATGGGGCTGGCTGAGGAAAAGGCCGCCGCGTAGGCGAGCAGTAATGTAAGATTGGGAATCATGCTGATGAAATGAGAAGGGAAAAAAAAAAAAGCTGTAGGGCCAAATATCATGAGTGTGTTAGCGAAAGTGAGAAGCCTGCTCAGCAGGGTAGTAAACGAGAAGCGAAAGCTTGGAATGGAAACAGAGAAAAGAACGAAGAGCACGAAAACACCACAGTCAATCAGCGGTGCCCTCTCAAAACTGTTTGGAAGGCGGCAAAGGTCTTATACTCGGATCACCACGGCCGCAGCCATCCGACCTGTCACCTGTCATCCAAGCGCCATCTCATCAAGCCCCTCGAATCCTCAATGCATCCCTTCATCTTGCATCTCAACGGCATACACAAAGCGCCCAGTTTGAACAGGGTTTCACGATATATTCCTGCCCGCAGTGCCGTTTCGTTTGGCGGCCTTGGCCCGAAGCGGGCGACCTTCCAATCGATCTTGATTTACGTTAGTCGGTTAGCCTTCCCCTGTCGCACATCACTGGGGTACCGTCCGAACACTGGTCCAGCGAAACATGGAGCACTCGGGGACGGGACGAGCATCGGTCTGGCTGGGAGCTCGGGCGCAAATGTGCAGCAGTCAAAGGGTTTAATTGCACCGGACGAGGACTGTTGGTTGAGATGGCGCGGTGCGTGAAACGGCTCGTGTTCCAGGGCGGCAGATCCTGAAGGGATGGCGCGGTCATTGTGGCGCCTACATGAGACGAAAGGAGGGGGAATACGTTTAAATGGGCTTTTCCTGTGTATCTTCTGTACTAGTATCTTTGTCAACATGCATGTGTTGGCGGCAACGAGTCTGTTATCTGATTGGTATAGACTCACATGATGGATCTTGCGGCGACAGAAGTCTAGGTATAAGATTCAACCCGCCGTTTGTCTCTTAATTAAGTATGATAAGTTAGCGACTCTAATTAAGCACTAATATTACAATGTATTAATTAGCCAGTTGACTGCTGTCTGGCAACATATGCACATGGCCGTGAGGGGCTAGCCAGTTAGAGACTAGCCAAGATCTTTCCTAGCCAACTAAACAACCCGAATTGTAGGTACTTCTGTTGTCTATACGTTCTGACCCTGGAATATGTACCGTTACCTTGTAGAGCTACAAGACTGTAGCAGGACAAGAAAGCATGGAGGATGGTGGCATAACATCATGCATCCCTTTTATGCGGGATAAGAAAGAGATTGTGCGCCTGTTGCTAGATACCAGTCAATGTGACAGACCTCTTTAACTTGGAATAATAATTCCTTGAATAGGTTATTTCCAGGAGACTACTAGACTTACAACTATTGTTATAGTATATCGTACTATTTAGTGAAGAGGATTGGCACCCCTGCGGGGTTCCTAACCAGGGAGCTGGAAGAATTTAAAGGCCATATTACATGCAATATCGAGTGGATTCTTTTATAAATCTGCAACCCACAGGTCCGACGGACCGCGAGGGTTAAACCCCGCTTCATTCCCATAATTGAGTACACGTGGAGTGGTAGAGGTGAACTAAAAGTAGGACTGGATTTTTAACATAGACACAATCGCTTAATACCTTACCAAACGATGCTCGTCCCGCGCCACCCTCTAAAGAAACTACCCAACAGTGATTATATCCTCAACGCTGTCACCGCAGACGCGTCTTACGGCAGACTGAGGTAAGTTGCTAATAAACTCTCGAAATCTATCGTCCCCAAACCCGTGACTGCGTCCCAGCCTTCGCCCGCAGGAAAAGCCAGCGGGACGCCACAGCCACCGTTGGACCCGGTAGATACATCCCTTGAGAAGGAATCACTGTGAGAGTACAGCACGGGGTTTACGAACCCAACAGGTCCCTTTCCGGACTTGAGCCGCGCGTCGTTGATTTTGGTAATCATGGACGCAAAGACCGGCGCTGCTGCCGACGTGCCGGATGCCGTTATGAGCTTGTCGTTGGTGCGGACGAGATAGTTGAGGGCCATCGCCGACACATCGGGAAACCCACGGCCCCGGTTGTCGAAATATCCACTCGAGGATAGATTAGAGAGGTGCGTTTGATGACCCGGATGGCCTAGATACGATTCCACGGCGCCCTTCTGGTACCACGGAGCTGGAAACAGGCCACTGAACCCGCCCCCAGATGTGAACTCGTAGCCACTCCCACTCAACCTGAGAGCAGTCTCGGGAGGGAAGGGAGTTTCCCCTTTCACCCAGGACACGTTTGTCGGAGATAGCTGGGTTCCTCCCACGGCGGTAACCCAGGGGCAAGAGGCTGGGAAATTCGCACTAAAGTGTCCCGGACCGGCACCCAGCTGGCCGCTGCTGGGATCGCGGCATTGATCCAGCTGGTCAGCGGTGCCTCGGTCCCCGGTAGCAGCGATGACGGTGACGCCGCGGAGGCCCAACTTGAGAAACTCCAGACACTGGCGACGTACGTATTGCTCACTAAAAGCAACCTCGTTCCAGGCGTACGAGACTGAGATGACCAATGGCGGATCCGCCGTGCCGCAGTCCGTCCCGTGCGGGTTTTCCGGGGTGGGAGTTAGGGGATCAAAGTTGGCGTCCAGACCCGTCGCGCAGTACTCCTGGTCAAACGCGGCAAGCATGAGATTCAGGTTTCCCAGGTTCTCGCGCCCTCCGACTTGTACGTTTTTAACGGGCTGGGGATACGATAACGCCATAGCGTACTCGTGATCAAGGTTGGACTCGAGGTTGAAGGCGCGGTCCTTGAATTCCGTTTGGAGATAGCCCCCAGCAATGGGCAACACTTCGGGACGCTGGCCGACGAGTGCAGGTTGAAAAAGTTCGAAAAAGGCGTCCAGATCCTCCGGAAGCCATGTCTGCCATGATATCTGGAAGATACCCTGAGAATTGTTGGGATGGGTCGGTGTGTTAGATGGCCAGGGGATGTTGTAAAGAAGCCTCAGGCATTCAGGGCTCATATATCTGAAGCAGTCATCTATCGATCGAGGTGCTGTCGAGTTCACCTGTCTCCTTTCGTTGGGATCTTCTACGACATTGCCGGCCAAGCTGGTAGGCGGGATCGCAGATGGAAGCCCTGGCATGGCAAAGTCTACCAGTTTCGATATGTGTTCCGGGAGGGAATAAGTGTCGGAGGCAACTTGTTCAGTTGGTCCGGTCAAGTACTTGTGGTACTGTGCCTCTAACAACTCCTCTGCCTGGCCCAGCGTCGTCTTGACGTAAAGGTGTCCTCTATCGGAGGAGACCCGAATGTCTGAGTGATGAACATTGGACTCGTTCAGCCATTGCGCCACTTTTTGAATACTGTCCTTGGGTGGCGCCAAAAGCTCAGCTACTTGGTCCCCTGTCCAAGCATGGCCAAAGTTGATAGAGGCCGGGTTGGATATATCCTGGAGAGCTTGTGTTGCAGCTTGAAGCTGCTCCTCTGGTATAGTCAGGGCAAAGTCAAGATAGATATCTTCATCCTTGGGAAGACTCTGGGCGCGGTGTGCTGAAGATGAGCGCGACGGAAAGTTGGAAGAATAAACAACGCGGTCGCGGCGCAAGTCCTCGGCCTTGGCTTGTTGGACCAGAAAAAGGATCGACAGTGAAACGATTTGCGTGAAATGCATATTGGTGGCTTTCGATGAAACCTCCAAACGAGTGCAATATGATGGCTGTGTGCATCCACGATCATGCAGATCGAGATACTGTAAATGGCGTGGGGCAATAGGTCTGGTTTACCACAGACGAGGAGGTTGATTCATTCACGATAAATAACTACGCAAACCGGCTGAGTGCTGGATATTCCTGGACCGCCGAGGCAACGAAAATTGCACGATACTGAATACTGACATTGAACCGAGTCCAGATAAAGATCCAAGTCTTTTTGATTACTCATTCATGACTGGTCTGGGAAAACCCACAGTGATGCATGGACCCTCGAGATGGAGTCCAATATATACCCCTGGTATCCGTACGACATGTCGCTAACTATTAGTCACGCCTAAGCAGCTTGACATGTTTTTACATTAAGAGTTGGGTAGCAGGCCCTTACTAATGCCCATTGATATATCAAGACTGGTGAATAAGGACCAACCCCTGTTTGCATTTCTTTTTCTTAATCTTCAATTCCGCCAACTCCAAAATTCCCCGTTCTAGTAAGTGGGCACCGCAGGAGGCATGTGCCAACATATACGAGATGCTGTGATGTGATGGAAATAATGTGGAACTCCAAAATCTTGAGGACATCGTGAGTCTAGAAGGGCAAATGCTATTCCATGGAGGCGTCAGTGACACGATGAAGTGCAAAAAGGGGCAGAAGAACATGGGTCATTTCTTGACAGAGCTGCCTGATACGAGAGTGGGTTGAAAATGGACTCAACAAGCCAGGCTGAGAACTGGGTACTCTAGAGAGACCTGCCTTCAAGGGCGAGTGGAAACGAAGGCGACTTTCAATCAAGCCATGTATAAAAAAGGGCGAACCCGACGAGCATCTTCCTCTGATCCTCAAGCCTACTTCAGCCTTCTCTTCCCAGCGACAACGACACCACTAGAACCAGTCCTATCTACCTCACTGCCATCATGCGCTTCACATCTTACGCCGCCGGCGCCATTGCGCTCATGCAACTCGTCGCTGCAGCACCTCATGGCGAGCCCTCAACCCAGGTCGAGCCTTCCGCCCATGTCGAAAAGCGGGTGAGTTTTTTTCTTTGTCCCCGATCTAGTGGTATAGATTCGTGAAATAACTGACATTGAATACCCGTGTTTCAAGTACACTGAGGTTTGTTTCTCCCTGCTTCGTAGATTCTTGTGTGGCAACTACCTAACATTCTGCTTCAACAGGCCATTTGTGCCATCATCTGTTCTGGTGCCTGTGCAGCCGCTCCAATCACCTGCCTCGCCTGTGTCGCTGGCTGCATTTTGACGGCCGTCCCTGGCGAGGAAATCGATGTAAACCAGCTGAAGGCTGACGTTGACGCTGCTGTAGCTGAGGCTGCTAATTTGATTGACTCGTCTGGTCTGCAGCAGGAGGCTTGAGGAGCACTCCAGGCGGGAGGGAGGAATGATGGAAAACGAAAATGGTATTCAAGGGTTTTAGGTTTTGAACTTGCTGTTGGCTTAAGATGATGTTGCTCTCTTGTGCCAGATAAGGATAGAAAGGAATACTATTCGCTGAAGAATCTTTGTTTTCTTGTGAAAATGCATCAAATAATAAATACAAATGTCTTTTCAGCCGTATTTCGCTGCTAGTAAAACTATTGACGCTTCATCTAAAAGGGGGAAAAAAAAAGGCCCTCCTACAAGCCAGTTGGTTCAAGTACAACTTATTTCGTTCGCCACAAGAAACATCACGTAGATCATCGTCAAGAGAGGATTTTCTTAGACCGAATCCAGGTCTTGAGCCTTGTCTTGCTCAGCTTATCTGTACTCACTGTTGTTCACTGTGGTCTGTTGCAACACCAAGTTCCAAGGAACTCGTATACTCTATCTTGGATGGTTTCTATTACCTCGATTTCTACAACTGGCAGTTAACATGTTGATGGTGAATAAGCGACGAGCGTCTGTCCCCCTATTTCGCCTGCCTAATCTAGCTTTTGAGTGGGTTACCGCCTATCCCCATCGACTGCTCTGGACCCTCATTTTCGCCAAACCCTGAAGTTCCCATTTTAAGCGCCACTTTACTCCGCATTACCTCTGATATGCTACGTAGAGTCTATTTTTTGTTGGTGTTGTTGTTTTCCCTAATAATACGTAGCACTCTTGGTATTGCGACAGAGCGTGATGTCTCAATGGAGATCGCTGATATCTCTACCACGCTCAGAATTTCCAAGGAATATATGTGCCCTGAATTCCAGTACATGAGTTAACAAAACTGGTAGATCTAGGAGCCCTGGCTGGCGATACTCCGCTCTTGGCGAAAATGGGGTCCAGCAGCAGTCGATAGAATAATCGGGTCGCATGCCCCCGTCGTGTGCGATACCGGCGAAGAAGCCAAACAAGGACTGATACCCCCGTCCTACAAGTTCAATAGCCCCCTAGTTTGTTGTCACGGTGGTCCATGTAATCTATTTCGACGGAGTGGATGGCCTGACCAAGCGATTACAACCACCTATCCATGTGCTGGGTCCTGGTTGCAGTGAGTAAGCGACTACCTGGACCCGTACACAATGTTGCCACCGCAGCTTATAGTAGGTAACTTGGTAGGAGAGATATAAATTGGAGCAATTGTCGTTCAACTAAGGATTCATGAAGAGCAAGCCGGTCCATCAGCTGTTTTTTTTTAATAAAAGAAAAAAAAAAAAAAAAGCATCTCATCACACAACTCATTAACAAGATCACCACTTCACTCAACCCCACTACGAGTAGAACATCCTCAAGATGAAGGTCATCGCCCTCCTCACCCTCCTCGCCCACACCGGCCTCGGTATGCAGATTAACTACTACACCGACGGTGGCTGCTCCCAGTTTACAGTCTCACCCCCGAACGTGCCTGCCGACGGTTCCTGCTACAACTACAGCTGGTCCTCTATGAACAGCGCCAACATCGCCAACTGCAACTATCCCAGCTGCACTTGCGTTTTCTACGAGGGAAGCAACTGCCAGGGTGTCATGAAGTTCGCCAGCACCCAGGCCAGCAACTGCGCCTCCAACTGGGGCCGGGGTTTCAAATCATTCGCCTGCCTCGGCCGCAACGCGTGAGGCAGCGCAAGCATTACGGTTTCGCCATAAGGGCTTTTGATCGTTCTCAGAGGCTTTGGGGAGTGTGTTGAGATAAAATCCATGTCGATTTAATGGAATACACCTGGTGCTTGTGGTTTCCGATCTTTCGCCTGCCTCAGCTTGAACGGGAGCTACCTTAGTTGGCGCAAGTATTGCTGTTTAGCTGATAGGCTTCAATTGTTATAAGATTTTTCAGGGAGTGTGTCAGATAATTAATGTCGATTCAACGAAATACACGTAACCATGCCATGCCATTTAGTATAGTCAATCGATGTGTGACAGTGACAGGTTGGTCTGGATGGTTCCAGCATGACAACAATTCTAAGGTTTTGTTTAAACAGCAGTAGGGTTCTACAAGTGAGTCATAGGGGCTAGCAGCCAGTTAATTTATACTCAAGGTATAGGCACAATTGTATAATCAAGATAGGCTGAAGGATATGGCCTTGAAATATCAAAATTCAGATATCGTGTAATGTTCCGAGCCTCTATTACCCTAGTGAGAAACTAGGACACGGCCCGCGCTTAACCCCTGCTAATGGGGTAATGATTAGCCGGGATCTCTACTGGACATGTGGGGTCTTGGTCGGTGCCGGCTGGTGGGTCTCTGGCGGCACTCGATGGGCTTCGGGCGATAAGTGGATATCCTGTCCGTGAGTGACGAGTACTACATGATAAAGACCTGGACTTTGTGTCTTTAAGCTTAAAGAAATCATCGGATACATCACTAGGCTCTGGTAGCGTTTGTGCGTGTCTCACTTAGTGACCTTATATTTACTTACAATGCTAGCAAAATGGATTTCCGATCACCGTTGCTCGATAGATCTAGGTGTCTTTGATCAAGTTGATATATTACAGATACTGAAGATAGTTCTCAGTCAATTACATACAACAAATCTTACTCCGCCATTTTGGCCCCATCATCTCATCGTTATCCACAACGCCGTAATACACCTTTTCAGGACCTTAACCCGACGTTTTTGGTGGAATGTGATACCTTGACAATGTCAGCTGTGCCCAGCAAGCGTAACAAACATCACAAACGACTGGCTCTTACTTAGTGGACATTGAATTCCATCCAGCCTTTATCAGACTGTCCCTCCCTGATCTGTCACCAGAACCGGTCCAGTAAAAGAGACCACCCAAGTTCTTCATCTTGGCGTAGTTGGCCTTGAGCGTGACGGTTCTCGGCGTGTCAAACGTCACAAAACCGTCCGTTTCATCCACATAGGATGCCGCGATCGCAGTGTCGTCAATTACCGCCTTGTCGATATACTTCTGCGGCAGGCTACCGTAGTCGATCTCGCCTGAGCCTGCCGTGCTCTGTCCCGGACCCTTGGACGCTGGGAAATTGCGCGCATATGCGGGTATGCCCATCACAATTTTGCGGCTCGGAAAGCCGTTGGCCGTCAGATATTCGACACCGTCGGCACATGAAAGCCTCAGGGTTGCATCCTTGCTGGCCAGGGTTGACGAGGCGAACAGCTGAGCATGGTTTCCCGAGACTTCGGTCCACGGCCCTGTCAGGTCGTAGCACATGAGGTTCATGTAGTCGAGAGCAGCGGCAGCTCGCTTTACGTCAAAGTACTTGAGCGCCCACTTGGCCGGCGGGAGGGCCGAGGTGAGTTGGTACTTGTCCTGGGGCATCTCCTTGCGGACGGCTTCGAGGAGGGCGATGTAGTTTTTCCCCTGTTCCTCGTTCTTAGGGTGTTCCCAATCAATATCCACGCCGTTAAAGTTATGCTCGTCTGCAAATATCTTGACCTCCCTGGCGAAACGAGTGCGGGCTTCCGCGTTTGCTGCCATGGCTGGGAACTCCTTGCTGTTGTTGGCACCGCCGACGGAGAAGAGGGTTTTGAGGCCGGGGTTGTCCGCCTTCACCTTTGCCAAGGCTGCGAGGCCACCCTTGGAGCCATCTACATCCAGAACTCTATCCGCGTGGTTATCAGTTGTCTCCAGCGCACCATTCGTGTTCACTGCCATGAAGGAGTAAATGACATGAGTGACCAAGCCCAGCTCCATCTTGGCGGGTGTTTTGCCCTTGTAAGCGTGCCAATTTGGATAGTAAACGGCGTGAACAAAGCTATTTTGAGCCATGGCGAATTGGACAAAGTTTGTGATGGCGAGGAAGTTGAGAATGGAAAATGCTAGCCGTCGTGTTGATGTTGATGAGGCGGCGCGGGGGAGGGGTAACCCAGCAGCCATCGCGGGTACTGCCGTCATTTTTTGTAGGGGTCGCCCTAGGCGCCTGTGGAATGCTGACGTGATAGCTTAGGGGGCTTAGAGGCCAGTGCCAACCGTTCTTCCCGCTGGATGGTGAACTATTGGCCCGCTATTGGGGGTGGGAAGGGTAGCTACAGCTGTTGTGGGGCGCTGAACCTGTCACTGTTTCTTGCCCGATTCTCGTATTTGCTGACTGGACGAGCTCCTTCTTTTCCTGTCAGAAACAACACCAATTCGACACCTTCAGCGGCAGAACGACTCTTTTCGATATTTTCTCCAGCCTTCTCAGAGTTGGCCTTGGGCAAGCCGGCTTGCTTTGTCTTCTTTCATCCACCTATCTCCGTTCTCCTGCTTCGAACCACAGGATTATATACCAGGGCCGGTGCAAACTCTCCAGGAACTGATCGATGCCGCGCCGGGAGACGTTGGTGCCTCGATTGCCGACAGAGAGATGCAAGCAATCAACAAGCCTTTATCCCGAGAGATGTAACCTCGATTTAGGCGATTTTCGATGGCCCTGAGCGATGATACCCAAGACGCGGGACGATGATTGCAACTCGGAGTAGGATCGACCGCTCTCTCAGTTGGGTGGGAATGTCGGGCCGAGGCTTGACCTGAGAATATATTGAACCAACCAGACCACCAGGGCCCTACCAAAAGAAGAAGAATATTATGTTCGTTTGAATGGAATGCCGGCTTTCCAATGAACAAAGAGATCTTTTCTCTTTTCTTTATATCGGACATATTCTTCCTGCATCGTCTGAAGCGTGCTCAATCCCCTCGAGCCCTTGGAGGCCCATGCTCCGGGACAAGACCATCATGTATGTATGTCCGCTGTCTATTCGGCGGCGCATTGGGGAACAAAGACCACGACCCTCATGGCCAAGAGTTTCGAGTTTGCTGCTCCCGGTCTTCAACCACGATTTGGAGGGGACTAATCACCCTCGTTGGTGATGCAATGGTGCTTTCGGGACTCAGCACATATGCAGTCAGCTTCTACCCAAGACCGGTGCGGATACCCCTGGATCTGCTTACAGGTGGAGGGGAAAAGCGCACTATTGGTTTTCGAAGACTTCTGGACGTTGATTTCGTTCACCGACCGCATCCTTCTACAGGCAAAATGCGCCCCCCTCCGCATGGCAGATGCGTGCTATTAATGCACGTTATTCGGATTAAAGAAACAGCATTGGTGGCTTTGGAAAACACGTGTAAAAGCCGCATATTGGCGTGGCATCCATATGCCGGTTTCAAGCATGAAAACAATGACCAAGAAACGGCCAAGAACTTTCATCGTCATTTTTTACGCGGCCAACTTTGAACTATTGATTGGCCCTTGCCGTAAATGCCCAGAATTACCCGGTTCGAGCATGAGGCCATTCCAATAAAGGAAGACGACAGCAGAGGAATTTTCTTGGATTTCCAAGTCAACAGCTTAATAATACTGGTCGGAGTACCACGTCTTGCTGGCAACGGCCCAATCGAACCGTTCCATTCAAGCTATTGTGTCCCGTCCTGGCGGCCTCACTTGGCACCGCCAAGAACCATCAGAACTGCGCAAGGCGGCCTGGATAATGGCATCCGGTTGTCAAAAAGAGCCATGAGAAAGAGACGACCCATGCAGTTCCGGAGCAAAATGCATAGCCTACACTGCCAATAACAGGCACGGTCTTGAATGTTGCCCCAACCTCAAGGATCGTACTCATGGGATGGCTCCGAAACATCAGCGCTCGACTAATCCAATTGATGAACAACCAGATGACTGATACGGGATGGAAAGCGGGAGGTTGGGGTGCCAAGAACGAGCGCAACCTAATCTGTCCTTGCGGATCATGACACACGTTATGGCATCCATCAGCATATATCTTGTCGGCCATCATCTTCATTTAGCCTGCGATGGCGCTTTCTTAGCCAACATGTCTGTGCCATTTCGACGGAATCACGACTCATCGCCTGCCTTCTGGTCATGGAGCCTCGGCCGCCATGTCCGTCACCTCGCGCAGGGCCGAATGTGACAGCTCAGGAAGAATCGGTCGCACCAAAACCGCTACTCACAAGAACCACGACTAGACCTTTTGTTCGCGCCTAGTGAACCCGTCGAATGGACCCCGCGCAAAACCCTTCCAATCGCATGAAGCAACGGGGTCGGAGTTGTGAACGGTTCGTGGGGGATCATGGCTAAGAACCACGCGGATCCTGAAAACACGCCGTGTCATTGGGGGGGACCATGGAGGCGGAAGACGCCACGAGCTTAGCTCGCCCGAGGAATTGAACGAGCGTCGTCAAAGGTACGGGAGACAGACCGCGGTTAAGCATCCTACTATCCAACCGTAAAGATTTTGTGCAATGGAGGATGACGGACATCCTTGGGTTGTGGCGGATGTCCGCGGCGTGCGGGGGCTAGTGTTCGGGCAACCCATCACGCCTTTCCGAATTGTTGGCCATCGCTAGGAAGATGCATATACCGCTCCATTTTCTCTCTCTAACTTCGTGGGCTACGCTAGCAGTGCATAGCAGCGACGCGAAGAAGGTCGTCGAACTACTCTGGACTTCGTTGGCTTCCTGCAACTTGAGGCGATAAAAGCTATTTCAAATTCTCGCAGAATTAGCAGCAACTCTTCACTATGCTAGTCCGTCAAAGAATACTCACGGCAATTGATTACTCGGAAGCGGCACCACGGTCACGAGGTTGCCAACACTCACTGGCAAACAACTGTTGCAAATCATAACAGCCCAGACGGTTCCTCGACACCTCGCCTACTATTCTTCGCGTCGAGTCGGCTCAAGTCTTCAAAAAATGCCGGCCTCTAAAACAGAAAATAGCACATTCAACGTGGAGCCGTTGGCAACGCCGTCGCTTCTGACTCGTCCAGGGGTTCGTGTTGGGCTGTCATTCCCAAACCAGGACGTCTTGGCAAACTATGCGATGCGGATCATGTGAAACTTCATCGCCTCTGATTCAGATGCGCGTCTTGGCAATATCGGAACATCCGGCGAAAAGTCGACGAGACGTTTTTCTCGGCGGGCTGCTCCGCAAACTGAACCGGGTCCTTGGAGTCTTGGAGGTCTTGGAAACCCCCATTTCTGGACAAGGGCGAAGGCCGTCGCCGCCTATTATACCGGCACCCGTCATATCACCCCCGACTGACGATCTCGGGCGACAGCATCATCCCGTGAGCCGAATGCTACCCCGTCTGGTCACCGTTCAGATACGACCACGCCAAAAAGCTAGCGGCTCTCCATCAGTCGCAAACGAGCTTTCGGTGGGCGAACTAGTGTAGATGACAGTCTACTGCAACACTAATGCTATTACGAGAATCAGCATCACGCCTGACGTGTTGTTGCATTGTACGAATAGCGGGCAATTATTTCCTATACATGCATGGGGCTGACGTCAAACCAGTATTGCCATTATGTCTCAGGAACAATAGGTCCCACTCGGCCCGCTGAAAAGTGGTGGTGGTCGCATTCGTCTTTCCGAGTCTCAACCTCCGGAATACCTCGATTATTCTTTTAGTGCATTTCCATGGCCTCGCCAAACATTTCTTTTTTTGTGTTCTCCAAGACAATGGGAGGGGCCTGGCCATGATGCTGCAAGCTGGGGAATTCCGTCGAGCAAGAGTCGGCTGATTCTTTCTGCAGGACGCTCAATCTTGCTCTATCTTTATGTAAACATGCGTGAAGTTGCCGATCTTGAACCATGAAATCCACGTCGGCAGTTGCTGGACGCTCAGGCTGCTTTAACTGACAAGTTTGGTTTGATGAAGAGATGAGATGCCACGCCGGGTCAGCACGTCCGCCGTCTCCTCAAGGTCGGCCCTAGATGACGCATCACAAACATGAAAACCAACTATGCCCGGCACTGACGATTACCAAGCCTACGCAATAAGATAACCAACGAGACGCATATGCAGGGTTCCGCAAGTTGGGGTAGCCCTTGGCAGATGTGTCCAATTTTTGAACAGCCAAGAGTCTCGTCCCCAAAAGATGAATTACCCCTCTGAGGAAAAGGGTCTCAGAATGGGAGGGTTGAAATCGTACCCAATTCCCAGCATCATGGTTCTATTGTGCTGGCGCACGAAAGAAACCCGACCCTAACTCGAGGTGTAAGCGGCTCGACCAGTCGGCACTGGGGCAAGCAAACCATGTCAGTTCGTCCTTTGTTCTGTCGCAATGGTGGCGTAGCGCTACGCTTGTTTCAGCCTCTACCGCTGCGATTCCCGACCCCCCTTCTTTGTCATTCGACAGTATGGCCGTCTTACATAGTCAGAACAGCCAATGGCCTTTGGCGAGCTGAGACCCAAGAACTTGATTCGGGATGGCAACGGGCTGCAGGCATGCCACGGGTTGACCGAGCAGCGGGAAAACAAAACAGTCTGCATTCAGTGCGAAAGCGCGAGCAGGGATGAATCTCACCCAAAGGCCAGTATAGTATAAGCGCAGCAGAAAAGAAGCTTAGGCACCAGAAGGAACAATAATTAATGCTGTAGCCTACGAGAGACCCTGTAACAAAAAGCGCGAGACAGCCTTTCCTGCTCACTCAGCTTCATGGGTTGCAATCCGCAGTCGACTCAGCCAGGTCACCGTGCAGCTCAAAAGACCCGACCCTTGACTTGGGGCTGAAGAGCCCTCTCCGGGGAGCTGATGACACGACAGGCCAAGCTTTTCCGTCTCACCATGACAGCTCTGAAAATGGAAGACACTATCGATACTCAATGCGCCAGAGGATGAGCCAAGATTCATATCCCAACATACGTGCGGACGGCTCCCGACAATTCAGGGTGGGGGGTAAGGCATATCTGACGAGGGAGAAACAAAGAAAGAAGAAAAAAAAAAGGGCCCTGCTTTAGTTGCACAACAGGCTCGTATTTCGTTGTCCAGTGGAGTCTCCTCGCTGACCCAAGGCCTTTGATGGCTTTGGGCGATCACTATTCAAGGCCATCAAAGGACCAGTCGCAGATAGCGTATGAGCCTTGGCACACGTCCCGGTGCATTAACATCCATGCCAACGAGAATACGGAATTATATCGAGTCTGTCGCTGTCTCTTACAAAGGTACCACACCGTCTCCTCTCTTCAGTTTCCCCCTCTCCCCCAAACCGCCCCCCCGCCCCCGGCAGTACGTAGCGTTACCGTATCTTGGGCACGTTGTTGGCGCTAAGGCTAAGATGCCACACCTAAACACTAATCATACTTGCCATACCATCCTTACCATCTAACTAGCGTAGGAAGCGACGCCTACAAAGATGATCCCAGATAACCAGCGGGACGATCTATACTTCTTCGTAAAGTGGGTGGTGGGATGTCAGACAGCCGCGCTCTCTTTCTTCTGACCCCTTGGCCTCGCTATCCCCCTAAACCCCAAGGACGCATACTACAAGGGTGTGCGGGAGGGAATAAGCACAAAAGAGCCTCCCTCGAGAGGAGGGGGACCTTGGACGGTAATTACTTTTGACTATTGCCGGATCACCTCAGCAGTAACTGCAGCAGTAGTTACAGCTGCGGCCGCGCCACACTGCAAAGTCTGTGTTGTTGCTTTCCGACCTTGCTCTTGGGCTTTGGTAAATGGCGGACCTGTATGTTCATGCTGGCCCCTTCAGCACAAGCCCTCTTATTCTGCGACGAGAAGATGTTTCCGTGCTGCGACATTGACCCCATGAAAGGCCACCCAAAGGAAGGGGAAGAAAAAACATCAGGTTGCGACCAGCATTGGAAACAAGAGGCTGACGAAAAGCCTTCTACGCACTAATCGTTCCATCGCCTTTCCAATCGTCCAGGCAGACCACCATCAGGCGAGGCCAGCTGCGGATTTCGTCCCGCAACGGCGCGTCAATAGCCCCGTTTTAAGGCCATGGTCCATCCCGACCAGCGTCTGTGGCTGATTCTCTCCCCCCCAGTCAGAGTTTCCCTGATCCCTGACCCTGACCCTGCGAAGCGTGGACGTCGACATTTTGACCAACAGACGCAAGTAAACTGACACTCAAACCACACACACACTTACATACTTGCCACGCGCAACTCCGTTACTCTAGCGCCGTTCGCACCATCCAGCCATCCCAGACGGAACGAACCTGGCCTCTGGCTGTGCTTGCTATTCCACCGACCAGTCGACCGGGCACTTTTTGCAGGCGATCCCTGTCTACGATGACAGAGTGAACAGACATTCACGCCAGTGCTCGAGCGTCGTTCATCTCCACCCTTTTTCCGTCAGGCATATTCCTCTTTACCCGATGCTCGCTTGCTTCTCGTCCGTCTGCATGTCGGGGCACGGTATGGGTACAGCCATGCCTATGTGAGGATGATGCAGCTTTCTAGTATGCTCCTAAGCCCTTTTGACGTCAAAACACAGCGCGTAACGTGCGTCTCCCGCCGCTGTCCTCTCAGGTTCAACTCGTTGCCCACCACGGCTCGTATCGGGGACATCATCGGATCTATTTTCTTATGCCTGCCAAGACATTATGGCGGGCCCTCAGGGCTGGACGGTCAGTCCGTTGAGCAAGTGCTGTGCTTTGATGGGGAGAGGGAAAGGAACCGTCGTCGTCCCGTTTCCTCAGTCCTGGACGGACGGTTGAAGCAGGGTGTACTGACCCGCCCTTTTTCTGTCGTCAGGCTGTGTATGCCCTTTCCTATCGGGGATACAGTTGGACTCTATTCTGGGGGGTCGGCCCCATGTCAAGAACTCTTGGCTCTGGGGCCATCATGAACTTGGACTGTTGGCTGCTTGCTGCATGGCTCCTCGTTAGATCTGTTTCTGTTGCGTCCCATCTCTAGACCATATAAGACTCCCGTCTTCCTCCCCTCTTCCCAACCACCTCTTATACTCATCGTCTTCACAGCCATCAACTCATAACTACTCTTAATACTTGTCGACGTCTGATCTCAGGCTTCTCGATTTTCACCAATTTCATTCCTGTCGCTTCCCAACATAGCAAAGTCCGTCACTACAACTCGCAACCATGCACTACTCTACCCTCCTCGGCGCTGCTGCAGTCGCTGCCCTCTCTGGCGGTGCTAACGCCAGGTACGTCCTTCTTGGCTCTCTGCTCACAGACGTGAGACTAACATTTCCTCTCAAGCCCCCTCGTCCGCCGCGCGCCTGAGACCGGCGTTGTCATTGAGCAGTGCACTCAGCCTGGCGTCGTCGCTCTTACTTACGACGACGGTCCCTTCACCTTCACTCCTCAGCTGCTTGACATCCTCAAGCAGAACGACGTCAAGGCCACCTTCTTCATCAACGGCCAGAACTGGGGCAACATCGACACGGCCCCCAACCCGGACACCATCCGCCGCATGCACGCAGAGGGACACCAGATCGGCTCTCACACCTACTCCCACGCCAACCTGGAGCAGTCGTCCACCGAAGTCCGCAGAACCGAGATGACTTCTCTCGAGGAGGCCACCCGCCGCATCGCCGGCATCGCCCCGAGATATATGCGCGTGCCTTATCTGGATTGCGGCGCCGCCTGCTTGCAAGACCTCAAGGACCTGAACTATGTCGTTGTCGGCACCAACCTCGACACCAAGGACTACGAGAACAACAAGCCCGAGACGACCCAGATCTCGGCCGACAAGTTCAACAACGAGCTCCTCCCCACTCCCGAGACCAGCAGCTTTATTGTCTTGTCCCACGACGTCCACGAGCAGACGGTCGTCTCCCTTACAAAGAAGATGATTGATACCATCAAGGCCAAGGGCTACCGCACCGTCACCGTCGGAGAGTGCCTCGGCGAAACCGACCCCAACAGCTGGTACAAGAATTAGACGACTTTTTGAAACCCGTAGTCGAACGCGATTTAAAGTCATGGTTAAAAGGAGGATGTACGGTTAGAAGGTTTTAAAGACTTGAAATTCTTGTTCATTTCTGGTGTTCTTTTCATGGTCGTTTTTGGGTTCTCTTTTACTTCTATTCTCGCTGTACATAACCCAAGGAAACATACCGGAAGGCGGGCATGGTTGGTAGTACATATTTCTGGAGATACCAATGTCTAATGTTAAGACAATCGATTTTTATCATAATTTTGGTCATTTGACATTCATCTTGTGAAGAAGTTCATCGCGTGAATGAGGTATGTAATGAGACTCAACTTGAACGTTAAACCCATCGCCAACGTATGAAACACCCGCACGCTCGAAATTCGTCTAGGCTGCCTCCTGAATACTTGTTCACGTAATTCAGCTGATACCACCAATCTCTCATGTCTCATCAATTCATTTTTCCCCCTGGTATTCGGGTCCGTGTGAACCAGTGGTCCGACAGAAAAAACCTTAACTCTTCCTTGGATTTCTCAACGGTCAATGTAAGGTTTTCCTTGGCGTGCTGATGGCCCCCCCCCCTTTCCCCCCAAATATTGGTGTCTTGGGGCCATGTGTTTTTTGTCACTCTTGGCTAATGCCGCCAAGAATATTTCCCCTGAGCTGTTGTAGATTTAGTGTAATAATGCCCACCACCTGGCGCATGCGGTTCTGACTCGTTCGGGGTAATCTATCCCTCACGTGAGATCTGCGGGTGCGGCGTGAAGGGGACGCTTTTTTTTTATTTGTTTTTTGGTTCAAGGTTATCCCCACCGCGGGCTTGGGAAGGGAGGGAAGGGGGGGATTTTGGGCTAAATTGGGTTTGTTTGCCAAGAGGTTTTTTTATTTACTTGTGTCTGCTTTGGGTATCTGGTTGAGGATTGAGTGTGTGTGTGTGTGTGTGTGTGTGTGTGTGTGTGTGTGATAAGGCGGAGCGGTGCACATCTTTGTATGGATTGGGGAATCGGGGTGGGGCCGGGACTCCGGTTTTTTTGGCGGGGGCCGATTTTTCGGGCTGTGTGTTTTGGTCGGAGTTTAAAAGTCGGGGGTTCTTTGGGGGGCCTTTTGGGGTTACGTTGGCGCTTAGTGCCGAGACTTTTTATATTGGGGTGTGATGGATGGGTGCTTGTTATGTGATGTCATTGAGTTGTTAAGTGTACATTTTGGATTTAGGTGCTGGGCATGATGGGTATTGACGGGTTTTACGCAGCTTCTGTTGATGGAAGCCGAAAACATGGGTAAGTGAATATGTTCGATGTCTTGCAGGTGGATTTTGGGGATGTGAGATTTTCGGGAAGTAAAAAGCCAGCTTGGTCAACGCCCTCTCAGCACATGCAGTCATACGGGCGTCTGTCTTCGAGCCCAACAGTATTCTTGATACCATCTCTGCTTGGTTGCTTCAGCTAACCCAACTTCGTCGAAAGTTACACTGATTGTTCCCAGTAATTCAAGTGTAGCGGGCATTAAACGTATCCCAGTAGCATGTTTCTCAAATTATATCAACCATGGACTTTGTTCGATCACTAATCAAATACAACAAACCAAATTCAATATTGGATAATCGTGATTGTGCAATAATACAAGTCCATACGAGACCGTGCTGTTACGGACCCAATCACTTAGCTCCTTGACCAACGTCGATCGGAATGAGGTGAATGACTTTATACGTTGTCCACCCGAGTCACCAAATATAGCATGTGCCAAGATCGAGTGGGAATGGCCATTATATTACGTCTAAGTTTAGTGGATGGATATGTCCGTTTTAATATCTTGTGCCGGCAGCTAGTCGGCATTAATCCTTGGGTATCGAGTATAATCGGCACCCAAGTCTTTCCATGCCCCCCGCTGAACCCAATCTGAACATAGCCTCGACTGAACTCAGCCATTTGCTGATTAGTATAGCATGATCAAGGCTCGTGGAGTATTCTTCAGCCAGGGAACTTTGGCACGACGAATATGCTCCCGACCCTCGTCTGTATAGCCTCTCTTTATCACTGCCGTGGGCAATGACAACGGCGGGTTCGGATTGCCTCGTTGCGTCTTCATCAACGGTCCCGTATAGCCTCCTCAGTATCGTCTCTGTGCGCCTCGGCTAAAACCGATCTCATATTCGCTAACCGTATCGCTGATGAATGCATCATGTGTCCAGCCGGTCGTAATTCGTATTACAGTACCGCCTCGCTCGTTCATCCGCCTCTCGAACTGCTTGACTGCGGGCTCTCCTTCAATTCGTAATCGTTTTTTAGGGCCTTTGGCGTGAATGGCGAATCGGGCTCGGAATGAGTGTCGCTCAGACCGATGCGACTGAAATCTCCGACCAAGTGGGCTATCGACGAGTCCTCATAGGACCCGCGTCGTCGCTCTGGAGGACTTGATATCGTTCTGGAGGCTTGCGACTCGGACTTGGAACCCTTCCCGGACCGTCCGGACCGGGACAGGTGCGTCACTTCGACGAGTTTGGGGAAGATAATTCTCCAAAGCTGGCGTGTGCTCGGTAGACACGCCACAAAGATGCCCACGCAGAGTTCGATATGGGACCAGAGGGAGCTTTGGAAGGAGTCGGCTGGAAACTATTGTCAGCAAGGTCTTTGGAAAGGGTTTGCTGGATGACAAACCTGTGACGTTATAAGATGTCGCAAAGAGCAACAAAGTCCGTATGCGGTACGCGCTAACTGCTGTGAGGCTGCTTGAGGTTAGCATCAACACGGCGTAATACTGGCCCAAGCGGTGAGACTTACAACACTCCGACGCCGAACATGAGCATTACGCCCAGCTTCCTCTGCCACTGCATCTTCAGGTGCCACACCTGGGTCGCTGGCAGAATAAGCATCCAAACATCCAGGGCGACGTTGAGGACTCCGTGGCACATGGCAAAGGCATTCAAGTTGATGCACTTGCCCTTCATTTCCCCGGCCCAGCCATTCCAGAAGAAGTTGACGGGTTGACATGAGCCGATGGTGGTTGCAACAAATGCAACTACAAGAAGTAGGTTAAAGACCTGCGTGCACCAGAGAATCTTGCGGAATCTCTCGTCGGGGAAGATTCGAAGATAAAGAAAGAGTATCGACGCCTTGATGGCGCCCAGACAGGCCATATAAAGAAGACCAAATACGTAAAAGAGCTGGTCTGGTTAACCGATGGTCCAATAATACCAGAAGCACACATGGTTCAACACTTACCAGTAAAAAGTTGGTGATCTGGCTAGGAGTAAGAGTCCAAATATCTCGACCTGCTCCGGTTTCTTCGGCTGAGGAGTGTTAGCATGATACGTGCTTCATGACACTTAAATCGCCTTACCAAGGTAAGCTGCCGGTAGGAAAGCTGCAAGAAGGATCTAGATTATTGTTAGGAAATAGGTCTCGTTGTTGATGGCAGAAAATGGGCATCGTACGTAGGCAATGAGAATGGTCCAGTCGTCCCACCACCACGTCGAAAGTTTCATATACTTGTTTATCATTCGAACAACGATGAAGAACGTCGGGAGGCCGAACAGCACGGCTCGGAACCACCTCATGACAGTATCCTGCTGGGATGGGGCCACTCCACAGGTAGCAAGTGTCGCATTCTGGGCAACTAAGCGAATGGTAAGCTTCATTCACATGGGACACGGATCGTGTGACCAGAGTGCTCACCCAACAGCTCCTTTACTGTGCAATTCGCCATGGCACACTCCTGCACATAGCCTGAGAGGACGTGATCATTGCATATGCATGCCTGGTCCGCAACGGAGCAAGTCGTATGCCCAGCTCCAATTTCCTGGATAACACAGGACATCTGCCATCGTCAGTACCCCTTCGTGTTGAAGTCGATTCCTCCCAAGTCTTCTTACCGCGCAGTTGGGAATCCCCTGGTAGGAAGAGGCTTGGGCAGCAACGAAGCTGCTCAAGCCGAGGAAGCAAGCAAACAGAATAAGAAGCCTAAGGGCAGCCATGTTGAAAAGAGTAGCTGTGTTGTTGACGATATTCCCGTATCCCCTTTCTTTTCAGCCCAGAGCTGGTCGTCGTTGTCGTCCAAGCAGCCCGTCTTCAAGGACCGTGTCGCGATGGGTTCGAAGAGGATATGTCAGTGTCGAGGTAAAGTTCGAACGCCAGTCTTGGCCTTGGAGTAGGCGACCCAAAGGGTATGGGTAAAGAGGGCAAAGACGACCATTTTTGCAAGACATGTTTTTTGCCCCGAGGACCAAGCACTAATGGCTGTCGTACTGCCCAGCTAACGTCGGATACTAGTCTAGGTGCTAATACTAGATTTTACTTGGTCTAGCAGATACTGAGTTTGTGGCTTTTCTTCATGGCAAAACTAATGCGTTTGACCGAATTCTGCTGTAGTCGATTGGCCAAAGACATGCAAGGGCGGAATGATCGCCCTCACAACAGCTGAAAAGTCGATTGTGTGGCACTAGTCACCCCCTTTGGATCGTCGTGTCAGCGGGCAAAGTTTCCTCTTTGCTTGCGCCATGGATAACTGGATAGAGTGGCTGAGGCATGTCAAGGTCCATTGGCGTACACTTTGATCGCCGCAATTGAACGATGGCGTTCTTGGGTACGTCGCTATAGGGAGCCACTTCACCAGCTAGAGCAATTTCAGGGCACAGGATGGGGCATCAACATGGCAGATGTGACCTAAAGTGAAACTAGCTGCGGGCTGTGCGTAATCGACCCAGGGGCAACGGGACGCTTGCGGACTATTGACACATCTCCACGGTTGGGAATGCCGTTTGCAGAGCAGAGGCGACTCGACATCTAAAGGGAAGCAGTAGGTTTTTAACACGCCACTTTGAGCAAAGCTAGGCTGGAGAGCTTCTTTATCTGCGAAATGCCGATTGGATAGCCCTCAGCAACAATGAAAGTACCGAAGCTGCATGGTATAATACCAACAGCCACTCAAAACTATATCTTTCAGAGTTCGGAGAAATGGCTCCTTGATTCAGAAGGCTTTCAACCTGCCTCGTGGTAGTAGACGCATTTGTAGAATGAAGAGCAGAAAGGAATGCAAGAATGGTGTTTTCCAGAAGAGCCTCCTTATCCGGAAACTACATCTCAACAATAAGCGGCGGGTGTTGGGTTACCGAGGCGTCGGCAGCAAACGTCTTCAACTGCATAACTGTTGCTGGCGTACGGCACAAACAAGCATGAAGGCCCACCAAGTGCCTCCAACACATGGCCTGGCTTGCCACAGACGTTCATAGCCGTCTTTCAAAGTCGCCGTTTATGGCTCATATCCCGATGAGGCAAAGTAGATCAAAAATTTCATTCATACCATCTGGAGATATGACGCCGGCAGAAACTATACAAACCGGTCAGGATAAGTTTTGCCAGAGATGGCCCGTGGCTTCTAGAAAAGTCTCAGCTGCTGATCAAAAGTCGCAACTTTGCTCTTTTCCACACAACATAAACACGCCATTTTTCTTCTTCTCCCGGTCCTGGTCGATCAAGGCGTCAACGCCTTCTGTCTTTGAGAGGCATGGATATGGTTTGTTAAGCTGCTAGTATTCCTCTAGCTTGTATATGATAAGAATGAAGTGCCATATTACCGCTACGCCAAGCCGTCGCCCTACAGACTAAAATCGACTATGTTCGTTTTTGAGGAATATTCAACTCGTATCTATCCTTTCAATCACATGGCCTCTGTCAAACGTGGCATTTGATAACGCCATAAGGAAAACGCCCTCACAGTGCCTTAACCTAGGGTCACCTTAGGTCTCGTAAGGCCGTAAGATGCGAGTTAGAAGCACTTGCGAGGTATGTTTCAACCGGTTGTTACGCCTTTTGAAAGTAAATTTCTTGTTCTTTTCATTCTTCTGTGCCCCTGTAGGAGCGTTTGAGAGCTTTAGAAGTTATGGGAGTTGAGGAGGCGACTTTTGCCAGTATTTCACATCGTCATGAAACGGATTCAGTTACCGTGTCTGGTAAGACGGTGAGACCGTCAGGCTGGGTGTCGTACGGAGTGAAAGAGTCAACAGCAACACAAATTAGGGGGTAAATTATACTATCATTCAAATCTGCCTCCTCCAAACCTTCCCATACGCATCCCTTCATCCCTCGTGCGGACTATCGTAATCTTGCCGGTGCCCCACCAGTGCTCCTCCGGCCCCGGGCCCGGGATTCCTCCCCGCAGCGCCCACCTCTCTGACAAAGACAAAAAAAGATCTTATTCGTAGTCTCCGTACTGCCAATCTCATTTTGAATGAATAATATGATGAGTATTATAAGGACCGCGGTCTTGAGTACTGCTTATCTTACCTGTAGAGGAGCAGATTTTGGTCAGAAGTAATCGTCGAGGCAGATGAAGATAATGATGTACCCTAAATAGGCCTCATTTCCCCTTCATTTCAGGATCTTCAAACTTGCGTGGGGTCGTTGTGTAGGTCCAGTCCCGACCTGCAAAGGGACCGGTTACCGCGGCTCTACACTTCAACTTCCTTATGAAGGTAACATTGAATACCGAGTATTCATCTGTTGGTGGGAACCTCTGGGGGAGCCGAAGACCAGCTTCTTCCTATACTCGTAATTGCAGGTTGAAGTAGCTTGGTGTCTGTCTTTCCACTTCATCCGTGTAAATGACTTTCATTATCCTGCAAAAAGAATTCCTCTTTTCACATCCATAGGGGTGTTCTGTGACACCTATACTTCCCTTGAATACTCACCAGAGCCAATGCTAGCCATATTGTTAGTGATAAGTTAGGTAATCTAGTGGTTAGATGCGTATGCAATCACCTGATGTATCCTATGCTCCCTGTAGGTACTATTGAGGTTGGAGAGGGGAGATGAAAAGATCCAAGTTTATAAGAATGTCGAATACGGCCGCAATAGAACGATCATACTAATAATAAGCTTGAAGTGCCTATTTTGACTTGCTTCATCCTTGGCTTGAGATGCGTTAGATAACCCTGACAGACATTGCGATGCCCCTGTGGTGATATATGTACGTATCAAATAAAGGTATAGCATGCGAACTTGAGTTATCTACTGGTAGTTAGGCTGTAGAAGCCTTGCCTGAGGGTTATACTTGTTTGTGACGTTACCCAAGAGTTTCCTTGGCTAAATAATGCAACAAAACTGGTCCATTTCCCGCCTATACCATCTGTGAAATGAGCGTTTTCGCCAAAGTCATAAATCACATTTTGTTAACAGCTTTTTTTCGCACTTCAGTTGGTTGACTTGGGGAGTTCCGTCCTCAATTTCATGCGTTTCCGGTTGCTTTGTTATAGTCATGTATGGGTGAACACTGCCGGAACTCAGAATCTAGAGAACTTAGATGTACCACTACTCCCAGCGTTTGGCTCAACAAGAATCATTTGATATGAGCCCTGATTGGCTCCACCCCAACTAGTCGATGGTGTCACCTTGTGCAAGATGAGATAAAGTTTGGCTGAAATAAAATGGTAAAAGAGTCGTGAAGTATAGATGAAATGGTTGCATATAACAACCCAGCTTCTAAGAATGCTGTGTTATTTCAATCCTAAAAGCATGACAACGACAAAAGTAAGGGATTTCAATGGAATTGTCACATAAAATTGCAAAAATGAATTCCCAAGTGGGTTTTAACCACTGCATCTCCCCGAGGTGGGCTCGAACCACCAACCTCCAGATTAACAGTCTGACGCGCTAGCCAATTGTGCCATCGGGGATTAGCTCGAATTGAGCTAATGGGATGTTGGGATGGCTTGGTCAATGCAGCGTATAAGAAGCTTTGTGTGGGGAGCATTGTGGGTAAGTTTCGCCATGTTTTCAGTCCGAGTGTTAGTGAAAGAATCACTACTCGACTGATGCAAGGCATGTTTTTATCATTAAGAAGAGCCCTTTTTCACTCCAAGATGCAGTTCTTTTTTCTGTCCCGGTGCGTTTTCTCATTTCTTCTCCTGGGAGTGACCACCAGCCTTCATCACTTACTCATCACTCCATGACAGGGAGGATGATGCATCACACAATGAGCACAGGCCTCGATCCCACAACGATCTGACCGCCAAAGCCAACGAGGTCAACACTGAGCTGTGATGAGGCGGACCATACCAGTCTTGAAGCTAAAATAGTCTCCGTGAGGTCGTAGCAGACGAATACCAATGTCTGACCATGTTTTGTTCCGCTGTATCAAGAAGTTTAACGGCCCGCAATCTCATTACTCTCAACCAAGACATGGGGATGATCAGACACACACTTATCGCCCGAGACAACTAAATACAACCCAATCTTCCTCAATCACCATTCTCAAAGGTCTTACAGCACACAGATCCTACTAACCAAACCAATGATTCCTTCGTCCAATCAACCAGTCCCAGGCCTTACCACGTCGGGTCTCGCTGGCATGACAGCTCCAAAACACCCCCCCAAGCCTTAGCTTTCCCCGCAGACAAAAACCACCTGATGCCTCCAAAACCAACGGTGCAAAGCCAGCTGACAACCCCCCCCCCCCCCCCCCCGCCCCAGCCCTCCAAAAGGGGCGCCCTGCTACCAAGAGGCTCATCCCGCCATCCAACATTTCCCCAAAAGTAATCCGAAGTGAGGAGAGGCTGCAACCCGTCCGGGTTGGCCACGGGACGGCGGCAGCGTGATGTCACCGGCACATTTACCTGCAGGGAGTCCGTGACCCATTGCCCAAAAGAGCCTGGAGCTTCCCTTTCCAAGGGTACCGGCTTTTTTTTTCAGTGACCTAAGTTACGGGGGGGTATAGTGCTATCTATGGTGCTATATCTATGGGGTTGTTTTTTTTTAATGCCTACAATTATTCCCACCATGAGGTACCAGCCCCGTCATTCTTCCCGACCCCCGGAGGTCCTTATCAAGAGAAGGGAACCAGGAAGAGTCAGAGAATCTCCCAAAACATCCCTCCTCCCCTCCCACCCCCCAGTTCTCTCAACCTGCGACAAGACTTGAATCAGCCTTGTCATACGCAGGTCAAGACCTGATCAACATTTCAAAATGGTAATATCCAACAAGCTTTTTTCCCTTTTCCCCGTTTCCCTCCCAAAAAAAAAAAAAAAAAAAAACTTTAGAATTATACAAAAGGTTAAGAGAGCAAAAATGGCTGACGAAACGCGCACAAACCAACAGTCCTCCGAACGGACACCCCTCATCGACGAAGACGACCGTCGCCGACGCGCAAACAATGCAGACGACTCGGACGACGCCGACCCTCAACCCCCCGGACCGTCGCGTCTGCGAGAGGTGATCCTCTTCATCTGGGCCCTCGTCGCGACCGCCGCCGTCATCATCCTTGCCGTTTGGGCCCAACACCGCAACCAGACCGGCGGCCAGTTCAAGCACCCGACTAAGCGCAACCTCATCTTCATGGTCTCCGACGGCATGGGCCCGGCCTCGCTCTCCCTGACCCGCAGCTATCGTCAGCACGTCCAAGGGCTGCCCGAGGGTGACGTCCTCACGCTGGACAAGCACTTTTGGGGCTCCAGTCGCACCCGGTCTTCCAACTCCCTCGTTACCGACAGCGCCGCCGGCGCCACCGCCTTCTCGTGCGGGAAAAAGAGCTACAACGGCGCCATCTCCGTTCTGCCCGACTACGAGCCTTGCGGCACCGTCCTCGAGGCCGCCAAGCGCGCCGGTTTCATGACCGGCCTGGTCGTCACCACCGACATCACCGACGCCACGCCCGCCTGCTTCGCCAGCCACGTCCTCACCCGCGCCATGAACGACGATATTGCCCTCCAGGAAGTCGGTGCCGGCCCTCTCGGTCGCGTGGTCGACATCATGCTCGGTGGCGGCCGCTGCCACTTCCTGCCGAACGGCACGCACGGCAGTTGCAGGCTCGACAACGAGGACGTCGTCAGCAGGGCGCGGAAGGAGTTCGGCTGGAACTACGCCGGCGACCGCAAGGCCTTTGACGCGCTGAACCTGGGCGAGAATGTCCACTTCCCCCAGCTCGGCCTCTTCGCGCCCGGCGACATCCCCTTCGAGATCGACCGGCGCAACATGAGCCACATCTACCCGAGCCTGAGCGAGATGGCCACCACCGCCCTGCGCGCCCTGGAGAAGGCGACGGAGAACAGCGACAAGGGCTTCTTCCTCATGATCGAGGGCAGCAGGATCGACCACGCCGGCCACATCAACGACCCCGCCGCCCAGGTCCACGAGGTTCTCGAGTACGACAAGGCCTTCAAGCACGTCTCCGACTTTGTCAAGAACAGCAAGACCCAGTCTCTCCTCGTGGCCACCAGCGATCACGAAACCGGTGGCCTCGCAACAGCTCTTCGTAAGTCTTTTACTCTTAAATCATTTACCTAACATCTTTCTCCGCAATCAGCACCACTAACTAACACGATGCCCCCAGAGGAACCCGGCCACCTGCCAGTGTACAACTGGTACCCCAGACAGCTCGCCAAGGCCACGGCCTCGGCCGAGCTCCTGGCCAAAAAGTTCATCCTGCACGTCTCGAACAACAAGTCCAAGAGCAGAGACGACCTCAAGAAGTGGGTCAACGAGGAGCTCGTCATCCCGGGTCTCGGCATCCAGAACGCCCACCCGGAGGAGCTCGACGCCCTCGTCGACAACCCCGCCGTGTCGGTGCAGACCTTCGCCGCCATGATCAGCCTGCGCGCCCACATCGGCTGGAGCACCCACGGCCACACGGCGCTCGACGTCAACGTCTACAGCACCGGCGGCGACGAGGCCGCCGCCATCCGCGGCAACATCGAGAACACTGAAATCGGAAAGTTCCTGCGCAACTATCTCGACGTCGACGTCGACGCCATCACGGACGAGCTGCGCGAGAAGATGAACGTGAAGCAGCTGGGCGCCATGAGCATGCAGCAGACGCCCGCCGCCATGATCGAGGATCCCAGCAGCTGGAGCGAGCAGCAAGAGCACGCCCATCTCTTGGCGGTCTAAATACCCGTTTTGAAGGTGATCCGATCCGGTCGGTGGTGTATAGGCATATACGGCATACTTGGGAGTTTTTTTTATTTTTTACTATGAGCGTGTATTTTTGACAGCATGGGCCGGACAGTCGGTACGCCGGCACCCGGTCTAATCATGGCAATAAATGGGTAACTGGAAGCATTGTATGGATTATTATTATTGAATGGAACCACATTGTTGGAAAATTTTATGTCCGTGTTGGTTGTAATGTTTGATGTTTGATGATTGATGTCTTGACAAACTGAACATGGCTAAGCAGTCAATGCTTGCATATGCATGAATGTCTAGTCACGTTTTGCTGGAGGTGGAAATCGGACTGATGATAACAGTCTCGCCAGTGAGTCAGCTTCGTAGTCCCTTCAAGCCATGGCAAACAAAACACACAAAGGTAGGATGCTTCGACACCGCTTCCTTGTCTTTGCAGGTATCGTCTGATGTTGTAATCAGGCTAGCCTGATCTAAATTCTGCACCAGCCTAACGAGATTCGGAGAACCCTTGCTCTTAGTTTTCATTTGCTTCATCCTCACATCGTATTATCTCAGTCTCGGAGGCGGGCATTTCCGCCTATCAATCTGTCTCAGACATCACGATATGCTGGGATAAATCCAAAGGATTCGGCACCAGTTTCCCATGGGTTGGAAAGTTGAATCCATGACACCGCCTCAGCTTGCGATACCGTATCCAGAACCAACCAAGACGGCCAACGCAACCCCTGCCACCTGCCGTTTGCTTGGCCGGCGAGCCGAATGCGAGATCAGACGGGCCAACGCGAGATTGACACCACCTTTTCTAGTCAAGCTGGATGGACCGATAGGGAGGAGGGGGAAAGAGAAAACATCGTTTGCCGTCCGGGGTTCTAAGCTAGGAAGGAAGTCCTGCGAGTGGGCAAACCTGCCAGGACAGCGAATGCCCTGAGGATGTGTGAGATCGGGTCTCGAGCTAAGATCGGTGCAAAAAGCCTCGTCAATGAACCCTGTTCAAGACAACAGAAGAGCACCGCATGTTAGACAGCTTCAAGGCTATCGATTGGAGCTTAGACAGCCTGGTCGGCAGCGGGTGATGGCATTCCGAAGGCCAAGGCCATGTTCGGGACCGCTTTGGCCGGATCGCTACTGTTTCTAGGGAAGCACTTTCTCCTTTGGGATGTGTAAGAGTGCCCAGCGATGACCTTACGGCCGGTAACGCTACAAGTTGATTGAAAGCTGGGCTTCCGCTAGTAATACGGCAGCAAGCTGACCCGTATTCCGCCTCTGCAGCAGATGTATTCTATTCCGTGGAGGCAGAGGCGCCTCGGCTCTCCCATTCAAACCCCCACTCAATCACAAGGTTGATGATGCATGTCCTGAGCTATGGAGGAGTAAACCTGCGGCAAAACTTGGATTGTCGTCTCATTTCATCGGCAATTCCACCCGACGCCGGGTCTCTAAGCTTCAATCAGTCAAGGATTAGTAAGGCTTACCTGCATCGTGTGGTGCCAGTCTTGAGTCCAAGCCACCCCTACGGGCCCCCGACTAAGCGGCTTGGTCATACGTATAGAACAAACCGATTGTATATCATGTGCTATTTTATAGGTTACCGGCAGTATGGATGGCCATAATCAGGGAGCGAGCAGGTGGTCTTAGTGATGGTGTGAAAGAAGCGAGGGGCAGGCCGTCCTGGGAGCAGACCTATCGCATTCGCTTCAGACTTGCTCTCTCTCTGTATTGCACGGGCCTAGACCGGCCGAGTCAACTTGGCAGGCAGCATTGATACAACAGCTTTGTTGCGGGTTGCATCACTCCTCTCGACTTCGAGGCTGCTTCTGGGGGTTGTTTGTGTTGCTCATAAGCCATGGTACTATGTGATGTGGTAGCCGGCCCCTCCAACCGAACGTTGTTGGATCGCGATGCCTGGCGTCATGTACAGAGAGTCAGACAGACGTAGGTCAAAATTATGTACGTAAGGCCGGACCATCTTCGGATGGACGCACAAACATGCATCCAGTCCTTGGTGACGCAGTTCTCATAGGCCCGATAGACGAGCTGGTTCCAATAAGTAGTCGCGGGGTTACGCAAGAGGTGCGAACAGGCTTGCTTGATCTGGAGCTTTTGATGTGCATGAGAACTGTTGTTTAACAGGGTCTGTTTGGGAAATGAGAAATTGGGGGTTAGGCGGGGGGATCCATCTGATTACCAGCTGATCTCACGCGTAGCGCTTCGTAGCGCTTCTCAACCCGGCGTGCATTATCTGGATTGGGAATGTTTGTTTGCTCAATTACCTGGACCATAACCAAGAAGGAAGCTGCCAACCGGAGCTTGTCATGGGTTGTCGGGTGTGTGGGAATCCAGCCTCACAGTGTGCGACCTGCGGACGTGCGAAGTTGGAATCCGATAAGCCAGTTGATACTGTGTCGTCTCGGTCTCGGAATGCTCTCCGATGCTGTGACCTATTGTAGCGGCAACGACGACAGCGTTGCTGGTTGGAGGGGGCAGGGTTGGAAAAAAATGATGGATATGCTTTTGGGTGGTTTGATGGATTAAGTGTTTTTGTTTTTTTTTCTGGTGCAGTGAGGCAGACAAGTCATGTTGTTGGTTGCGGGGAGGTCTGCTAGGGAAATGGCTATCCCAATGCTTAATGCTGCCTTCCTGTTACGTCACCCTTCGGCATCCATTTTAGTTGCTCTATTCACGGGCCTTCATTTTCCATCAACGGAAGGCACGGCAAAGGAAGAAAAAGCAATCGAAAGACATGTACATGGTATCGCTATTGCGTTCTACCTATGGTGTTATGTCCATGAGGGTTCTGCTCACTATAGTTGCAGTCCAATGTCCATCACACACGTCTTGCCGTAAACACACAAAACATGCCGCCTCCCACGCTGCCACTGATTTTGTTTTTTTTTCGTATAATAACATGGCCTCAAAACGACATCCGGCTTAGGTCAGATGACGACAGATATCGCCAAAAAGGGCTTTGGTGATGGTGCGAAAAAGAAAAGAAAAGTGATGATGAATGAATCCGGAACGCCTTGGCCCCCCCTTCCAACGCCCTGATAACATGACATGCCTGCCTTACCCTACCCCGGGTCTGCTTCCTTGCCCAAAGCCTCTCCTAGAGAAAATCGTGTCCCTTGGTGTCGTCTGCTCATTTTTCTTGTATTGTTGCCTGGGTGTGATGCGTCGCTGTCCGTGTACTTGGTCAAAGACAACGACTCTCAAGACATGCTTTTCAAGGCAGGCCCAGCTCATTGTCCGACGCATACCCGGCGTCTGCACCCATCGCAGCTTCCAAAAGTTGCCTGTCATCAAAACTGTCCTACATAACCGTAGACGACAACAGCCGAGCGTCGACATCATCCATGGGGAGCTCCATGCTGCCACGCGCCTCCACACCTTGTAGTCGCGACTCCATGTTCTGGAAGCGGGGCTCGTATCCTCCGGCGCGGTTCTCGAGATTCTCCAAACGCTTGTTCATCGTGTCGAGGACCTGCTCGATGCGCATGAATCCCTGAGCCATGTCATGGTTGAGGCGGTCGATCTTGTTGGTGAAGGAGCGAATAGATTGGGCGAGGGGCGTGTTTTCCTGGCCAGGAGGGGCAGTCGCGACGCGAGGTTCGTGGTTGTGGCTGCCTTCCTGAACAGCAAAGCGCCATTGGTTGCCGAGCTGAACCTCGCAGACGGCCTTTGCACGCCACGGGCAGTCGACCTTGCGCGTCGAGGGGTTGCGCTTCTTGGCAGTGCTGCTGTACTTGACGCCGCCGCGATCGCAAACCAAGTCGTAGCGAGTGGGCTTGCCGTCACGATAGTTGGAAGCACGAAGCTTTACAACACCGTAACCCTGATCCTTGGCGACGCGTTGAACCGAGGTCAAGAGGTCTTCAAAGGTCCGAAAGATACCCTCGGGCGGTGGTAAGAGCGCAGGCGGCGGCGCATTCGACATGACGGCGGAGGAGTCCAGCTTGGCGGATGTATAGGGAACGTGGGGGAAAAGGGTATTGAGTGACGAGTCCAGGATGAAAAGGACACGCCGAAAAAAAGTAAGAGTAAAATAAGTTGGAAGTGAATGAGAAGCGCGGGCCGGCGGAGTTTTGTTGGTTTGGCAAAGATGCAGCTTTCCAATGATAGAGGCCGTTCGTGACGAAAGGCAGGAGACACGGAGAGGTTGGAGTCAGAGAATTCCAATCCGCACGGTCTGAACTAGGTTCGCAGTTAATCCGCCCTCCGGCTAGCTGTTTAGCGAGGGGGTCAGCTTCCAGGATCCAGCTGCAAAGAGCTTGGCTTATGTGCAGAGTGAGGTACCAAAGTACCTTTTTCCTTGTTCAGACGGGAGCTTGAGGTACTTGAACCAGAGAGTTGCAAAGCGTGCCAACACTTTAACAGATCTTGTTTATATGAAAACAATAATCCGAAGGGGCACGGGAGATAATATTGACTTCGAAGGTCCGTTTTTATTTATGTCCTTCATTTCTGCTCTTTCTCTCAATGATTGATTGATGACCGGTACGGAAGATCCATGCATGATGCTGCGCCCTCAACATCTTGTCTTGAAAGTTCACGTGATCAGTCTCAGCACGGTACGTACTAGATCTTGGGGCGCTGCGGGAGATAGTGGGGCTCGAGGTGCTAACCAACCCATTCAACCTGGCGCTGCTGACTCTGGGGGGCCAATAACAAGTGGTAGTGGTTGCTTGGAGCTGGTTCTGGCCCCTACTTGGTCGCTGTCACTTGCGCCAGGCCTCGGAAATACCCACGCTCAAGACAACCACCAACACATACTGTGCTGCCTGCTGACTGTAGTGCCTATATTGAATTTCCAACCAGCAAGGCGCATGAGAGCGGCACGTTTGCAGATGCTGTGCAAACATTTATCGTGCCATATCTAGACATATTCCGGGCTTGAACGCATCCGAGGCTCTGCATTGCCCCTCAACCAATCTCTATTCTCACAGCAACGCCTCGGACCGGGGCAGCCAGCTCTTTCTCCCGATCCGATTCCACCCTTTCTGCTTGCTGGGGCAATTGTAGCCGGCTCGGCGCCGTTGGATATTCTCTTTTTCGGGCAATGATTCGGTAGGCTTTGCCCAGTTCACGAGCAACCTACATCATCATGGCAAACAACGGCCCAACTATCAAGACAGAGCCCGGCGTCTCAGACAACGAGGCATGGGATGAAGAACGCCTGGAGCAGGCATTGAATCAACTGAAGCTTTTACACATTCAGGTATGTGTTCTAAGATTTCTTTCAGTATGTGCAGGATCGCAGACAATCTGACATTCTCACAGCTTCGGGGCTTGCGGACAACGATTCCACGAATGCTTGAACCTTTGTCGGCGAAGCAGCCAACTCGTATGTGCTTCACTCCCCAGCCATGTCTCGCCAGCTAACACGTCACATTCAGCTCAAGCCAAGTTCAGCTCCTTCATAGAGTCTGTGGCTGCAGCCAAGAAGGAAGTGCAAGACTTTCAAGAGTTTCGCAAAAGTGAGGATATGACCAAGATCATGAACCACGCTACGGAGCGCCGAAAGGAGGAGCCCAATGGCATCAAGGCCTGGCGTGCGACGGACCATCCTGACTGGATGACGGTAGACTCATCATCATAGATTTTTGGATATTTTTAAAAATATACATGTAACAGGGCGTTGACGGTTTGTATGGGAAAGGGATACTCATCAGCGTTGCTTCTAGTCTCAACAAGCACCTGTTGTATGATGGAACTTTTTTAGAGATTTATTAATCCAGATGTTTTGATTTTTATGTCAGTTTTAATAACAATTCACCTTGTACATTTCAGTGATTGGTGACGGTTGGTGACGTGAGTTCCACGAAGTATTACTATTGCCAAACCTGGTCCAGCCCCCAAGCAACATCCGCTCCGACAGTCATCAGAAAGGGGCCTTAAACCCAGAGGCTCCAGCACATGGACAGAGCACGTGAGATGGCCTGGGTTTGGGGCTTTTCGGGGGCTGCAGCCACATGTGGCTCACCGCACCCCACTTCACCAGGCCTCTCATTAGTCGCCTAAGCGGCCACAACAATAGAGCCTCCACCACCCACAAATATCACGTGAGGACGTCCTTCCTCCCAATTTTGCGCCCACACAATTTTGCGCCCACACAATTTTCAAACCGCTCGCGATCCTCGACTCTCAACTAACCACCCGCAGCACATCAGTCAGTCAAAATGGCCGGAGCCCGTGTCACCTACCGCCGCCGTAACGGGTGAGTCCTCACCATCGGAATCAAAGACGTCGCGATCGAATTGTCGAGAGACGACCTTTTTTTGAATTCCACATTCGCGTGCACACCCGCACGTTGGGAGACTTTGGAGGCTGACTTGGGAAATTTTACAGCTACAACACCACCTCCAACCGCACCAGGATCGTCAAGACCCCCGGTGGCGAGCTTCGCGTCCTCCACATCAAGAAGCGTGGCACTGCCCCCAAGTGCGGTGACTGCGGCGTTAAGCTGCCTGGCGTAAGTTGGATCCAAAATTAAACACCACCACCGAAACAAGACTCGAGGAACCATTTGGGAGCGCACGGGACAGTCGGGAGCAAGCACATGAGGTCGACGAAAGGGGTTGAGGATCGGAATGATGGGTTACGGAAGAACTGCTGTTCAAGAATCAAGAGGAGGGAATCCCGACCAGCGCTCTCAGATGACTCCTTCGATGTCGAATCTCGGAACGGCTCATGAGAACAACGATGTGCTAACAGAACATGGATAGGTTCCCGCCCTCCGCCCCCGCGAGTACGCCCAGATCTCCAAGCCCAAGAAGACCGTCCAGCGTGCCTACGGCGGCTCGAGATGCGGTAACTGCGTCCGTGACCGTATCGTCCGTGCCTTCCTCATTGAGGAGCAGAAGATCGTCAAGAAGGTGCTCAAGGAGCAGAGCCAGTCCGAGAAGAAGAAATAAACCCGACATGTCTCTTCTTGTGTCAACGTCAAATCAAAGCTGGCAGGATGGGAAATAAGGGGTTGGTTCATTGCTTCGGTGTTCATTAGGGCAAAAGGAACTGCATGATACAAAGAATCGTCGGCCACAGGCGGATTGATGACGGTTCGTCTGCTGCTGTGCGTTAGGGCACTCTTAAGGCCTCGATACCTGAATGAAAACGGAAATCGAGCCCTTCCAACTTTTTTGGTTATGTGGGATTGTCCATCTCGTTGCTCTGTGACGGCCCCGCGGTGTTCCGGTCAATGAGGCGCCCAAAAGTTGTTTACTTCAGTATTGAAATTATGACAAGCGAATTGAACTTTTGGCGCCTCTGCGCCTCAAAACAATTGAAAAAATGAAAACCCCGTTCTGCTAGATGTGCTATTATTTTTTTCTTTTTTTTTTTTTTTTTTCCAGAGATACTGGCCTCGGTATCATTATTTTTATTGAAATGTGTTTTTCCCCCGCCATCGCTCCTCGCCCTTGTCTGGATAGCTGAACCTAGTAATCATGACGTTGAAGATACTGAGGCAGCTCTGCCGAAAAAACCGTCCCTGGTCTACACTCAACTCCTGCACCAGTCAACACTGAACGACCGAGCCAAAAACTTCTCTCCTCGAGCCACACAGCTTGTTTCCTCTACAGGCACAACCATTTAATAACAGTAGCCGATGAATTCAGCCATGAGCACCCGTGTGCTGCGCGCATTTGCGCGGGCCCAGCGCACGATTCCCCAATCCATTCCACGAGCGTCTGCCACAGTATCGAGATCACCAGCAGCCCCTACACTTAATGCGTGCCTACGCAGTCAATTTCATACGATATCTCCAAGATTGAGGAAGGAAGATTCAAAGGAATACCAGGGAGGCACCGATTTTAGCGAGTTGGACGTCTTGGGAGGTGTCCCGAAGCCCTCGACCTCGATCGACGTGTGCATGTCGGACGGCTTCTCGCTGAACAGCGGCGTCAAGATATTGGATGGCAATGCCGCACTTCTCGTCGGCGGAGAGGCCTTTGAGTGGCGACCGTGGGAAGCCAAGGGTTCTATGAACCTGATCAATGCCAAAGGACAGTTCGAGGTGCCGCCCGAGGCATTTGGCGTGCTAGACCTGCTCTGGCCACGACCTGGTGTGTTATCCTTGGATCGAGTGTCTACAGTCATGCAGATGGATGGCTAACATGGTTCATTTTAGATCTGCTCATTATCGGTGTCGGTCCCAAGATGGTACCGCTCAGCCCGGCGACAAGGAAGTATCTGAGCTCCATCGGCATCCGCGTCGAGATATTGGACACCAGGAACGCGGCATCTCAATTCAATCTGCTTGCTACCGAGCGGGGTGTCGACGATGTTGCGGCTGCTCTGATTCCCATCGGATGGGTCGAGGGCAAGGGCGCTGCGTGACGTGCTCGATGAGAAGACCACATGGTCACCTCGAGTCATGGCGGTTTAAAGATGAATTGACCGTCAGAGAACACACGTGGACCGACGGAAGCAGTCAACACGACAATTTTCGTGATGATCCATAATATGGATTGGGAATGGCGTCAAGGTCAAGTCTCCAGCGCACTATGTGATACTTTGATCGAATCTACCCAGCCCAAGCGCTCTCTCTCTCTTACTCACACACTCACACCCACGAGGCCTCTGAGACAGACTTGCCTCTTAATGTATTTTTACATGGCAAAAATTATGTACCAATACTTGATACCATTTCCCAGCTTAATCACGGCAACGGCTGAGAGTGTATTATGGGACGCGAAAACTCTGTAAGACTCACGAGAGCATCGAAAATGTAATATTAAAACAACTGTTACATAAATTTCATCTGCAATACCCTGTTTCCCCCCCCTTCTTCAGCTCGTACGTAATCAGCCTTGCAGGACCGTATACAGTCCCTGATTCGCAGCAGCATTTCCATTGGCCACCAGTTCCAGAAGCAAGGAAGCCAATGGCAGCGTTTTCCCGGGCCCAGGTGGAGGAGGGATGACGAACTGTTGGCTGAGAATGGGCAATGACATAAATTGGGCCAGAGGCAAAAAAAAGTTTAGCGGCAATGGCCTTCCACTCCACCAAATGCCCGCCGCCGTGGGTTCTAATCCGGGTCCTTATTTTTCAATGAGGCTCACACTTTCAGTTTACCGTTCTCACCCTCTCTCTCACCCCCCAAAGCTCCCCTGGAATAAAGCGCCCTTAGGAACGGCTAGTAGCGACCACGTTCTGGCCTGCCTCGCCTCAGTCGATCCGCCCTAGATCAGATCGTCCGTTCTACGGCACATCTCCCCCCCCGCGACCCATCTTCATTAAAAGCGAAGCTCGCTTTTGCTTTCCCCTGCAGTGCTCCTGGGCCTCGCGCCCAGTAGCACACACAAGCAGGTGCGACAGAGAAACTGCAGAAGAGAGGGAATTTGGAACCCCATCCGACGCTGCTTCCACTTGAGTCACATTCCGTCTAAAACCCGCTCTCATCGTTATCTCACTCTACCTTTAACTACCTCACTCACGCTCGACTTATTTTTGTTTACTTTTACCCCTCCAAATCTCGCTATCTTCCTATAGAGAGATCGTCGGTTTACAAACTTTGTTTCAACACAGACAAGAGTAATCACTTCTTATTATTATTATTTTTCTTCTTAAAAGCGCACCACTGTTAGAGATACCCGCGCTTCGTTCGGTCTTTCATCCTTTATCAGACAAGCTACTTATCGCACTCTTGCTTGCGTTGCATTTGGGCGCCTTATCAGTGCGGGTAGCCAAGACGCGTCTGGATCCTACACTGGCACATATTCCCACATACCCCCTCGGTCGACATGGGAGATCAACAGCAGGCCGGCGGGTGGCTGAGCTTCGCCAATCCCCACGACCCCGAGGCCACCGACCCAGCTTTGTTGAAGCAGAACTCTGAGATCCGCACATACAAGACGGACCGCTACACCTACCCTGGAATCCGGACCTTTTACAAACGGCACCCTCAGGCCGATCAGCTGCCGAAGCCGCCTATTCCTCTACTTGTCTTCATCCACGGCCTGGGAGGCTCTGTGGCACAGTTTCACCCGCTGCTGACGAGCCTTGTTCACATCTCATCATGTTTGGCTATCGATATGCCCGGATGCGGCCGCTCCGAGTTTCGACAGACGGCGTGGGATGCTTACACTACAGAAGCGCTGGCTGAGCTTCTAGAGGTCATCATCAACGAGTACCGCCAGAAAGAACCTGAGCGTAAGGTCGTCCTCATCGGCCACAGTATGGGCACAGCTTTGTGCGCGCAACTGGCAAGCCGCAACGCCCCGCACAAGACAGATCTGCGGAAGCATGTCGTCGGTTTGGTTGCTATTTGCCCTCTGGCTGGACCTCCGACGGAGGACAAGACTGCGCTCTTCCGGAAACTGCTATGGATTCCCGGCTGGTTGTTTGATCTATGGAGGGCATACGATCGGTGGGGAGGTCCGCAGAGTGTTAGCGTCAGCCGTTTTGTCGGCCCTGAAGCAGACCTTGAACTGCGCAAGCTACAAGACCGCTTCAATAACCAAAGCCGCACGCCGGTGTGGCGACGTATGGCGTGGGGCTCCCTGCCGACATTCGAAAATGGCGTTGCGAAGGGTGGCGTGCCAGGAAAGGATGTTTGGGCTGGCGTTGATGTACCCGTCTTTCTCGTCGCGGGAGAGGCTGACAAGCTCACCTCTCCGGATGAAGTTGGCAAGATCGAGGAGTACCTGTCCGGGAAGGCCCCTCTTTCACCAGAAACAGGGTCAGATGATGGTCATGAAACCATTGTCGACGCTGCCGCACCGGTCAACACATCCAAGAACCCCGCGGACCACATACCTGAGAGCATAGACGACATCACAGACGAAGACTTCCAGCGCGACAGGCGGCTGAACGAAGATGCAGACATGAGTCATGAGGATCCCTCCACACCACAAGAATCACCCGCGAATATCCCGCCACAGCCTCGACACCCCACCAAGGTCGTCAAGTCGATCATCATGCCGGCACCGGCTAACCATGCCTTGCTCTTCATGCCGTCTACCGTCAGGATCCTCGCGGGCCGCATCTCCGACTTCCTTGCCGCTCACGTCACCGGTCGTTTCTCGTTAGGATGGCAGCTGCAATATCTCTCGCGCGAGGGCAAATGGGACGTGAAGAACCTCGCAAAGTGGAAGAATGTCGTTCCAGTTTCTCATCCCATCGGCCCCAAGGGAAAGCCTGCGGTCTTTAGGGCAATGAAGACGCTACGAGAGGCCGATGATGTACACTGCCCCTCGGAGTTTGTAAAGAATTGGGGAAGCATCATCAAGGATGTCGTTGACATTAGCCATGACCAACCGGTCTACGACCCTAGGAGCATGGAGAAAGGCGGTGTGCGCTACCACAAGTTTGCCACAGTGTCCAAGATCCCGCCCACGGCCGCGGAAGTCGCGACCTTCACCGCGCTTATCGACAAGCTGAGGGAACAGCAGAAGAAGAGGGCCGAGGAGGAGGGTTGGCAGGAAGTTGACGGGCAGAACCAGGTGATTGGCGTGCACTGCCACTACGGCTTCAACCGTACGGGGTACTTTATTGTGTGTTACTTGGTCGACCGGTGCGGGCTAGGGATACAGGAGGCGATTGACACGTTTGCGAAGGCGAGGCCTAACGGGATCCGCCATTCGCATTTCTTGGATTCGCTATTTGTACGATACTCGGAGTTGAAGAAGGGGGAAGACGAGACCGAGTCGTGAGGTTTGGGGTTCAGCGATTGGGGCATCGGGGGTTTCCTTTCAGGCTCTATGAGATGGGTTTGGGACCAGCGTATCTGATTAATGATGAATACTACTTTTAAACCGATGTTAAATCTTATTTGATGTGATTGACAAGAGTGAATTGAAACGGTGCATGTTCCTTTATTTTTGGTCAGTAGTAGGTCTATATTTACCAACGAAAAACTATCGAATTATATGTTAAAATTGATGGCGAGCTATTGCATCACAGAGTAGACGCCGAGCCTATCTTCTGTGTCAAGTGCTACGGGCTTCTCCGTCCCAACTCACTATTCACGCTCAGAGATCGAGGGTTGGTATATTGCGTCTGATGATTTGTAAAGAGCGTAGAGGTGGCATGTGATGTGTCCAGAGGCGTGTTATGGAGAGTGGCCAACGGGCCCAGAGACATCTGAACTCGGTTGATAAACGTCGAGATATCACATCCAAAATTAGAGACAGATTCTATAGTATTAACGTTTTATCCAAGCTGTCTTGTGTTCTGATGACTGAACACTAAGCAGCGAGGAATCTAGTAGCCAAGTGTTGCAGGGAGTCGATGGACGTAGGCGTAAGAAGCTAGATCATGGCAAATTCTGAAAGACAACAAAGTGAACGAAAGAGTTTGATGTTTCTAATGAAGTTCGAAGCAATGCGGTATCGTCCAGGTGATCAAGGTTTTATGTTGACGATTTATATAATGATTTATATTTGTTTCTTTTAGTCGAGCATTTATTTGACCAGAGTCAAACAGAGTTCTGCGTCTGCGATTCAACATTCGAAGGAATACAATTTTCAATTCCTTATTTCACGTATTTAATGCATCTCTACGAAATTTGCTCTTCTTTTAAAGTTGTATAATTCCAAACAAAGTAGTCTCAACACCACTAACACGCTCTTGACCATTATGCAGTTCCCATTAGGCAGACATGTCGCTGTAATCCGTCCGTCCCTCAGTGGACCCGAGCGCCCGGCCCCGCACCAGCAACCACTTTACGCGACCAGGCGCGCCATTCAACAAAGCCAGGCCAACGACACCGTCATCGACACACCCTGGAGGCGGAACTTCACGCCCATTGATCAACACTAATGACCTCGTAGCGAAGCCCTCCTCAATATCAAGTGCCACAATGGCCATCCTCAACTTCACCCTCAGCGAGGATGCCGTCGCTGCCTTCCGCGACGTCCTTACTTGTCTGAACAAGTTTAGCGATGAGGTCTCTCTGGAAGCTAAGAAGGACCAGGTTCGTCGTCGTCGTCGTCGGCAAAAGTTAGTAGTATTTGATCTTGAAAAAGACCCCTGACGCAGTACAGCTGGTTCTATCCACCCTCAACTCTTCAAAATCCGCATACGCCTGCTTTACCCTCACCACGGCGCGCTTCTGCTCCCGCTACCAGTTCGAAGGCAGCGCCCAGTATCGCGACAAGTTTCACTGCAAGCTCTACACTCGTGTACTCTCTCACACCCTTGACCCCTTTCCACAGCAGCGGGGAAGTTGACCGCTGTCACACAGGCTCTCATTTCGATCTTCCGCAGCCGCTCCGCGGGTGACCCCTTGCGTGACCGTGAGAGGGAAAGCTCCATCGACCACTGCGACGTGGCCATTCAGGACGGCCCCGGTATCAAAAGCCGCTTCATCGTGAGGCTGTATTTCAGAAACGGCAAGCTTTGTCCCCGCCTTATCTCGGCCTGTGTTGCGCAAACGGTCTACTGACGGTTCACGGCAGGCATTACTTCTACGCATTACCTGTCTTTCGAGGTCACGGTGCCGGTCCGCGCAACGTTTGACAAGAATGAGGCGGTAAATCACTGGAAGATCCCCTCACGGACCTTGAGGCAGCTGATGGATCACTTTGGTCCCGGGATTGATTACTTGGAGGTTAATTCTGATGGGGAGCACGTCAATTTCGTTGGCACCACAGAAAAGACTACCAACGGAGATGGTCTGGTTTCACTTTGCTAGTAATTGGCATGATGCGTGTGCTAACTTTTGTTCTAGAGGTCCTCAAGAAACCTCTGCATACATCAATCGCCATTGAGGTTGACGAGTTTGAAGACATAGAGGTCGAGGAGAAGCTCCGCATCGTCGTCAGCGTCAAGGATTTCAGAGCCATCATCCTGCACGCCGGTATTACCGGCACCCATCTCTCCGCCAAGTACTCCACGCCCGCACGCCCGATCCAGTTCGCGTACCAAGGCGACGGCATCAACTGCGAGTTCCTCCTCATGACGGTAGGCGAGAGAGGAAACCCCAGCCAGAAGACGAAGAAGGGCAAGGCCAATAACAAGGCAGCCCCGAGACAGCAGCAGCTCGAGGCCGCTGCTGGGTCTAGAAGACAGAGCGCCGCGCCGTCCGAGCCACCCGAGAAACCTGCCACGCAAGCCATGCCACCGCCGCCGGCAGCGTCTGCTGCTAGGAGCGGCGCCGCGAGGACATCTCTGTTTGATTTGCGTCCATCCCAGCGACCGCCTCCCGCTACTATGCGTTCCGAGGGCCTCTTCGTGGATAATGACCAGGAATGGGAGCCTATGAGGGATGAAGACGACGAAGAAGCGGAGGAGGAGGCCAGACTGGAGTGGGATCACAGCAACCAACCTGTGAGTCCTCGAGACTATCCTGGCTTCATGAACCATATGCTAACCTGTGCCTGCCAGAACACCTCTTCCATGCACCTTGGCCGCTCCGTTGCCGAACAAAACGGCGAGATCAATCCAACGCCAGCCAGCAGCTTTGGGCTGGCACCCACGCAGCCTCTTTCAGATGTGAAACGCCTAGGCTTGTTTTATCGGGAGTAGCTTGAGCTTGATACCTTGATGTTGTTTTTAAGTAGAGAAGACGGGCGAGGGGGGGTGTATGGCCATTTTGCTCAACCAGTGATGATATTCACCCAGCTAGTAGCGCAGCCCGCGCCGATACCTGAGATCTCAGAACCGGACGGAATGAATTTTGACGATGCAATGACATTCCATCGTCCCTTTACATCATTGTTTTCGACCTGCGGGCCGCAGTTCCCGTGCTCTCCCCATCCCCACGCAAGCACGTCGCCCTTGTCTGTGAACGCAATGACATGCTCGCTGCCGATGGCGATCTTGGACAGTACAGGAAGATTCGGCGGCGGGAGCTGGCCGTGGTCATCTCTTCCCCAGGCCAGCAATTCCCCATTCTTCTTCAGGACGTAAACGTTGCCCCAGCTTGCGCCGACATCCTGCCATTCAGGCACCGAAGCCGGAGCAGACGACTTGATGCTCCATTTGTCGGACCCGAGGACGAGTAGCTTGCCAGAGTCCGCAGAGCCGAAGAGACATGTAAAGTCCTTGCCGCAAACAGCTCTGGTAACCTTGAAGTCCACACCCTCGATCTTTCTGGGGGAGTAAACAACGGCCTCGGGGCTTCCAGCTTGTCCCTTGCGCACGTTACCCCAGCCATAAGCTTCGCCGTTGCTTAGAACCGCCACGACGTGGCCCATACACGCCGATAGATCCACAACTTCAGTGCCGGCTGGGGGGAATTCCTTGAAAAGCGTAGCAGATGGGGAGCGGACGAGCAGCTCGCCCAGACCCAGCTCACCCTTCAGCCCAGCACCGAAGCTATATACCTTCGTCGCCTTGCCCTCGCCATCTTTCTGAACAATGACTGAGGCTTCCCAGGTTGCAGCAATCAAAACCGTAGCAGCGCTGTTCTCTTGCCCGTCCTTGCTGAGCTGAATCTTTTGGAAGATGGGTTCATTAGTCTCAGCCGTCGACGTCAGACCACAAGCTCCGCTGGTTGCGTCTCCGCTCCAGTAGAGCTCGCCAGACTCGGTCAGAAGCAGCGTGTGGTTTCCACCAGCAGCAATCTTGACAACGGGGGACTCAGGCTGGTCAGGATAGAAGATGGCTTGCTTGGGTACGGAGACATCCTCCTTGTGGCCGATACCAAGCTGGCCTGAGCCGTTGGAACCAATCGCGAAAATTACAGGCATATTCAAAAAATTACCTCGTTGCAAGTGAGTATTTGAATTATAATATCTCACTCGAGAGACCCAGTCACACAGCTGTAACTTGGGAGGTGGATATGGAAAGGGCAAACAAATGCCGGATTATCCTAGTAAGCATGTTCGTCCCCCACCAGCTTTCTTCGTATGCATATAACCAGCTCTATGGAGGGGAGGAGTCTTTCGGCCAATCATTCCCGCGTCTCCGCTGTCCTCTGCGAAGATCAAAAAGCGGAACTTGAGCCGCGAGCAACTTTTTTTTTCCTTCTCTCTGCATTCGCACACTCTGAGCTCCCAAATAGCTTCTGGCTTTTTTTTGGTTGTGACTCAGCGCCCACGACCAGTGGACCAGCTGCGAGAGAAAAAAAATTTCTTCTCCTCAGGATGTGAAAGCTTGCTTCGCGCAGACTTTTACAGTCCCTACGACACAATACCAATTTTCTAACACAAGCAGGAAACACGCGCAAAAACACAATCACCATGGCATCTTCCTCTGTTCCCACCCAGACCAGCAGTGCCATACCGGCCGATATGGAAAATTTCGTCGTCGGCCTGATTGGTATGGGAGACATGGGGAAGATGTACGCGCAGAGGCTCTCTGCCGCTGGATGGAAGTGAGTAATTGCTTCACTCTCCCCAGCTGGGCCTCTGCGCAATGCAGCATTCAATGGTAAGCAACCTTTTTCCTCGTCTCGAGCACGATAAATCTTCCTCCCCCCCTTGGTAATGATGACAAGAGCGCATTTGGCTAGAGTATCGCCCGAGGCCTTCCTGGCAAGCCATTCTGGCCCCAGGTATGGCCGAAGGCTTTCCATGATGATACACCTAGCTACCTTAAACTTTACTTTGTCTGAACCCTCACCTCAACATCTGCTTCTTTGAGCTCTCATTTTAGAAGCAATGAGCTAACTTTGCTCTCAGGAATCTGCGCGCATGCCCTTTTGCTATAAATCATCTTAGTGTGCCCTAGAAGACAGGGATAGAAGTTGGGAAGACAGACTGACATCGCGGGTTCGGCAGGATAATGGCTTGTGACCAGGAGGAAAAGTACGAGAGCCTGAAAGAAGAGTTCTCGGGAAATGTATGGGAGCCTCAGCCTTTTTCTTCCTGCCGGTCCGCACCCGCTGAGCAGTCTTTTTTATGTGAATAGAACAAAATACAAATCTGCCGAAATGGCCACTACGTTTCTCGCGCCAGCGACTACATTATCTACAGCGTTGAAGCTGCCGCCATTGACCGTGTGATTGCCCAGTACGGCCCATGTATGCGTCTCTCTCTGTTTCTGACTGTGAGAAGAGAAATCAATCTAAATGACTTTGACCTCCAGCAACGAAGCTAGGTGCCATCGTAGGCGGCCAAACCTCGTGCAAAGACCCCGAAATCACCGCCTTCGAACGCCACCTCCCCTCCGACGTCGACATCGTCTCGTGCCACTCCCTCCACGGCCCCAACGTCGACCCGCGCAACCAGCCCCTCGTCATCATCTCCCACCGCGCCTCGCCCGCCTCCGTCCAGAAAGTCGAGACCGTCCTCTCCGTCCTGGGCTCCAAGCGCGTGTACCTCACCGCCCACGAACATGACCGCATCACGGCCGACACGCAGGCCGTCACGCACGCCGCGTTCCTCTCCATGGGCAAGGCCTGGCACGCAAACAGGCAGTTCCCCTGGGAGATGAGCCGCTACGTCGGCGGCGTCGAGAACGTAAAGATCAACATCATGCTGCGCATCTACTCCCAAAAGTGGCACGTCTACGCCGGCCTCGCCATCCTCAACCCCGAGGCCCGCAAGCAGATATCCCAGTTCGCCCGCTCCGTCACGGACCTCTACAAGCTCATGCTCGAGGGCAACGCCGGCGCCCTCCGCGCCCGCGTCCTCGCCGCCAAGGAAAAGGTCTTTGGCCACGGCGGCAGCCACAAGTGGGCCGACCGCCCCCTCCTCAACCCGGACCTGCTGGAGCAGTTCTCCCTCGGCCGCAAGGAGGACCAGACGGAGCCGCCCCGGCCCAACAGCCACCTGAGCCTGCTCGCCATGGTCGACTGCTGGGCCCAGCTGGGCATCGTGCCCTACGACCACATGATTTGCTCCACGCCGCTCTTCCGCCTGTGGCTGGGCGTCGCCGAGCACCTCTTCCGCAGCCCCGAGATGCTGGACGACGCCCTCGAGACCGCCATCAACGACCACACGTACCGCTCTGACGATTTGGAGTTTACCTTCGCCGCGAGGGGGTGGGCCGAGTGTGTTTCTCTCGGTCACTTTGAGACTTGGAAGAACAGGTTTGAGACGACGCAGGAGTTCTTCCAGCCGCGTTTCAAGGATGCTACGGCCGTTGGCAATGCTATGATGAAGGCTGTGTTGGAGAGTACGAAGAATTGAGAGGGTTCGTAAGTGGCTCGCTGAGAAGATTACTTATATCAAGGTCGGAATATAGGCTATGGGCGATGACCGGAGAGAGGGTTCATAGATACGCAGGAAGGCTGAGCTCAGTTGGAAGTTGTCAATATTGAATGATTACTAGTAACTGTTTTCCGCTACTATCGAGAATACCCTGTGAAGTCTAGGCCACTTGACAATGGGTAGAGAGGTGAATAACGAGTTCAGCGAACTGATGTGCCAGCGTTCTGTTTGCAGCTCGTTTTTGGTAGTACAAAGTAACTAGGGTGCAGGTTGTGAGCAGCCTATTGGCTCTACTATAGGGTATTCTTAATGCAGGAAGACTTCAGATAGCCTTTGCAAACAACAGTAGTATTTCCTCCAATCCAACGTTGAAGTAATCAAGACCGCACAACTTGGTGTCGTCAATGACGTGAAATCCCAACACCGCTTCCCTTGGCCTTTACTAGGCTTATCGTCTTGCTATTGGTGGTCCAATCGCCTGCTTCTTTGAGAATATCGAGAATGGCGATACAACGTCCTTCCTACGCTTATATTTGGGTTACCAAGTCGGGCACGTGCAGTCCTACGCTCTCTTCCAAGACAGCAACTCCGCTGTGAACCTCAAGCGGCTGGGCAGAGAACTTTCTCTCCTTCTCTTCATGCTCTTCCATCTCTGTGACGCCTCTGACGACCGCATCGTCTACGGTAGACGGTAAACTAACCGATGCAACGGCGCTGTCTTGAAGAGATGAATCGCCATCTGTCGACTCCGGTCGTCCCGCTTGAGCGGCAAGATTTGGAATACCGGGGGACCGAGGGATGTGTGCGTGTGGGATCGGATAAGGCGAAATTGGTTTAGCCATACGAGCCAAAGTAGATAAATCCAGTTGAGACATTAGGTGAGTTGCTAGACCGGGATCAGTTCTGTCTTTGGTGGTTTTTGACGATGGGCTCTCGTAGGATGCTGACGAGGATGTGGAAGCTCCAGACTGCAAGCTTGTCAGAACTGTTACATTAACCAAATTTACTACTTACTGTTGAAGACGAACGAAGACCTAGATTTGCAACCAACTTGGAGTTACAAATAGGCCTTTGTCGGAAGAGGTGAAACCCAAAACCTGTCGCTGCCGTGGCTGGGATGCTGCCGTCTGCAATACCGTCGAGGCTAATATATGCTCTATCGGCACCGCCGGGACGGCAGTAGGGACATATCTTGTACTGGCATTCTTCTTTGAGACTCGGTACCCAGGGGTTGGCACTCTGGTCCAAGAACTCCTCCAATTCGTAGGTGTTGGACTCTGTAACTGTAGCTGCAGTCTTCCGCACAGATTCACGTCGGAGGACATTTCCAAGCTGTGGTAATGACAATCAGCCTGAGATCCTTTCACGTGAACGGGAGCCAACATACATGCTTGCGTTGATGGAAGATGGTCAGCAGCTGGTCGCTGGTATAGGTTTTGGCGATATGATTTGAAGGCATCTCCTCGAGAAAGCTCGCGGCGTTTCCAGCCCGCTTCTCAGGCCCACGGTGTCTTGGCTGGACTGCTGTAATAAGTTGTTTTCCTAGGTCATCAAACGTAACCTTTCTCGTTAGTCACTTCGACCACGGTTCTGGTCGATTGGAACTTACCTCATCTCCGCAGAAAATGGAGTCACGTAGGATCTCCTCGCGGTCCTGGGAACATCGATACAGCCATCCAAAAGGACCATAGTTATCACAAGAGTCGCATCGAAGGACGTAACTGTACACGCGAACCATTGTGACATGAGTACAAGCAGCATGGGTCCGCACCGGCTTGGCGCTAGGCTGTGAGGCCATATTGATACCAGGCGCCAAGAGCAGTCTCGAGGAGACGGCGAGAAAGACGGCAAAGGCGAGACTTTTGTAGGTCAGGTTACCAAGTGATGATGGGCATTGGACGGGTGGTGGTTGGGGTAGAACATATTTGGAAGGTAGGGAAGGAGCAGAGCAAGAAATGACCATGTTGGGAAGGAGCACCATTCTTTCACAAGGGCATTCACCAGCGTCTCATCTTTCACTTTAGAATGAAAGACCGAATGAAGAATTTTATATTTAACCTCTGTTATTGTCAGTGACTGTTCAATCACTTTTCTTGGCTGAGAATACATAACTTGGTTCGAAAGACTGAAACTCAACTCCATCAACCCAATCCGTTGAGATCTTCTCTTTAAGCGAGTGTCTGCCTCGACTTCAAGAAAATGAAAATGTGCTTACTAGAATTCACTTTGGGAAATGATCTATATTGGCCACTTAACACTCCAGACTAATCCATGGGCACCACAATGGAAATTAGCAAGCGAAGAGGCGGCTAGACATCAGAGCTGATTTACGAGCCGATAGTCGTGCAATATCACTTTGTGATAGTGTTAAACTACATCATTGGCGTTGTTGTTGAACGCCGTTATTTTCAAACCATTCTTGGAACACCACCCTTGTGCTGGGCTTTATTTGTTTCATACATCTCAATAGACTCACTGAGCGAAAAACCAGGGCCTGGTTTTTCTTTCATGCTCACAATCCCATTATTCAACGCGCCATCCTTGCCGCACATGAGACTCAAGCTTTACTGGCGTAAACGTCTACTAGGGATAAAAGACCGAAACTTTTCAACGATGCCCAAGTATATGTAACAAAGCCAATGTACTTTCAAAGCTTTGTTCCCCATCAACGGTTTCTGGCTTTATTTACTGGGTTGGAGGTCGAAAACAAAGTTTCAATGACATAATGAATGTAAATGTCACATTTTCAAATGTGTAAACATCATCGCTGTGCAAACTCCTTCCAAACGCTCTCCAAATACGTCAATCATTTCTGGGCATTCCGAGTGGCCGGCTCAGAGATGCCTGCAAGAAACAAAACAGAGGTTCAGATGACCTTCAGACGATTTTGGCCCCCTCCAAAGCATAAAGCTCAATCATTAAACAATTAATGTCGGAGGGGCTTCTCGAGGGGGCAACCTAGCACAGACATGACCGGCAGGTGCACGTCAGAATGAGGTGGCATGCGTCTGTTCGATTTGCCGCCCATTTTTTTGCTACTAGCCGTCCTCCCCTCTTCAATGTACTAGTAAAAAAAAACATACCTCGGGCCACTGGGAAAGCCGCAGCCAATCATGGTCCTCCATTTTCACACCCCTGCAGCTCCATCCAGCTCTGCCCCCGTCATGCAACATCCCGGTCAACTGGGCGCTATAGACGAATGAGCTCCTCTCACCAGCGAGCTCTGGTCCAGCAGTTCCAGGCCGGCACCACCCCCATCTTAGCAATTCAATCAATCAATCTCCCTCCTCCCCCCAGCCAGCCAGCCAGTCCAGCCCAGCCCAGCCTGGCTTTAGTTTCCCGTGTCGTACCTAGGTATCCGAATCCGTACGCCTAAGGGGAGACAGAGGCCCCGATTGTGTCAACCTCCTCAACCACTACATCAACAACCCACATCCTTTTGCTGCTGCCGCCCAACCTCCCCTTCTGCGACGGCCAGACGCTCAAATTGTGCCATCTTCAATAACAGCCAGTACGTGTCCCAAATTTTCGTCCATTTTCCAGCTTGTCGTCAAATTGCAATTGGGGACCCATAGTCAGCGAAGCTTCCGCCGCGCAATTTACTGCCCACACCTTGTCGGTCGGCAGAGCGACGCGGTAAACAAACCATTGGCCCCCGGGGTCTGGACGCTGGAGCCGCAATTCAATTGACGAAAGCCCCCCTCCCCGGAAAATCCATCGCGAACACAATCGAGACGGACCCCCTCAGCTAATGCTCCTTCTTCACCGCAGTTTGCTTTCCCCGCGTTTCCGATTTCGATAGCGATACCCCCCGAGGCACATAGCCCACCATGTCGGTCAAGTTCGAGAAGGAGACGAAGGAGACGCTGCAGAAGGGCGTCGACAAGGTCCAGGAGATCCTCCACCCCGAGAAGCCTTTGCCCGGTACCAGTGGAAAGCATCCCCTCACCGAAGCCATCGGTACCGCCATCACCGGCGGCAAGAAGAATGCAGGAACCAAGGGCTACCTGGCGGTTCGTCTTACACTCCCTTCGATTCCACGCATTGCGCGCGCGAATAGCGCACGACAAGGTGGATATGACGACCTACGGACAGGGTACTAACAGCTGTTAAATCAGGCCTACATCAAGCAGCTCGAGGAGAACCCGCTGCGGACAAAGATGCTCACTGCCGGTACCCTCGCCGGTGCTCAGGAGCTGCTTGCGTCCTTCCTCGCCAAGGACCGTAACAAGCATGGCAACTACTTCACCTCGCGCGTGCCCAAGATGGCCGCCTACGGTGCCATCGTCAGCGCGCCCCTCGGTCACTTCCTCATCTGGGCTCTGCAGAAGACCTTTGCCGGCCGTACCAGTCTGCGGGCCAAGATCCTGCAGATTATCGTCAGCAACTTGATCGTATGTAAGCCGACGTCTTAGTGGTCAGGACGGTTTCGCTAACACGGCCTCTCTAGATTGCGCCCATCCAGAACTCCGTCTACCTGGTCGCCATGGCCCTGATTGCTGGTGCCAAGACGTACCACCAGGTTCGCGCGACGGTCAAGGTCGGCTTCTGGAAGGTCATGAAGGTCAGTTGGATCACCTCCCCGCTGTGCCTGGCCTTTGCCCAGAAGTTCCTCCCTGATCAGCTCTGGGTTCCCTTCTTCAACCTGGTCGCCTTCATCATCGGCACTTACATCAACACCACCACCAAGAAGAAGCGTCTTGCGGCCCTCCGCAAGAAGCACTTTGGTGACGGTCGCTCTCCCTCCATGGGAGGTCGCCCGGAGGACTACCCCGGCCCCCACCCCGGTCCCATGGGTGGCCCCATGGGTGGTCCCAACCCTCCTTACTAAACGACTCTGCTATGGTGAGATGGCCGAGATGACGGCAAGATTACGCCCACTTGATGAGATCTGGTAACATCTAATACGAAAACGAAATCGCCCTTTGGGACGGTTTTCTGGAGTTGAGGGGGCGGGGACCGTGTGAAAGATACGCGAGCTGGAGACAGGCGGCTTGAATGTGCTGTAATCGACCGCCGAGTATCCTTGTACAATTCGCTTGCTTCGTACGTTGCTGTCATGTTATATGTCTTGTGTGTTGGTAGATAGGTTCAAATGCGCTTGGGTTTAAGGTTCGACATTGTGGGCATGTGTGCATATGCAATCAGTGACTTTCTTTTAGCAAGTGAGCTGTCAGTCTATGGTGGCATCTATGTCTTCTACTCCACGCCTCGAATTGTCCGTCCAAACTCGTATAGCGACATCATTGTATTTTGGTTAGCATCATACGGGTTGGTTGGCCATGATTAATAACCCCTTATTTTTCAGAGGAGGCCTATCCATACCGGAGAGGCAATTGACGCACGCGACTGGCGTGTCCGAAGTCCTCCCTGACCAGGACCCGGGCTCGACCAGTCATTGGCGTGGCGTGAAGTCTGCCGGTGCGGTGCAGGAACCGGCTGAGTGGATATTTGTGTGTGTTTTGTCACCGTCCCCGCTCCCGGGTTTCACTCCCCGGCCGGCGCGTCTCCGGTGTCCACCATAAATCCGGGGCTCCAGTACTCCCACTCTGGGCACTGTTTGTCAACCCAAAGCATGCCCTCGCCCAAAAGATCCTCCAACGCCGTCTGCGCCCGCGCCTTTGGCCAACGCAGGTTGACCATGAGCATCGATATGCTTACGTATCCAAGCACCTGCACAGCTTCCAGCACGGCGCTCTGGTCGGTGTTGAGCTCCTTGGGTATACTCCGAATATAGTCCTTACTTCCGACCTTGATGACACTAAACGAGCTGCCCAGCGGCTTCAGAGTGCCGACGGCCCTCAATACGTCATCCTCCGTCACCTCGCTCGCGCCCTCCATCCGGCCCTTCATGATGCGCTCCCGCACTTCGCGCACGCCGATCAACCCGCCGTTCTCGTCGCGCGTCGCACCGCACACTTCAACCACCCGGACTGCCAGTTCAAAGTAGAAATCGTTGACCGACCTGCCCAGCAGTTGTGCCCATATAGACGACGAACCGCCGCTGCCCGACGAAGACGAAGAGGCAAGGGGGTCGACGCCGATGGCAGAGCACATGCGTGCGAACTGCGCGCGGAACGAAGGGTCGGAACGTATGTCTTTCGCGTGGGTTTGTGCAAACTGCTGGAGGAGGGAGCGAAAGACAGATAGCTGTGTCTCGAGGGCTTGCGCATTGCTGCTGCGCAGGTTGGAACCGTGGGAGGCATACTGCGCCGAGGTCAAGCGAGACCGGTCAAACGCAGCGATGCCAATGCCCTTTCGAGACATATTTGCGACTGGCTCAAGGTGTTCGAGGGAGGGAGTAGTTGTGAGGAGGACGGGGGAGGGGAAGCTAGCTTGCTATGGCCTGTCTCCTTTTGCTAGAGAGGGGCAGACGAGGTTAATAGAGGGGCGACATCTTGGTGGACGCCATTGTCGGTCGGTGTTCGTTAGTGCTGACGAATACGTCAAAGGAACCATCTTCCAATGGGGGACCCGCTCTCCGTCGTGAGTCCTGATGACATAAGCGGCTGTTCCCACCTGAAGCAGAACACTGTTCCAGAACTCAACGGATCACGTGCAGACCAGCCGGATCAACTCCGGCTCGAAATTTCTACCGAGAGGGCATTTTTTGCATGAGTGGTCCGTGCACCCATTTCCAGACGGGTAAAGGGTTGTGCCCTTTTTTCGGCCCACCCAAATCGCAACACGAATTTGCTTCTAGTCTTCCAAGTCAACGCCTGCCTTTACGATCGCGCTGCGAATTTCCTCACAGTCCCCCTCCATCCCGCAGCAACCATGTCGTCCACCCAGAGCGTCCAGTGCTTCGGCAAGAAGAAGACCGCCACCGCGGTTGCCCAGTGCAAGGTGCGATACGAAATCCTCCCCGAAAAATAAGTCCCTATAGGACCGATCCAAAACGGAACGAAAACATCGATATCGGACTTTGGAGGCTGACTTGTGTGTAATTATAGGCTGGCAAGGGCCTCGTCAAGGTCAACGGCAAGCCCCTCTCGCTTGTCCAGCCTGAGATCCTCCGCTTCAAGGTACGAATAAGCCCGCACGAATCCATTGCAGGACCGGTCGAAAAGAGGATGAATTTAAAGATGGGATGGACTTGAACGTGGAGAGCAAGCGCTGGGAATGGTCGAACCAATTTGGGAAAGAGCTTACGGTGTCTTGCTCTTCACTTCAATCCGGATCATTGTTGGATGGGGAAACAGACCGCGAATTGCAGGAAGCAAATGAAGAAGAAAAAAACAGTCAGCAGCGAATCAGTAAACTAACCCATTTCACCACAGGTCTACGAGCCCCTCCTTGTCCTCGGCCTTGACAAGTTCGCCAACGTCGACATCCGCGTCCGCGTCACCGGTGGTGGTCACACTTCCCAGATCTACGCCATCCGCCAGGCCATCGCCAAGTCCGTCGTCGCTTACTACCAGAAGTTTGTCGATGAGCACTCCAAGAACATGCTGAAGCAGGCTCTTGTCCAGTTCGACCGTACCCTTCTCGTCGCCGACAACCGTCGTTGCGAGCCCAAGAAGTTCGGTGGTGTTGGTGCCCGCTCCAGATTCCAGAAGTCTTACCGTTAAACGGTTCTTTTTGGGTCTTCTTGCCTTGGGTGGGAAATGGAATGGGGAACGTGGGTTTCCGGTCCGGTCAGCATTTGGTGTTTCCCGCGAAAAAAATCTTGGCAGTTACTGTTTTTTTACACGGGGAGTCAAACGTGGATCAAAAGATCTGGTACCGTCTACAATCGAAAGGAAGGATTTGGGACGTCCAGAGCTCGACGGGAGGCATGGAGGAGACATTACGCTTCTTCTTTTGCTCTCTTCGTCGATGCATTGCATGGCATGCCTCGCGGTATCGCTGCTTGGCTGGTTTGTAAAGGGTCAGGCAGGCAAATGAAACATTGAAACTTCATGACACGGCGTTTATGGGCTCGAGTTATGCGTGTGCCGTGTTTCTATTTTTTTCCTTTTGGTTGACAATGCCGAAAAAAGCACGGGTAGGTGTAGTGCAGGGAAACGAGTTTCCGAAACAATGACCTTCAACAACTCTCACTGTCCCTGGAAATCATGCCCATGCCGTCGATGTCTGCTCTCTTGGATCGGATGGGCTGAAGTCAATCCTCGGGTCTGTTTGGTTCTTACCATTTGTGACATCCAGAGAGGAGCGCAGACTCACTCTTACTGACACAAGAGGTCGTTCAACTGTCCACCAACTCTTAACCAATCACTTTTAGCCCGTTACACCTAATGTAAGCAGGAGTAACGTGTCCCACGAGTAGTCCCAGGCCCACATACTATCCACAAGAGTCGACATATCATTCACGTGTCTACATGTATACATATCCAATTGACACCATACCACTCACCCCAAGATATCATGTGTCGATCTGATCAGCGGTACCTCAGTCTAGTCGCAGCGCAATACCACGTCGTGTCTCAGTGGACACCACCAAGTGGTAGAAGCACCGTGATGGGAACTTGATTTCATGGGTTACCAATCATACGTCCTTGGCTCTCGAGTATTCAAGCAGCATCGTCAAGTAGTACAGGATGAGGGCTCTTCGCCGCGATCCAATGCTATGAGTCAGTCAGCCAGAGCTTGGCCAAGTGGCACCTCAACCAGCTAGCTCATCTCAAAATCATCTAGGGAAACGCATCTCTTTGTTGGACACGTTACTTTGCGGTGGCTCATGCGGGTTATACGGCTTCGCTCTGGCCGGTCCACATCGACGACAGTTTACAGCGACATGGCTTAAGGAATGGATTCCAGTTGAACCAAGGTCAAGCAACGATGACGCTCTCGATGCAGCTTGCATCTGGACACGCTCATACCCAGATATTTACAACATGGCCGGTTCCGTGTCGGTTCGAAGACTGGTATATCAAAGGGCGTCAAGACTAGTGACCCTGTCGTTGTCCTCTCGTCACGTTTCAGCCAGCCGAAATTGCAAGCACTGCCGAGCCATGTTCAACATTTTATCGCAGCGCGGGAGCATCCCAAGAACTACGAGGCATAGTGTGGCTTCCGTGGAAGATGACTATCGAAATGCCTGGGTGTCTGCAGTTCTTGGGATGAGCTGATGATACTCCCACTCATCGTACCAAGATGTGCTATCTCGCCATGGCAGATATACGAAAACGTTACTGTGTAACTCGCCTCAATACTGTAGGCGCACCTAATTTGTACTCAGTGGTCTGCGAGGCATCATGTCTCCATCGGCCTTGTGATGGTTAACCCAGTGGACTTCGGCCCGGTCCAGCCCTTTACTACTCAACGCAATTTACTCAACACACTTCTTTCTACCTGAAGAGATTGTCTCGGGGACTCTGAGGGAACTCACGAGGGGAAGGAAAAAAAAAAAACGAGAACAAAAAAGGAAAAAGCAAAGTCACACTGCCGCAGAGCAAAAGGTATGTGATCAGTGGGAGGCTTGAACTCCCGACCTTGGCATTACTTGATATATCAAGATGATATATTAGTACCACGCTCTAACCAACTGAGCTAACCGACCGAACCGATTTGGCTGGTTGTTGTGTGAAGCGGCGGGAACGAGCCCTATGATGCCCCACGATATGGGTCCGGTGGAGGATCCATCCGGGAGATATGGGCGGCGAACCTCTGATGTGGATCCGTTTGTCTCCGAAGACCTTCACAGGCCTGCAGACCAATGGCTGTTGGAAGAGTGACTACGGCTGGCAGAGCTGTCTTTGGTACTTGATCATTCTCATGGTCACGTCGTTTTCAGGAGTAACAGATTGAAGTCGCGAATTTCTTGTTGTGTCCGGTTATAACACGGCTGGATGGTAGAAATCTACCCTTAGTACAAAAGGAACCTCGAACAACACTACCGCATGAGACAAGAACTCAGGTACTCATTTCTTCCTGTTATGATGTTTCTCGAAATAGATAGTGTCAAAAGTTTCATGAAAACTACTAATACTACTCATGAGTATGAGTGATAAATGTTTCCCTTCTCAAACTTGAATACAGATTACCCTCAATACAGGGGACATTGTCCTCATTTCTGACTGGTCTTTCGTCAAGCTAAGCACTTTATTTTTGATTACTGTATGCCTCGTTCCGAGACTACTTCCACCGGCTGCTCAGGCGTAGACGGCCATTATCAGAGCCGGCACATTCAAATCAAAGGAAGATTCGAACCACTGGAAATATGGCTGTATATCGGCACCAGCTTCATGAGCCTGTGTCTCTCGAAAGTGAAGATGGAGAACGGAATCGTTTTGTGGTTGGCAGTAACAATAGTCACAGGTTTACCAGAGCGGCGGGTTGTTTCCGTACGATGATGAGGTTCAAACAGCCCGAAACGACTTTATTGCCAGATCAGTCACCACCGGCTGGAGGAATATCTAGACAGGAGGATTTTAGAGGTTCTTGTTCTTGAGGGTGCATGGCATGCAGTTGCTTGGGGTCTGTCTATACATGACTGTACAGCATTTTGTACATTTTAGACGCATAGGTATAGGAGATGCAACTCGAAGAAGTATGGTAATACTTGAGTCCTCGAACTTACAACTGATGCTGCACCCAGAAATGCGAGGCTGCAAATAATAGACGAAGGATTATGAAAAGATATGTCCATGCCATGTCATTGATCTCAATCCTAACAGTTCTCGTAAAGTATTTCACAGCACAAATAGCTCGAGTATTCCATCTTCTCGTCTGACGAGACCGTAGCTACAACAGACACACAAAGACAGTACATTAAAAGTAAGGAGTGGTTTAAGTATACGTTGAATAATTTAGAGGCTGCTCATAAACGTACAATCAGTCATCATTTTCATACTCCATACTCCGTACTTTATATAATACCGTTTCATAAGGCAGGAAATGGACCAAAGGCTGTGAGCCCATATTGATACTTGACTTAATAAAATAACCGAACCAGTCTCATTACTATGGTACTACGCGAAAAAGTAGCGGTACTACGTCTGGTATATAATTTTGCGGTATAAGATAGATGGTCCCAATATGAGTCCAGTCCAGAATATCACATCAGCGGGACAATAGAAGATTGCCGCGACTGGCTCTCACTACCACCATAGCCATGCTGAGACTTCCGCCACATACAAAACAAATACACACATGCACACTCTGATACACATCAAAAGTGTCCAATATAGGCTCTTCAATTTCAGTCTTTCTTGGCTAAAGACTGAACAATAAGCACAGCAGTCACACCCGCATCCTAATGCCACAAACCAGCCCACACCAAACAATTCCAGCACCGGCGCTTTGTCCCATCCAACCCAGACGATGTTGTCCGGCGTTAGGTTTGGACGTGCAAGCAACCTCGGCTCGGCTGCAGCCGTAACTGTCACCATACTGGCACGAACACGGGATTCTTTCAGCTGACAAAACGCTCAGACAAGAACGGAGGGCCAGTCGGCCGGTAGTTCGGATGGAAAAAGTTCGAAAAACCCTGTTGTGTCGAAAGACACAGTTCCGCCATCACAACCCCCCTTCCCCCCGAACCTCGTGCGATATCAAAAAACTTAGTCGCTCCCCCAAAACAACACTCTTATCCCAGGGACATTGGTCTAGAACCACTCCACCGTCAAAACGTATCCACTCATCCATCATAAATGGGAAGCTCTTCGCACTGCAAAAAAGGTACTTAAACCGAGACGGGCAGACGAAAAAAAAAAAGGCAAACCAAAAACGGTCGAGGTGCCCCCCTCCTTCGGGTCACCCGCCAAACCATAAGTTTAGACTTCGACCAGAACACACACACACGCCCCCCGAAAATGGCAAGCTTTGAACTAACCGTTTGCCCGCGGGGTCCCCGAAAAAACCACAGACGACGACGACGATGCTCCAGCCCCCAGTTCCGGAGCCTGATTTCGTGAAGCAGGGACACTGATTGGCGCGCTTTTACAGCATTCACACCCCCCAAAAGCAAAAGCAAAAAAGCATTTCGCATCACCATTGCCGTGGGCCCGGTCTTGGGTGTGTGTGTGTGTGTGTGTGTATGTGTGTATGTCGCCAACATCGTCGTCGTCATCGTCGTCAGCATCGAAGGGGGCACCGCCTCAAACCTTCACGGGGAATACTCGTCGTAATTTCTAGTCATGTTCGCTGAAATATATAGAAAGGGATTCAAAACTGATACTGCCCGGCTGAATTCTGACATGGTGACCGGGGATGAGGTTAGGTGATCTATCACCCCCCCACCCCCCCTCCGTCCGACAGTTTCCAGGCATGCAGCAGGAACAAAAGGTGCAGCGGCTTGATGGGGAGGTTTTCTGTAATACCCTCTCTGCTGGGGAAACTTCCAGCTGGACGTCAGACTTTCTGGAGAGCGCCCGTTATAGCATGTTAGGATAACTGAGCGAAACAACCATCCCTCTCAAGACGAAGGGGGCATAGGGCGGGATGATGGTCAAACTTGTGGGCTTATGCCACTGAACCTAACGAATGGTATTCACCATTGTTTGACATGAACGTCCAGGTGACAACTGGATTGTGGGAGACTGATGGCCAAACAAGGATGAGCACCAGACGAGGAAAGTTATACATAGACAACTGGCAACAACCGTTCAGCCAACCAACCCTTCAGGAGCAAACCTGTCATATCCATAATGCCAGGACTGAACATCGTATAACAATTGCGCAAGGCTTCACCTGGCAGCAAGACAGACAGGCAGCCCATAAAAAGCAAATGGGGCATGAAACCCGGTCGTAGAACATCCCTAGCGGCCAATGTGCAACATGCAAGAACAGTTGTAACCTGAACAAAAGACTAACAACCTCCCACTGCTACGTTACAAAGCGCTTGCACATTCCTCACGCGCTATAAAGAAGCCTCTCACAATAACGAGGCCAAACCATCCAATTAATCCATGCCAGTATGCCGGAAAGCAAACCATAACTCCTGTTAAACTCCCCGTCCCTTGTGCAACTGTGCAAAAAATCAAGACCCATGCCCGCTTCAAAAATCAACATGGATCAAAGCCGAGCTTCTCGACCTTGGGCGCAGTATGCCTATAATTGATATCCTTCGAGTCGAGAATCGACGCGGCCTCACACCCACAGGCGCAACCGGCGTCAACTGTTCAGCACCGGGGATGCATGGCTGCGAGTACCGGCGACGCTTCTCCTTTGCTTCCAACCAGCGCCTGACCCCGGAGCCCTAATTCCACGAGACAAGGTCCTTCTGTTTTCCGCTCTCGTCCAGTTCAACCACTACGGCGGCGAATTCACCCCGCTCATCTTCGGCCTCGAGGTCGTCCAGCTCGAGCTCCACCTCCTCGCCATCCTCGAGCATCGTCTTGCCCTTGCGGAGGTAGTCGCTCCTGATGTCCCAGCCAAACTTCCATACCCACGTTTCAAGATCTGAGAAGGCCTGGCCGACGGCAGCCTGCTCCGGTGTGGCGCGTGAGTTGAGTGCCAGGAGCACCTCGTTGAGGCGACGCTTGTACACGATCAGAGCCATTCTCAGATCGCGGGCGTAAGAAGGACCATAGTCGAGGACGGAACCGTCTAGATATCGCTCATTGTAGACGAGCTGGGCAGTGACGGTCTGTAGGAGCGAGCGAGCGAGCTCGGGGCGTTTGAGGGGGAGTGTGTAGGCCTTTAGAACTAGAGACACCAGCATGTGCCACCATTGCTGAACACAAGCCTCGTTCCCGAGATGCATGCCAACGAGAAAAGCGAACTGCAGCTCGCCCACAATGTCATCGTCGCTGATGCCTGCGGAGAGAAGATGGGCAGTCGCATCGACTGCCTGTTCAGTTCTCGCTGAACCGATACTTTCCACATCGTACGTTTTCGCCGCCTGACTGAAGGTAAAATTGAGCTCGGTACTCGCTACTACACTGGGAAGTCTCTTCTCAAGCTCAACCTCAGCGGGTAGCATCAGTGCGCCCTTTACACGGTCAGAAGTGTGTACGGCCCAGTCACCGGCCTGGCGCGCCGTGACCCTGTTCAGCAGGCCGGCGGATATGGCGCTAGTGAGTTGTTGCCAGATGTTGGTGTTCCTCGCGAACTCGGGGTCCGGGCTGGATGACTGAGAGACGGCTGCGGGCTTGACATTGGCGTTGAGGGCGCGGAACTGGTATGGGGCCAGCTTGGGGTAGATGTCACGGATGTTATCCTTTTGGAAGCGGGCCTCGACCTGACTGGCGGGTTCGCCAATGACTTCATTGAACTTGTCCCATTGCATAACATGAATCTTCTCCGTGGCAGAGCTTATGACCCAGAAGCCGGAGCGGGTGGTACTCGCTTCCGTCTCAGAGACCCAGAAGAAATGAGGGCCGGGTGGAATATCCTTGACACCAACGAACTCGCGGGCAGTGAAGGAGACCGAGTCATAGCCGATGGTAAAGGAAGGGGGCAGGTCCATGACGAGAACGATGTCGCCACCGCCCAAGGAGTGCTCATGCTGAAGCTGCTGGTCCTGGCGGATGTCCATGACTTGGCCGTGCTCTATAGGCGCCAGAGGAGGCGGCTCGTCATCGTCGGGCATAGTGTTTGGGTTCATGGCGGTAACCTCTTGCGACAATGGCGAGTCGAGAGGCTGATGGACGTGCAGGCTGCCGAGCGGATGGGCACCGGTGACGCGGATAGATTTGCAGGATGCAGCGGTGGTGGAGACGGAGGAGTCGGACTTTGGCAGGCCCGAGTTTTTGAGGAGGGCGGGCCGGACGTTGGAGTCGATGGAGACGCCGGAGGTCATTTTGTTGGAGTAGCTGGGTAGGGAACCCCACCACTGACCAATAACGACACGATAGAGGCGGAGAATAGAAAGATTGAGAGAGCTCTAGAGTAGCTGCTGAATAAGGCTTTTTGGATGCCAACCGTGCTGCAGCAAAAAATGTCTTGTAGGAGCGATACTGGTGATTATTCCAAGGAGATCTGGAATCAATGCTAGTCGAAGGTGAAGCTGGATACGTTGTAGAGAGGAGAGATTCGGGGGGATAAAGCGAGGGGGGAAAAACGAGAGAAGGAAGAAGGAAGAAGATGGAAGAAGAATAGGAAAGAAAAAAAAGAAAAAAAGAAAAGAAAGGAAAACCACGGTTTTCACCGCCTGTAACTTCTGGGGTAGCACAAGACAGAGATGATGCTTTACTCGAATAATTGTAGGCGGCAAGATGAGGCGTAGGAAGGTGGGAGAATCTGGGAAAGTTAGGTCAGGCCAGTCAGTATAAGGAGGTCGTCGCAACAGTCCAAAGTTCACAGAAGGCAGGAGCGAGGAGAAGACGGTGGAATGCGACCCTGCAGCGGAGGCAACCAAGATTTATTCCAGTCTGGCAATCACACCATATTCTCCATTCTGAGCGCGCCGGGTTGTCATAGGAGGCGCTTCCTTCCATCACATCGCAATTTTAATGGAAGGGTCGGGGCCTTTTCTCCCTTCATCACTGGACCCCTCCTCGTTTCCGTGTAAGACAAACCAACAAACAGGTATAATGACAGGCAGGAGGCACTTGGGCGCCCATTGTGTTGGTCTATAGCCCTCGTGTTCCAGGTTTGACGTCGCTGGACTGCACACTACGTCATAGCCATGCGGGAGAGATTACGAGCTGTGGTGGTGGTGGTGGTGGTGGTGAGGGGGATGGGATGCGGCGTAGGTAGTCGAGTTTGCAACGCCTGCAGCAGCGATGCTATCGCTGCTTAGCGAGCGTTGGGCGGTTAGAGCGCTGAAAAGGCAACTTTCCCACCTCTGTACTTCCAGGCGATAACGATAAGGAAACTCGGCAGCACCGCAGCATTCTGTGACTTCCCCCCCTCTACTAGTATACACTCAGAGGCCTGATAACTTCCTATAAACGCCCCGTACAAAGAGGTGGCTCTGGTTTGGCTCAACGAGTAATGGTCTAAAACAGCAGATTAAAGCAGGCAAACGGCCCTTGGTTGCAGCATTGGTCGCATAACTTTTCTCTGCAACTCCCAGCCAATCGCAAGTTACCTTTCAAATAGTAGCATCAAATTCCCTTAGGGAGTAACCAAACCGTAAGACCCCAAGACTACACTAGTAGTGTAGTCACAACTCTCAACTACTATTTGTACGTTACCTCGTAAGAAACGGATGCCGCTGCAACCCGGTCAATCCACAACACCGTCTCTTTAACGGCCAGCACCACTAATAATTTAAAAACAGGGTACCTTGAACGTTGCCTTGGGGGCCAAAGGCTAGAGTTGTTCAAGGTACCAAAAGTAGCTTAGGAAAATTAAACTAGGCGGATAATCGACGCTAAAAACCCATCGACACCAAGGGAATCTAAATTGATACCACAAAAATAATTAAAAAGAAGAAGAAGAAAAAAAAGTACAAAAGTAACCTTACTAACCAATCCAACCCACCGGCTCGTTTCTTTGGGTCCCCCGCGTCCATTTGGGTTCCTTCCTTCCCGTTACCCACAACGCGCACGAAAAAGATTACTGGGAAGGATCACACGCACACTAAACAACCACCCATCGCACCTTAACAAAACTACCTTGCAGCGCCCAGGATCCAGATTATAGTGCCGGCCCGTCGCTTCCCTTTTGTTTGGCCCCCAATACCACGGCCCCCAAGGGGAAAAAAAACACACTTGTACGGATACGCATACGCACACTCGTTTATACTAATTAGGTGAAATCCCGACTGTCCGGTTGCACTAGAACCCGCAATACCCTGCTCCGACCTGCGGGAACACGGGGAGCCACACGTACATTACACCTGTGCCGCGTGACACACACGACACGAGTGTTCAAAAAAAAAAAAAAAAAAAAAAAAACCAAGATAAACCTGTAATACCAAGAGAATGTAAAAATAAAGTAAAAATAAAAATAAAAATTGGGACAACGTGCTAGCAACCCTGTGTGCTGCTGTACAATGCAGTCAGTATACACACCCCTTCTACACAATATACATACACATGTATATATAAACACACACATATATATGCATATATCTAGAGAGTTCATACCATGATGCAACCTCACGTCGCATCAACTCAACTTACCGCAAACTCGGACCATCCCCAGCCAAACCTCACACCGTCCTTACTCATTCCAGACATGCCTCTTCTCTAAAAAAAAATTCAAAAAAAAATTCCCCGACTTAAACCTAAACTCGACCTCTCGATACTCTAAACTCAATCGTCAAGTGCAACCGCCTGGATATCCTCTTTCAGTAACACACCCACCACCCACCGACACAACTGCCACATACATATACCTAAACTCTGCTCCAATACCCCCATACAAAAGAGGTAAGTATATTCATATTCCTCCTAAAGTGACCACATATATCCCATCCTTACTTCACTTATCCTCTTCCGGCTTGCGTTCATCTGTGCACGCATGCACCTTTTAACAAAAAAAAAAAAAAAAAACACAGAATACACAATCCCATTAATAAACCTAATTGCCATTCCAAGTCCATCTGCAATAATCCGCTTGAACCATGTAAGAAGTCGAAAGAAGTTCAACCATGACCACACAGAAAGAAGGGAAAAAAAAAAGAAAAAAAAAGAAAAAAGAAAAGAAAAAAAGACCCCTTGTCCGCATCATCCGACTTCCCATAGTGTTTGTTACACAAACATTTCTTTCCGAGCAGACTAAGGGGAAAAAAAAATAAACCCCCCCCCCCCGCTAAAGTCGGTAACCAGAAAATCCATTTAAAAAAGGAAACAAAAGGTTAAAAGAGAACCCTGTCTCTCCTCTTTATGCACGTAAGAACCACGCGCAGGTCTAAACTCGCAATGGAATGGTGTCACCACCACCACCACCACCATGATCCATATCCATGCTTGCTTGCCACTCACTTACTCAAACCTCTGCGTCATCCGACCAACACCCCCTCCCCCGGTCCGCCAATTCTTCAGCGCCTTCAGCCTTCAGCCTTCAGCCTTCAGCCTCACCTCACCTCACCTTGACCTGCCAAACTTCTCTCGGCCACTGCCAAACGAACACACACTGTGTTCGTCCTAAAACTTGGCCAACATATTGCTTAGATCTTGCTTGACATTCCGTTTTCCTCTGCCTGCCATGCCTTGTCTTGCCTCCCCGATACCCAATTGCACATCACACGCAAAGCTTGTATCCATGTTTAAACACCAACCTATTCAAAAGTCACGTCTCACAACCCAAAGTCAATAAAAGCTTAATGGAATCGTTTTGTGTTTTTGTTGCCAAAAAAAGTCTTTCGCATTTCCCTTTTCCGCAACTACCATAAAAATCAATCTCAACTACCAAACGCAATCTGTCGACGCCCTAAACGTCCATGTATGTAGGTATCTCGGCCACTCCAAAGGTCCGTCCCTTGCCAATCCTGTGCTTTCGCCCTCTACCGAGAAAAAGCCTCCGTTTTCCGAAAAATCCTCATCGCCGTCCGAGAAGAGCAGATCCTCCCTCGAGGGACCAAAGTCTGAGTAGGAAAAGGTATCGTCCGCAAAGGATGGAGAAAAGAGATGCTCTTTCGTCCTAGGTCGATACTCGCCCGCCTCTCTCAAGATAATGACTGCATTGCTCTTGCCTGTCAAACCTGCGAGGTAGTCCGAATTCGAAGCTGGGTACAGAAAAAAAAAGCTTCTCGAGAATGCGGCCGTGCTGGCCAACCAAAGCGAGCCTCCACCAGTTTCGTCAAATCATGACCGCCCTCAACCGTCCTCGTAAATGCAGAAAACTACACCGATCGAAGGAAAAGCCGTTGCCCAATGCATCATCTTATGTGTAAAAACCAACAAAAAAAACAACATTGACATCGAATCGCGATGCGAAAAATAAAAAGTGAGAAAAGACTCGGGCGCGCGCGCATGTGCCCGAATCAGATGAGAATGGTTGCAAGTGACGCGTCAAAACCATGCTGAGCGTGTACTCGATCAAAATGTGAAAATCCCGAAGCCATGAGGCGGATATCGCTTCGTAAACCAGAATTTTGCCGCGCGTCTAATAACCGAAGGAGAGGAAAGTCGTAGTATGGACAGATGCGGATGAGCGGCCGTCGTCATGTGAAAGGGAACCCGATAATGTACAAGCCCTTTCCCCCTTCTATCATTACGGTTGGGTCCTTTCCGATGGCAACCCTACCTACACAGGGCAGCCTGCCTTAGTGGCTTGACGCCTGACCGCCGTTATCTGCCTATACAGTTAGCCTCCCATGCCCGTCGAATTCTGGCATTCTCGACTCACGTGAGCTGTACATGCTCTGGTTGGGCTGGCCATAAGGCGATTGAGGCTGGTAGTTGGCCGAGTACATATGCGAACCGTTGTACTCGGGGAGAGGTTGCTGGGGAACGGCTCCCGCAGAAGGGGGCGCAGGGTACTGGGAAGGCTGGTAGCCGATTGGCGGCAGCTGAACTTGACGGCCACCAGCGTACGTAGGTGCAGAAGACGTGCCGTCGGCTGCGCCCTGGGGGTCGGCAGAACCATTCTGGGCAGCAGCGGCGGCGGCGGCGGCAGCTTGGCGCTGACGCTCCTCCTCGGCCTTGCGTTGAGCTTCTTCCTCCTTCTTGCGCTGCTTCCACTCTTTGCGAATCTCCTTGAATTCTAGAAAGCAAAACCGTCAGTTTCGATACACAATCACACAAGGGTGGCCGTCCATCATTGGAACGCGCTCGCAACAGCTTATCCGCCAAGTCGGTCGGTGCCATGAGACCAGACCATGAATCCTTCCGTGGCTTAACCCCAGTATTTGCACCACTTGGCACACGGCCACGTCACATTCAGACCATAACATTAAACGCGTCCAACTCAATGCCTTTTGTAGGGGTTCTCTCAACTCTCTCAAAGAAAGCAACATACCTTCAGGGGTTCGCTTTTGTCCGTGGGACTGCATTGTGACGTGGGCGTTGAGGTGGTTCAAAGTGCCATAGGCCTTCTCGCAACCGTTCCAGCCGCACTTGTACATGCGCTCGATTTCTTCGTATCGTCGGCGGGGTCGCTTGTGCTGCTGGGCACCGGGAATCGGAACGAAAGAGTAAACCTGGTGGCCAAACTGTTACGTCAGTACACTGTATCCCGCATCGTGTGAAAATCATGCGCGCGTTCCAGCCTCAGACTCTTTCATCCGCAGCGCGATGGCTCTGTGTATGGAACCCCACTCATTTTGTCCCCTCTCACAGAAAATCTCAGATCCAACTGATCGATTCCTCGAGACAAAAAGAGGCCAAAACATGAGACAGGGGACCCAGCCGACGCTGCGATCTCTCACTCTGAGGCATGCGACACATTTCGACTTGACCACACAGTTTTGATCGACTTACCTGGTTGGGGCGTCCCTGAGGAGGGGCAGAGCTCGGCGTCGGGGGGAAGACGTGGCTAGCGGGTGTCAGGGGACCGGCGCTGTGTTGACCGTAGCCAGTCCAGTCGGGTCGGGGTTGCGCATAGGGGTGCTGGTATGAGTGGGACATGTCTCCTGGCGGGGGCCCGTAGGGAGAGTGCTGGCCGTACGCGTAGGTAGGACTCGGGGCCGCTATCGACGGATCTATAGGTAATTCATGGTCAGATTTGGCCACAGGGACCTGATGGTGACGGCCATCTTGTTGGGACAAAGACGGACTGCTTGCTTGTTGCGCCATGCCTCCGCTGCTACCGTTGTGGTTGCTAGCTGGATGATATGAACGCTGAATATGCTCAGGGAAAGATCCTGACCGCGCAGAAGGCGGGTAAACACTGTACTCGGATGTGGGCGTGGCCGAGGTAGAGTAGTTGCTGGGGCGAACCTCCTGCTGGGTCGCGTATTGCGCAGCAGATGCGTGATCTGCAGATGAACCTTCAGAACGGGTGTCGCCGCAGTTGCTTGGGTAAGGCGAAGGCAAACCTGACTGCGAGTACTCGGTAGCACTGCGTTCCATAGAGGTGCTGATTGAAGAGAGAAGCGAGCTGATGGCAGCGGCTTCTGGGCGGGAACCTCCAAGCTGGGATGAGCCTGAAGAGAGCAGTGAGGCTTGGTTATCAACGAACTGATGTTGCGTTGGAGCCAAGAACATGCTACAGTTCAGTGGAACGTCTGGATCGCAAATAATGGCCGGAGAGTCCTTAGTTCTCGAGCCAACGGCAGATTCGCAGGTTCAGGATGGAAGGCCGTCTTTTCTTCTTTTCCCCTTGCTGTGTCTTGTAGTTCCAAAGTCAGGAGGAGGAATAGTGGTAGTAGTAGTTGATGAATTGGTTCAAGGCGCGACGGGATCTCAAGTAGCGGCGGTTGGCTTGTACTTGAAGAATGGAAAGAAGAATGATGGAAGAATGGTAACAGGCGAGTAACACCGGAGTGAAGTGAGACTTGAGGCGGCGCGACGATGGTGTATAAAGATGGCGGCCAAGATAGCGCGGACCACCCAAAGGCTCGGGTTTATGGTTAAATGGGGATGTGATGACAACAAAGTCGCTAGCCACGGCCCTGAGCGAGGATCTCTCAAAGTGGCAAGGATAGCGTTGTCTTTGCCAGATCACAGAAAGGACGCCTCTTTTTTTTTTTCTCTTTCTGTGCTGAGAGGAGGTTGACGGTATTGCCTGGGGAGAGCGACACTAAAATAGTGCGCTAAGTCTGGTAAAGGATGGGCTGGGCTCTCCGCTTGAGTTCAGGCCGAGCAAGTCTAGCGTCTGGATCGGAGATAGGGCAGGGGGGGGGAGGGGCCCACAGGCTGGGTGTGGTGTATGGAACCCGGGACCAGAGGCGGCGAAGAGTACCGTACCGCAGGTACACACGCAGTGAGGAGTACGAGTAGCAGGTAGCTGAGAGGCGGTAGGGAGTGTAGTGATTTGAGTGGGGAGCACAGAGGATGGGCTGTCGAAATGTTCCTCTTTGCGTATAGCGCAGGGTTTGTCCTGTCTTTGATCGGGGTTGGCGTCTGTCTGGATTTGGCGTGGTCTAGGCTGGGACCTGACTTGTGGTATCCGTAGAAAGATGGGAAGATGTAAACTGACTCTTGTCTGATCTGGCTTGCGGATGCAGGAGGAAGCAAGATGCAGATGCAGAGAGCAGCAAGCAGAGCAGAGGCGAGGGCGCAGGAGGAGGCGGTTGAATAGAATGCGGTATTGTGTGCGTGAGCGTATGAGTGAGTGGTGACGCGAGAGCGATGTGTGATTTGCGGTACAGGGCAACACAGCACAGCTCAGCAGGGCCCCGGGTAAGGGTGCGTGGGTAGGCTGGCTGGGAAGATGAGCTGGATGGTGGGTGCTGGTGTGTGCGTTGTGTGGTGTGGTGTGTGTGTGTGTGTGTGTGTGTGTGTGTAGTGGTAAGGGGGGGCGTGGTAGCCTTGGGTCTTAGTTCTGATGGTGGGTTGAAGTGGGTGGGTTTGCTCCCTCTTTCTTCTCGATTTTCACTTGAGTCGGAGTTGGACGAGACGAGGTGTATCGGTAGACGTGTGTGGTGGACGTAGCGATAGCAGCACTAGACAAGACGTAGAGTACGTGCTTCGGCGGCAGCAGCAGCAGCAGAAGGTATGTGCGCGCGTCGTGCGCGTGCGTAGGTAGTAGCGTGTTCCTGTTAGTGCTAAAGCGAAGTAGCGCTGGCGGAGTACGGATGCTGCGCTTGAGGGTGGATGGGGACGGGAAGGAGAAAGGTATCTCTCTTCTCTGACTCTGGTGGTACGGCAAGGTGAGGTCAAAGAAAGGAAGGGGAAGGTGAGCTAAGGGGGGAAGGGGGTGAAGGGGGTAAACCCAATGAAGGTTATGACGAGGGGGAGGGAGTTCGATCTTAGCGCCGTTCCCGGGAGAAAGACGAATTTAATACTCGGACGGATGAGGGATGGTTAGGGAGGGAAGGGCAAATAATGGGGTAAGGCAGGTAATAATGGGAACGCCTGGGCACTGGGTCGCCGACGAGGGCTGGATGGCTGATGTGCGGCTTAGTGGAGACGTGCGACGACAGCCTGGATGAGGACGAGGGGGGGGAGGGGGGAAAAGACGAAGGGGGGAAGGGGGAGGCGTGTATGAGAAAAAGAGAAAGAGAAAGAGAGAGAGAGAGAGATACGAGTGTGGTTCGGGGATAATGACGGATGAGAATTGAGGAACGAATACTGGGGAAAATGAAGGGTGAACAGTAAAGGGTGCGTTGGAGAAAAAAAAAAAAAAAAGAGGGTTATGAGTGCGTTCCGTCTGTATGTGGTGCATTATGTCGTCTGCCTTTCTCTGCCTCTGTTTTGGCTGGTTTCCTATTACTACATTGCACTACTTCTACATATACACATACATACATGCCCATACATACAGTCTGTGAGGCGAAAAGACTTGGGAGGAAGAACCAGATGGTGGACGAGTCTGTCCTCCATGCCTGCCACCCTGTCTGTGTCTGACGATGAGTGGCAGCAGATGGACAGCATGGTGGACTGGTTCCCAAAGGGGGAGTGTGAGCAGTAGGCCTGTGTATTTTTCATTTTTCATTTTTCATTTTTTTCAGCTTTTGCTCTTGCTAGCATATGCAAAACGACTTCATTCTGTCCCCTCCTTTGCTTTCTGACTCTTTCTCTCTCTCTCTCTCTCTCTCTCTCTCTCTCTCTCTCTCTTTCTCTTTCGTGCTTGGTATTATTTGGGGCTCTCCTTTCCGAGATGCGAGGCGTGCGGATGCGAGAAAGCACCATAACCCCAAAGGTACGTATCCGAGAAATATAGTCTTCAGAGTGAGAGTTGATTTGAGAGGTGACGAAGCATGTAGATGCGCCCTATGAGATACGTGCGAAAGAGCAGTGAATGTACCCGAGGCAGACGTACGGACGAAGGTACGTAGCAGATCCCAGACGAAAAGGCTTGGGCGGCAGGAGGCGGGCCCCGATGCAGCCAGGCGGCGGGTACGAATTGGGTCCTTCTCTGTGTGAGTCTGCGATGCGGTCCAGCCTGACACAGGGCAGGGCTGCGGGATGTTAGCTGCTGGGTACCGGGTTTTACTGGCCCTGCTGGGTGTTTAGTCTTTGCTCTCCTGCTCCTAGGGGGAGGGGAGGGGGTAAAGGGGGTACGTTTTGTGGCCATTCGAAGAAGGTCCTACGGCTACGGATACCTAGGAAAAATGATAAGGTACCTGGAGTTCCTTCCACGCCTTTCCGCGGTACGTATCTACTCCACCTACCCGAACTGTGGCAGCAGGATCAGCCAGAGCGTCGGCCAGCAGGCAGGAGCAAACCACCGCCATCACCCCCATTACTAGTAATAGGAGGGAGAGAGTGAGTGGCAGGTGGCAGGTGGCAGGTGCTCTTCTGTGTTTTTTTTTTTTTTTTTTCCCCTCCCCTTCTCTGGCTTCCTTTTCACACGCCCCCCCTCTCTTCCTGCATTTTGCTCTCGCCGCCTCTACGGAAACTCCATAACTGCCGCCGAGAAATGATGTGTGTGTGCGCTCAATCAAGAAAGACATCGCAATGGCTTGGCGACGCCAGGCGCTCGATGCCGGGGCTAGCCCAAATGTGTGTGGTGGCTGGTGGCTCAACGACGCCATAAAACACAAAGCCAAGGTATCAAAGTCAGTCAAAGTCTTTGATTGTTGCTCTGCGACTCTGATATGGGGGTCCATGACTTGACTCTTTTCTTTGCCTTCATCTTCTCCTGCATGCCCGAGCTGGCAAAAAATTAGATTAGATGAGGCAGATTTTTGCCCTGTGGATGCATCGCTCTAGTAATCAAATGAGGGTCCAGAACCGCGCGCTCGAGGAACTCGCTTTTTTTTTGCTTTCAACATTTTGATAGACCAAACGTGGTGGTTGCCGCGTCGCGTGTCAGATTTATCTTCCCCAATAAGGGCTGTCGCTGTCCCCAGAAAGAGTTTGTCTTGTCTCTGAACTTCTGCCCGGCTTGATTTTGTTTTTTCCCCCTTTCCTATACATCTTACACCGAGACTTCCTGGGATGCTCGTAGATGGCCGGAAATTTGCTATACCATCCGTGTGCCGTCCTTGTAATGCTTGTCGACCGCACGGCACAAGGAAATAAGCCAACGATATAATAATGACATTATTCACTTTGAATCATTGAGGGAGGAAGAGAGGGGACACGCCAAGGGGCGTGGCCCAATGAATGGGGCATGAACTCGACTTTGTCTGACTTGACTCTTGCAATCTTTGTCATCCAATTGTGTGGCCTGTTCTTGGAATCGTCAAGTCAAGTTGAGGAGTCAAGCCAGAAGTGCTATGAGGCAAGTAGGTATGTAGACAAGTACACGTAGTACTTGTCACCATGAAAACATAAGGGAAAGAGGGAAAAAAAAAAAAAAAAAAGGTCCCGCTGTTTCCGATGGCCGCCGGCGGCCGACGCCGATGAGTACTGGGAGAATTGCCCACAGCATTTGACAGCACAAACCCTTTTTTATTTTCTCTCCCTTTTTCTCCTTCACATCGGCGTCCCGAAGAATTGTAGGGATCCCCGATGCCGGATCCGCCAACTTGACTCGGAGACAGGGTATGAGATCAGACAAAGAAGAGATCGATTACGTGCAAAAATGGCAAGCCAATGCTACGTAGTTCCCGTATCTAGTACGGATACACTGTAAGTGATCGATGATGTTCCCAGGATTCCGTTGACGGTGTGGGTTGGGTCGATGACTGCCCGGACAGGTGTGGGTGCTCTTGGTATTTGCAATTCCCATTCTCAATCGAGGAATGATAATTGAGACCGCCCCTCCACTTCCTTTCCTCCGCCCCTCTCTCCTCTACGACCAGGGAGAGAGAGATTGATGATATTTGACCTGGGGTCCAAGGGGAAGAAAAAAAAAAAAAGGATGGATCGGGGCTGATCCCGGCTCGGCTGCGTTGTGTACCTGTTATTTTGGCGCAAGTATGATGACAAAGTGGTGCAGGTGAGTGAGCAAAAGCCGCGCATCGGACCTTTAGCAGCGTAAAAAAAAAAAAAAAAAAAAAGGTGAGCCATCGCAACGAGCAGCGAGGCAGAAGCACGTCGCTGTTTAGAAAACTGAGGACAGGGCCCAGCAAAAGGGCCCCCTGTCCCTGCCGCGCAACCTTTTGGATATCTACGGTCGAGGTTCCTGGCGGTGGGAATCAACCAATGGTGGC